GGGTATTAGACTTATTATTAGTTTATTATTACCCCCCTTACTAGAAGGTAATCTTATATCTATATATATATTATATTCTTAGGTTAGAATATAAGACTCTCTTTTATATTAGCTAACTTATTATACTATATTATACCTATTTCTTAGTTATATCTAGATAGAGAAGAAGAAAGAAAGAGAAAGTATATAAATAGAAGTAAATAGGCTTAGAGTAGAGTCTAATAGACTATTAGGCTCTAAGGTAATAATAATGCCTTTAGACTTTTAATCTAAAGAGATGCTAGTTTAAAATGCGCTAGAGATGCTAATTTATAGTAGTAGGAATATTTATATTTAAAGTATAGTATATTATATATCCCCCTCTAATAGTCTATTAGGACTTATCTTTAAGCTATAGCTCTATATTATATGCCTACTCCTTATATCCTATCCTAATAGAACGCTAGGCCTCTTGCTAGGTAACTAACACTCTACTATAGTATATTACTTACTTAGCTAATAAGCTATTAAAGTATAAAAAGTTTTATATATAATATAGAGTATAAGCAAGTAATATATATAAGCAAGTAATATACCCTAATAAACTATTAGGCCTACTAATTATAATTATATAATACTATAATATTATATTATAACCTATAGTAGATATTCTTAATTACTAATATCTACTATATCTTTCTTATATATACGCAAGTTATGCCCTGTCTTACTATAGCGCTTATAGTGCCTTTTACCCTACTTGCTTATACCTATTTAGGCTCTACTCTTATATATTTTCCTCTCTACCTATACCTTAACATTATATTAGGCTATTAAATCCTCTACCTGTTCCTTTAATAGATCTCTACTCTTCTAAATCTACTTTCCTTTATATAATTTATACTTAGAAGTAGCCTTATTTAATACTTTAAGCTATAGCACTTAGGCTGCTAATAATATCTACTTATATAGTAGTATTATAGTACCTCTCTATAGCTAATTAATAATCTCTACTATTAGAGTTAGTAATAATCCTTAGTACTTTTAAATATAATCGCGAAGCAGCACTAATTAAGACTCTATCTTATTAGTGTTAGTAGGTGTCTTAGGGTTCTATTAGGCCCCCCCTAGTAGAGGTAGTGTTAGCGTCTAAAGCTTAATATTAAGCTTTAATAGCACTACTAATAGGTTATTAGGCACTAAGCTAGTTATCTTAAAGCTTAATATAATATTTACCTTTAAGAACACCTTCTTAAAAACCTTTATAAACGTTATAATAAAGGCTTTCTTATTAATTTAGCTAATATAGTCTATTACTAAGACTTTAATCTCTTTACTATACTCCTACTTTAAAGGGGTAAAACAGCCTATATTAAGTAGCTATGTAATATATATTAAGTATAGAGGCATATATAGAGTAATTATCTTATTCTCCTTATAAAGATTCTAGAAGGTAAGTAACTTATAGCTTTTATAGCTGTTAATTATTAGCAGCATATAGCTACCTACCCTCTAGCCCTTAATCTGCTTAATAAAGTGCCTTAACTAGGCTATACTAATATTATTTATAGTCTAGCTATTATTACTAACCCTAATACACTATTAAGACCTTAAATTAGAGTACTAGGATGCGTTATAGTTCTTTACTTTAAAGATAAGGTAGGGTATAATTACCTAGCCTATCGCGTTAATTATAGCAATAAAAGTTACCTACTTACAGTCTCCCTATTGCAACCTAATAGGCTTAGTATATCTCTCTAATATAGTAACTACTTTAACATAGTTTCTAATGCCTATAGTAAAGCTATTCTTATTAAAGTTATAAGTATCTTTATCTAGGATGCTGTACTTAGCCTTAATATTCTAAACTAGGTTAAACTAGGGCCTAATAGCCCCTAGATTGCTGCATAGGACTCTCTAGCGATCCCTCTGTTAAGTTATACGCAATTTAAGCCTAGGCTCACGTTTAACAAAGTTTAAAGCCTAATAGACGCTAATAGGCTTTACACTATATATAGCGCGTAGTTAATTAGCTATATCTTTAATATAATAGAGTGTTAGGGCAAATCCTTAGGTGTCAAGCTTCCTAATATACTGCATAAGTGCCCTCTCTTCTGTTTTCTATAGGTTTAATGATTTGGGTTAGGTATCGCGTGTTAACTGCCTCCCAGCGCATTGGCTGCAGAGAGTTGCCTTAGAGACCATATAGACTGTAGCAGCGCGTCACACGCTTAGCTCTTAAGGCTTCTTAATTGCTTGAAGTGCAAGCTTAATTCTGTCATCTTTTGAGAGCAATTTAAGGTCAGGTGGTTAGTCCATTGAGCTTTAAAGGCAGGAGGGCCCAATAGTTTGTTAGGGTGCGTCACTCGCTTGTGTGCGTCACTCGCTTATACTCTACGTTATATTAGTAGAGGTAAATATATACATAAAGTAACTATAACAATTAATTATATAAGATACCTAAGCTCTATCTTTTATACACTTAGAGTTATTAGGAAGTTTGCTAAAAATAACCCCTGTATTTGAAGGCGTGAATTTCTTCGGCTTTATAGTTATAGCCTCTTGGGAATCGCTTCGTTGTTTGACTGTGCTCTATTCTCGTTCTGTGTATGCCGGTCTCTGGTCAAATATATCAGTATAAGTTTCTGGTGTGCAGAGTGCAGTGTTATAACTCGGGACTCGGTCAAGGCACAAGGGTTCAGTGAGAAAGGCTTGACTATAGGCAAAGACTTAGTGACAAAACATACGTTTCGCGGATACCATACATACTCAGACCATTATGTGAGCTCAACAGGACGCATGAAGTGTAGAGGCCGTGTCGTACAAAGTAACAGGTGGCAGTCGAATTCCTGTTGGCGCCCAACCTGACGCCCTTGACCACCAACCGTTCGTACCACAAGACCCGGGCGAAATATTGGGTCAGTGTAATGATCTCCAAACATAGGAGGAGCAGCTAAAGCTTCCTCCATGGTGTCAGTGTCCCATTGTTGACCAGGCGGTCGTCCACTTAAGGAAGCGACGTTATCCGTGTCGAATATGATATCATAGGGAAAGAAGAGATGATATAGGAATCGGAGTGAGATCTGTGGTGATCAGCTGAGTGAAATTATGGACTACGACAAACTGATTTACCTTTTAGACCGCTCCAAGGTTGTTGCGTATGTGCAGCTCCATCTCAAGGTTGTGCCTAATACGGATTCGATCTTAAGCAACTGATTGCCTACAAACTCTTAAAGATTGTGGCAACAGTACTTCAATCTTGAATCTATGCTCGCCGGAGGCATTGTAGAGATCGCTCAGAATCAAAGTAGGGTTGTTCGCCAAGCTTGCCTTGACTTGCGAAACAACCAAATTGGTACAATGAAAAAGATCGCGATTCTTCGTGCAAGCTTTCAAGTACATCTGTTCATGAAATCGCACTACTATGCGTTCAACGCTAACGCTTTTCTCTAGTGGCGGAAATTCGAAGTGAACTGCAAGAGATTGCCCCCAATGGTGATATTGTGGCGGTGCAGTAACTTGGTAATAAAGCTTGTTTTTCCAAACACTAGACTCAAACTACATGTTTTAGTAACAACAATATTTCAGATAGATCTTTCAACGTTACCTGGTTCAACTCTAGTAGATCCAGCACCTTATTCTCCCTTGTCCGCATGACCTTTATTTGTGTAGTTGTGTTAAGATTCCTTGACAAATAACCGGCAGTGACTACTATAGCCTTTACACAATATATTACACGAATATCTCCCAACCCATTGACAGACTCAGGAGGATGTGGACCGAGTTCAAACACAAAAGGCCAAACATAGTTTCTAGGGCTGACAGAGAATAGTCGCAGAGCGCTTGATGATGTTAATAATGCACATAAACGTATTCGCTTCAACATAAAAACATGTTTGCTCTTAATATGCTAATGATTCATTATATTAGTGTACCACCTGTTTTGCTCAGCACTTGTGTTAAATATGTAAAGACTATCAGTGAATACCTATAACACTCGACTACTTCCCTCAAGTAACATTGTTATCTCTTTTACTTGAAAGTTGCAGTCGTTTATTAACACTACCCTTCCACGCACCTGAAGGCTTCCGTCATAGGAATCTCTAGGATAAATAGAATCGTGAACAATAGGCGTATCTAGCCTGATATCAAGTTTTCTGAATGTGGTGTCCAGCTTGAAGGCTCTCAAAACAGTTGGCATGGTAGTGCTCTGCAGACCCAAAGAGAAGATCATAAGCGTCAATGGTCTTCTTAGTGCACAGTATAGTCAGGATATAGCAGTTTCTATAGCAAAGAGCGTAGTTGTAGTCTACTGTGAGACTAATACTGTCTTGGTCAATTATAAAGTAGAGTTGCAGCAGCCCTAAATTTATTTGTTAGCTTACATATTTGTTATATGTATATGCAGGAGCATGTTGTGCTAGTGACAGGGATTGTGGTTTAGAGTAGAAGTTGTCCGCGGGGCGACTCCTTCCAGCTAACTGGTTGCACTAGTTAGCAGGATGTGGTTAGTGCCCGCATTAGCGGTGCGGGTCAATCCTAGCGGTGGAGAATCATGCCGAGGGCTTGATTAGCACGCATATTTTCTTAGAGACTATAACGTACCGCCTCTATTAGTCAAGCACTGCAGTTAAGACAGAATGGCTATACTAGAAGCAGTTACATTGCAGCCTAAACATCTAACCCCTATAAATCCATTTAAAGTATCAGTGAGAAAGGTAGTGGGATATCCGCGCTATATTTTTAAATCACTCGTCTATTCTTTTCGGTTTATTAGCTAATGCTACGCCTATCTGCGCACATCTGTAGGTTAACAATCCACAAGATCCAAGCAAGATTTTATAATGGTAGCGCATTGACTGTATCGATTCTCTTCCAGGAGTTAATACATAACCTCTCTCAAAAGCAGACCAGTTTGACAGCCTGCTCCAAGCTTATCGTCTCAGTTTCATTGCTTTTCACTAATATTTCTCCAGGCCTAGTCAAAACCACAAAGCCAGGAGATGTGTAGAATCTTCGAGATGAAGAATCCAACATGCTTGGCAGCATTCGCTGCAGGCTCCTTTGCTATAGCCAAGATAGGCAACTACCAAAGCATTCCTGATCAAGCTCAGCTTATCAACCAGCTTGATATCGCCAGGGCGCATAATGTGCTGAGTCCAAGCTTAGCCAACTGGTCGACGGTAAGATGCACAATTAAGAACAAAAGCGTCGCACTGAAGTACACTATAGGTTTTCCTTCCTCCAGGAAGCACCTACAAGTCACTACGCGCAAAGCCTTTTCACGTTTACAACAAAGATTTCCTATCCATCATTGGTGAAAATCCGACTTTGACCTTGGTCCATGAGACGAATAGCGATCCCATCTTTCACAAGGCGGCGACATGGTATGTCCCAACGCATACGATCTCCTCTAAACGCCCTGCGCTGTCAGCTAAGCAATCTCATCTGCGCAGGTACCCAGACCAAGACAAAATATTCTTCAGCCAAAACGCAGGTGCGCTTGCAGCTAGGACTAGACTGAACAAATCTTCAGTTATACAAAAAATATCAATAGAGGAAGCTGCCACAGCTGCTAAACGTGGCAGCGCGCCTAATGTGAATGTAACCATCATCGGCAAATACCCCAAGGTTATCAACCCAAACAGTAAGTCTCTGAAATCTGGATACAGCGTACTGCAGCGTGCAATTCTAACCCGGTCTAGTCGCATCTAGGTGCTGTTAACTTTAGAGGCCAGATAGTTTAGGTTAGACAGGGCATAGGAGAGGACATTGGCCCTGCGATCTTAATCGTGAACCCAGAGGCGCCTTACAATGCGACAGGTCTATACCTCTATATTCCATGACATACCGTTTCCGAGATCCCGCTGAGACAAAACGCGGATGCAGTCATCCTTACCAGCTTCTACGGCCGACAATTCAACTCCATTAATAACGTTATGGTTCACCCCAAAAACAGTGAACTTTACTTTACCGACACCACCTACGCCTATCTACAATACTTCCAACCTCCTCCAGCTTTGCCAAATCAAGTTTATCGGTTCAACCCAGACACGGGAGCACTGACCGTGGTAGCGGATAACTTTGTAGGTCAACCAAACAGTAGGCTAATGAGCATTGAATGGTAAAATATAGTCGCTGAATTGAACAACATCAGGTATCACATTCTCTCCTGACAGTAACAAAGCCTATGTTGCCAACTCTAGTACTGATCTTGCTTTAATAGGAGTTAACTAGACTACACCGGCTACTATGTAAGTATGAGGATCAGGTTACTAGAAGAGAAGAGGGCCTGTTAGCTTTGTCTTTATTTCTCTACTGCTTTTTAACTCAGTATCAAGGCTAAGCAAGCTTCTCCAGCTACCAGTAGGATGTCCAGCTAGACAGCACTTTTGATAATCGCAAGGTATTCACTATAGTGCACCAAGGCATCCCTGACAGTAAGAAGAAGCTAGATGCGTGCTGAAGCTAAGATAGCCCATGCTAACAGCGCATTCTTGCTCTGCAGGTCTCCACTGCAACCACAACAGCAATCTCTACGTCAGTAATGCCGAGGGGGTCATAGTGTACAACCCTTCAGGCAAGTTGCTAGGTAAAATCTACACTAGCGTGACTTCAGCCAACTTCATGTTTGCTTATGGTGGCCGCCTGGTTATCTTGTCTAAGACGAAATTGTGGTACGCCACAATTGCAGCAGAAGGTGGCGAACCAGTCCACAGCATTTGTTAGAGCAGGGACCTTTAGATGGTAAGAGAGGTTGAGGACAAAAGACGTAGCATTCAATAGTGTCTTGCACAGTCTGCTCAACCTGGCAAATCGAAACGTACACAATGCGACACCGCTTGCATCACCCTAGCATGTGAGTTGGCACCGATCTAGTGCCTAGCCGCTCAAAGAAGCTCCTATGCGCAGTTGGGATACTTACCCCGCGCCCAATGGTGGCTGGCTACTGTAGATTTGACCTTGGCTACCGGGTACTAAGGGGGAGCATGACGTTTGCAGCTAATCGAGTTGTTGCTAGTAGACGTGTCCGCCCTGCATGCGCACGTAACTATCTCGCTTCTGTTACGTGAGCGCCCTGAGGCCATCTTTCGCCCGCCTACATTCTGCGTTGCGCTCCATTTCACACCGCATCCGCCACCGCACGTCTTCCAGCGGCTTCACCCCTAAGCCATGCCTGAGATCCCTTCTGTGCAGGACATTGCGGAATTAGGCTTGCTAAGTTCAAGGCCTTACTGATCCAAAAAACATCCTCCGTCCGTGCCTTTGTCTGTCTACTTTCTGCATGTGCTAAGCTATTCATTATAGGTGTGATTGCTGCAGGCAACATCGCGTCGCATGCATCGTTGATATTAATCAAAGAGAGTGCACCTTGTGTCAACATCGCAGTATGTTATATACCTTCAAGTCGGCGCCTCCTGTGAAGAGACCAAAGCAACAGCCGCTTCGTCCGTTACAGTCTATCCAGTAGTCGCAATCGCAGCAAGCGCTTCAATCGCCTCGAATTTGCCTCAACAAGACCGCTACTCTGCCTCCGTCGGCCTCTTTAGATTCTCCAACGATCTTAAGTGCTCCTGCTACCTTAGACGTTGCCACACCCCTAAGTAGTCCTGCAGCCAAACAGTCCGCGCAAGAACGAGGCTTCGGTAGACATAACTCTTACCAAACCACTATAGATCCCAACCGCACCGTCTTATACGTTGGTAATAGCAGCAATCAGGATGTCTATCTTTTGAGGCATCTCCTGTTTGAGCGCAGCAATTAATTTAGCAGCACCAACTGGCAGGTGCTGAAAGTGTACGCTGACAAGGTCTTACCCGCCTACTTTACTGTATAACATTTCAGTGCTTCACAATATTGATGTTGCTAACATACTATATAGTCATATCTAAATGCGCTTCTTAATCGCGCTGAAGACGTGAACACGCTTGAGGAGGTTGATAGAATCATAGAGCCCTTCCAACAAGATTTGGTCGACTTATACTACCGCTACGTACACCCAAGTCTTCCTATACTAGAGGGTTAATCTGCTCTTGAGGCTACTATCTATGCAGGTTCTGTGCCTTCTACGCTCTTGGGGGCCATATATTACGCGGCAGCCTGCTACTAGCACCTGTCTTCTGCTTTACAGGATTTTGAACCCATCTCAAGAGACTGTCTTTACAAGCTTTTGTACAGAGCATTAACTCTGGAAGCGAGAACGCCATCTCTACAGACAATCCAAGCCCTACTGCTCCTTCTACAAGCTCCACCTATTCGCGTTCGTGAGCCAAATTATCCTAGATTCTAGTCCCTGACCTGCCAGGTATGTGGCCTTTCTCTGTCACATAGTTCCTGCGCAGATTATGTCCGCTTTAGCTGCTCTTCTCCTCAAGGAAGTCTTACTAATGTACCCACAGCTTATGGCGCTCGCCTAGGAGGTTGGGATTCATGTAGAGCCAACAAGCTGGAATATTTCACAGTACGAGAGAAAATCGCGCCAGATCCTGTGGTAGGCAGTGTATATGCAAGACAAATAGTAAGCGCAAAACCTGAGCACAGCACCCTGATTTACTCTTTAATCAGGACTGACGTGCAGATTCCTAGGCTAGCTCATTGGCTAGGACGACCTAGTTATATAGATAACAACCAGTATAGTGTTTTGCCGCTTATTACCAAAGATTTCACGCCTGGAAGCTACCTATCAGAGGATCACGTGCGAGCCTTCGTCAGACTTTATGCAATAGCTCCAGTGCTAGCCAAGGTCCTTAATATGTTTTACACAATTGAAACAAACCCGTGCGCAATGTCCCCACAGGAAGCACTGACTCGTGCTACCGCTTGCTAAGTCGAGCTAAGCAACTGTGCCGCGCAGCAGGGGATAGATCTGCTTCGCCCAGGCCAAGTGATTAATAGTTAGTAAATCAAGACAATCGAGCCGGACTATATTATAAAATGCGTGTTAACCTCCTAACCTAGATTACGCCTTTGTCTTTGCGTATTATGGCATTGCCCTCTCAATCCAACGCGCAGTCTTTGCTTGCGTAGGAGGTACATCGTACTATAACCTCCATAGAGAAGAGGTCTTGTTCAAAGACTTATTCCAGGTCCTGGAAGACCTTCTTGGACAGAACCATAACGGACTTTAGCTGAGCTGTAAGTCTGTCGCATCATAACGCTAAGTATCGCTTTGTTCTTGCTTAAACAGCTACTAATCTTGAATTTTCAGATTGCAAGTCAAGCATAGCCACTATAGGAAGCTTCATCATTACAGCACTCCTTTCTAGTATCAATGACGATATATATCAGACTTGAAAATCTATTCTAGACACTTATCGTAGTATAATATCTTAGCTTGCTAATCGGTTCAAATTTGCAGCTCTTCCTATATTACGCCTGAACTTACTTCTAGATCGTTTCTCTAGGAATGATTTGCTAGGGGAAAGCCCCTAGAACTATTTGGATAGGATGCTGTTTACCTAAGATAAGGGGTTAGTTCTAACTGCAGGTGAGAGGAAAACGTACATAAGCACACTTAATAAGACTGAGTTCAGGATACCTTACCGTTTTTATGTTACTCGCAGCATATCGCACGCATTGACTGATTCCTTAGTCAATGTTTCTTTGCAAACTTAGAAGATGATTTGCTCTAGCCTATAAATGCCTCTGGTTCTGTAACACTCTAGATCATGCCTAAAAGAAAATTATGATTTAAGAGAATAAAACACCGAGGTGCCGATCAGGATCGAAAGTTGCGTGCATCTCCAACGTGGGCTTGGACAATGCCAAGTGCTTCTAGACACATATGGCTTACCATCGATCTATAACTTTGACAACAATAGTTAAGTCGTTAATACTAATAAAAAGCAACATGCGGTTGCATAGACGTGGCGAGCACAACTTACCTCCATTTGTCTAGACGGTTTAATTAACCAATCACAAAGTAGATGCAGCAGTGAATCCCTATCATGAGATTGTTTCAAGTTATAAGGCACTGTACTAAGCTAGCCCGCCTGAGCTCTGACTAGATATTTAGCAGGGAGAAAGTTGCTACGTCTAAGCTATACTAAGGTAGTACTATCCAAAAGTAAGCGGGGCGTTTAAGCTGTCTGCACTCTACGCGCGATACAATCCAACCGAAGATTCGCCTTCCCTATCTCTTAGCGCGCTGCTCGAAGTCGCCCTATAGGCAAGATATGAGATGACATAGGGAGGAAACTGTAAAGGCTGTGATAGTATTGTGGACTTGTTTTTAATCGCGTATAGAGCGGGGAAGGAAACCGTTTTTAACAATTAAAACCTTCCGCGAGTTCCCTTATTTATACTTTTTATTGATCTAACAACAGGCAATTTATATTAAAATAAGTCTCTATCAGTTCAAGCATGTCTAGGACAACTATCTATAAGCAAAGATTCACCTAATCCATTCTCTGAATCCAAAACAGTGCAACTTTAAACGCTAATTCGCTCTATATATTATGCAGCTGCCTACTCTTAGAAGAGAGATTCTCGAAGCTTAAGAAGTCTATCATTAGGCTAGAGCATAAAGAACAGCTTATTGAGTCGTACAGGCAGCTTACCAAGGCTTTGAGAGCTGAGACTAAGAGGATCAGTCGCCTAGGCCCAAAGTCAATCCCTGAGATTAATTTCACGGACATTAAGGCCAATAGCGGTCGTTTGCCTGCTAGACTTGCTAACACTGTCCGTTAGACAGGGTGCGTTATTATTCGTAGTGTCGTTCTAGAGGCAGAAGCCACTGCATAGGAGCAAGAGCTTAAGACATACACCAAGAAACACCTAGACGTTGCTAGTTTTCCAAAGGGTAATCCTCAGAACTTCAGCCTATTTTGGACGCGACCCCAAGTCTAGATTCGGAGCTATCCAAGGGTTATGAAAGCTATGAACTCCATAAGTCAACTCTGGCATCTTAGCCACAATAACAGATTGTTCGACATGGCTAGTTAGGTAGTTTATGCCGACAGGTTTAGGATTCGACATCCTTCTTTAGGTATGCAGTTAGACAGGCCTGTAATTCGCTCTTCTAAATCTCATATTAACAATAACAGAGTCCAAGTACACCTTAAATGCTTATCAAGACAGTGGTGCTATAGAGCGCTAGGAGGACCCTGAGTACTGCGCGTGTTATCGAGATATATTCAAGGGGCGATGGCCTGACTACGACCCGTAGAGTGCTGACCACCGTTCCAACGCGAGAACAGACCTATATTTGACAGGGAGTAAGTGAACCAGCTCCTGCTAATACTATTACATTGTACTTACTATATATAGGTAGTGTCTTGCTCTGCGTTCCGCTCTTTCCAGGGTTAGATGAGTCTTTCTTACACTAGGACCAGAGAAGGGACTCTGCGCCTCGTCCCCAAGCTCAAGCTATCTACAGCGTACCAGCTTCTTTGCCCGTATTTCATACTAGGCGAAGAGTTTAATAACACAACGCCTCTATTTCCAGGCGCTACCCCTGGCTCGCTATAATTTTTTCCAACAAAGGAGTTATACCCTCATCTACTGATGGAGAAGAGCATGATAGGCATACCTCCAGTTAAACCAGGAGATTATGTGCTCTGGCATTGCGACGTAGTGCACGAGGTGGACAAGTTTCACCTAGGAAGCCTCGACTCTTCAGTTAGCTACAACAGATGCGTCCTACTCTGTCCCTACAATATTAACAACTTATTGGAAATGCAAAAATGTTTTCTAGAAGTTGGCATCCTAAGGGATTTCAGCGAGTATGAGCACGGCAAGTTAGAGAGCGAGCATCCAGACAATGGAGCGAAGCTTAAGAATGTCCTGTCACTCGAAGGCCTCAGGGCGCTCGGTCTAGAGCCTTTTGATGAACACGAGGAGGGAATTTCCAACGGTCAGCGCGACGTGAGGAGGTTAGCAAATGAGAAGCTTGGTTACACAAGTGTCTAAGCATAGAGTTAATCATCAATGGCAGCTGATACCAATATATAAAACAATTTAAATTGATGCTTCACTAAGGTCCTTGCTATAAACTTGTTGTGAATTTCGGTACATAAGACATCCTATTTAACATTGGACATAAATTGGTAATCTGGTTCATGAACAGGGGCTATCGCCTATGGTTCACGTTGCTTAAGCCACATAGGCTGCGGCTCAGGCCATTTCTACAGAAGATTAGCTTACAACGAAATCTTGATAGAACAGGACCTGCTGTTAATTGTCGCCATCACCTTCTTTGAATGAGTGGTCTTTTCAGAAACTGGTTTTGTGGCTGTGCTTATTGAGTGCATCTACTAGGATATTACTTAATATTATCTATTCCTCTCGTGCAGATATTTAAAGGATTGATTTGATTACGCGCTGTTATATAGAACCTGAATTAAACTAAAACAAACGATCCTTCAAGAATTTAAACTACTGGTTAGAGCCTTAACTTCCTTAAGAATACCTATCAACTTCTCTTCTCGAAGCCTCTGACACACCACTTGTATACCAACTAGAGAATCCTTGTATTCATGCAGACCCTTATACAAATGCTTTATTTCTTTGTCTCCCCAATCGTAAGGAAATCTCGTTTTCTTAATTCTTAGATATGCCTCACTCTTATACCACTCGCTTGAGGCAACGTCGAGGTCCAAGTCAACTCTTGTCACCGGTACGCTACCTGTGACGTAGTCGAGCATATTATAAATACTCAAGTATGCATTAGACACGTAAGTTCCATGGGGAGGAGCTGGATAGGCAACCGCAGGTGAGATGATGGCGTCGAGGCGCAATTGAGTCCAGAGATTGTTGTAACGTTGAGCAACCTCCCTACGGACCACATGGTTAGCGAATATCTCAGGCGTTATTAGGAACGAAGCGGGTGATCTAGTTGCTGTTCGTGGCACTACTGGTTCGCCAGAGGCATTAATGTGTTCCATAACCAGATACCCACCTGACTGGACATTCGACTTCATGACGGAGCTTGTGCCAAGGCGGTGCAGTTCTTTTATCTCATTCTCAGGAAGGTCGATCAGCCTATGACCAGCCTTCCTTAGAGTGGCAGTGATTTCTGCAACGGCACGCTAAGAAATAGTCAGTGTTCCGTCTATTATTTGACAGGTCCTTCAAAGTTATTATACAGTTACTGGTAGAGTAGGCTTGACTACACCGTTATCCTAGACAATGCCGATTCTAAGCCGCTAAATCGGCCGTTGTGCTTGTTTCCAATCCCATGGCATAGGGATGCAGCTATAATCTGAATCCCAAGGCGCAACCCGGAGTTGAGCTTAAAGCTAAAGCTCCAGAGACGAGACAGTCCGTGCTATAGGTCCGAGACCTGTATTGGTTGACTCGTTCCTATCAGCCGGAGTCATTAGTCCTGTTATAGGAAGACGTCCTTTCGAACATTTGACTGCCCCTTTATATAACAGTTAACTTATGCTTGATAGCAACCTTTGTAAATATGCGCCAACTGCTAGAAGGAAAAGATACACTTACAAAGTCCGCAAAATTCCGAAGGAAATCGAATACTGCCCCCTCTGTCTGTTCCTGAAGCCATGATTGCACCACAAGCAGCCACTAGAGCAGCCTCACCACCACTAGAGCCGCCAACAGAAAGTGCAAGGTTGTGCGGGTTTTTAGTGGTTCTAAAAACATTGTTGACAGTCTCAACCATAAGACACGCCTGCAATATATTTGTCTTGACGTATAAGACAGCGCCAGCATCTAGTAAGGCGTCCACTACCGCGCTGTTTTCGTCTGGGATATTAGGGATCCAAGAGACTAGACTACACGTTGTAGAAATGCCTTTAATGTTAAAGACATCCTAGAAGTTTTGTGTCAACGAGACTAAGTATCTATCCCTCTCTTAAGGTCTTTGCTTAGACTTACTTTGACAGAGACCGGCAGCCCATGCAGTATGCCTGCAGGTTTGCCTTCTTTTTAGAAATAGTTGTCAAGCCAGCGTGCTCGCTCAAGGGCATTATTATACAGGATCTCAGTAAGACAGTTCGTGAGCTGATGTGCAATGCTGGCATGTTGGCAGAAGGCCTCTGTCACCTGTACTGCGGTGTACTTATAAGATATGATACCCTTGATAAGAATAGCAGCATCATTCGTTCCTGTGATCTCCAAATCCAGGGGGGACAGAATGCTACAGGAGAGCACGCTCTCGTCAAGGGGTAATAGTTCGTCTCTGCTCACTTTGTCGGCAAGATGAGGCAGTAACCGATGATTTTGGGGGATCGAAGCGTGCAATAGCTGCCGCTTTTCAGCGGCAGTACGCTCCCAATTTTCCGTCTTGTACGGTAAACTCATGATAGAAGAATATAAGGAAGCAGGTGAAATAACGTGGCTCTGAAAGCCGTAGCAAATTGGAAGGCTGTTATCGAACAGGGGTTCTCTTATAGGCAGACGTATTTCAGCGTTACATAGTGTCGCAAGCCAAGCGCTATTATAAACCTAAATAGTGTTAGTAATCGTGTCGTGCAAGAGTCTAGATATAAGCTGACCTACAATGCTAGAACAATATAATATACACAATCTTCTTATTATCCCAGAACTGCAACCCCCACACCCAGCCGTGCGACACGTAGATATTGCTGGACTTGGACTATGCTGGTTAAACCTCTTGCCTGCGGGCCATCTAACAATGCTACTCGTGAATTAGTTAGTCTTTCAAGTTTGCGCCCAGAAGAGATCTAACGTCCCTTGCAACGCTTATCTTCGCCTAAACATATAATCCTCTGCTATAATAAATGGGAGGTGCCGTACTGTTTAGACTGAGATCACTTCGTTCAAGCTCTTCAAAAAATAGAGACAATCTATTGCGTTCCTAACATTATATCAAGGGATCTTGAGCACAGACAAAGAGTAACGTAATAGCTTCAAGAGAGAACAGAACAACCTTGTAGGAGATCTTGGGAAGGTAACTTGCTGCACAGGACGTTTTCTGATATCACATAATGGCCATGCTATATTAAAGTTGCATTAATTGAGGATGTAGAGCCTATGGACGCGTGCGAAGAAATACATTTGATGGAAGCTTGCGATCCTCAAACTCGTCATCCACCATGTATTCAATATTAGCAACCTCCAAGAAACCGAGACGTTTATAGACAGAGCAACCCATAGTGGACGCCTCTGTGACGAGCTTAACATCGCCCTCACGCTTCGCCTTATTAAGCCCCCACTCTACAAGCATACTAGCAATCCCTCAACGTTGGAAGTCAGGATCTAGAGCACAAATATCCAAGATGAAGACAGATTTCTGGCTTAAGCTAGGAGAGGCTTTCTCCTCTAAAACGTGCCGGCGGTGTGCCTACATGGTCCCAACAACCTGCGTCAAGAATCTCGTTTCCCTCTCGTTCCCAGGATACAAAGAGGTGAAGTCTAGGCAATCAGGGACTTGACCATAGCCATAGACTAGAGATGCATTCATCCAAATAGCCACGCCTACAATATGTTAGCCGCTGCTATTCATCGACACGCTGGCCTTAAGAAAGTGCGTGTAGCCTTCGTCTTTAGTAGTCCACCATCGATCAACCAGCCAAGAAACTCCCTGCACCGTGCCCTCGGGTGTGTCCCAGCATAGGTTGGCGGCTGTCCAGATTCCATCTGCAGTCTGATGACCGAAAGCCTTTGCGCAGATATTAAAGAAGGCTACAAAATCGTCGGGATGGGTGATAGGTTTAACGGTGACATTATCTGAGGCAATTATGTCGGCATTCATTGTGACGGACACGATTGAAGGGAGTAGGGAGCAAGAAGGTGGACATTCCAACAGGTACAAGGATATCTGTAGTTATATGTAGCTGCAACACGGGTTTGGCTAGGGTCGAGGTATTACAGACATCACGCTAATATATCAGGGGGTTCTAGATTGTAGGGATAAGAAGCAGGCTTTGTTTGCTATCTAACAGAGCGATGCAACAGCAGGATCGAGATTAATAGGCAACTTAGACAGTTATTGCGTAAATTATAGAGTCTGCTTATAACCTGTTAAACAATATTTCTAACATTTTAACTGGTTCAACACAGTTTTTCTTTCTTCTAGTTCTACATTTATCACAAACTACCATGTGAAGTCGCTAGGTAGAGCCTGGAGTGCCCGCGCTTGTGCACTAAACTTGCTTTGCCCGCAGGGGAACTCTTAGTCCATCATGTGGCCACGCCAACAACAGAATACACCTTTGCAGCTGCCGCTAAAATTAAGCCAATACTAACGTGTCACCGTTAGCTTAACAACAAGTCATCTGCAAAAACCTTTAAGGGTCTTCTAGTACAAGCGCACCCTGCATTCATTTGGTCTTATAGGTACTTCGTTGCCTTTTCTTTAAAGGCTGTTGCTCTTTCATCCAAGTCAAATACACATTCACTCACGCGACTCTAACAACTCTCATCTGCTAGCACACCCAGGAAGCTGTTACAACCCAACAACACCACGTGCTCAAGATTTTATAGTGTTAACAATGACTTTGTTATAGCAAGCAAAAGTAGCAGACAAGAAAAAACGCCTCAACACAACTATTCCAACAGCATAGCAAATTGAGACAGACTGCAAAGATGTCTCAGTTATAGACTAGCCTAGAACGTGGAGCGTAATAAGTGCAAGTAAGCTTGCAATCACAGAGTCTACTGCTATATATTTAGTGCAGAAGTTAGCAGCAGGCAAGCTGTCATCCGTTTCTATAACAACAACGTTCTGCAAGAGAGCCGCACTAGCACATTAGTTAGTAAGTCTTAGGGGGGATTTTCTATCTACCAGTCGCTATACCCATGCTAACAGGCGAAATAGCTGAACTGTTCGCTCAAGTTCTTCCCTAAGTTGGCACTGAAGCGTGCTAGGGAACTCGATGTTTACTTCAAGGTAAACAAGTGCACTGTAGGCCCTCTCTATGGCCTTCTAGTTTCACTTAAAGATCAATTTCGTATTTAAGTGAGCATATCTCCTCAGATTCCACGCTCTTGCGCCTAATCACGATTTATGGTGGTGGTGCCAATCTTAAGCTTCGGGCAAATCGCAGTACAAAACAGAATAAGACTGAAGCTAACAGGGTCTTGAAACCACTATGGGCTACGTCGACTGGATTAGAAAGTATAATCAGGAGGAGTCGGTACTAGTAACTATCCTTCGTAAAGCTAGAGCAGTTTTTTATGTTAAGACCAGTGTACTACAAAGCTTGATGGTATATAAGACAGTTAATAATATTATAGGCTGGACAATAAACCCTTATAACAGGAACTGGTCTTGTGGAGGCAGTTCTAGCAGTAAGGGCGCTTTGGTTAGGTTTTATAGCGCTTTAATTAGTGTAGGGACTGACATTGGTACAATCCCTAACCGAAGATAGTGTTCTTATAGGAAGCTAACAAGGAATCCATTTCTATAGGTGGATCTATACAAGTACCTTCAGCTTTTAATTTTCTCTATAGCATTCGGCCTAGCCATGGATAACTCCTATACGCCAAGATAGCGAACAGTATAGCAGGCCAAGAAACAGTGCACAGCGTGTGCGGACCGATGGCACACAATGTTAGTAACTTGCGTCTCTTTATAACTTTAGTCCTAGCACAACAGCCCTAGCAATACAATTCCAAGGTGATCCCAATGCCTTGGCGCCCTAACAAGGAAACTATAATCAAGAGCAAAATCTCTTCTAATGACCTTATACTTGCCTTCTACATGTGTGACAGTAACATACATACTTACTAAGATACTTAAACGATATTAGTAACTAAAGCAGATAGGTTATTCCACACCTACCTATCCTGCGTAGTATGCAGCTAGTCGTTGATGCATTGAAACAGGCTGGCTATACTATTGTACCATGGAAGCCTTACAAACACCAATACGCTGTTGAGCTAATCAACAGAATCTATGCTTCAGATGGCGGGGACGTACGTATTTATTCTAGGTCTTCTACTCCTCCTTCACGTTCTTTATAAAAGCTAACACAAATTCGCAGGATGTTTATGCGACGCTTAAAGCATCAGGCGAGCCGGCAATAACCAATTTCTCCGATCTTATCGACCTAACCCTGCCCAAGCTAGACACGGATAAAATATGGGACGCGAATTTGGACAGGTGGCAGTATCAGATGGAATATTTAGACCAGATCCGTGCATTTGAAGAGGAGAATCACAGGGAGCTAGATGCAATCATCGCTCTGATCACACCAACAGCAGCTATTAGGCATGACCAGTTCAGATACTATGGATACGCAAGCGTCATCAATCTGTTAGATTTCACCAGCGTTGTGGTACCTGTTACGTTTGCCAACAAGAACGTCGATGTCAAGGATGAGAACTTCAAGCAGTTGACTAACATGGATGGTGTTATGCAGGCTGAGTGTAAGTTAGTCTCCTTCACGCAGTCGTCTATTATGCTAATCGTGAAATCTTCATAGATGATCTAGACGTGTACCACGGCGCACCAGTTGCTGTGCAAATTATAGGCCGGCGGCTTAGTAAAGAAAAGGTTTTAATGATTGCAGCAGAGGTAGGAAGGCTGCTAAGGCAGAGAACACGTGAAAAGTTGTTGAAAGACATAGACGCTGTTCGCGCGCTTCATGAGCGGCACCAGCAGGCTTAACATAATTAGCCACCCAATGCGCATGGTTACCTGATGCGCACCCTACTATCTTTTAGGGCACTACTAAGATAAGGTTATTAAGCTACACATAGTAGATAGTATTATAAGATTTTTTAGTAGAGTAATCTATAGACCTAACGTACTTTACGGGTGAGCAGATTATACGGGTAAGCGGATCACTCTGCCAAGACCACACTAAACCTCTACCTTACTACGCGATGCCTTAGCAACAACACTAATCTACGCCCTTAAGAGAAGCCGCAATACAGCTTACGCTCTAGGCAATTAAATAAGATATAACGCTTACACTACAACGCGCTGTAGCTATATATAACACACCTTATAGCATACTATACACTTAATATATAGGATAACCTATATAAGCTAATTATACGCTAAGTTAATAGAATATAGATTAGACTAAGGAGGATGTAATTGCTAAGTATATCCTTGAGCTAGATGCACAAGGATTTGCCCCTTAGCTGGCTACTATAGCTAATATAGCTAATTCTTTGTGTGCTAAGTGTAATATAGGCTATATTAGTATAAACTAGCCTAATACGTTTATTAAGCACTACTCTAACCTTAAAGTAAAGTTTAATTATAAGTACAACTATAAGAGAGCCCTCTATAAGGATCTAGAGATTATATAAGGCTAGTTTAGGCTTATAGTAGATATTAAAGCTAAGTATAGTATCTAGGATAATAATATATATAACTTTAATAAGATAGGCTTTATAATAGGCTAGATATCTATAGGAGTAGTTATTACAGGGTTAGAGCGTTAAGGATAGCTAAAGGTAGTACAGCAGGGTAACTAGGAGTAGATAATAGTTATACAGGGTATTAATAGCACAGGGTAGGCTATTCTACCCTATATTATCTTTAAAGGTTATAACCACCTCTCTACCTAGTATAAAGAGGACAACCTACCTTATAACTAGGTTATTAGAGTCTCTAAGAATAGATAGACTACTAACAAGCTTAGTCTAGACTAGTTAAAGCACTTTAATACCTATATAAAGACGTGCACCTATAGAGTACACTAGCTACTCCTTATTAATAGCTATAAGAGCTATAACTCCCTTAACTTCTAATACTACTATAAGGAAGCAAATATTATTATACTATATATACCTCTATACTTATCTTACCTCTTATAACTACTAAATATAGGTTATTTTACCCCTCTAAAGAAGGCCTATAGCTACTAAGCTAAGAATCTTATATGTAACTATATTACTTATATTACTAAAACTAAGTTCCTACTATGCTTTATAGACACCTATAAGGAGATATTTACTTCTAGCAATATCTAAGGTATAAGAATTAAACTTGTAACGACGCAGGTAATAAGATCCTCCGATACGGTTCCGATTCCACTACGAGGTGTATGGGAGCACTGGGAAAGTCGATAACTAGGGAGAATCTTATTCCTATAGGTCTTGTACGAAGAATACTTAAAAACTATCTATCCTAAGACTGCTGCAAGCCTGCCTTTTATACCTACAAGTCTCAGTTAGCTACGGATAGATAAGAAATGTCAACAGGGGTGAGTCGGGACCGAGTCGGAGGGGTGTCGGTTCTGGATGGCTACAGATATGTCTAAGACTTGATTCGGGATCGAGCCGGAGCTGAGTCGGAGGTCGTTCAAGTTAGGTAGTATCTTGTTTGTAAGATTCGAGATGTTGATGGTCGATTCTTACATCTGCCTTCTTGGCTTTAACACGGTCTCTCTCTTCCTTCTCCCTCACCTGCTGCTTACGCTTCTCCTAAGCTAGTTGCTTTTTATATAGCTTATTTGCGTGCCTAAGTTTAGCTATCTCTACTTTTCTAGCCTCTTCTACCTTAGCTTCTTGTTATTTTACCTGCTTATACTAACGTGCTTTATCAACCCTATAAGGAGAGTAAAATACTGCTCTACTATAATAGTCCTCAGGTTCCTAGAAGTTAAGAACTTTGCTCTTCTTCTTATGCTTCTTCTAAGTCTTAAGAACCTCTTTTAGGCCTGCTATCTTATGGTAGAGTAGCTAGTTTTAGACTGAGATGTGGTGGAGCGAGCAGCTAATCTTCTTCAACTCCTTACTACTCTTATCCTTAGCAACCTTGCGCAGTAGAGTCTCTATTTTTAGCTAATCTTTGCTAGAATAAGTTAAAGAAGAGCTTCTGCTAGCATTAGAGGCCTAGGGAGAAGGCTTAGCAAAGCGGTAAAGGATGACGTTAGGTTGGAGGGGTGCTATACCTGTTGCCTCAAAAGACTTGAGTATCAACTCCTAAGTAAACGTGCTTATCCAGGCTTTCTAGAATAGGTGGAAGAAGTCGCTCTTCTTGATTACTAATAGTCCCTAGCTATTATAAAGGTATGTTATAAGCTCCTTTAAGTATATAGTTAAGAGAGGCTTAAATATTACTATATCTAGTAGCTGCAGCGTGTAGGTTGAGTAAGGAGGAAGGATAGCTAGCAGTATCTTATTCTAATTATAGTAGTTAATAAAGTCTATAGTTATATAGGATCTATAGCTGTTAAGGATCAGGAGGCGCTACTTCCTCTACGCCTTAGTCTTGGTAAAGCAATTAAACACCTGTTAAAGCCAGGCAAGGCCTATATCGTTGTTGGTCCAGCTAGTAGGTGATAAGGAAATAAGTATGTTATGTACCCCTAGCTATACTTCCTCTACCTAGCTTAATTAGATAGTACTGTTAGCAGACTTATAGAGGATGCCTAGCAGCAGTGCAGTCCTATTACTATATACATAAGCTAGCAGCGTAACCTAGGCCCTATTACTATCTTAAAGTAATGCTTTAACCTCCCCCTTCTCCTACATCTGCCTACTAAACACGTGTTTTGTCCTAGTAGTGATCCTAATTATAAACCCCTTTTTATCTATATTATATGTGTAGCAGCTCTTAACCTTATACTTAGTAACCTTGCATTATAGTAGGTTGAAGTATAGCTTATACTTTATATATAAATTAGCGTTGTAGCAATTAGCGTCTATACCTATTAAGTATTAAGAGATAAGATAGATAGAGTAGTTGTTAATAAACTAAGTAACCTAGCTCTTGCTTACACGCTCCTTAGCTACAGAAGACGCGAAATTCTGTATCATCTCCCTTATAGGTGGTATAGAATGAGCAGTAAGCTCTCCTATATAAGTTACAAGCTCCTCCTCTTATTATAGAGTGAGCTTTTGCTGTGCAATAGCCTTCTCATTACGCAACCGCGTCTCACCCCTCCACGTGCGCGTCAACGTTAACCACACAACACCATGCTTTTCAGCTATTTTAGACCACGGGATCTCATCTTCAGATGCAAAAGTATCACACTCTAAAAGGGCTTCTTCTAATCCCATCGCGTTATGTTGTTATAGAGGTAAGATAATAGGGGTGTTTTGGTGGTTCGGCGCATCACGCGAATCCGCGCATCACGCGCACGGACACGGTACAAATCCTTGAATGTTACCTCGGTAATGCGTCCCAACATTATAACACATGCACTTCGGTAAACCCAATACAGCGTAGATCTGTATCTGTGTAAAGATATTATCCTGTGCAGACTGCTTACTATTTGCACTGCAGAACAAGCATCAATAAGCAGAGCAGGCTTTGCGTCACAGAGCTGTGCTTCCCTGACGCAGTTTTCCGGGCCTTAAAGCACCATATAGGACCGGCCAAAGAGTAAAATAATTCGCTTCTCTATCTTTCCTCAGTCAGCCCTCTGCTTGTACGACACGAGCGTTGTCAATTCCATGGTCTATAGCTATGGCTCTCCGACAAAATCTGATTGTTGTCCTCGGTGTTACAGGAACGCAGGTGATTAAGATCTCTCCACGACCAAGTGGGCAGGTGCTGACATTACGAAGGGCTCGTCGGTCGCGGCAACATTCCTGAGCCTTGGAGACTGGAAAGTTCGTGGCGTCACTCGCAATCCAGAGTCCGAGTCCGCCAAAAGTCAAACCGCTAAAGGCGTCGAGCTTGTCAAAGGCGACCTGGATGACAAAGAATCTCTTAGGGCAGCATTCGTTGGTGCTACAGCAATCTTTCTCGCTACCGATTTCTGGACCATCTTCAAGCAGAAAGAGACCCACGAAAAGGCAGCGGCAACTGGAACGTTTCTGCCCATCCTTTGCCATCAGCAAGAGGTACAGCAAGGATTGAATGCTGTGGAGGCCGCTTCAGACCCCAGGGTCCTTCAGTCTCTGAAGAGATTCGTCTTCTCGACGTTGACCCCAATCACGAAGCTTAGTGGCGGCAAATACACTCACGTGTACCACTTTGACTCCAAGGCAAAAATCGAAGAACACATTCGCAACAATGTTCCAGAGCTCGCAGAAATACTTGGCACTTTTGTCATGGGTGTCTTTACTGAGAACTGGAAGGCACCAGGCTTTCTTTCGCCTCAAAAGCAGGCAGACGGTAGCTGGATCATCAATGACCCTCAGCTCCCAGGACCGCCAGAATTCAGTCCTATTCCGTGGGTTGTAGCTTCGAGAGATACTGGAAAGTTTGTGAAAGCTCCAGTCATTGATCAAGAGCCGGGCACACGTATCTATGGGGTAAGTGAATTCAAGACTAGAGCTGAGGTTGCGAAGATATGGGCAGAAATCCACGGAACTCCGACGATTGCTCGACCCGTTGCCAAAGATGAGTTCACTGCGGCTTGGTCAGAACTCATTAGGGACGAGATGATCGACAATTTTTCGTTTGTTAAGGAGTTCGAGTACGTAGGCAACGATCCCGACGTAAAGCGTCCTTGGGATCTTGGGATCAAGACCACAACAGTAGAAAAGTATATTAAAACAGAAGATTAGTCATCTTTAATGTAGATACATTATCTATAAAAGTATCTTCTGTTTTTGGCTTAGTAAAGTTTGTATTAATCTTAGTAAGTATATAAACTATACTATGTTCTTATGTAATTCCTTCTACTAGATACTACCTAACCTCTACTCAACTACTACTAGACTATCGTTTCTTGGATAACTATAGCAAAAGTCCTTCGCTAGGTCTCCGTCTCTATATTCGATCAGAAAAGAGATGATCCAGTCGTTCAGCGCCTCTTCGACGCCCTGGTACGGAAAGATAGATGTTGCGCCAAAGATCGTGACCTAGTTCTGCAGCGCCAGTCTAAGTTTGTTCCTCTTCAATCCTAGTTCCTTAGCAGCCTGTTGCCGACTCGCTATCTGCTTAGGCGCAGTTAGCAACGTAGTAGACATTTCCTCCTCGTAAATACGGAACGCCTACGCCACAAACGCAACACGGCAGAACCGCAACGCGAGCAGGACAAAGAGAAACCGCCTATTCGCTAGTCTAGTCCTACTTAGATCTGGTCGTTGATATGTCTCCTCTCCTTCTAAGATTATAATAACATGGTACACGGATAAATTTAATATGTGGGTCAAGTAGCCACGAACTGCTTGCGTGGCCATTGCGTGGCCAAACGCGCGGTCTTAACAAAGCTGTCCATGGAACATGATCAACCAAGTCGCCTGCAGTCGATGTGAAGTAATGACGCAGTTTGAATGAGGTGTGCAATCATTGCGCAATTCCTCCGTGGCCAAGAACCTAGGCTGCTTGCTTGCTCAAATTGCAGGTGTATTGCCTACGTAGACACTAAGTCGAAAACTCACTAGTATAAGATAGACATAGAGTCTTAAAGAAGTACTCGCCTAGAGCAATAGATACACAAATTTGATTTTTCATCTTTTCTTGCCTTCTCTAGAAACCCAAATTCACATAATGCGCCACGTTGTACCCGCCACCGTTCTTGCAGCTAGCGTCAACGCTGCTTCACTCTCCAATGTTTGCACTTTATCCAACGTGCAAACAGCCCTACCTGCCAACGGAACTCTTCTCGGCCTTAACCTCCTATCTTCCACTGTGACTGCAGGTACTGTATATAACGCCAGCGTTGGAGTGGGTATGGGTAGCACTAGCATTGGTGCCACGTACAACTACTGCAACGTCACCGTCAGCTACACCCACACCGGCAGGAACGATTCCATCGCTCTAAAATTTGCCTTTCCTGAGCCGTCTGAATTCCAGAACCGTTTCTACGTGAGTGGTGGAGGTGGTTTCTCTCTATCATCCGACGCTACCGGAGGTCTCGTCATCGGAGCCGCATCTGGTGCTACTGCAGCAGGGTACGATGCTTTCGACTACTCCTACGATGAGAAGGTTCTTTACGGCAATGGATCCATCAATTGGGACGCTACCTACGCGTTCGCATACACTGCTCTTGGAGAATTGACGAAAATCGGCAAGCCGCTCACTCAGGCATTTTATGGCTTGAATGACACTAAGATCTACACCTACTTTGAAGGATGCTCGGATGGTGGCCGCGAGGGTATGAGCCAAGTTCAGCGCTGGGGCGAGGAGTATGATGGCATTGTCACAGGTGCACCCGCCCTCCGCTTTGCACAGCAACAGGTCCTCCACGTCTACCCTGCCACAATTGAGCAGGTTATGGGCTACTTTCCGCCCCCATGTGCTTTGGACAAGATAGTCAATTCCACAATCGCTGCATGCGACCCTCTTGATGGCCGCAATGACGGCGTTATTTCCCGTACCGACCTTTGTCAGCTCAACTTCGACCTCAGCTCCCTGATAGGCGAGTCTTACTACTGTGCAGCTGAATCCAGCAGCTCGCTAGGATTCGGCTTCAGTAAGCGTCAAGCGGGAGGTGGTGGTGCAGGTAGCCAGTCATCCACTAAACCCGAGCAGAACGGAACCCTCACTGCCAGAGACATTGCAGTCGCCCAAGCTGTCTACGATGGTCTGCACGATTCCGAGGGCAAGCGTGCCTACCTCTCTTGGCAGATCGGCTCAGACCTTGGTGATGCAGATCCCACCTACGATAACACAACCAGCTCCTGGGGGCTCAACATCCCTTCTACCGGCGGCGAATACGTCACCAAATTCGTCCAACTCCTCGACATCGATAACCTCGAAAATCTCGACGCCGTCACTTACGATACCCTCGTAGGCTGGATGAACACCGGCATGATCCGCTTCCTTGATAGCCTGCAAACCACCGTCCCCGATCTCACCCCTTTTCAATCCTCTGGAGCCAAGCTACTCCACTACCATGGAGAATCCGACCCATCCATTCCAGCTGCCTCCTCCGTTCACTACTGGCAGTCTGTCCGCTCGGTCATGTACCCTGACCTGACTGATATTGAGGCTTTAGAGGCCATGAATGACTGGTATCAGTTCTACCTGATCCCCGGTGCAGCTCACTGCGGGATCAACTCTCTCCAACCCGGCCCTTACCCACAGGATAACATGGCGACGATCATCGATTGGGTTGAGAACGGGATCAAGCCAGTTCGCTTGAACGCGACCGTTTCGTCTGGGGAATATTCAGGAGAAGTGCAGCAGTTGTGCCAATGGCCCACTCGTCCTCTCTGGTCGGGCAATGACTCACATTTTGACTGTGTTACCGACGAGGCAAGCATCGAGAGCTGGACGTACACTTTTGACGCATTCAAGCTTCAGCCAATTTGGTAGGCACTATTATCTTATGCCACCGATAATCTTGTGCAGTATTGGTGTACTATTACCCTTGATTTATAGCAATGACCTAGCAAACTATAGAGATTTGAGTACAGTATAGGTAGAAGGCCTTAGTCTATTTTTAAGTCAGAGTTAGTCTTTGTATATAAACTAGCTAGGGTTTACTGGATGTACGTACGTTCTACAATAGTTGCGTTGATCCATATACAAAATGCATAGCATAAACTGATTTGTACTCTAACTCTTTCATGACCGTGCTAGGTATAGCTTCTCACGGAAGCATTTAAATTCATTGTACAAAGACTCCACATAGGATAAGAGATAGCAGACAGCTGGGCTCGGCTTCCCCGCACACTTATATCACGGGTCCTGGACCTCTGCGTGTTGTGTGCCATACGTTTTGAGCCGATCATTTGTGCCGCAGGCTATAGAGCTACAAAGTAACGACACGAAGCCCTCCAGAATAATTTGGCTGAATTAGGCCAGCTATCTTTTCAGTGTCTCTGCGAATATTCATACCTAGGCAGACGGGAAGGCATGGAAAGGGGCCCCCTTTTAATGGCGAGGGTAGGCCTTGAGACATTCAAAGATGGTAGCCAATCAAACACACCAAAGAGAGTTCCGGCATGAATGTGGTGATTGCGGCAACGTTCTTCAGTGTTTTGGCCAGATTCACGCGCAATTGCAAGGCTTTCCTGGGATTCTCTTGGCATCTTAGCTTCGAAGGAATTCTGGTCTCCGGGCCTTCCTCGAATGGCTGCACTGAAGAGCACGCATTCAGGCTTATCATCACAAGCGTAACAGTATGCTTAGATTCAAATGCTCAACCGTCCTCTTTCAAGATGGGAATGTGAGCGCTAAAGGTCTTGAGCGCCTTGAGTCAAAGCCTGACAAAAAAATACGGTCCGTAGACGGCCTAGGTAGCGCCTGTGACCATTGACGGCGTGTTTGAAATCTCAAGGACCAAAGCACTGTTGGCAGAGATCGAACCTGGTGCCAGTATGAACTCTGAATTGGTGAGCCACTTTACAGTTGTCGCTTTCCTTTATGCAAGATTGATCAGGCACACTGACGAGCGACCATCTTGCAAATGATAATTGGCGGTCACAAATCTAGGCACTTACCAACTTCACCTGGGGAGCCGACTCCAGACCCGCGATTGAAGGCTGATGAAGCTACCTGCACTACATTTCTGGTGCACGTCAACTAGATGACCATCATTCTCTTGGTTCTCATGATTATCGCCATTGCTTGAAATCATGGATAAGAAAGTAATCTTGAAATCAATGATGTCTGTGGCACGTTCACAGGAAACCAAAGGGGTACTTCCTGACTTCTTGAGAAGACTTTGACGATGTTAGTTCTTAGAAAGGTGAACCTTTAGCTCCGAACCAGCGCTTTATGTCCGAGCTCCCGTTCTTCAATTTGCCAAGTCATATAGGTTACGACACCACTCGTCTCGACAGCACTCGGGCATGCCAAGCTGATGTTTCCGTTTCTTTCCATGCTTGACAAGGTACTTATTGCCAATGAGCTGGAACAGTTTCGAGATTGTTAGCCGAGGTATCGCAAATATACAAAGATCCTACCGCTCCTCCTGTAGTGGTTAATGTTGCGAAGGAAACCCATATTCCCACCGCGATTGAACCGAGGATACCACCGAAGGTTGGGTACGAGTTCAGCCTATCACCTTCGCAGCCAATAGGTCTTGTACGTCGCACACAGTACTTTCCTCCCAACCTGAATTGATAATTACTTCTATCGCGTTGCTGTATCGCAGGGTTTCAATGGCTCTTAAGACACAGCATGCCAAGCATTCCTCCACAGGCTTAAAGTCTTATATAAAAGTGGTGTTTGACCTATCAAGATTATACCCTTTGAAGTTATCAAATTATTTGCCGATTAACACGTGGAAGGAGACATTATGTGCCAAGCTCATGTGGGTGAGCTCGGTAATCAGCCTGTGCCTCGGCTTCATGAGGTGCAGTACCGAAAGGGAACAGGGATAAGAATATGTGTTGGTCCAGCCAGGAAAAGAATGCTTCGCCATCACTAGAGTAGATAAGTCCGTATTGAGGACCTGAAGTGCTCTTCTAGAGTTATATCTGTTCTTTTCGGCCGCCTGGAGACTTGGATACTCCGCATCCATTTTTACCAAAATGTCCGACCAAGAATTCTTCTCGTCCATTCCAATCATCCAAGACCTTCTCGCGCGTCCAGAAAACATTCGATTTACCCCCACGTGCCGGCTGAAGGGGGAGGAAGCTGTAAATTCAAAGACCAAAGATCAATTCTTTCGCCATGGGCTCGCGACTACTGACCTGGTCCCCTATGCCATAGCCTTTTATGAAGACCCCTTCAGACGGAACTCCATTCCTTCGCCAATCGGTCAAAAACCACATACTCAGGAACTTCGCCTTTTGATCCGCAAAAGCACGTTAGTCCTCAGCTTACAGTCCGGCACAGTTGGATTCAACGGCACCGCACACGGCGGACTTATCGCTACCATAATCGACGAAGCTATGGGGTCCTTGATCCTGATAAACCACAAAGTCTACTCAAATTTGCCATCATCCACGCGGGAGAAGCTGTCCAACAAGATTTTGGATATGTATGGTCTAGCGTTATTTACGGCGGAGATGAACGTGCGCTTCTGTGCGCCGCTACCTACACCAAGAGTGGTGCTAGTAGAAACAGTTGTGAAGGATATTCGAGGAAGGAAAGTGTTTATTAGTGTTGTTGTGCAGGGGCTTGATGGGACAGTGTATGCTATGTGTGACGGGATGTGGATGAGTGTCCGGGGTCAACAGAAAATATAGGCTTCAAACAGAGTTGCTGACTATCCGCATCAGTGTGGCGCACTGCGAGCCCACGCTGATGGCAACAAAGACGGGGCTATACAAGCTGGATGTGATATGTTGGAGAACTCAAACAGGAACAACAGCAACCCCTACATTTAGAGCTCGAGCTCTTCTGGCGTTTATTAAGTCCTATGTTTGTTTTACACCAGCAAATGTCGTACTACCTAGCTTTTCTAACAATTAAACAGGTATGCATGCTGGCGATGATCCTGCGCCAAGATGCGCTTACCGTGTCAGTCGATGCTTGCGAGGAATACGTAAGTAACATGCAAAAGTCTGCATACTAAAACCGCAAATCTCAGAATTCTAGTCGTCTGCTCTTTGCATGAAACATGTGATCCACGTGAACCGAGGCACACAAGTCCTCGTTTTCCGGTGCTGTGCAGGTCCAGTGCCGCAATCCATTTGATGTTCGCATCTTCGCACTGTACAAACAAATACACTATATAGTCGACACGTCACCTTGTAATTACATTCATAGCAGAGAAATATTGGAAACGAGTAGGACCGCCCTATTTTGACCTCTGCACCGCAATCGGACATCTTCTACTATGCATTCTATATCGTGCTTCACACCCGGTCAAGGAGCAGTGATACTGTTGGTAGTCTACGTTATCCTCGTGCGCTACCTGCGTTATCGGCGTGCTGAGAAGATTGCCATACCCTTCGCAACCAGCCAGCGCTCACTCTCTAGCATGACTACGCAAGAAGCGTCCACGATCATGGACCAACTTCAAGCCTTAGAGTTTCCCTATGCAATGAACAAAGCCCGCAGTGTGGCTTTACTCAAGGTATGTTGCTCCAAGATACGCTTGAGTGGTTCGATTCCAATAAGGAGAAGGCTAACTCATACTCTCAGGCCGGGGGCATACCCAGCATGTCCAGGCTCTTCGCAGTCACTGGGCAAAATACAGTCAAGAATGCCGGGAAGCGAACTGTTGACACAGAAATTCTCCTCCGGGAGTCCCAAACCCAGCCGCGCGATTCAGAGCGCTACATGCGCGCGGTAGCGCGGATGAATTACCTGCACGCGCGATACCGGCGCGCGGGAAAGATCCTGGATGCTGACCTACTACATACGCTTGGTGATGGGGCGGGTGAGATTCTGCGCGTCATCGAGCATGAGGAGTGGAGGGCGCTGAGCGAAGTGGAAAAGTGTGCGGTGGGTGTATTCCACTATGCACTTGGGCGGGACTTGGAGATTCCGTTCACGCTCTTGCAAAGTCGTGAGACGGGATGGCGGGATGGAGCATGCTTTTTGGACGAACTGATAGCATGGACGAAGGAGTACGAGAGGGATGTTGCGAAGCCTGCGGAGACAGGGGATCTGTACGTAAGAGTCTATGTTGATTCTGCGGCCAAAAAGTTGGGAAGCGGAGTCACGGCGCTTTTGAGACAAGTGGTAGCGTCTGATCTGGATGATACGATGCGAAAGAGTTTAGGACTTGAAAAGCCTGGGTTTCTATTGAAATGGATCCTGTTCGGCGTCAGAATGATTCGAAAGCTTGCGCTTCGCTATCTCGCGCTTCCCCGTCCCAAGGCGCTGGCGCATCAATCTGTGGCCACGGCGACAAATTCGGCAGGTCTGTATAATTTCAGCCACGGTGGATTCCAACCTTGGTATGTCCTGCCTGACCTCACAGCGACCTGGCATCCGAGAGCAGTGATCATGAGGCTGCTAGGTGCGAGGAAGCCGGGCAGCAATGGTGATAGGTACAAGCCGATGGGATATGACCTGAGAACTATCGGACCCACGCCACAGGAAGGTCGAGGTCTAGAGGAGATGGCTGCCACGATTGACGCGATCAAGGGCAGACATTTGGAGACCTGCTTTCCTACCATGCAGAAGTCTGAATAACATGGAAGGTAGTAGGCGATGGATTATAGCCCACTGCTTCAGAAGCTTCGCTGAGCAAGCTTTACGGAGTTAGCTGTAAACTCGATCATTAATTCCCAGCCAACGGCTCGAGATCAGACAGTGATTAGTACCACAGAAATTTTCACTGCTCAACATACTTGACTGTTCAAATATTGACGGCCTATCTGTAGATCCCACAGGTAGTGCAAACACTGTTGTTCCTAGTCTTGTAGACAAAACGATCAATGCAATGCCTATAACCAAAGTTGCTCCCAGTCTGCACAATAGAAGAAAAGAACATAGAGCTTATTACTACTACTACTACGTTAATTACATGTCTCTGTAGCTTCAGTGTGAAGATAGGAAGCGCGTAGATCAGTATGCATAGGGATTCTATCGTCGTCCGAACCAAAGGGCTGTACTATCAAAGCAAGGTCACTGTTGCCTCACTCCTTGCTTTGGCCAACCCAAAGGCGAACATAACGGATTGTTCTCCTCAAATCCTCGCCTTGAGAAGATCTCGGTGACCAACTCCGGAAGGATATTGATTGGTGTCTGCGATAGCTTGCGTCACCCTTTGCAACTCTCCCATGCACTGGCTTTGTAGCTGGTCGGGCAACAGAGTATGCCTGTTACACAGCCATGCTGCTACAGCTGTCGCAATACCGTGTTGCGCACCATTTCCCATAAACTTTGTGTTTGATCCCGCGATATGGGTGACACTGATATGTTTCCCAGCCATCATGAGATTTCGTAGGTTCCTAGAATACAAGCAACGAAATGGCACGTCATAATCATGTCCATCACGTTCGTCCCATTTCCAGTCTTTTAGCCTAAAGTCGTTTCTCTGTGTCGCATGGGGGTGCGTAATGCAAACAGAAAGCGCCCCCATTCTTGACGACTGCATCGGGGAACGAGGTATGACGTCGGATGTCCAGTTCGGTAAGAACGTGGTCGCCCCTATATCGTCGGAATTCGCCCTGGGCCGCGACATACGCCACCCAATCTAGACGTAACCCTGCAAATTCCTCTGGCTTCATGGTCTTTACATTCGAAAATGTACCGTAGATGGCGCGAAGGAGATGATCACGGATGTGCTCACCGTTGACATAAGGATCGAGGTGTTGTCCGTACTCCCAAAAGTGCGTGAGTGGACCTCTCATGCGACGACGAACTGTCATGTCAGGAGGGTTCACCGTTGGACCTACTCCATTCTCCACTCCAGTCCTTACGAGCTGGCCGTTCAGATCTGAAAAGTCTTTGGCCACTTCTGCAGCCCATGGTACATGAGGAAATGAGACCATATCATTGGTCATTCTGGTACGAAAGAACAGCGTATTCCCATGGTGTGTCTCTTCGTGTTGCAGCGGGGCAAGCTCTTCGCCATAATCGAACCGTGACTCTTGGCCATAGAGTGTTTCAGCACCTGCAAAGTGTCCAAGCAAAGCTCTGCCTGAACAATCGATGAAGATTGGTGCAGCAAACCGGAGCTCCCTCCCACTACGAGCATCCCGAGCATCAACATACTTGATGCAGGAATCTTCCCCCAGTGTAGCGTTAAATGCGGTATGCTCAAGAAAAAGTTCAGCCCCTAGTTCGGCATTAAGCAGCTGTTTCGCACGTAGATCGCCATCGGGGTGCCGATCCGCAATCTCATCCACCAATGGCCCCGTGACTCCACGAGGCCGTAAGCCAATCTCAACACTAGCATTGCCACCCAAGTAAGGACGATTATGGATCAGAGCTACACGCTCTCCAAGTCTCGCTGCGACAAGAGCAGCTGCCGTCCCCACGAGGCCTCCACCCAGGACAACAACGCTGTATTGGCCAGCATTGACGGGATCATCAGGCAATCCACGGAGTTGCCGCCTCCAAGCTCTGGCTGCTCTATCAAACCCATTCAACGGGGTTTCGTGTCCCATAGTGAGGTAAATCGCCTCACACCGCCCCGCGAATCCTGTCAAGTCGTGCAATTTGAGCTCCGCCATACCCTGATTTAGAAAGACATCGCCGCCATTCTGCCACGACCAGTCGGAGTTGCTGGTCCCAAAGACTATCTTTAGTGTTTCTTCATTGACAATGAGCTCAAAACGTCCAGGTTGGTACCCTGGGACCCAATCTTTTGTGCGCACCCAAATGTTATATTGGCCGCTGACCGGTATGGAGACGACGGTTGTGGCGTCTAAGACTGGAGTGCCGTTTCCATGTGCTAGAAGGTACGGGAATCCCATCTCAAGCACGAATTGAGAATCCAGAGTCCATCCACCGGAGGTATGGAAATCCGCGCTTTCCACCAGAATTGTCGTCATGGTAGATCTAGGGTATTTTCCGAGAAACAGAAGGAGGAATATGGTGTGCGAGAATAACGTAGTTGGGGCTACTTGATTTCTTCCGCCGAGGAGAATCCATCACCTCAAGTAGACGTCCGACCTGCCGAGATTAAGACCCTGTCAAACCCCACTCACTTCGGCCGGGATTCCCCTGCAAGGTCCCCGTGTTGAGGGGTTGGACCCCGAGGCTGGATCGACGGGCGCTGAATAGCTAAGTCAAGGCGTGTACACTTATATTTTCGTGGTCGATAATTATAGCTTGACACACGATATGGCGCTATGTCTTCGGCATCACTATTATCACCCTGGCTGTCCCACGAACAGATTTAAGGGCAACAAACGCCAAGTGGATACCCTAGGCAATGTATCGACTGCATGTTCGTCGAAAAGCCGACCTGATGGCAGAGCAGTGGAATAACTGATAACGGATTCCTCACGACCCAATGTAAGCACCGATGACACTTTTTAGAGCTACCATAGTTGAATATTGTCCTTGCGTACGACCTTTCCTGCATCTTCGTCCCGGCGGCCGTCAATGACATCGCGAACCAGCTCTGCCCCAACATTCGGATCAAGCGCTCCCATCTTCTTCATGAGTTCAGGGTTTCCGCCCAATCCTGTGGCCAACATACCAGGGCTGACTGCAAAGACCTTCACGCCATCCTCCTTCAGGATGCGTACCCATTCTAAGAACATCATGTTCATTCCAGTTTTCGCCGATCTATAAGCTGAGACCGCAAACTCCTGTTTAGGCCAGCCTTTTTCGGGGGACCTGTTGATAGCAAGCGCAAGATTGCCATGTTCTGCGAGCGTGCTTGTGCCACTCGTGATGAACAACAGTCGCGGCTTAGCTGACTTGCACAACAATGGAGCTAGACTTCCAGTCAAGATATATGTACCAGTAACATTGACGTTCCAGGACTGATTCCACATATCTCTAACGGTCATGTTACCCTGAGATGCTTGCTGGTCGAATTGAGCCCCTACAACTTGGTCAGCTCAAGCAGTCGTCTTCAATGTCAATCTGAATCGCCTCTATGCTGCTGTTGGAGTCTGCGTGCTCATGCTTGACGTGTTGAATAGCGGCTTCGGCCTTGCTCAGGTCTCGGGCACCAAGCAGAACGTGATAAACAGCTTCCGATCTGTATAAAGCCTTCACAATGTTAAGGCCAAGCCCAGTATTGGCACCTGTAACAAAGACGGTGGTCGCGGTGGCCATGTTAGAAAGACTGTAGCTCTGAGAGACTTGTGGTACGAGTGTGTTGTCCAGACGTATACCTTCGTCAGTAAGCCTTATATACCGTCTACAGCCTCTATAATGCCTGTTATCGCCTAACTACGCATGCATTCTCGCGCTTCTGGAGATACGATATCTCCGTCAAGTGAAAAATTCAAGGTCGGCTTGTAGGGTTCTTAACCCCGACTACGCGCTGCAAGCACGGGATGCATGTCATCTGTAAAACAAAAGGGCCTTTTCGAAAATTGTGTGAGTGCTAGTCGTTGATCACCACATACTTCAGCTGCTGCCTTAAATATCTGTGTATTACAGTGGATATCCTCCTCCGTAAAGGCGCCCAGTCATGAAGGGTTTAAACCGTAGCTATGTCACTTGCGACCTTTGTTCTAATGGCAAGACTGAATGAAGGCCATTTTTGGTACAAGTAGAACGTGCGCAAAATGGATAAAAGCAGCCATGTGCCAAGTAGAAATAATTAATGAACACGTGGATGGCGGTGATCATGTCATTTCCAACGTTACCTGAGCACATTGCAGGCTCACACATGACATTATCATTCTTTTTCGTACACCGGAAAGCTTTCAGATATCGCTAGTCGCATGGATTTGCGCCGGTGGGGCATGCTTTGCGACTAGAAGCCAGTACAGTGCAGACTGACTACTAAAGCACTATCTGAAGCCGCCCATTGGCATAATGAGGCGATGGATGCAGTATAAATGACTTGCTAGAGAGGTAGCCAGGGTTGTCAAACTGAATTAGCTCGCTTTCACGAACTTTACAGTAGCGACATACAGGAATCGAGCTACATAACCTAGCTACCAGTTTTTCTAGCATGTTTTCCTAGTCTGGGCCATTCGGACGAATCTTGTGATGTGCCGAGTATTGGGTTGTAGTTTCCCATTGCACATTTTCTAGTCGGTTTGTTATATTTGGCCAATAAAATGACCACATCATTCTTCCATGCCATCAGCCCCTCTAATGTTGTAACCGGAAAAGCGATCGTAGCCGGGTGAAGGTTGTGTAGCCCGTCCTCTTCGCACTGTAGTGCAAATGTATGCAGGCTCTACGCGGTTTGTAATGTGGCTACAAGCATCACAGTGGCGTACTCTGCGGCAGAATTACAACAAAACGCGAGCAAGCACGGGCACAGTGTGACAGATTTTGCGTGACTCGACGCAGGGTAAGTGAGCGACTTGAACCAATGATAGTCTATCGTAACAGCGAGTCAAAGCACGTCAAGCTATGCACATACTCCCCGAGCGATGCAGCACAAAGTTGCATTTGCATTGCAGCATCCAAGGGGTTGTCCCGCCTAGACCTTGCAGCAGTGTTGAATCCGTCGCGTCCATGGGTTCTGATAAGATTAATAATGTAGTGGAACAAAATTCTTATAAATTACATGAGGCTATGCAGGTTGGACGAAGAGGCGCAAAGCCAACTTTGGATTGTCGTCCACGTAATTGCAAAGATGTACATCTTGCCATTGACCCTCTACAATCTAAAATTGAATAGTGCATGCTATGGGCGACTCTCAGTATCCTGTTGCTGGGCCTCGCACAACGTCCACATCCTGCATCCTCCCATAGTGGTAGCCTGTGAGAAAGGGGCCTGCTAGTGAAACTGGGCGACTGTTCCAGAACTGCTGAACTGCTTTTGCAGCGTCCACAAACTGCTCCTCGATGTTGTTGTTTTCGTTGCTCAAACATCCTTGATGTACAATCCGACCATCTCGTTTCCATAATTCCCCATTAACGAGGACATGTTTGACATGTCCCACATGAGAATGTAAGAGGACAGCAGTGACAGGATCACTCCAACCTAACATGCCTGGTGCCTTGCCATCATACACGACAATGTCAGCTTTGGCTCCGATGCGAAGGACACCGAGGTCATTACGTCGTATCGCTTGAGCCCCCGATCTTGTGGCTAACAAAAATCCCTGGTTCGCCGACATAGGGTTGCGATTCGCTACGACCCTTTCTTCAGTTGTAAGGTGACTTAATAAACGCTCGCGAACGTTTTGTAGCCATATTCGTGCTTGCGTGACCATGTCGCCGCTATTCGTGTAGTGCGTTCCAACGCTGAGAGATGCTTGGTCCAAAGCCAGGTGCTGCTGGCCTATTTCCCGTGAGTGAGACATCTCAAATTCTGGGGCCAATGCCATGTGATGATTGAATGTGCGCAACAGCGCAACATCGGTAGCTGTCAGAGACGTTCCGTGTACGAAAATCAGCGGTGTTGAAGTATTCAAGAGTTGGGTTCCGTTGGGCAGCATTATCTGTGAGAGTACAGACGGGTTGTTTTCGGTCGCGTAAACGCCCCCGACGGCATGAGTCTTGAGGACAGCAATGTCATAATCGCTAAGAACTCAGTTAACATCAAATTTCAGTCAATTCCTGAACGCATTACACACCTTATTAAGCTGACAACAGCTTCAATCTCGGGTTCAATGCCAAAGGTCCATCTTTCGTACGCGATACCAGGACTGATATTACTTCCGTTGAAAGTTCCGTCAGCCATCAGCTGCCTAAAATGTCGTATTTGGTCAGGGAACGGGAAGGTTTCGTAACCACCGAAATTGTACGCGAATATACTTCTGATACCGCTGTCCTTGGTGGCTTGAAGATAAGCGTCGACAATCTCGCTTGTGAACGAACCAGGTGCATGATCAACGATGGTAGTGACTCCTGCGTTGACCGCTTCACAAAGCCCGACGAGTTCCGAGTAGTAAGATGTCTTTGTGTCGTAGATCTCTGCCGCAAGTGTGGTATTCGTCCATCGCGTGAGGTCCTCAGCTAACGTCGGTGTTCCGCCTATGGACCGATGAATGGTCTGCCAAACATGACGATGAGTATCCACGTATCCAGGGGATATGATATCACCCTCTGCAGATATAGATACAGTGCCAGCAGGGATCGCGATATTCTCAAGCAAATCTGTAGAGTTTGAGGGGAAAATCGCACCGATAGTATCATCTACAACAAGAAGGGAGTGATCGCGTAACATTTCCAGTGTTCCACTGCTCTCATCGAAAGATATGATGGTGCCATGTTCAAAAAGAAAGGAACTGCAGGAGGACAGTGGCAGAAAGGCAATGAGCTGAAAGACGCGAATGAAATGTTGCTTCATGGTTGAGACGCTGGGTGCCACAACCCCACGACCAAATGGCCGCCTCAATTATATACCTAAGTATGAAGGAATGCATCAAATTGACGGGCAATTTTCAAGCTTTGAATCACGGCGTTACCGCGTCGAAACCGTAGTGCAGGACGAAAAACGCGGACATTGTGCAGGAATACGATACCAATCTGAACTACGAAGGGCCGATCACGTATCATCCGATGATTCACCATGGCGGATCATAGTGTTCGGGCGGAGAAAGATGCGTGGGAACTGTGCTTCAGTGTTAATGTTCTTGGTCCGAAGAGGACATGCAGCAGTAAAGCTACCAATGTTTTCTTCGTGTCAAGACATACATCTGTCCAGGCTTTCATCTCGTCTAGATTTCCCATTTTGAGGTGTAATTACACCTCAAAATGAGAAACGCCCCTACTCAAAGCGACACAAGTGCGAGTGGACAGTGTATTGCAGTGCACAGCTATGAACTCGGGGGATGTACACGGATTCCAGATCTGTGGAAGGTTGTAAATTATCTAGAACAGTACATGCTGTCAGATGTAAAATTTCGGTCTGTCTTTTGAAAGAATACGCATCCTCTACCGCAGTGGCTTGGCGGATCTATGCCAGACACGGTATATCCGTCTAACTCCGCGATGACATCGCTGAATGACCGGCACTATTGAACACATTTATTAGACCTTGAAACTTGTGGTACGTTCATCATTAGAACACCCTGCTCTTATCCATGAGGCATATTGTGATATCCAAAGCCATTTAACTATTTAGCTGTTTTTAGCTCCTGTTATTATAAGGCAAGACAAACTACTCGTGATAACTACTCACTCAGTACTATGGAACTATACTTGGCTTTCTTCTATACTAAGGAATAGTGTTGTCACCAATGCTGTCCACGTCGCTATGACTGACGATCGTCGAAGACACTATGACCAATGACATCGGTACTTCGATAAACGGTATTAATATTGCGGCCAACGATGCCTTGGCTGATGGCTCCTCAAAGTGTGTTGCTGCAACCGCAGCTACGAACGTGCCCCTTTCTCAGAGACCAACGTATACTGCAGTCTCAAGATCACTTACATGGGTACTGATACTACTGCCCTCCTCGGTTCAAGACGAGATCTCACTTAACATAATATCGAAGCTTTGTCTGGTGTGCTTAACAATCCCCATTGGCAGATTATTCGTACACGCTCAGTGACAGACAACCTAGATACGCGCAGCGACCCTTCTGCATAGGTAACACACGACATGAGCGTCACACAAGATCTGTTCTTCGACAAGAACCCGCCACGCGCACCGTATTCCTGTAGCAATCCAAAGCCGGCTTTTTCTCTCCCGGACAGCGTATCTGGTGGTATGGTATGGGCGTAGAGCTGCCTAAGTATCAAGTGTTCCGCAGGGTGATAGGATATTGGATCCCGAATTTCAAGTACTGCCAAATATAGGCCTCACCTTGAGCTCATGCAGAGCATGACATGCTATGACTGGCAAAGCCTCATTGGCTCCATTCCAACTCTGATCGCTATAGACATTGCTGGTCTTGGAAGTACCGAAGGGATAGCCTGTATACTAGAGTGTTTCATAGACTCAAAGTTTACATCAGTGTTTATACTAACTACATAGCTAGACCTGGCCTCTTACTACAATTTGGGTTCAAGACTATAGACTCATCAAGCTACCATCACTAAACTATCGAGGAGGAGAAATATAAGTAGCAAGAAAAAGATCCAAGTACTGGACGATATTGCATTGCGTGTATATAAGGTAGAATGTGGAAAGAGTAGTGTGTAATCCGGTATCTGCATATTGAGTGCACACCAAGGAGAAATACCTGATAATACCTGTGGCGTTGATGTTGGACGACTGTCGTTGATAGCAAACCATCGACACGTTGCGGGACACACACCAGGCAACTACCAGCCACGACAGCAACCGCACAGACCAGCGTAGCTTTCATACGCCGACCAGATATATGTGTGACGCCAAATGCTCGAAACGCTGACTAAAGTGACTTTGAGGGCTTGTCTGTTCGCGGTCAATCCTGCGGGGTTCGGATCTTCGCGTGCTAGGATTAGACGCTGAATGCCAGCCCTTACCTGGGTAGCGACAGAGATTCATCCTGAGGTCGGCTTTGGTGACTTTTCAGATATAATGCAATGGCTTGCTATGGAGGCCTATAGTGCCACAAGAATTCAGGGCTTGTGAGGACGGACTTCATTGCACTATAACAAGAGGCTGATACAAGGTATAGTCTCAATTCCAAGCTGCGCTATGCCCCTGTGATGCAGTGTCTGATACGAACTAAAGATCTCTCTACCTTCATACCATAGAGTTCGCTATGTAGACCCCAGAAAAAATCACGAACTTTGGTTTTTTCCGCATTGTCACTCTTCAAGCGATTTGTACTTTTATCATGGAGTCGTACGTACTTGCTGACCATTAATAGATGTACTCACAAGCTGTTACACAACCTGTTTACAGCGTTGTTCTATGAGACTCCATGCTTGCGTCATCCCGGAGGTCTACCGAGTCCCTAACTCCTATGCTGTACCGGTCGCTTTTGGTCTCGCTGTACTTGGCAACGGGGTCAACCTTATCCTTGGAATCCCCACGTTTCAGGTGAAGAACAACATCGAAATCTTCACGGTATGTGTGAGTCACATTTTCATGCTAGCTTTCTCGATCTTTCGCTATATCGAAAGCAAAGGGGTTATCGAAGGATCGAGTGCGGGCTACACCATGGATTCTAATTCTCTTGTCAATGGCTCAGTTGACCTGTGGAGAAAGATGCAACCAGTACTAATTACTTCTATTGCAATTGTCGGGATCAAATGCTGAATTCAACGTCAGCTCCTTCAGAACCAATGTTTGCAAGCTCAGCCTGCGATACCATGGTTTCGAGCAAGCTCCCGGTTCTGACTTCAGCCTTCAAGGTTTTTGTGACAGGACGTACATGGTAGCGATATGCGTAAGGCGGCATCCAGGATATTGGAGCTGTTAAACTGACTGAGGTAAAGGCACATGCGTCCACCGCAAAGCTATTGTCATGGAAGCCCACGAGTTTGAGATCGCGTGTGCCTCCATGTTCTCTCCTGCGGCCTGGCAATGTAACAGTTGAGTTCCGATAGATATCTCCTTCTCAAATGCTAATGTCTTTTGGCTGTTGGATAATCAGCAGGTTCGACACGTTGTAACATGAGCTGGCCCATCCTAGCGTTGAAAATTCTTCAAACGTGGAGCTGCCTTTGGGGCACTGTAACATCTTATTGACCCACCTATTCATTAGATATCGAAATGCTTCCTAGCTGTCTGCGCGGTCCGTGAACGAAAGAGAAGTTATATTGCCATCACTACCACCATACTGCACGCGGCAGAGATAAGCCTCGGCATATGTATTGACCACAGCTTCCGTGCAGCTGGTCCTCTGAATGATTTGCTGAGTAAATGGGTCCAAAGCCAGCAGCAGAACGGTGATAGCAGCAGTGATAGGGGAAACGATATCGTGCCAACGGAGACGGCCGAGCAGATGCCACGATCCTCTTGAAGTTTTGTCGTAGACTTCAATATCGACCAGCAATCGTCTACTGTAAGCAAGTGGCTCAAGCGTTCAACTGCCAGTATAGTACTAAAAGAGGCCTTTGCTAAGTAGGGGTTGCTAGTTGCTAGCTAGTAAGATATAAAAGATCTTTTGAAGTATGCGGATTAGTAGATTGAGGTCATATGCAACCTCGGTACTAGTGCCTGCCGATAGCAAGGACGATTTCGGGATCGAAGCCGATAACGGCATGTTTGCTGCATATCTTGAGCAGGCAGGGTCCTTTTTTGACGACCGGCCCTTTTCGCGGAAGGCGGAGATCTGGGCCGACACGTTGGGGAAGATTTGCGAGCCGTTGTTTTTGAAGTTGACGAGCAGGACGATGGTTTGCTGGGGCGCTGTGTTGATGACGCCGCCGCGTAGAGCGCTGCCGCGTCCGCTGCGAGCAGTGCTGCTGGCGTTGTCACCAGCGCTGCCGCAGCTGCAATCAAAAAGTCGGTGCCGGATGAGATCAAACAGAGTGGGTCGGCCGGCACTACGCCAGCTCAGCCTGATCCCTACAGTTTCCGACCCTCCGACACAAATCTTAGCTATTGAACAACGAATCCACCTTCTAGATTACTTACAACGGGTCTTATATGCATCTTACACCTTAGACCCTATTAGCGCCTACAGCTAATGTCATGTCGCGCTATAGACACTGCCCCTAATGCATGTATCGGGCCTAATTACTTCTCTCTGGTTAAGAAAGCTTCTCTAACGTAGATAATTTCCTAATTAAGACATAACCTGTAACTCGGGAGCAACGGAGGGTCAGATATTACTAATTTGTTAATTGCATAAAGCAAGTAGTAATCAGTATATACTAAGGCGGTAGTGCAGTCTACAAATCTATAGAAGTATTGAGGGGGTGCTCTTGCTACATGCAAATAATCGTCTTGTTCTCTTACTACACTCCAGTCTGTAGACAGCTGCAACTTAACAATGTCTTTTAACGTATCATCGAACGAGGCTGAACTATCTCTTAGGTTATACTATAGTACGAATATGCTAAGCCTGCCCCCCGTAGTTTCAGCCGCACTTTTGGTTTTGGCTCTTACCTTTATTGGATTTCGGCCTAAAAAATCCAAATATCCACTCGCAAACCCTCCTCATCGATTTCAACTTCGACTTTTCAAGCAACTGGATTTTATGAAAAATGGTGTGGGAATTTTTGGCGAAGCACAGCGAAAATTCCCTGGGAAACCATTCAGGATAATTAACGAGTTAGGTGAAGCTCTTATTCTTCCACCCTCTGCTATCAATTTGATGCGCAACGAAGAGGGGTTGAGTTTTGGAGAGGCTGTTAATCGGGTATTAGCCCCAACTACAAAGTTTTGAATATTAACATAATAATTTAACAGGATTTCCATGCGCACATCCCAGGCTTTCAACCTTTCGGCTTTATCGCCCATCATGGACAAATCGTACAAGTAGTTGCTAAGAAGCATCTCAACAAGTACCTAGGTAAGGCTCTGTCTAGAGCGGTTGTAATGTAATGCTGACGTTGTCTGTACAGCAACAATCACTCAACCGCTTTCTGCGGAAGCTTCCTATGCTGTAGATTTGATTTTCGGCAACTCATCAGGTAAGTCTCTTCGTTCAATGACTCAGCATTAATAATAGAGGATCTGATCGTTTTTAGAGTGGAAGGAAGTGCGTATACGGGATCCTCTCTTGGACCTAGTTGCCCGACTTTCATCTCGTGTTTTCCTTGGAGCCGAGCTATGCCGTGATGAGAATTGGCTCAAGATAACAAAGGAATACACGATCAACTCTTTCCAGGCAGCAGTAAAGATGACGATTGTGCCTTATCCCCTAAGGTTTATTTGGCGTCTATTTTCGAAAGACTGCGCTGTTGTTGCTCGAGACTTCAACAAAGCCGTCGACATCATCACACCCGTCATCGAACAACGTCGAAAACTTAAGGAAGAAGCCCGGTTAAAAGGAGAGAAGGTCCCATCCTACAACGATGCCATAGAATGGGCTGAGATGGAGACCCAGTGTCACCCATATGACCCAGCATCTTTCCAGCTTGCACTATCGTTTGCTGCAATTCACACTACTACGGATCTAGTATCTCAGACCATGATGTTATTAGCACTTCATTCTGAGGTACTTGTACCATTGCGCAAGGAAATTGTAGACGTTCTGCAAGTTGAAGGTTGGACAAAGAGCGCACTTTTCAAAATGCGACTGCTTGACAGCACCATCAAAGAAGCTCAACGGATAAAGCCAAATACCTACAGTACGTCTTCTCGCGGCTCTTCTTGAACTCAATCCCCCCTGATAATCTTGAAATTCAGCTGCCTTGCGACGAATCGCGCTAAAAGACATCACTCTATCCGATAACACTTTCATTCGCAAAGGCGAACGATGTATGGTTGATGCTACGGGCATGTTGGACCCAAAACTCCATCCTGAACCAGAGAAATTCGATATCTACCGATTTCTCCGTCTAAGGGAACAGCCAGAGTTTGCAAATAAGGCACAACTAGTTGCTACAAGCCCTGAACACCTAATTTTTGGGCACGGCATGCACGCATGCCCCGGTCGATTTTTTGCCGCGAACGAAGTAAAGATCGCGCTCATCCATCTTATTCTCAAGTACGAGTGGAAGCTGCTGCCTGGTATTACTAGCATCAAGCCTGTTATAATGGGTGTAAACTTGAGAGTCGATCCAGACAGCAGATTGTTGTATCGGCGTCGAAAGGAGGAGGTCAATCTCGAGTCTCTAGGGTTTGAATGAAAAGCTAGCCGTGGCACAACTTAAACTGAGTTGCCGGACTTTATGATACTATAGACACATCCATCGACAAGCCACCCAGCCTTTCTCAATCTCCCTTGGGTGTTGTGTAACGCGCCACTTGGTAAAAATAGTACACTGGGATACCAAGTAAGAAAATGTCAACAAAACTACCAACCAACACTTCGAATGCCGATCCATAATCATGAGTGGTTTCAACCATACGCAACTCCAAACGAGACGATAATCTTTGTGCCAACCACAATAACGAGCGCAGGACCGGGATTGGTGTCATTGCCTCGGACACGAAAGTTGTAGCCACAATAGTCACAGCCGTAAACGTGTATTGAGAGAACGACCAGCCTAGATGCAGCGCCCACCATGTACGACCCCACAATGATAGCTGTCGGAATCAAAGTTTGAAACTGGTGCTCTGGCTTGTTAATATGCCATTTGCTGCGCGCAGCAAAGAGCGCATATTGTCGTCAAGTAAGTTGCAATTCAACGGCCCTAGCACAGCGCCAATGGCACCTCCTATTTTGATAAGATCGATGTTCTGCGGATTTCAGCCGTAGTTGACCATCAGCACTTCAGTGTAGGTCAAAGAAACCCCAATTCCAAAGCCGAGGCTGAATGACGAGGTGAGAAGTACGTAGATCATGTTGGGGGAAATCATATTTGCAGCATAAGTAGGTAGGTCAGAAACGTGATCTTGGGCGGGCTCTTCTCAACCTCTAACCACGGACGGAGATCTCAGGCGTAGCTGTTGCGCAGGACCTCACTTTCCTGCATTCCTGTTTATTCGCATTCGATCATCCGGTAATGCGTTGACCTCCTCTGTTCAATTATAAAGGAGCCAAAACATTCTATATCAGGTGACAATACCTCCTTGCAGTTGTTCAGCTGTTCACGTCGTACACGCACGAAACATGTTCACTATCACGAATGCCTCCTGTCAAGGATATCCTACACCAAGTTCTATGGTTCACATTGTTTAGTCGCTCAGATTGTTCTGTTGGTCATCTCTTTCTATTGCGTATCTTGATCTTGTGTTGATTGTACTGGACCCGGATCTCTGCGGAAAACTGGCTCGACGATTGATTAGATCAGTCCTCACGTAGATCTTCCGTAGTTAGGATGCTCCACCATCTAAAAGAGTAGGGTAGCGAGTTCGATCCGATTGCCCTTCTTTTTGGGTGCCGCATGCCTAGGTCGGCCATGCGCTTTTCATCCCATATGGCGAATCCATACTTGCGCCAGTGCCGAAAGGGATAAACGAGCGTGAGTGGGCACCCATCAAGCCATCCATCGGTGGTGGACATGGCGTGATGGAAGTGGTACGACCATGGCGCTCGGTTTAGGTTGTCTGGTCCCTGACTAAAGGCATCCTTGTTGAGCTCGAAAAAGGGAGGCTCGGCACAGGTACACCTTGGCACTGCCCGTTCAACCCAATGTATTGCTGGCAAACTACGAGCGTTGTCGTGAACAGCTTCCACTGAAGGAATAGTCCTAGAGGTGACTGCGCCGAGGAAATCGCAGGCGGTCAGAATCTGCTCTCGCTCGAAGCCGGATACGTCGTAAAAGCCATCCGGGCTACTCCCGAACAGCATGTCAACTTCTTGCCCCGACCAATAGGTGCCCAGGCGGCCATTGTTACCGGCGTCCTGAAGTTCCAACAAGAACTGCAGTCGCCAGAATGCTTTGATCATTCGTTGCTCTTCCACCCACAAAGGGGGGCCGGTATACTGTGGCAGGTAGTCTTTGCGACTCTCGGCCTTTTCAAATTCTTCCCGAGATGTACGGCCAGCCCCATTCTTGATGAGCGTGGAGGGCCGTAGCTCCATTGATTTTTCTATTAAATGTTCGAGGCAGGCATGGGACCAGGCATGGACATTCTCAATGGTGGCGAGCAAAGACCGTACCGCAGCGGCTTGATCAAGCCTGGACGAATGCATTTCGTCAACCTTGGTCGAGTCGATTTCCGCTACCTTCTGAGCCTCAGATAAGGATGCTGGAAAGCGCGAAAACCGCCCTTTGTAAACTGCGTATATTATGCGACAAGTCGCTAAAGGAATGCTAGCGTTTAGGATCACCTCCACAATTTTGAGCGGATATCTATCGAGCACTCTGCCCATGGCGGGCGACGCGTGGGCCAAGCTCCGTAGTGACAAGGAGTCTGGTGTGAGTTTGATAATTTTGATTCTGAGCTCCTCGGGAAGTCGGCCAAACGCGTCTCCAGTGTTCTTTGTCATCTTGATGGTGCTCTCAAGGTGGGCGTCTGGGGAGAAGAAGTTACGGACTGGACAGAGATAGCGGTATTATATTATGCGAACATGACCAATGATACGTCATGCCGACTCATAACGCCACAGTGTCTGTGCGTCCCGTGCACGTCTCAGCTTTATGCACGCGAACACTAAGATATGTATTTCCTTAGTGTAATAACTATAAATACTATTGTAGATAGAAGTGATAATGTTCAATAACCTCTATAAAATACATAAAAATGTGCTGCGATCTAGGTATTGTTGTTAAGCACAAATGCGGAACGTTGAATTCCTATCCCTACTGTACTCTATGATTGTGGAAACAATTGTCCGGCTGGCAGCTCAACTACGTACGCAATATGTTGGCGCGTGAAGTAAGAACATAACTGGCACATCTGCTTCAAAAAACACAGTCGCGGACTCACGTCCCAAAAATCTCATCCAAAACGCCGCCACGAATGCAAACCGCAGGCTCATGCCCGCCATCAAAGCTCGCTTCTCTCCCCAGTCCCCGCCAACTCAACCTTCATTGCCTCAACCGTAAACTCAACCTCACCATCACCAATCTCCTTATGACTGATTTTCCCGATCGTCTTCCCATCATCGGGCACATTTGAATACGTCTCCAGCCCCTCGAACACGCCTGCCAAGTCAGCAACCCGTCAAGATAAATGCGAAAACGAAACACATCGGAGAGAAAAAGAACTCAGAAAAGGGGAGACTTAGCACTCACCTCCACATCCCTCGTCGCCCTCTACCCACAGCGGCAGCAGCGGGTAAACCGCGCCGGGTGCAAAAAACACGACTTCCCCATGCACACTGTAGTGCCTCTGCGTCCCCTGGGTCTGGATCCAGTTGCGCACCTTCTTTGGCAGGGCCGCAGCATCCATCATCAGCAGCTCACGCTCGTTGCCGTGCTTGTCCACGCCAGACCAGGACCCGGGGTAGAGCTGCTTGTTGTAGAAGACCTTGAGCGTTGGCGCGTAGTCCTCCAGGTCCGGGTAGAGCTGGGAGAGCTTGTAGATGGCGGCTTTGTAGGTGGATTTTGTAGCGCAGCTGGTTTTGAAGGGAGTCAGGGTAGTGCTGTTCCAGGTTGCGGTCCAGAGAGCGCCGGCGGGCGTTGGGTCGGCGGGTGGCGCGTCGGAGTCAGGTGCGGCATCTGCTGCTGCTGCGAGCGCGGATGCTGCGAGGACGGGAATGAACGCGAGGAGCTTCATCTTGCCAAGTCCGGTTTGGTGCCGTGGGTGAATTGTGAAAGGTGGGTCGACAGTGCTGAGTAAGTACCTGACTCTAGAGAAAAGGATCGAAGCACAGAACAGCTCGACTTCTTCTTTGAACTAGAAAACGAACAGTTTCATTCCCAGAGCAGGCTATATACGTCTTCGACCCGATTTCATACCTGTCCTTTTCCCCCGATCAGGCGCTTTCGCGTCGCGCTTCCGCATCCTATATTAACCGCAGGGTTGCCCGCGGGGTTGTTAGATTAAAAAGACAGATGGCACGGTAACCACGGCGGCAAGTCGCGCAAGGAAGCGCAACGTGTCTCGTAGTCGCGAAGTGACTTTCTCGCGGCGGACAAGCTGGGGAAGTTGTGCTGTTGAGGCGTGCGATAGGTAGAGTGTAGGTATGTACCCCTGCCTATGACGCAACGGGGATCGGCAATCAACACCCCTGCTTCCATCATGCAACCTGCCAACGGTTGGCGAGATACAAGTGGCAGGTAGCAACCGAACCTGTAGCAACTCTTGTCAGATGTATGGCGACGCCACAAGGAGTTTGAGTTCGCGAGCAGGTTTTGTACCTGGCGCGGTACCTGGCAACAACCATGCCCCCGTGAAGATGTGAAGTAGAAAAACGGGTGAGCTTGCGCTCTGTGCTGGCAACTGTCTTTGTTCCGCCACGAAGAAGCTGGCCATGCGTTCCTCAAACCGAGCGTCCGTCGAGGACGAGAAAGTCGCCCGCGACCAACCTCACGACGCACCCTCCTCCCCCGCGCTTGCATCTCCGCCCCGCCCCGCCCTACAGCGCCGCCGCACCACAGCTCGCACCCGCTACATTGATATGCTCCTTGGCCTTGACACTGTGCCACCACTCCACAACATCCTCGCCTCTGCTGCTGTCTGGGTGCTACTAGCCGGCTACCTCGTGTTCCCTGCAACGTTCAACTCCTTGTCGCGCTCCGCGCTCGACGATAAGGCAGATACGACACTCAAGGCAAAAGCATTAGCGACCGCTCGTAACGTGCCGCTGCTTTGGGTGGCGGGCGCGGCGTGCGCGGGCGGCGTGCTGGGCTGCGCGGTGCTGTGGTGGATTCACCGGCGTAACTACGTGTGGGTCATAAATCGGATTTTCTTGCCAGCGTTGCTGAATAGCATTGCGGGACTGGTGGGGACGCTGGTGAATGTGTATAGTGCGCAGGATGGTAAGTAGTCTGAGTTGCTGATGTAGGTGGGAGCTAACGGATGTAGGGCAGTATTCGGTGACAGCGAGGGTGACCGTGATAGTCACGGGAGCCTGCTCAGTGGTTACGGCGGGATTGTTCTTAGTGTACAACACGGTGATGTTGAAGCTGGTAAAGAAGAAGCATGACAAGGAGGTCAGAGCTGCGGAAAGGGATGTTGAGGTGTGATGATAGTATGTACTGATTGAACACCGCTTGCGCAGTTGCGTATGTATGCATATGCTATGATGGAAGGGAGATATGAATGACCCTTAACTTTTGAAACGAAAAGCAAAACAGATGTAGTATAGTAGGAGACCGGAGCGTGAGCTCATCCATGTATGACGCCGCGAAATGCAAGTTGATATACAGGTAGACGAAATGAAACAGAAGCTAGGCAACACTTTTTACCTCAACACTGGGCCTCTTCTTTTCATCGACCGATGGTAAGTCAGTAATGACGTCGGTGATAGGTACAACACTTGAGATGGTAGACTGTTGCCGCAAGCCAATTTGAGATGCAGCCGCGCTCGTTGCACCTGCATCCAAAAGACCGGTACCAGCTGCAGTTTCTCCAAGCGATGAAGTCGGGCGCTCCTCGTCTTTTACAGTGGGCTGGTCGTAGTGCCGGAAAATAACAAAGAAAATGACTGTAGTAACGACCATCGCACCAGTCAGAGAAGCGTAGAAAATGACCATTAGCGGGGCGTGTGCAACCGGTGTGAGCGCCATGGCAACGGTTGAGCCAACACCAGCAATAAGCAGGCTGGCGGCTTGCACAACAGCCTTCATGTCTTTGGGCGAGTGGTCGTAGGCGTACTCCAGAGCAGTGACCATCGCGAACACCTCGCCGATAGCAAGAAGGATGTAGAGTGGTGCCTGGATCCAGACGTTGATCTTGGCACCGGGAGAAGAGTAGATAAAATGCTGGATAGTCGTAGCATACAGCATGGATGAAGCAACAAAACAGAAGCCAATAGTGATGCGTGTGACAGGTCGGAGGTAGATGCGTCGGCGGTGGAGGAACGGATAAAGGACTTCCTGAATAAGAGGCGCGAACACAATGCAGCCCGCCTGATTCATGGCCGGCACCAAGTCGTTCGGGGTGCCATGAGTCTCCATCTCGGCTGCTTGGGAGATTAAATTGTTCTGCATCTGATCAAAACAGACGTAGAAGACGACGAATGCGATGAGAACTCGACAGGCCTTCAGACCTCGGGTAACCTCGTTGACAAGCTGACCGGTCCAGGAGACAGTGTTCTGGCGGTGTGCGAGCTGGTACTCGGGCTGAGCATGATCCATTTTGAAGCCGTTGCGACAGGCACAGACGACGATCTTGGTGGCTGCAGGGAGCACGTTGCCTTCGTGTGGGGTCTTGATGTACCACCGCTGCCCAAATACAAGCATGACGGCCGCAACGACCATGAAACCAAGGCACAGTGAGTACGCTGACGTGAAGCCGGTGTGTAATTCGAGATAGACAGTCAAAAACCAAGACAAAGAACCCAAGTTTCCCACCCAGAAGTACAGGTTGTAGATGTATTGGAGGGTGAGTTGTCGGTCGGTGATAACTTCTTCGCCGGTCTTGAGTGTCTTAATGGTCGATTTGTCTTCGGTGTATTGGTCAGCGATGAAAGGCACCATGATGGCACGGAAGCCGCCGCCTCCCAGCGCAATCAGTACCATTGCGAGGATGAGACCAGGTAGCCCCCACCCTTTGTCCAGTTGGCTGGGTATCGAACTCACAGTCAGTGCTGCACAACCAAGACTGTAGATGGCAACGCTGATCATCAACGTGGTGAAGTGGCCCAGCCAGCTGTCAGCCAGAATAGCGAATAAGGTTGGAGTGGTGTAGTATAGGATATAGAAGGCACAATAAATCCTCGTAGCCATTGCCTGGCCGAGACCGAGCGCTCCGGGTGTTTGGCCTTCCTCGTAGTGAGGGGGATGTTGCATGTAGTTTTCTGCGCGTGACTGTTAGCCTGAAAGAACTCTCGCAACAGGTAGTCATCCTACGCCATGGGCCTGTGATACCCCAAAACGCCGCACGTTCCCAGAAGGCAATCACCGCCACCACCCACAGCTGCCACGGCATGTCATCTCGAACACGCCGCAAGTCATTGATGCCGACGAATGTTTTCGACGATCTCGTACTCGTAGTTGCCGAATCGCTATAGCACTGTTAGCAATAGTTATGCAAGGCGCCGCGACGAATTCATACCCGGTACAGCATGTGGAGTTTGGTGAAAGGGCTGGCTTCCGCTTGCAGTCCTTGTGATTCATACTGCCGATGAAGAGCCTCGCTGGAAGGCTCTGGTTCCGTAAACTTGTCTGGCAAAAACGCGATGAGCGTTTTAATCCAATTTAGTATAAGTGCCGACAACTTGATGTGGAGCCGGAGGTATTTAAAGAAGTATCCAGAGGTAAAGGCGCCTGCAATCTGCGTTTGTGTAAAACCGAAAACAAATGTCATGCGGTCAGGCGCACTGCGTTAAGTAAGTGGGCGTACTCAAACTTGTAACCAGCATGCAAGCTTGAAAACCTCGAGGCTGTGTCGAAACTATGATGAAGGTTTACTTTCGATGCGGCGCTTCCGAATTAGTGCAACGAAAGTCTAGGTGATGCTGTTCCTGTACACTGCGGCAACTGTTCAAGACTACCTACAGGACAAGCCAACGGATACCACCCAATATGATCTGCTACGCAGATGCATAACTAGGCATTTCCACAATAGTCGGCGCCCACGTTGTACAAGGCCGTTTTCGTTGCGCCCAGACCTGCCGGTCGGCCTATTACGTGAGTGTGAGCTTCCGAATGGCCAACGTGCGTTTGAACAAGCAGTCTACCACCTGTAACCAGGCGTGCGGGCTGAGCGGCGGCTGAAATGGCGGCTGAAGCGAGCCTCGAGGCTTCGCCTAACCCGCGGAGTTGGGCCCGCACTGCTGCTTGGGCGCGGACGCGCCGGTAGACTGTGACCTCGGTGCCGTTTGAGCCAGCCAACGCATGCTGTGAATCGGCATCGCGTGGTGGACTTGACGGTCAGCAGGTTGTGGCGTCGAGTTCTCGAGACCAATAGCTGTGATCGAGCCTGCGTCGGTGGCTTCTTGACGTCCTCACCGCCAGCTGAGAGACCGCTGCGCGATATCTCAACGCACGACGATAGTTCAGGAGAACTAACGTAGGGCAGAAGACAGCAGCTGATAGATTCTCCAGGTTGTTGCTTGCTGGTGCATGTTTCGCAGACCGTGGCAATGGGACGCAAACAAAGACTTGTATGCGCCCTAAGTAACACCTGTGCGACGCTTCTCGACTAAACTGATGGCAAGCTGCATGTCTTTTACCAAAGTAACGGTCAGAGACAGACGAAGTTTGGGCGATCTGGGGAATTGCGCTTGAGGCTGCAGTTCATTGTTTGTGAAGTCTGGAACGTCGAGGGAGGAGCTGGAGAAGAGCGCTAGTTCGCTAGTCATTCGCGTCCTCCACTCTGCCGGCAAGCGGCCCCACTCTCACTGGAATCATTGCCGACCTATTGTTTTCTGTCATCCAAAAGTCGCAATTCATGCATTTCCATCTCACGCATCGCCGGCACCTGTGTGGCGCTGCTCTTGCGCTCGCTGCACCACATCCCGCGCTGCCCATGATCCCCAAGTTTCACGTCCTACGCATGACTACATCTGATGGCCCTGCCGCCCCGCCCCAAACAGCCTCATTTTCTCATTTCAGCTGATGATTCAGATGCAGATGCAGCAGCAGCCGAGTAAACCGTTCGCCGTCGCACAAGATCTGCCCATCAGTGAAGCGGCTGAAACCAGGACAAGCGGCCGGGTTGTGAGTCGCACGATCGGCCGTTGTAACGCGCCCCCAAATGGACGTGGTGCTCGTATCGCAAATCAAAATGCTATATTTGTGGTGTTGGTATATTGAATTTCCCATGGTGCCTCGAGCGACGAGAGCCCAGTGAATATCGATGATGAGTTAACATCAAGACAGTGTCACGTCACTCGAATATATCGGTGCCTGGTAGGTGGAGTGATTCTACATCCCTCGGTAACGTATGCACCACGTGTCCACGTCGATCTTGCGCAGACATCAACCAGCACCCTGGGCCTCGTTACATTCCCACTCGCTAGCGAAGTCGTGCGAACTTACCCACAAAACGCATAATCACACAAACGCTCATACGACGCACAAACGATAGACACGACCCGCTTGGAGTCTCAGATATTGACAAACTGTCACTGCTTTTGCCGGAAACCGACTTCAGTACAGCACCGGAACCCTGAGTACGCTCAGCCTTCTTTCTCCCGTAGGAACAATGCGCACGCTTTCTCTCTACGCCCGACCCTTGCCTTTGTCCTTACAGTCCTTGCAATCCTTCTCATGCTTTAGGCACTGATTGCACATGTAATCCCGTTCAATGTGCTTGGGGAGGATACTCCCGCACGACCCATGAACGCCGTATTTGACTTTCGAACAAAGCTTGTTCGTTGCGGCTGCTGGCTGGCAGCCGCAGGAGTAGTTGGTGTAGATTTTTGTGCACATATTATCAGTAGTAAGGGTGTGTTGTTTGTGGTTACGATACTGAATTGAGAGACCGGAGGGTGTGGGATGTGGGCCCAAGGTTTTATAGGCCTCATGAGGTGTGACAGTAGAGGAATGGTCAATAGGTAGGCGTTCACGGTCAGTGGAAAGGTGAATACTTCGCGGAGTAGAATGATGGAGTGTATCACTATAAGAATGCCAGTAATTGTTATGGACTACCGAAACTATGCGTGGTGTCCGTTCATGGACAACGTGCTTTGTACGTGTGGGTGTTTATTCAAACATCGAGCAACGACTTCAGAGGTGCATGCAAAAATGATACACTGTGACGAGATTCATTCAATCGCTCTCTTGTCGGTATAATTGCAAACGACGAATCTGGTGCCGAGGGCTAAGACGTCGACGACAGTCTTGTGTGTCAACTTGCGTTGTCGTGAGGAGCAATCCTTGCTGAGATTATCACAACCATCACGTCGCGGGATTAGCGAGGCCCTGTTTTATCACCGTATCCCTCGAGGGCTCAACATCATTCACTGGAAGCACGAAGATCGACATGAACATCATTTAGAAGCCACAATCAAGACATTTCAACTCAATGGTCAGCAAGCCAGGACCACGGCGCACCGCTGAAAAACCACACAACCCAAACACACCACCTCCCCCACGACACCTCAAATCATCACGATGGCTTCACTGCTCACCAATCGCCCCGCCCTACACCTCTCCTACCTCAAATCGGCGACGTACTATCCGCCCTAGTCCCTACACGCGTACACCCCGTACACCAAGCATGGATGTGATCCATCGTCTTATCATGCACCGGCTCAGGACAGCTATGCGCCTGCACGCCAAGAGCGACGGCTTTGTCGCAGCGAAACAGGCTCCAGATTACGACGGGGGTGCAGCCGCATGTATGGCTTCGGATGGAGTAGTTGCACATAGGTTAGTGTCTGCCGGGGTTTCTTGGTGGTGTTGGTGTCTTGCGGTGTGGGATTTAGAAAATTCGGTTTGATTCTGTGGGTTTGGGGGTATCTTGGTGTTGGTGGTGGGTTTTGTGTCGGGGACAGGCAGAGCAATGTGTCTTTATATACCGTTGTGCGGTGTTTCGTGACGGGGTAGAGATGTGCCATGCATACCGACACATTGAAGTAACCCTCTATTGACGGAAAGGGACTGATTTTTTGGTCATGCGTCGGCCAAGCTGTTGAGTAGAGAATGGAGACAGTCAATACCGTGACAGTGTGAATCCATTTGGCTACTATCAATATGTGTGGCATCCAAACTGTGGAATTGTAGGTGCCGCCGCTCCGCAGCTTCGAAAGCTCAATTGTTGTACATACCTCTCTTGTGGCGGACAGACTGTGAAAGAACACGCAGGGGAAAACTTATCCGTCGTGGCAACATTAACGTTCCGAGTCTTCAGAGACCCGGAGTGGGCTTATCACCTTTCCTTCTTTACTCTCAGCAATAATGACATCAACAGAACCTTGTTGCCCATGGTTTTAAGTGGGCAATCACGCTTTAGCACATTTGAAATCGCGGGATGGACTGGCCATGTTGTGCCAGAGGCGTCTCCCCCTTCTCCTTACTTGCACTACAGTGCACAGAAAGTTATCAGCAGGCAAGGCAGTACCCTGTAATAGTCAAGCTAGCGGCTATAGCAGCAGCAACGTGCTTCGTAGTAGCCACAGCTGACTTCGTGTCACAGCACGGTATGATGCCGCCTACTTGACATACTCCGTACATGCGTCTTCGTCCAAGTGCGCATTCACAGGTCGAAGAGACAGGCTAGGTGTGTATACTGAAGTTATATGCTGTGAAAATAGAATGCGTGTGCTTTGGCCATCAATGATGCTTCAGCCTTGACGCTTCGAACACGGATGTTGACAACCATGCTCTTCCACCTGCTAATGAATAACTACCCAGTGTCCTGACGTGGCGCGCTTCAAGTCCCTCTCCACAGCTGTTTTTCACTCTTAAAGTCACTCACGTCCCATTGACCACGTCTTTATACGCTTTATATAAACCTATCTTTTACAACCTCTCAGCCTGTAGAACAACCAACTAACCAAAGAACTAACGAACTAACCAACAGACCAACCAAGTCATCAGCTACCCATTCAGACAACGAAGAACTAAAATAACCAACCGAACAGCCAGCCAACCCGCCAAACCAGCAAAATGTGCACATACTACACCCGCGCCTACAACTGCGGCTGCCCCGCCCTCAAGAAATTCTTCTCGCGCTGCCGCGCGTCCATAGCCGCAGGCACGTCGTCTCGCAATTGCACGGCCCCCGTGCATGATAAGACGCTGGATGAGATTGTGGGGTGGTGTCCTGGATGTGCTAGGTTGGCTACGAGGAGGGATAGTGCGTTTCTTGGGTAGGCGTGGTAGCGGAGTAGTAGGGTATGGAGTTTAAATGTGATTGTGTGCTTTGGTGTGGGTGTGATGTATGCGGTTTGGGCATTGAGATGGCCGTGGGGATGTCTTGCCGGAAGTATCGAGGATGTGCGTGATGCTCTGTCGATGCGGGATGTGTGAGTGATGGTGGTGGTGGTCCATCGGTGCAACTGGTCCATTGAGACTACGGTTTCAGTATCGCAACTGCGATATCGCTCAGCAAGGTGATCAAAAGGTAGGTGAGAGAATCGTGTGTCAATTGTCCAACTATGCTATCTCGAAGCCGCAGAGTATGTAGGTGTATGAACAAAATCAGCGCTAGTATTAGATAGGTGCAGCCTTCTCACAAAGGTGAAGAACAACGTCCAGGGTAGGTGCATCTACACCGCAGGGTAAGAGCTTCCTGAACCGTCACAGTTGCTAAAGTTACTGTTACTTGCACTAAAAGAAGTTGGTTTACTATGTAACAAGCTGATCTTTATGCAACAGACTTCACGCTGTGCCCCTTATGCATTGCATTTGTCCCATTTGAGCCGCTGTGCTGTTGCTGATCTGGATAGTAATGAGGTAGCTTTCCCTTCGCCCGCTCTCTGACCTCTTTCATGTATCGATCTTGTTCCAACGTGTGGACATTGAATACGCGCAGAGTTCGGTGCTTCGTCGCCGCCCCAAAAGCGCGTCACTGCGAATGCGACGACTAGGAGTCCGCCAGAGCCAATGATGACCATTGCGATGACGACACTGGGTGAGGCCATATTGTCTCTCTTGTTGAGGTAGAAGACTGAGGTGGTGTGACTGGCGTCGCCGTTGACACTAGATTCAGGGAAGAATATATTGGAATCGCAACAGCGAAAGAGTTGTAACAGAGAAAAAAGCTTATGACACGGCCTTACTCGGGTTACCGGCACTTGTACTTCAGGGGGTCCCGGAAGCCGCGGGCTTGGAGTCTTCGGATTGGAGATGCGGCAGCAAGGAGGTAGGTTGCATGATTGATTAGGCTTTGTGGCAGTCAAAGCTCGCCAGTCCTTCATCGCCAATGAACACAACAGCGCCAAGACATTAGCTACTGCAATCAGGAGGACCCTGACTGCGAGAGACTTTTACGAGTGGGCCCAGCTTGGGTCAGTGACCTGACAGTGAGGTCCTATCTCATGTGACTTACAACAGAAGGGCAGTGTATATTGTAGCAAGCGAGGACTCACTATCGTGTGAGTCGTGATGTTTTTTTTTAGCTTGCCTAGCTTAGCGGCTTAGTACTGAGGCCTGACATATGCAACTTTGAACTACTATTACGTCTACCTCTATACTAGCATATTGTTCAGCACGCTATAGAGTAAAGATAGCATGCCTAAGTAGGGTTGCTGTGATACGTATGCACCGATCTCGGCAGGCAGCTCGTATTATTGGACTTACTGATTGCAATCAAGATTCCAGCGAGTATATATGCCGTGCCGAGTGTCGTGAGTGATGGTGGTGGTGGTCCATTTGTGCAGATGTAGCAGGTGACTGGGAGTTGGATCACGGATCTAGGTTACATGGGATGAGTCGACTCTCCTTGAACGTGGTGGTGCTCAACGGGTCAACTGATGGCAGGACTCAACGTTCGCGTCACCGCCAGCACCACCCTCCTCTCCGCCGCCACGCGTACCAGCACCCAGCAGGCAAAAGCCCGTCCTTGCTCTCTCCCCCACGTGCTTCAAACCTCCTTCGCACCCCCCCGCTTCCTCGCCCTCCGCCTCTCCCTCTCCTCCCTCCCCGCATGCCTCACCGCAGCCACCATATTCCAAAAGAACACGCCCGCGAAAACCACCCCAACACCCCCCAACACCGCCACCACACACACCATACACAGCACCACGACCCCAAACGCGCCCCTTAAAAACACCCGACTGGAATTCAACTCGTCCAGCGCCGTCCCGACCTGCATCGCACTTAAAACCAAGCCCAGGAACACGAACACGACGAGCAGCCACGCGACGTTGCGCTCGAAAAACAGCGCGTAGCGGTTATACCCGTACAAATACCCCCTCACGAAATGCGTCGCGAAGAAGCGCGTGCGGTAGATCGAATTAACGCGGGCGAGCCGCAGATCGCCGAACGCGAAGCGCGGGTTCACGGCGTGCGCGGCGAGGCCCAGGCGCCGCAGGACCTCGCTCGCGAAGGGCTTCCACCAGGCCCAGGTCAGCGCCGCGGGGACGAGGGCGTGGGCGTGCGCGAGCGCGAGGTCCAGCGGGGTCGTCAGGAGCCAGGTGTAGCTGAGCAGCAGCCCCGCGGCGGCTTCCCACAATGGCGGGGAGGTCAGGTGGGTGCGCCAGAAGGCGGCGTCGAGGAGGTAGTCGGGCAGCGGCTTGAGCAGGATTTTGTTGGAGAAGCGCAGCAGGTGCAGGTCCATTTGCGTGGTGGCGAGGGGCTCGTAGGCGTACATCTTGTAGCGGTGCAGGGGGCGCGCGCGCATGGGGCGGCCCGCCATCCACAGGTGCGCGTGGATGGCGTTGAGGCGGGAGAGGTCGAGGTCTTGCGCCAGGAAGGCGGGGATGTCGTCGTTGGCGAGGAAGGCGGTGGCGCCGCGGCCGGCGAGGGTGGGGAGGGAGTCCAGCGTTGAGAGGGTTGGGGTGTCAAGGACGACATGATTGAGTTGTTGCGATGAGGTTGGCGATGTAGCGGCTGAAGTCGTTGGGAGAGGTCGGGGTGTGAACGGGGCTTCGAGTTTGTCGGCCATTTCAATACTGTCCACGCTGGTCGCCATTTCGTGTTAGAGGGAGGGGGAGTGACGCAGAGGAGATATATACGACTATCAGGAAGATACCCAGTCTTGCACGTGACTAGGCTGTCTCACAGGCTGCAGTCTCATGGCTCACAGCCTCTCAGCCATCACAGCCCCTGCGGACCACAGGTCTCAAATGGGCAATACAACAAACGCCATGTTTTGTGCAATGCTACCTAATGAAAATTCTCCATGCCTACACATCACTCTTAGTTTGAGGAATGTGGATGAAGATGCTGCTGAACGATGGGTGAGTATCATCGACTGGCAAGGCGAAGCAGTGGAGTTCAGCTGTCCTGCGCCAACCCCACACACCGCGGGCGCTAGCCGAGCGACACCCAAGAGCCAAAAATAGCCGGTTCACGATCACGTGCGGATTCACTCCACGCATCACCACAGCGTCTTGAACAAGAAACCCTGCATTGCACAAAACGCCGGTCCTCTAATGCATTCGCCCTAATTTTCTACCACCCCCATTAAATGTCTCCTATTTACAGTAATTTGCGGGAAAGCTCCCCTTCTGTCCATTAACCTCGCCCTCCCACCAATCCTGCGAGCTCTCTGTCTTGCGCACAACCTTTATGCGGTCGCCCTCGCGAAACGACAGATCACCCGCGGTGTGGGAATCGAAGTCGTACATGGCCGTGACGTATTGTGCTTGGAAGGAGCCGATTTTCTTCGGAGGCGGGGGTGGCGGGGGTTTCTTTTTGCCGGCGGCGGGGTTGGGTGTGCCGGCGGGTGTGTAGGCCGGGGCAGAAGCGGTAGAGGAGCGAGAGGGGATTTTGCCGAAGTAATCGCGGTTGGGGTTGCTGGACTCGGCGCCGGGGGTGGTGCCGTTGGAGTAGGTGGAGGTGTACGAGGTGGAGGAGGCGCGCCGCCCGAAGTGGTCGCCGTTGGAGGGAGTGAGCATGGGCGAGCTCGAGCTGGAGATTTTGGGTTTCGAGGCGTTGAGGGACTGGATGGAGGGTTTGCTGGCCAGGTTGTAGGCCGGCGGGGGCGGGCCGTCCTCGTCGGGCGATGTCAGTGTGGTCGAAGGTTTCGAGACTCGGCCGCCCGCGACGGTGGGCGTGATGTCGCTGCTGGCGCGGCGGCCAGGGAGGACCTTGTTTCTGATGCCCAGCCCTGTCAAGGTATCCCCCTTATCGGGCAGGCGCATGGGCTGGTGCACCGCCTTGCCCGTGCGAATGAGCGTGAACTCCGTCTCCATCTCCTTGCGCAGCGGCGTGAAGGAGCCCTCCCACTCAGGGATGACCTCTTCGGGCTCTGGCGGCGGGTCGGGGTAGCCCTGCTCGTGTGAGTACTGGTGCAGCACCGTGTACAGGTTGCCAATCAGGTTGTTCTGCAGCACGATCTGGTTGGCGAGCAGGTGGGGCAGGATGGAGAAGGTGGCCTCGTTGAGGCGCGGCAGCGAGTTGCGCAGGGACTCGTCGGCGCTCCAGTAGGCGGCCTGCGAGCGCTCGAGGTCGGCCTCGTGCTTGTTCAGGGCGACGTTCTCGCGGTCGGTGCGTGTCTTCTTCTTCTGCAGGGCGTCGCAGCGGCTCTTGTAGCGCTCGTAGTCGACCTAGGCAGTCAGCGGGTGCTACAACACGCGACAAGATCCCTCACCTTGGCGTCCTCGCGCTTCTTCATCGTCTTGTGCATGGGCTTCAGCGCGTCCTTGGCCAGCTTGGCCGGGATGATCAGCTTCTTGTCGATGTCCTTGACCTCCTCCATCATGTCCGTCTTGAGCTCGGCGAAGGCCTCCTGCAGCGCCGCGACGCGCTCCAGAGTCGGCTGGGGCGTCTCGACGGCGACATGCGAGCTGAGCCCGGCCTTTTCGGCGCCCAATGGCTTGAAGATGGTGTACAGCTGCTCGATGGTGGCCAGCTGGTGGTTGAGGATGTTGGTCCAGGCATCGCGCCACTGCTTGGACGACTCTTCGAGCTGTGCGGGTCAGCCGAGTCCATGGGGGGGCTGCGGTGCGAGCGACGGGCGGACGGAGTCTTGCCAGCCCCACCGGTTCGCACCGCGGGCGCCGCTCGCACCATGGCGAGGGGGCGGCAGCAGCGTACCTTTGTCAGCATGACCTCGGCGTCCTTGAAGTCGCGCAGCATGGCCTCGATGTCGGCCTCGTTGGGCGTCCGCGGCAGGAAGCGCCCGGTGAGGCGTTGCATGCGCTGCATGGTGCTGGGGGGCGCAATTGCGGGCAATGCGGGCGCGGGCGTCGCGGTACAGAAAGGAATGACCTCCAAGCAAGCGGGAGGGGCTCTGCGGGTGTGGGCTCTGCGGGCGCTGCGGGTGCTGGCTGGCGACTGCGCCCGTTGTGGCTGTGGCAGCTAACGGCTCGCGGAAATGTTAGTGAAGGGGACGGGAGAGGGGCTCGCTGGGTGCTGCGTCAGCCAGGACACGAGCGGTGGGTAGGACGGCACGCCGCAGTCAGGCATCCCGACGCGACCGCGCGAGCCATGAGCGGACGGCGATTCGAGCGTCGCGCACGCAGACACAGCCGGCAGCGGACCGGTGAGTGCTGGTGCTGGTGCTGGTGCCTGGCCTAGGCCGGCGTCACGTTTCCGCGCGCCTGACCCGTGCCGCGACGCGTCGCTGTGGCCGCCGCCATCGCGCCCGTCCTCACCCTCCCACGACGACGCGCCCATGTCTCGCAGCGCCCCCCGCAGCCCCCGCAGCGCCCGGCCTCGCCCTTCGCCATGACGGTCCCCCGCGGCACGCCCCACGCCTCGCAGACGGCGCCCGTGGCCGAGTTCCGCTGCCTCTACACGGCCGACGTGCGCAAGAAGCAGAAGAAGTGGCAGGATGGCTTCCTCAAGTTCCACGCCTTCAACAGCCGCGTCATGGTGTACGACCACGCCCGCAACTTCCTCGGCGACACGTACTACAAGGACCGCGACGCGCTGGCTGAAGGCGACGAGCTGACGCTGGACAAGGGCGTGCTGGTCGAGGTCGCCGATGCCCTCGGCGTCACCCAGACGGACCTGGCCCCGCTGTTCGAGCGGAGGCCGCAGGGCGTGGCGGGTGCCTCGAGTGCGTCGGGCGTGCCGAGTGTGCCGAGGGTGCCGCTGGGGGCGCCGCTGAGTGTGCCGCCGAGTGCACCGCGACGCTTCCAACCGCCCTCACACGTCGCCCGTCCGGCAGCCTCCTCTGCTGTCCGTCCGTCGGTCTCGCACGTGACCCGACCACCACCAATCGCTCCTGCCGTCCGACCGCCCACTGCTGCCACTCCTGCCGCGCGACCACCACCCACTACTGCTACTACCACTGCCTCCACCGCCACCGCCACGACTACCCCCCGCACCGCCCAGCAGCTGCGCCACAAGTCACTCAACACCCTGCTCGGCACCCCGAAAGGACCCATTGGCAAGTCGGTGCCCATCACCTCGCCTTACGAGGCCCGTCAGGAGCAGCAGCGCGAGAAGGAGAATGACTTCGCCGTGGACCGGGCCGCGAAGAGGCAGAAGACCACCCACCGGCCGACAACCTCAGTGACATCCCCAGTCGCACCAGCGACAACCTCAACCACCCGTTTGTCCAGTCCAGTCCAAGAGAGCCCCGTCCCGAGAAAGATCCTGCCACCGCCGGTGAGGACTTCTACCATGTCAGCGAAGGCTCCTGCTGTTTCAGCGCGCAAGCCAGCACGACCACTACCGCATGACACGCCAGTTGTCATCCTAGACGAACCGGACGCCGTCGCTCCTCCCTCTTCCGACCCCTCGCTGCCTGACACATCCCCTGACGTCTCACGGACACCATCTAGGCCTGCCACGCCACCACCCGTCAGACCTGTGGTTGCTGCGAAGCAAACGCCCAGGATCCCTCGGGGGAGGGTCCCCGTTCCGAGCGTGAAAGCACTGGAGACACCTCGAGCCCCGGCACCGCCATCCTCACCACCAGTCAGCGCCTCGAACCGCTTGACGAACGTCGACTTTGCTGTTCAGCCTACGCCGATTAAAGCGCCTGCTAAGGGAGCGAAACAGCCCTCGCCTTTGCCTTCGCTGGAGCCTCCGAAGTCGCCCCCTCGAAATCCCAAAGCAAAGTCACTGCGGCTGTCCAAAGGCGTGAAGCGTGGCACACTGATGATTTGCCAGCCCACACCAGCCCTGCCACCTTCAAGGCACTCTAGTGAAGCTCGAGTGCTGGCCAAGAAGCCGAGTGTAGCGAGACGATCCAACACTCCCAATCGAAGGTCGCCCACGCCGCCGGCCGTGCAAGACACATCCACTGCTTCGATTGCCTCGAAGGCTAAGAGGAGAGCAGGCCGAGATACCGTGGAATGCGCGCGACTTTCTGAAGTGTCACTCGACGAGTTCGACGACGACCAGGAGTTGATGCACGGCTTGATGGATCAGCAACTCTTGGTGTCTGCAATACCGCCAGAGCCTATCGCGATACCTAGCAGTCCTGAAGTGGTCCTTTCTCGGCCAAAGGCAGCCAAAGCGGTGCCCACTACTCGTAAAACAGCACCACGAAAGGCAAGAGAGTCGGCATCAGTCAAGACGCCACCTCCTCCACCCACCAGATCAAACAAGCCAGTTCAGAACCCACAGGTGATACGAGACCCGTCCCCGCCAGCTGCGATGAATGCTGAAGCAGCGGATGTGCAGAGCAGAGCTGCCTCACCTGCTCTCAGTGTGTTGTCAGATTCACGGTCACGAACAGCGTCGCTGTCACCTCGCAAGCTTGCTGCATTGTCGACAGGCGGGTTTCGTAGAAATCCCAAGAGCGCAACACCGCAGCCAATTCTAGCCCCAGCACAACGCAACGAGACCGTCGCTCTGCCGCCACATCCTCTGCGTGCCAATAAGAAAGGCCCGCTGATGACCACAACCGAGCTTGCAGCCATGCTGCAACAGCCAAAGAAGAAGCGGCGCGCACCCGCTGACCCCATCGAGGATGAAGGCGAGACAGCAGAGACATCACCAAACCGCAAGTTTCGACGCGTACGTAGTGAAAACGACGCACCGATCCCGAGCACAAGCGAGGACTGGGAGAAGAGGAACGCGCCAAAAGCCCCCCTTGCAGCTACCGAAACGCTTATCGCCGACACCGCAGTCCCTAAGAAGAGATCCGGGCTTGCAGCGCTCATCAAGAAGACTGATCCACGTAAGAAGTTTGTCAGAACGCAGAGCCTCACGGTAGAAACCACCCTCCCTCCTGCCCATGCCACAGAGTCACCCATGGTGAGCCCGGTGGTGGATAAAGACATTGGGCCATGGAGTACGGAGGCGTTTGATCTGTTTGATTGGAGGCCACCGGGACGAGAGGAGCTGGGGGCTTGAATTGCGTCTTTGTAGAATATCCGGTCGAATAAACACGGCAACTTTGTCTTTGTTCGATTCATTTCGGCACTCGGAACACCGACGCCACGAGTCATGTGAGACCCACCTCATGCTTGTTATTGTACTCGCCAGGCAACAACTTGTATAAACCTCAGCGGTCAGCTTGTCAGCGACATTCGCTGTTTGCAGTGTAGTTAAATCGTCAATGGATACAAGCGCGCTCGAGAAGCTTCGCCAATGCGGCCGACTCGAAACTTACAGCACTGCACGACACCACCTGGGCTTCTACAATAATGTCGGTCTGACTGCGACGTACACGACATCGTCCGCATTGAAAGATCCTCTTGAGAATGTGGTGTTCACGGCCCTGCGCCATGTCATCGGGAAGCATTCCAACCTCAGCGCCATACCAGTCAACGAAGAGAAGTCAAGCCCCGACGTCTACCTTGCACGCCTGCCCGAGATTGACCTCCGCACATGCGTTGAGTTCCACGCTCGTACGACACCGATCCGCCAGGGCGACGAAGCTGACGATGAGCTCGACGAGCTGCTGCGCGACCAGCACGACCGCAACTTCAAAGGCAACGTCCCCTCACGACCATACTGGCGGCTGCTCGTCACCTCGTCACCCACGACCCCTGGCCCCTTCACGGCATCGTGGATCTTCCACCACGCGCTCTGCGACGGCGCTTCGTCCATGCTCTTTCACCAGAGTTTCCTCGACGGCCTGAACACCCCGGATCTAGACGCCAGTCCAATCGTCAAAGCACCCTCGACCTCCCTTCCCCCCTCCCTCGAAGAACTCCACCCCATGACCCTCTCCTGGACCCTCTTCCTCCGCGCCATCGCCAGCTCCATCCTCCCCTCCTCCCTGACCCGCCCCGCAAACCTCTGGACCGGCCCGCCCGTCCCGCCAAACGGCACCCCCGCCCCCCAATCAGCCACACAAACCCTCTACTTCTCCGCCGCCACAACCCGCGCTCTCGCCACAAAGTGCCGCGAAGAGAAAACCTCCGTCACCGCCGCCCTCACCGCGCTCACCGCCGCCGCGCTCCACGCCTCCGCCGCCCCGAACCAAGCCCTCAGCATCGACGTCCCCATCTCGTTGCGTCCGTGTCTGGCCCCGCGTGAGAATGAGATGCTCAGCGCGACCGCGAACTGCACCGCCTCGTTCCCCGCGCCCGACTCCGCCGCCACAGGCGCACTGCAGTATTTCTCCTGGGCCGCCGCACGCGCCGTGAAGCGCGACATCGCCACCGAAGTCCGCAAGAACGGCGCAGACAACCCCGTCGCGCTGCTGCGGTATGTGTCCAACATGGCATCGCACTTTACGCAGAAAGAGGGCGCGGAGAGGGAGGCTAGTGCCGAGGTGTCGTGTCTGGGCGTGTGGAAGGGTGTGCAGCGAGATAATGCGGGATGGGCGCTCTCGCGGCTGTGTTTTTCGCAGTGTGTGGGGCGCTCGGGGGCGCCGGTCGAGGTTTGTGCTGTTACGGGCGCGGACGGGTGTTTGGCGGTTTGTTTCCGGTGGGTTGGGGCGGGGGGCGTGGAGAGGGTGCCGGGGTTGGTGGGGGAGGGGGTTGAGGGGATTGTCGCGGGGGTGTAGGCGGGGTGCTGGTGAGACGGCGCGTGGCCGGGGGTCATGGGGGTGAGGAGGCGCGGTGAGAAGTGAGCAGTAGCAGAGGCAGCTAGGGGTGGAAACATGGCCTGTGATAGATGGCTGAAGGCTGGAGTGTGAACGTCAGCAGCGTCGTCAGCCAGAAACGAGAGACTGGAACATGATCATCGTTGTTTAGCAACGGGGAGTAAGCAGTAATCCTCGCACCCCAGACCGAGACCTCGAGTATTCCATCCGACAAAGACCAAGTAGCCAGTACTCCACAATCCCCACACCACCAACCCATCTTCTGCAACAGCAAAGTCATTACACCTCCCACCCGCACCCCCGAATCAAAATATCGAAACCCAAGGTATCAAACACCCAACCAGCCCGCATCTCTCATCGACCATCCACTGCAGCGCAACCAATTACTTCCGCCCATACACACCCCTCTCGTACACCCACACCCCCTGTCCCTGCCCCCCCACAACAACCCGCCGCGCATACCCCTGCCCATAGTGCCACCCATACGCCGCCTCGACGCTGGCGTGGTGCTGCTTTACTCGTGTCTTGATCGTGCGCCACAGCTGTGCTGACTTGGAGGGGCTCGTGGTGGGTTTCGTGGTGGGTTTCTGGACGGATGGTGATGGGGAGAGTGTGCTTGTCAGGGAGGTTGTCGATACGAAGGGTGCTTTTTTCATTGAGACGCTGAAGGAGGAGGAGGAGCGGGGGGTTGATTGCGCGGTTGGTGACATGTTTGCGGCTGTGGAGAGTCGGATTCGGATTTGTGGACTGGAGCGTGCTTGTGCGAGCTCGGTGTTTCCGAGCCCTGCGTTCGAGATTGCCGTGGACGAGAAAGCGTTTCGAAACGTGACGGTCGCTGGTTCGCGGTATTCGAACACTTATCCAAGGTGCAAGTGCAAGTCCAAGTCGATGACGATATGCTCAAGACAGCCGACGAATGGAGAAGTCCGAATAGGGAAGTCGCGAATCCAATGGAGATGCCCTACCTCACCAGCACCCGCAACCCTCTTTATACACACTCGTCTCATTTGACGACCCCGTATCCTACACCGACAACGGCATCACGCACCACGCCCTCCCACAACGCCCCAATCCCCCAGATGTCATTCCCACGCCCTGCCCCACACCCCACGCGCAGCCAATCAGCGCCCGCGTCGGACCCGGGACCCGCAACATCGGCGCGCGGTGTGCAGACGCACGCGACGCAGGCGTTGGTGCATGCAGGTCAGCGCTGAGTGGTAGCAGGCCATCGAACCCGGTAGTAGGGAAGCGCATGCCTGAGCCGGCACGACGGCGATCGGTGCAGCAGCTGGGTCGGTGTTGGGTGCTGAGTCATGCGGTGTGGACGAGCTGGTGAGTCATGCGCGCTGCGGATGCGGATTTGAAAGCAGATGTTGGGTGACATGCGCGCCCTGTGGCGGCGCGCCCTGTTTTGGACATGTGTGATGCGGTGGGTAGGTTGGGGGCGATGTCGGGGTGCTTTAGGATAATATGAAATGATCCCTTGCATTTAGGTACATGCGAGGGGTTTTCACAATATTAATATACTATGTTATAATACTAGATTTATGATAGAGAATTAAAGACATATAAAGCTTCAGTAAACTGTCTTCTGGGATGGCTCTCCTCGACTTGACAAAGGACATCGGGGCCGGGACAGGCGAGTTGTCGTCTGAACAATGGGCGTGAAAAGGAATACTCAGCTGTGACTGCATCGAGCCAAAGGGCGTGAGTTTGTTGAAACGACCACCGCTAAGGAACATTGAGCACCCACTTGCAGCGCATGGAAGCAGAATTGATGATATGATTGGTCGACCGTCAAAGATCCACCCAAGCATCGTACTTCGCCATAACCTCGAATTGTTGCCTTTTGCAAAGCAACAGCACTTTTATTCTGCTGCGATCTTCACCATGGCCGACACACTGCGCTACTGTACAAGTGAGGGAGATGGACGTGGCACGGCAATCGTGACCAGAGTCGAGCCCACATGGGACGACGATGTCGCTGCTCTGTTCAGTAGACCATACTGGACTTCCAACCCTGAACAGACCGGATCCCACTGGATATCGATCATGCGGGAATACAGCCCCTCAGCACCTGCGCATCTATCGCTTGACTTTGAAAACAGAGCCTCGGTTGAGAGCAACATTGTTACAATCTACCAACACTTGCGCTCAAGGTCCATGCCCATCACGAAGGATAATACACATTATTGGCCGCTTGAGGCATTGGAGACGTTGCGAACCTGGGCAAACCAAGGGTTTCGACAGACTTCTGCAGAGCCATTGCATTTCCGAGAGGTCATACCTGCACCACAGCAGCTTGATATGACAGACGAGACGAGGGTGCGAAAGGATATTCGCTCCCTAACACCTGGCGAATTGCAGCTCTACCGGGAAAAGCTGGACGATGTGCTTGGGGTTGGGCGCCTCGAGTCCCACTGGCAAGAGCTCGGCATTTTGCGTCAGTTTATCTGCGAAGACATACCCTGATGGAGGACATTATCAGCTAACGACACCACGGATTAGATGCGGAATGGTGTTTGCACTACCAGGAAGCATTCATATTTTGGCACCGAGCATATCTGCGCTACGTTGAGGAGCTGATCGACTTCCCAATTCCTTACTGGAACGGCTTCTCCGCTGATTCCAGCGATCCAACGTCTCCCTCCGCCGGTATACCCTCTATATTCTTGGAAGAAACTTATCTGCATTCCAGTGGCGAGGTGCGTAGAAACCCGCTGAAGTACGCATTGTCTCTCGACGGACAAAACAAAGCCGGCACAGGCAGATATGTTTCACGCTTCCCTGAACTTGAAGAGGGGCGTGCGAACCCTGAATGGCACAAAAAGGTGCATCTCTTCGACCTGTACCATCGGCAGATTGCGGAAGCGTTCTCACGGAAGAATTTCTCTCTGTCCGAAGGCCACGGATACCCATGGGCGAATGTGCCGGACTTCTCGGACGATCAGCCGGATGGATTGTATCCGGCGTCTGCACGGCAGTATTTCGATGGCCTGTTCGAACAAGTACACGACAACTACCACGGTTGGATTGGTCACGACATGGTGAGTTCGCATGCCACATAGCCACTTGTGAACTCGGATGGGAAGCTGATAAGCCAAGGCTGATAATTCTTACACCGCGTTTGATCCTATTTTCCTGAGTTATCACTGCAACATGGACCGCATTGCAGATTCGTATCTTCGACAAGATCCTGACCGATCCTTCTCCTCGAATTTCCCTCTCCGTCCCTTTGTGGACGGAGCTACTCGTGTAGCATACGAGGACCCGCGTGCATGGAGATACGTTACCATAGGTGACATGGCTAAAGTGACAGTGGCGAATCGATTTTGCTATGCACAGCCAGCAGTGCCAGACTACTTGTCTCTTCACCGAACCTTGCTCTCCAACGCTAGTCGCCCGTCCGGTGGAACGTCGCTTGCCCAAGATTTCACAAGCCTATCAACGGCACACACTGGCGGCAAGAGTGAGAGACAAGGCGTACCAGTCAAGAGAGATTTGGTTCCGTACATCGTGTTCACTGGGATAGCGTGTTTAAAAGATTCGTTCCAGATCGATGTTTTTCTAGACGGGTGTGACAATTCTACTCCTGATCCGGTAGAAAATCCCTTTTATATAGGACGGATCACTAGACTTGGTATGGGGAACGGAAGGGGTGGTGCGGTCGGACTGCGCAACGCCCAGAGATGCGATAAGAAAGCCATCTCACGTGTGCTGAGTGCCGCACACGTTAGAGAGAAGCTAGCTAAAGGTGTGGCTATTTTTCAGACTGTTACTGAGCTACACACAGGTCGGATAGCAGAGGAGCACGAGTGGGAAAAGTGGCCTGGCTTTCATGGTGAGCTCACATGGATGGAGGACTTTGATGTGATACCTTAGGCTTGTATTGTCAGGTCCCATCTCATGTTGCTTGGGATGGAAGGGCAACATATACTGTACCGAGCGAGGACTCACTATTGTGTGAGTTGTGATACTTTTTGGGCTTGCTAGCTCCGTGGCTCAGTACTGAGGCCTGACAACAACAACAGTAGTTAACAGTTGTTAAGTTGAGAATACTGTGCTTGAGATGCAGCATTAAATTACATTGACATTATTGACAATCGCCAGGTGAATCTACCTCTACGGCTTCACAATACGCTGGAATGGCAGTGTGTTATCTCTGAAGAACGTCGCCGTCGGCCTCGCTGCAAAATCAGGGTTGGTCGTGTTGCAGAGCTTCGTGAAGTCGCCGACTGCCTCGATCTTGTCCTCGATGATGCTCTGATACTGCGCGAGCGGGCACGACGATCCGGGGCCGCTGGTGCAGTTCGCAACCGGGTACACAACCTCGTTCAGGCGGATGCGCAGGTACGCGTCGCTCGTCGAGTTGCTAGATGCAGCGCAGGACAGGCGCTCGAACGCGACGGTGCCGCGCATGGTGAGGAACCGACTTGCTCGGAATAAGCGGTCTGGCAGGGTCTTGTTCGCGGGGAGCTGGGGCTCGTTGTCGAAGACGCCGATGGCTGCGAGGATCTGGTTGATCTGGCCGTCGTTCGAGAACGAGGCAATGATCTTGGGAGGCACAAAGGTTGCGTTGCCGGTCTGGTATGTTGCGTTTGGACCATCGACGAAGCGCTGTACCAGGCCCTCGACGACTGGCAGCATGTTGTACTTCTCGATATCAGACCCCAGGCCGTTGCCATACCAGTAGCGCAGATCCTGCGCGTACTCGTACTGCAGAGCCTCCTCCTCGGTGAAGATGTCGCAGAAAGGACTACGACGGCCGGTGATCTGCGTCTCGAAGCCACACAGGTATGGGATGATGGAGACATCCCACTGAGTAAAGTTGAAGCCTCCCTGGATCTTTGCATTCAGACGCGACCGGATCGGCGGCAGGTAGGTGTTGTCCCAAACGTCCTTGTAAGGACTGCCGCCTTCATCATTGTATGACGGGCACAAGTCACTGGTCGCCAATGAATTCATCCAGGACGTCGGATCGCTGCTGTTCAGAGCATAGATGGTGCCAAGATCAGTCGCGTTCGGACCAAGGAAGCCGTGAGAGAACAGCCGTGCGCTGTCACGCACACGGGGACCAGACTTGTAGTAGTTGGCCCACATCGTGAAGGGAGTGTTGTAGTCGTACAAATCGGCATAACGAAGACGCCAGGTTGCACCCATCTCGGTCAGCTCCTTGTAGCCCGTGATAGAAAGCTGGGCGATCTGGTTGGACGGATCTGACAGGACCGGCTTCCATGGTTTGAGGAAGTCCAAGCTCTCATCGCTCACTGTGAGGTTTGAAGCAGCTTGGACGCGGGTATAAAGGTCGACCCATTCCTTGTAGGCGCCGGTATCAGGGTATCGACTGCCATGACGGGAAAAGAAAGCCGCGAGATCCACCGTGCACCCTTCCGGAACCTCGGCTGAGATACCAGTCACTTCAGGTCCTGCGAGCTGTCAGTACAGCAAACATCGAATTCCTCCAGCTGTATGTACCAGGAAACCATTGCCCATTGCCACCAACATGTTGCAGAATGTTGAAGTCATCAGCGACCACCTTGGTGAGGACTGAGACAGCGGCGAGAACCGTGGTGAAGCGTTCCATCTTGCAGAGAGTATTGCGCAATGTCAGTTGGTTCAACGAGACACTTCCATAGTGTCGTCTTTATATCCATCTAATGCCCAGCTTCCATGATGTGCGCTCGGAGATGAGCTTTGGCAAATGTTCCCAACTGGGCAGCTGGACAAGGATCTTTGTGGGGCAGCTCGAACACGTGGGCCTCGTCGGGTGAAAGACAGGTCATCTCGTGTCGCCAACTTCAACTACCAAGATGCTGCGATGGATGGACCATCCTTCGCGCCTCATCCTCAGAAATTGTCGTGTTCGTGGAAAAGACAACCATGAGGCTGGAGTAAACCTCGGAATAATCAGCCGGGCCGATTACCGGAATCTAGCTGATTGTCCAAGCCACGTGCGCTTATCGGTATCTGGGGGTGCATCTTCGCTTCCAACACTGTCCCTTCACCTCCACGCTCTTCCATAACGCCCGGTTGGCGATGCATGCATTCTCGCCCATGGATAATTGACTATCCGACCAATTCCGGAGTAAGGATTTCCAATTGCCCGCCGAGTATGGTTGAACCGAAGCCACGCCAACGAAAATTTGCCCCACGCTCCCGCACAGGGTGTCTAACGTGCCGTGCCAGGCGGAAGCGGTGCGATAATCGGCGGCCAACATGCGACAACTGCACGCGTCTGAACCTGTCCTGCGATTGGCAAGCGCAGCGGAAACTTATTCAGGAATCCTCGCCAAGCTCCAGCTCGAGTCCTGAGGAGGTTATCGAGAGTGTGCCGGATTCTCTCGGGTGTTGGGATTTGCTTCCGGGGGATGCTGGAGCTGAAAGACAGCACTTGCTACAGTACTATATCGAGAAATTTGTACCCAGTGTATCGGTAGCAACAACACCTACCAGCTTCTACACAGCATTGTATATGCCATGGGCCTTCCAGACCGAGGGCATGCTGGATGCAATTCTTGCTTTGTCATCAGCTCAGCTGGCGCGGCGTACTGACGACAAAGATCGTGCATCGCATCTACGGACTGTGTCTTTGCGACATCAAAGGCTATGCAGCGGGTTTATCAAGGATCGCTTATCGCCATCAGGTCAGCCTCTCCGGGACACCTATCAGGTTGTTGCCATCATCCTGTTACTAGTTGGCTTGGAAGCTCTCAAAGGCAACAAAAGTACGACATGGATCCAGCAGCTCAAGTGTGTGCGAAAGATATTGGATACTCTGTCTCCGGAGCAGAGTATTGTCGATTGCGTCGAGGTGGACTCGTTGCATCGACACTTTACCTACCACTATGCGATGGCATCAGTCATGTCTCAGGTTTCGGCTTCTGCAACGACGCCAGCGCCCTCCCTCGAGCACGATCTACTTCCGATGCTAAACGTCGCCATGCCGTTGACGATTGATCCTCTGATGGGCATTGCATATCAGATGTGCGATCTTATCAGCAAGATTCAATATGTTGTCAATCCTGACCCCGCATTTCCGCAACTGACCGAAGCAACCTTCAATGCCATCGAGAGCGGTATACAAGCATGGACATACGAAAGTCCATTCGCTTCGGGCGTCGATCTGCCCGTTGCGCTTGATCTGATCGCACTGGCTGAATCATATCGTCTGTCCGCGCTCATCCAGTTGTACAGAAACTCGCAAGCACATGCAAGTCTTGTGCCAGGGTGCGCCGCCCGCGCGATGGAATTCATCATGAGAATACCTCCTGGTAGCCCAGCCGAGTCCAGTCTTCTGTACCCCATCTTCATGGCTGGCGCCGAGCTAGACAGCGAAGTCGCTATCGACCGTTTGACGAAGAGGCTGAAGGACATCTCCGATCGCAACCGATACGAGAACATCGATAGTGTTCAGAAGGTGCTCAAAGAAGTTTGGCGGCCGAAGCTGGAAGGTGGCACGCGAAGATGTTGGGAAGACGTGCTGCGCGAATGGGAATGGTCGTTCACACTAGGATGAGGACGCACCTTCACAGGCTACAAAGCAATTCTCTTCTCGAGAAAGCGAGTTGCTGCAGAACTACAGTACAAACGTTCTGACTTCAGGTTTCCAGCTCCGCTTTGTCTGACCCGTTGAGGGGACGCTTCGGATACTTCGCGTACCCCGCACCCCTTGTGCACGCTAAGACAGCCCCACGTATTCGTGAGACTCAGACGTGCCGACTCTTCACAACTGTCAATTGGCGCTCGTCCACCTGGAGATGGAACTGACCCCGCGTGACACTATCACTATATGCAGTCACAAGGCAAGAGGGGTAACGGCGCCAGTACATGTACCGCACAACCCTCCGCCTGACGGATGTCGACTTCGGTTTCAGAAACCACACTCCATAAACCACAATGACTACTTATGCTGAACCCTCGTCGTTGAAGTCCACAGCTCTCGACTTCGGAAAAACTCCAGATATGTCGAGCCTTGATGGAAGGTCCGTCCTCATTACCGGGTCAGCAAGAGGTATTGGCCTTGCGTGCGCTACGAAACTGGCCGAAGCTGGAGCGATTGTCACCATATCCGATGTTCGAGCCGAGACAGGCGAAGCCGCCGCACGAGAGCTGACTTCAAGAGGTTTCCGTGTCCAATTTGTGCAGAGCGACGTGACTTCGCACTCATCGCAAGTCGCTTTGTTCAAAAGCGCCATTGCATTTGGCGGGGGCAAGATCGACATCGTCGTACCAAATGCTGGCATCTGCGCAGAGCAGAATTTGTTCGATATGATCCCAGCCGAAAAGCCGGACCTTGATAGCGAGCCACCGGAGCCGGGCTACAGTACGATGGAGGTCAATCTCAAAGGGGTGTACTATACCTGCTATCTCGCACTCCACTACTTCCGTCTGCCTCGAGATTCCTCGTTTGCCCCCTCCATCATCTTCATCGCCTCGCTCGCGGGCTATGTCGGATTTCCATCGAGCGCAACATACAGCATGTCGAAATTCGGTGTACGTGGGCTATTCTATGGCACACGAGATCGAGCTGCCGCAGCCAGCCCTCCAGTCCGCACCAACCTGGTAGCACCTTGGTTCATTCCAACGGCGATGACGGCAGACGAGAACTTTGTGGCCAGCGAGGCCGGCGCCATGATGAAGGCGATGGGCTCTGCGCAGCTTGACGGCGTAGTGCAGGCAGTGATGCATTTCAGCGCTGATGAGAGTGCTCACGGACGGGCCGCCGGCATCTTCCCTCAACAGGTGCTCGATCTGGGAGATGATCTCGAAGGCGGGTTTGCGGGTCAGAGAACCCAGCAGGGCATGCTTGACATCGTGGCTGCGATGGCGGCTGCGGCGGAGAAACAGGGCGAGGAACTCACGAGACAGGACAGCGCGACTGGAACTGAGGCAGGCAATTTCCTAGGCATGGCGAAATGAAGTACAGGCTATGGACATCACTACTGCTTTCCGACATCACGTTGAACGTTGAACTGGACAGCGAGCCGAACCCACTGAGCGTGTTACGCATGTTAGTGGCTGAGTTCGATTTTAGTAAAGGGTAGGAGACAAAAATCTACAGACATCTAGCCCTCATGTCGCAATTTTGAGGTTTTTCAAGCACAACACTCGATAAACAAACTGACACAATGCCGAGGGCGAGAACTATACCCGCAGGGCGCTACACTTGAAGTTGAGAGGCCTTTTCAAGTTTCTCTTCAATACCAACTAAGGCTATATTATATCTATTTGTGCTTATTTGAGGAGCGTGGTGAAGTTACAATTCCATGTACACCGAAAGCGTTCAACTCCGATGATGGCGGGGGACAATCTTCACGAGCTATGTACTACTTACCCGGGCTACAGTAGCTATTGGTCGAATGGGCGACGACGGAGTACCGCCGCCGAACCGCCTTTGGACATCAGCATTGGATGGGATTCAGTTCTCCGGACGCTTGTCCGCCCACGCTGCACAAGGGAAAAGCCCGTCCAGATTGCGACATCTATTTACAATAAGATGTGCTTTCAACCTCATTCTTGCGTTTTCATTCTGGCCGCAAGAAACGGGAATGACGTCACTATCTCCATGTATAAGATGAGCGACTCACCATAGCTCAAGAGGATAGCAAGCTCAAACGACCTGCAGAGAGCTTCAAATGTATTTCACACTCTGGAAGAGCCTAGCAGTTGCTGCTGTGGCGATACCAATAGTCGATGCCCAGTCTGGTGACAGATTGTCTTCTTCTTCTGTGTCTTTAGCTGTGTCGACACCGACGCCAACATTAGCAGAACCAACAGCCAGTGCAAACATCACTATCAACGATAGACCCATAGGGGCTTTGAATGCTACTGTTTAGAGCCTGATCGTACGTTGTGTCTATGCTTAGCCCTACATCACTGACGAGACTTAGTACGCGTACCCCCTCTACATCTTTGGCAATTTTGCTGGTGCCGTCCTTCGAAACGTTTCTGTTAACCAAATATTTCACCAGTGCACACTTGCCGCCATTGGTAGCTCCGCTGTCATCAACCCCAATGTCGATACAGTATACTCCCGTGCTGTACTCGGCTTGTCCACGCACGATGTTATCCTGAGCATTCCTGAGGTCACCGATCGGTACTGGGTCTACCCGGTCTATGACTCCTTCGGCAACACAATTGCCACAATCGGTATTGTTAACAACAACACAGCAGGCGATTACCTCATCAGACGTGCAGATGATGTTGGTGGAAAGCCTGGATTCTACAACGACAGCTCCATTGTCCAATCCGGCATTGACAGCCTCCAAGAAACTACCAGATACGCTGGCGTCGTCAACCTGCCAACAACATATGGCACCATACTTATCCGTTATCTGGTGCTGCAGAATACCACCTCTGATCTAAATATTATACGGAAATATCAGAACGCATCTTCGTTGACAGAAGTTCCACGTGCAGCATCATATGCGCCATCACCACCCAACAATGCTTCGCTGTCTAGTCTAGCACCCAACAGCTCTCTACTCGGAATCGACACACCAGCTAAGCTGCTTGACTTCGCTTCTCGCTTTGTCTTGTACAATCAACCAGAGGTCGTCTCTGAGCGTCAAAGAGTTGCCGGTATCCTCGGCCAGGCAGGCATCTACGATGGCATCTACTCTTCTGTTGCCGGCGTCAATCTGACTCAGGCTGCACGCATCGCAAACTCTTCGATCACTGCAGACGTCACCAGCTCTGCAAATATCCGCAGGCAAAGCAACGAGTGGCAACTTTCTACTGAAGCCTATCAAGGCAACTTTGGAAAGAACTACGCCCATCGCTGGCTACCAGCAACTTCCTGCACAACAAGTCCTTTACCCAGGCTACCGTAGCACAGGATTTACCAGCCAATTCTCACTCGCACCGAATCAGTCTCTGCTCTGGACGTTCAGCGGCAAGCCACCAGTACAGGCCCAAGATTTTGGCTTCTGGTCCGTCACCGTATATGGCGACGATCAGTATCTGATACCGAACCCCATCGGACGGAGCTCGGTGAGCGATCGAACCTGGAACTTGACGTACCAGGGCACGAATCAAACAATATATGGCCCGAATGCAAATTCCACAACGAACGGACCTTTCCAGATTCTGCTGCAGCCTTCCGACATCCCACCGCCGGCGAATTGGACCAGCAACTGGTTGCCCGTTTCTAGGAATTTTTCCTTCATCAGTAAGTACTACCGAAAAAGCGTGAGCAGGCTTCTCTGACACTTTGCAGCTCGCTGGTATGTCCCGTATCCAGGCCTTACAAATGGTTCGTATGTCTATTCAAAGATAGAGACAATCAATGCTATTCGTTAAGCTGGCACTGGGTAATTCGACTCGGTATAACAAATCTTGCGCCAAAGTCCTGGACATTGGACACGTAGACAACTCGTTAGCTACGAAGATGTAGGCAAACACTTTCGAAAATTCTCAACTTCATCGTATGCTAGTCAGTTCACACTTTTGAAGAGACAAGAAGATTTTGTGTATCAGAAAGTGTGCAATACATTTGTTCTGCTGCATGACTTGCTTCTAGATCTATGATACGGCTTTGATTCGCAATGTGTATGACCCCATGAGATCGGCACGATTTGAAATAAATCGCCCGATGCACCTAGACAGAGTTGGAGTTGTCGGCACAAGACCAAGCCCCCGAGCTCCCAGAATTGTAGTCCGCAATGATCCCATCAATAGCGCTGTATGAACCAGCAACCATGATGAAGGTACCGATGATGATGACAAACGATGCGAACGCAACACCGATCGTCCACTTGGTGCCCTTGATAGGCCGCTTGAAGTTGTCGTATAGCCACATTGCGCCAAGAGGCTGCATGGACATGAATGTAGCGAGAAGCGAGCCGACCAACGAGATGAGAGAGCCAAAGTTGGGCACGGCCGAGCAAATGATGTAGGCGCAAACAGTTACGCCAAATGTGCAGGACAACCATGTCATCCAGTGGACCCGCGAGTTCGAGACGAGATGCTTCGAGCCCTTCAGTGCGCGCAGGAAGACGTACTTCGCGGGATAATGAGTGACGAGACATGTGGAAGCGATGAGTCCGGGCAGTGCAAGGCCGTAGCAGACGCGTTTGAGAAGAGGACCAGCAGAGCCAAGGGCAGGAGACGAGACGTATGAGCCGCAGAAGTAGTAAACCACAATACCGACGATAAGGTAAACCACAGTCATGAAACTTTGGCAAATGTACATGGCTTTGTTGTAGTCCTTGGGATTGCGCATTTCGGAGATGATGGCGAAAAAGGCTGGGGTACCGGCATACGCAAAAACGAACGTGTTAATGGCGCCCATGCCTTGGGTGAAGGTCGGGCTGCCAATCAACTGGTAGTTCGAAGTATAAGGTCCGGTCTGGGGCGCTTCAGCAGGACGATCCTGGACACCGACAGAGATGGTCAACGTGAGAAGAGCGACGATGATCGACACTACGCCAGCCCATGCCAACCAAGAGATCTTTCCAAGTGTCCGGATCGAGCCAGTCATAAATCCGATGATGGCAGCTACGACTACAAAGATAGCGGTGCAAGCTCCGTGAAGTGATAGCGCGTTCAGGGCAGTCGAAATACTGGAGTAGCCAGCAGCTGCGACGCAAATCCACCCTATCGAAGGTCAGCTCGAGGTCGCATAACACAACGGAATACTTACAAAGCATAAACGCCACGCACATAAACTCCTTGCCAAATTTTCCTCCCAATTTCTCTCCCACATCCACAATACTGTACACCTCAGGGTGGTTGCGTTTGAAGGTGCCAACGACGTGATTACCCCAGGTAATCACGCCGGCTACTGCGAGCAAACAGATGACACCGGGGATGAGACCGAGCGCATCAAATGCAGAGGGAATAGATAGCACGCCCAACCCAATCTGTGTCTTGATCATCACGACGACAGTGCCCATCCAACCAACCTGCGCCCATTAGCTGATGAGAAAACCGATGGACAATGAAGGAACATACATTGCGGTAGTTCGGGCCGTCTTCTGTGATCTCACCGAAGACCTCGTCGCTGATACTCATACGGCGACCACTTGTGCTGAACACGCTGCCCCTGCGATGTGTCTCTTGAGGTTGAAGATCATAGTCATTCTTCTTCTCCGGCGAGTGAGCCGATTCAAGGTCGTTTCTCGGTTCGTAAGACATTTTGAAGTCAGGCCGCTATGATTTGCATGAAGTGGGATGAGGTCTGAGTGAAGCAGTCGTGAATTGAATGTGTCTGAGCACTCGGAATGATACTAAGATCAACACTGGGGAAAGCTGGGTGTTTATGAACTGAACGGCCCACCCGCTACCACTCTGGGGTATAGATGTCAGTACGTAATGCCTGCGGTCCTCCCCGGGTTGCAAGGTCGTTTCGTTGACCCACATTCGCGGTATTCAGCAATCGTGAGTGCGCTAAGGCACGCTCTCGGCGGTGCTTCGTCTCCACGCTTGATTGTCCTTGGGTCTGAGCTTCTGCCGCTTCAGTCTAAATGCCCTTTCCGGACGTCAACCCGATATCATCGGAAGGGATCCCGAGTCTCAAGGCCACCCTGCGCGCACTGCCAGTTCCAGCTACGTCATGCTGTCTGCAAGAAGATTGCGACGTGGATCAACGGTCGGGCAGTTTCTCCAGAGCGAACATGGGTTTGTGAGGTTACGAGCCGTTCGTACATATGCCCAGGCGCTGATCGTGCCACCGCAAACAAGATCGCTAGGAGAATTCAGATGCGGCTAGGCACTCTGGGAGGCAGTGACATCAGGCCTTTCGCGAGGGCTGGCGCTCGCGTATAACTCCCCGGAGTCCGGCTTGTCGGAGGCTCAGAGAGCCGGAAGTCGACATCTGTATTATTTCACTACTTCACGTGCGACCCAGGAGAGTGATGTCTGGGGGTGGAGTTTTGCCAAGAGCTTCCTGCGGGGATCGCGTTCGCTAATTACATCAGCAGACTTTCCGACGGCAAATCTGCTGCCAACGTCGAAGGACCCAGCACAACTCTCCTGATACATTTGGCCAGGACGGTCCCCTGTCCTACTCACATTGTCAACAGCACGCCAATCTCTGTAATTCTATCAAACTGATCCGAGTGATATTCGCTTTTGCCACCGGGATGAAGGAGAGACATACTCGGATCGGAAGACGATTCCGAGGTTGAAATTTGCTCACCCAATCAGACGGGTGCCGCGTCTAGACAGCGCCTCTTCGTTCCCTGAGGCTCAGCTCGAGCACCGGAATGACACATTGGATCCACCTCACAACACGCGAAAAATTTATATAGCTCACCTCTCCACAGCGGGTTATACCTACCGACCGCGATCCCGAGACTGTGTCTGGGGAATGCGGGGGTGGGGGTCGCTTCTGGCCGCAGCCACGAGTCTGGATTTGATCCCCCCAATAGTGGATAGGAATGGCACTCGGCATATATCTGACGCTTCATCGCCTATACGCGGGAGGAAACTTACTACGGGACCCATGAGTAGCGACATGGTCTGACCCAACAGTAGGGGTAAGGAGGCTCTTTCATGCAACTAGGGAAATTGTGGGACTCTTGCTATCCGACGACTGATATCGACTCTATCACCGGACGGAAGTCAACGGATCAAGGTGGGCCATCGAGATTATCTGAATGGGATGGTGAGCCGGCACAGCCCAGCTGAGACCCACACTGCGGGACCGCAGATAGACATCGTGCACGTCTCCATCTTGACAATGGAATCGGCACAGCAGATACGTGACCGCTTCAGGCAGAAGCTAAGCTTGACTCCTGCTGATTTCGACCCGCGGACAACCTTGCACAATGGCTCCACTTGAAATAACACCATCAATATCATCGGTGTGGTTGGTGTGTCCTCGACATAGCCAGATTCATCCAATGGACCTTGTCCATCTCTGACCCATCCAGCGCACATCAATGACATTTAAAGGGGATGTCTGGTAGCACAAGTACAGTGCGCCCTGGTGTGCGTGATCCCTCTAATAGCGCCTCATCGATCACTGTTTCAGCTGCTCTTAACGCGGGCAATCTCTCCTATCAAGATAAGCGGTCTAGCAACTGCAACTGCACTATTTACAGGGGTCGCAATCCATATTTGCCGCATCGCCCTCAGGCGTGCCTGCAGGCCCGTTGAGCACACCTTGAATATCCGGTTCAATCCAATGTTTGCTATGGCAAGCACTCGACTTCAGACAGGTCAAATCGCCCTGCAAGGCGGTCGACTGGCTAACCGACTCCAACGTGCGGCGACAATCAACAAACACCACATCTTCATGCAATACGAAAGCACATGAGTCATTCAGCGGCGCCATCATCGGCGGAAAGAAGAGGCTGAATGGGAAACAAGGGCGACACGTTGAGATTAGGGTGTTTTCAGCAATAGTTGGACGACTGAAAGACAACTAAGCCCTTTGGTGACGCATTTCTTGCAGCAGGAGTGAGGACAGCGCTTGGTTTTGGCCTAGTTGCGTAATTGACAAGATCTCTGTCACCGCCGTGGGCTAAAGCGGATCTACGGCAGTAGCAGACGTGGTAGGTCAATTCTTGACATGTACTGCTTGAAAGCGATCTGTGTTGAGAGCAGAGTTTAGAGCGCTGGTCGCAGAGACGGTAGAATCATAGGGAGGTAGTCATGGCGGGAATGATAGGGCATAAGGTGTGTGTTGAGTAAGGTCGCCCAATTCTGCATTGGTCGCAGCTACGAGCGCGAGCTGAGTCATCTACTGGTATCCACTTGCAGTCGCGTAGGGGGCGGTCGTGTGTGCAGGGTTGAGCATGAATCGCTTGAGCACTCCCTTTCTTCAGGAAGACACTACCGATACTTTCATTTAGCGTGTCTTGGTCACTCCACTACGTTCCCTGAACCACTGATTCCAGTCATTCAACAGCATGTAATTTCCCTTATCAGACCACGTTGTCGAAACCTAGGAAGCCGATCAAAAAGGTGCCGCACGTGCTCATGCACCTATATAATCGACGGTACCTCTAGATTTGGACGTTGTTATAGGCCTCAGTCGTCGTCTTACAGATCGTGATCTTTGGGCGTTGTCAGGTCTGAGGTCTCGCATCCTGACCCCACGCCTCACCGTTTGTTCCAACCAGCATTAATCATGCCTTTTTGAGGACTTTGACAGCTACAGTACCACATTCGTAGTCGTAAGTCTTCTTTGACATTGCTATTATGTCTTCTTTCGAGTGCGGTCACTCAGATTTGTGAGAATTCGATGGTTTGCGAGACGATATGTATCAAACAGAGATCGGTCGTGACGACTAGCGAGTACATTTATACTGATCTGGGCTCAAAGAGCTCAAAAAGCAATACGCTTAATTGAGCTTCAGTCGGATGAAGCGAACAACTCCATATGCTGTCAGATTCAGCACCATACTTTGGCTTATGGTCCTGTCTATGATGCGGTATCGTATGCATGGGCCACCGAAGATGGAGACGATAGTCAGTCACAACAGATAACTATCCTCGGAAGTGGAGTCATGCGCGTGACTATGAACTGCGAGGCGGCTCTTCTACGATCGGGGCACGCAAGTGAGCCTCACAAACTCTGGATCGACTCTATATGTACCAATCAGACCAACGTTGAGGAACTGAATCATCAAGTTGGCTTGACGGATCTCATCTACCGGAACACAATACATGTCCATGTCTATATTCATCACCCAACGGGCACCTATTCTGATGATTTGACGTGGTAAGGAGTGCAGGATATGCCTCTGGCTCCTTGAGAAAACGATGCAACCTGGCCACGCGACATGATCTGGCAGTTGAGATCATTATTAGGACGCGTCAGAAGTGGCACTTGCCAGGTCTGTCTTTCACCATGCCAACAACGAAGCCATCCACCTCTCACACAGAACCATTGGCAAGTTGAACCTTACGGGTTCTTCGTGGTCCCTAACCATTCCTGGACCGACGAAATGGGTTTGTGCTACGCAGCTTGATATTAGTATCGTGCTATTGCTCAAGATAGACTGGACATTTGCCTGCAGAGATCCACGAGATAAAAAATCTGCCATCTTGAGCCTGTTGAGCAATTCTGCACGAGAATTTATCTCTGTTGACTACTCTCTGAAGCGAAACTGCCTCTGGTCGTGAGTATTTTAAGTTTCGTGTTCGGTTACGTGATGCTCCTACGGCCAGATCTATAGTGGCTGGAGTGCCATCAGGCTTCCAGCCTACACGAATGACCCTTCATTCAATCTCAATGTAAACTTTAAGGTGACATCTGTGGCTGCGAGTGATGATCATGAGATAACTTTCACGAGATACACAACGTATTGGCTCTTGCTAATCTGTATGAGACCTGCGTGCATTACCATGTCAGAGTACGAAACTCATGGTATCATTGTTACCGCACCAAAGCAAGCTAACGCTACAGTGTCGGTCGATCTGCTATTCGATGACATCTGGGTAACAGAATAACGGGCCTGGCCTCTGCCACGCTCATTTGGTATGCATGTCATGCAGTTCTCATATACTACAAACTGGGGCGGACGCCTATTGTGAGCTTTTAGTACCTTCTACCCCTTCATTAGCGACCGGAGACTCATAGGGCAATCTTGGGGTGCTTTAGCCTTTGGATCATGGCCAAAGCTACGCATCGGCAACCAGGGGCAGGTTCCAAGCGTTCGCCTGGGCTTGTACAAACTGCGTGCAACCACGCCTTGCAGTCATATGATTTTATCTTGCTGTTTCCGTATCTCTAATTACCACTAGACCTGTTCAGACACGGAATCTATCGCGATCTCCGAGAATGTTTGGTGCAGACGCTCGCAAGGCGAGAAGTTGATGTACAAAACCGACAGAACAAGATGGTAGCAGATTAACAGTGCGGTCATCGTCTGTCAAACAAGCTCACGTAAACCTATTTCCCTAGTCTCATTGGGTTTGAGCCGAAATTCGCAAGGAATGATGCAATCCGTATCCGTACGTGCCAGACCGGATTCAGTTTCTGCGAGTAAAGCCTATTGTGAATACTGATGCTATTACTAACACAGATACGAAGGTCCAGAACCTAGTCCAATCCACTCCTGCAGACCATATTCTGCATTATGAACCAACTGTGATCAAGTTAGTCTGCAATTCGATGCTTAATGCGGGAACTTGAGGGTATGTATTCATGATCAGATAAGGCGAAACCATGCCATGGTAGCTCCGCATTCAATAAGTAGGAACGGCGAGTGAATAAACATTTCATCATTGGGCATAAGGACTATGAAGAGGGTGTCATTACTTACAGATCGCAACTTGCAGTTGAGTGCTTGGTTCAGAAGCTGGAGACTCACGTCACAGCTTTGGGAAAATTTGAATTCGTAGTGCAGCAAGTAACAACCGAATCTCTTGTCAGTTGCCAATTGCAAGGCTGGTCACCACATTATATACGCAGTACACAATAGTTGAGTTTAACGTGCTTGCAATTGCATTACACGAAATGACTCATAATGAGTCTGATGTTTAGATGTTTGAACGACGCCATCTATTCTACAAATGGACAAAATTGCGTGATAGTACATTGTGCGATACCAATCACAAGCATAATAGCAGGGGCGCATTGGGACAAGCCAAGTAGTACAAGCCGAGTGAGATAAGCTAAGTAGGACAAGTTAAGTAGTACAACCTAAATAGCACAGCCTTATAATTAACCTAAGTAGATAGATAGTATAAGATATATAGTTGCTTTCTATCTATATTTATATAATAAAAGATAGTAGCTAGAGTAATTTTATAAGATACTAAGATAATTTACTAGAGTTAACGTAGGTGTACAGCGAGCGGGCCAGTACACTGAGCGGGCCACTTTTGCCAAGACCACACCAAAACACCATCACCATCTAAATGCCCCCCTACCAACCCCGTTTTAACGCGTTAAAAGAGTGTCAGATCTAGCTTGCGCTTTAAGCTCTTAAATAAGACGCAAAACTCCTAGTGCGACGTGCTGCAGCTATCTATAGAGTCTCTTAAACTACACTAGACTATTAACGCGCAGGACAACCTTTACGCGTTAATACTATAGCTAACTCACGTAATCTAACTAGCGCTAAGGAGCAGGTAATTATTATGCGCATACTTAAGCTAGTTATGTAAGGAGAGTCCCCTTAGCTTACAATTATAGCTAATATAGCTAATTCTCTGTAAAAAGAGCGCGGTTTAGCCCCTATTAGCCTAAGGTAGGCTAGCAGGTTTGTTTCGCGTTAGGAGGAGCTTAAAATAGTCTTTAATCGCAAGTACGACTATAAGCGAGCCCTCTATAAGGATCCTGCGGTAATCTAGGGCTAGTTTAGCCTAGTAGCCAATATTAAAGCTAAGTATAGTATCCTAGATAATAATATATATAACTTTAACAAGACAGGCTTTATAATAGGCTAGATATCTACTAGAGTTGTTGTTATAGATGCAGAGAAGCTAGGACAAGCAAAGCAGGTCTAGCTAGGCAACTAGGAGTAGGTAACAGTTATTAAGGGTATTAATGCTACAGGATAGGCTATTCCGCCCTATATTATCTTTAAAGCCTACTAACACCTGTCTAACTAGTATAAGGACAACAACCTACCCTAAGATTAGACTATTACTATCTCTAAAAACAGCTAGACTACTAATAAGCTTAGTTTTAACTCGTTAAAGCACTTTAATAGGCATATAAAGATATATACTGTTAGCACCTACTATTTACTAATTATTAATAGTTATAGGAGCTATAACTCTACAGAATTTAAGCAATACTGCAAGAATTATAAGATTATAACCCTATATATACCTATATACTTATTATATCTCCTACAGCCCCTTAACATAGCTTATTTTAGCCCTCTAAAGAAAGCATATAGGGATAAGGTTAATAAGCTTATGTATAACTAGATTAACTATATTATAAAGCAGGAGTTCCTGCTATGCTTTAAAGCAGCTTATAAGAAAGCTATTACCTCTAGTAATATCTAGGGAGGGTTCTAAGGCGTAGGACTAGTCTCTTATAACCTAGAATAGGTTATATTAACCTTTAATATAAAGCTGCGCACTCTATTACTACTACTCCCTATAAATAATAAGCCCTAGCAGTTGCAAACCCTAAGCAATACTCTAGAACTTAGGTTATAATTAACGCTTATAAAGACAAGGATTTAGAGGCATATAGATAGCTCTCCTATATTAATAGTTAAGGCGTTTAAGAAGGTATTAAAGGGGGCAGCAATTATTGCGCATAAGCTAGTTTTAGCATAATAGGAAATTAGCAAGCTTTAAGCAGCTAATAAGGCTGCTATATAATAAAAATTATATAAAAGAAGGCATATTTATGCTAAGGGAAGCCTTGCAGTTAAAGAAGGCTAGCAGTTAACTGCTTTATAGGAGTTTAGGGCGCGTAGTAATAGTAAGAGAGTAAAGAAGCAGGTGCGCGCTAAAGGAGGTAAACTATCCTAATAATGCTATAGATAGTATAGAGAGAGTAGGCATAACGCGCAAATATGCAAGAATAGAGCAGATAAGGTTTCTAAGTAATACTATAGCTTATTTTCTCTTATATAGCGCTAATTTATAGTATTTTAGGCTATAATAGGTTAGGTTTTAGTATAGTCTTAGTAAAAGTAGCCCGCTTAGTATACTAGCCCGCTCGCTATATACCTATGTTATTATAGCTAATATACCTTATAGGCTAATAGATTATATAGGTTAATAGATTACTTTTGCTAAGACTATACTAAAATACTATTACTATCTAAATGCCCCCCTACTAACCTTAATTAGACGCGTTAAAAGAATGTTAGATATAGCTTACGCTTTAGGCTATTAAATAAGCTGCAAAAATCTTATAGCAACGTGCTGCAGCTATCTATAACGTGCCCTAAAGTACCCTAAGCTAGCAATATACTAGACAGTTCTTACAAGCTAATTCTATAGCTAATTAACAGAATCTAAATAAGTATAAGAAGGAGGCAATTATTAATTATATTCTTAACCTTATTAACTAAGGAAGTTCTCCCTGCCTCTTAGATGTAGCTGCAATAGCTAATTTGCTGCAAGAAGAGCGTAGAATACCCTATGTTAGGCAGAACTAGCCTAAAACGTTTATTAACTGTTAACTAAGGCTTAGAGTAAGGTTTAGTCGCAAGTATAACTATAAGAGAGCTCTCTATAAGGATTTAGAGGTTATATAGGCCTAGTTTAACCTAGTAGCTAATACTAAAGCTAAGTATAGTATACTAGATAATAATATATATAACTTTAACAAGACTAGCTTTATAATAGGCTAGATAACCCCTAGAGCAGTTATTATAGATATAGAGAAGCTAGGACAAGCTAAGCAAGTCTAGCTAGGCAACTAAGAGTAGGCAACAGTTATCTAGGGCATTAATACTATAGGGTAGGCTATTCTAGCCTTTATTATCTTTAAGGCACGCAACTACCTATTAAGCTAGACTAAGGATTAAACTCTGCTGCTAGACTAGGTTATTAGAGTCTCTAAAAACGGCTAGACTACAAATTAGCTTAGTTCTAACTAGCTAAGGCACTTTAATGCGCATATAAAGAAGCGCACTATAGGGACCTACTGTCTGCTTATAGTAGACAGCTATAAGAGCTACCTATTACTAGATTTCTACTAATACTGCAAGGCTAACTAGATTATATCTCTATATATGCCTGCTTACTTATTGCACCTCCTCTAGCCTCTTGATATGGGTTGTTTTAGCCCTTTAAAGCAGGCGTATAGGCGCCAAGCTAAAGGGCTTATGCGCAACTAGATTAACTATATTATAAAGCATAAGTTCCTGCTATGCTTTAAAGAGGCCTATAATAAAGCTATTACCTCTAGCAACATCTAAGGAGGATTCTAAGGGGCTGGACTGGTCCCTTTTAACCTATAACGGGTCATTTTAACCCTTAATGTGAAGCTGCGGACTCTATCACCCTAACTACCTACTAACAATAAGCTGTAGCAATCCTAAACCCCTAAAAACCTAATTAAATTTAAGTTGTAATTGACTCTAATTTGAGATAAGTATAAGAGGCAGCAGGGCAGCTTACTAAATTCTGTTTATAGCGCGCTTAAGCACTATGCAAAGGGGGGAGTAAAGGTAGCGCATGAGCTAGCTTTGCTTAAGAAAGAGCGCACTAAGCTTTAGGCAGCTCTAGCAGCTGCAATAGAACGCAAATTACATAAAAGAAGGCAGATTTAGCAGGAAGGGACCCTTATAATTAAGGAATCCTAGCGTGTAGCTACCCTAAAGGAGTTTAGCGCTTGTAGTAATAGTAAGAAGCTAAAGAAGAGGGTGCGCGCTAAAGGAGGCAAACTATCCTAACAACAGTGTAGAACGTGCAGAGAGATAGGGCACAACGCGCAAACGTGCAAGAATAATGCAGATGTAGTCTCTAAGTAATAATATAGGTTGTTTTACCTTATACTGGCCCATAGTGGGCGGATGCGGGCCAAAGTAGGGTGTGATGGGGGAGGGTCTTGGCAAAAGTGATCCATTAACCCGTGTGATCCATTAGCCCGTGAGGTACGTTACTATTAAAGATGTATAGTATAGTATATATTATATAGAGTATATAGCAGTAGTATAGTATACTTACTCTACTAGTTATATTCTATTATGTTATATTCTATATAAGCTATCCCTATTAGAGGTGTAGGTGTTCCCAGCCACAACCGCTCCAGACCTAAGCTTAGCGGAATGCGTTCGCAAACATTAGCGTATTCCCTATTTGCGCCAAAGGGCGCGTACTTGACATTTTCCACTTGAACCGGCCGCAGGGCGTGATTGTTCAATCTTTTTGATCGCCAACTTGCCACACTGCGCATCCAAGATATTCTGTCAACCGAGTCCCATCCACGTAATACACTTCCGTCGAGTCGCGTGAAAATCGCAGGTCAGATCTACTATTTGATCGTTTGCACTACTCTCTTGTCGCCTTGTTGGCATCGTTCCCACTTTTTCACATTCACCATGCCTGTAACTCCGGCATTGTTCTTGGAGGGTGCGAAGGTATCACCGGATATCTTTAAACTGCGCCCGGACTACCGCGCTTTACTTCTGATCGTCGAAGGCATTCCGCAAGGCCCAAGCGATGCAAAGAGCGAAGCACTCTTACAAGAAGCCGAACTTTCCGCTCGGAGCGCATTGTCAAAACACGCTGTTACCGAGGTCCCACACGTCGCCGCATGGCGGGACGCATATAAAAGCTTTGGGGCCAAACCGAAGAAAGAGCGGAGCAGCCTCGAATCCTTGATGCGGCGCGCAGAGGGCGGCTTACCGCGCGTCAACCGATTGACCGACATCTACAACGCAATTTCGGTCAAGCACCAGATTCCATTTGGTGGGGAGGACTTGGACAAGTACAGCGGACTTCCGTTCTTGATCCGGGCTACCGGCCAGGAGAAATTCGAGACGTCCGCAGCTGGCGAGAGGGTGACAGAATATCCGCCTGCTGGAGAGGTCGTGTGGTGCGACGATGCAGGAGTCACATGCCGTCGTTGGAATTGGCGTCAGTGCTCGCGAACCGGTATAAGCGACTCAACGACTCGCGTTCTGTTCATCTTGGATGCGCTGGAGCCTTGCGAAGATAGCAGCCTAGAAGCAGCCGCTGATGAGCTCGTGGCAGTCTTACGCAGTCTATCGTCAGACGTGAGCGCGTCTCGCCGGCTCATCCAGGTCTCGTAGACGTAATTGCGTCTACTGCCTCACTGCGCCTTAGTTGCCTATTCAAATATGTAGAGCATGTTAGAAGGAAAGCTTATCAACGACTATAGCCCACATGATCTTTGATATTTGTGCTACTATGTACCCCTATAAAAGTATGATACATTGTCTTAAGCTTTAGCGAGACTTCGTAGTATACGATTGCTAGAATACTTAGCTGTGTTATTAAGTTATTGCCTTAGTAAAGTACTGATTCTAATACTGGCCAGTGGAACACGATGATCTCTGTAGGAGGTGGGCATTGTCCAACTCGCGATACGGACCGCGCCACCGTGATTGCCTGGTCATCTCCACGTTGCTAGTGAAGTCAATGATTGGATGCTTATCAGACTTTATCATGCGCCTGGGGGGGAAGACATTGAGAATGAGGAGAGTAATTGTCATTGGCACCGCGTCAAAGCAGATGGCATGTGCCTCTACAGTGATGATATTCGATCCCTGACTGCCGACGCTGAGTTCGGTCAAGCAAAAACGACACGTACCAAGAATACCGTTAGCTATATTGTTTATTTATGTTTTATAAGTATCAAGACGAGTATGACCGCGCCGATCAGCCATAGCACCTTATGAATGCGATCGTAAGGCGTCAAATTCTCCGCTTTATAGAAAATACGCCCTGCTTTTGTGCAGAAATCAAGGGCGAAGATGAACTGTATGATGCAACCTGCGATGTAGAGGACTTCGCCCTTTTTTGCGTCACCTCCGCCTGACATCATCGACCAGTCAGTACCCATCATCTGAACACATCGATCTCGTTTCAGATCCCCATCAACAGCGACTTTCCAGATTTTGAGGAACCGTTGTTGTTCACCTGATTATCCTAGATGTAAATCGGATTGAGTTAGGTGCATGTGCGGCAGAGATGCACTGCCCCGCATTAGCATGGGTCTTGCCTCAAATCACACCGGCCCTCTCCAACAGCTTACTCCGACCAGGCTGCAGCACGAAACAAGATGTACTAACCATGGTTTCCTGACCTTCTTTCCACGAGCCGAAGTTGTCAATATATTCGCAATGGCTTGCCGTCATACTGACGTTCGAGAGTTCGACGGACTACGCAGCTGCCTCGCATGTGGCGAGACCCGCTTTCGCGAAGATGCTTTGCAGGACCCTGTTGCTGCAGCAGATCAGGAGTACATCTACACAGACCTACGGTGCTTAGAACTAGGACAAACTATTCGAATTGTCCTTCTTTCACCGGGGAACTTTGAAGATCCCGTTCACTGCACTATCGTGCTATCAGCAATCTACCATTCGTCATACGAGGCTGTGTCATATACTTGGGCCAATGAAGATGGGGATAACGCCAAAACACACGCTGTGTATATCGATGGCAGTGCCCTTTATGTTACTCGAAACTGTCATTCCGCACTCCGTCAATTACGGCACCCTGAGTTGCACCGAAGATTGTGGGTTGATGCTATGTGCATAAATCAGCTGAACGTTCGAGAAAGAAATCACCAGGTTGGTGTCATGGACCGTATCTACAAAGCTGCACGCCAGGTACATGCGTGTATCTGCGATGACGATCACAGCTACTCAGAAGCCATGATGTGGATAGCTGGAGGGATACGTCGACGTTTCTCGTCAGTTGAGCGGAGACAGCTCTTGGAGCTATTCCACCGACGCTATTTTAGTCGTGTGTGGGTCGTACAAGAGATAGTATTGGCCAAGACTATCATTCTTAATGTGAATGCTGACCAAGTAATGTTGACCCACGATGTCCTGGATTTTCTCAGGCCGAAACTTGAGATACCAGCTTCACTCCGGACGAGATTGAATCCAACAGCCTTCAAGCATCTACGTGAGCAACTCATAACATCGATCAAATACTCTTGCTCAGATCCGAGAGATCATGTCTATGCCATACTCAGCCTTCTGGATCCTGAAGTCAGAGCCTTGATTCCAGTCGACTACTCCCTGAGTATGGAGCAGATGTATGCCAACGTTATCAACGCATACATTGTGACTTCCCAGAAGCTAGAGATCCTTGCATACGCTGCAAAAACCGTTGCGGAAGAAAATGTGTCCGTCACCAATACCTTTACTATCGACAAATTTCACGACTTCTTGACTCACGTAGAGCATGTGGACCCAACAGAATATCGGAATCATCCACCGGGATGGGCCGAGACGATTCATTGCAGTGTGCAGGCCGACACTCAACTACCCGCATCCTGCATCTGGACCCTACCATCACCCATGCATGAGAAGCAGATCCTGCCCGACTTCAGACTCCGCTCCTACTGCATCCAAGCGTGCGAATGGTGTATCCAGCACCTCGATGCGCTCTATACAGATCTGGCTCAGGGTTCCTCCATGCCCGGCATACCACTCCGTGCCCTACGCGACGGGACGTATGAACCGACAGCCGACAAACTAGCAAGAGACCAGATGCGTCGAACGCGCAGCATATTACAGAGATTATTACGCAGAAAGACACACGGTTCCATGATCTTCGGTACCGCAGACGGCGTTGGGGTATGTGTCGTAGCTGCAGTACCAGGCGATCGTGTGTGCTATCTCGATGGCATGAAGGAACAGCTCCTGCTTCGCCACGTTACCGGGTCTAGATACAGGATCGTTAGCGTGTGTTTATGGGAGCCCAATTCTCTCACATTTCCTACGCCAGAGAGGGCTGAGATCATTGAAGTTTACTGATCGAGAGATTGGTACACGGTTCAGAACCCCTTCGTAGCTGCTCTATGTCTAAGGAACATGATCTGAGTCAAATCCACTGTCAAGGGTACAGTGAAATCTGTGTTGAGGTTGCAATACAGCATCCGCATCAAAAGAATAGTCTGGTGCTCAGAGATTAGAATAACTGTTCCATCTCGTCCGAGAAGTTTTCCTGCATCTACAGACCGATTTTGTGGTTTTCAATATCCTGTATGAGAACTCGATTGTTGTATATCGAGTGCTCAGGACACAGCTTCGTTTCTGCGAGCGGAAGGCCGCACTCTTGAGCTGAAATTCGTCCATACGGAAGGCAAGTACAAGTGCGCAGTCTATAGGTCAAAACTGACTGCAGCCTTGTCAGTTCGACGATTGGACAGCGCAATGTATTTATATGCCTAAGCGACAGATCCCTGCAGCAGATATCCTGTACCCCGCGAATGAGCAGGCTGAGCATCCAACACCTTTTGCGCTTCTCCACGATGACTTCGAAAGCCTGTCTGCACTCCGATGTTCGTGAATTCGACAGTCTGAGAAGTTGCCTCGCGTGCGGTGACACTTGGTTCCCCACCCAAGGAGAGTCTTCAGACGATGCTGAGCAGTACGTCTACACAGATCTACGATGTCTGGAACGTGGGCAAACAATCCGAATCGTAGTCATTGAACCAGGGGAGTATTCGGAATCTTTGCGCTGCACACTCGAATTATCTGATTTGCGGCACACGAACTATCACGCAGTTTCATATACCTGGGCAACAGAAGACGGAGATGAGACCAAAACACAGCAAGTACTTATCGACAACAAAATTCTGTCCGTTACCAAGAACTGCGAGGCAGCGCTTCGTCGATTGAGGAAACATGGCCCACATAGCAGATTCTGGATAGATGCAATCTGTATCAACCAGTCAAGCACCGCCGAACGGAATCATCAGGTATATCTTATGGACAAAATCTACCAGAATGCTATGCGAGTTCACATATGTATCGAGGACAACCGATTCGACTACACCGAGGCTATGCGCTGGCTTGCGCATGAAAAGGCTGGTGAACGCAGACCCCCTTCTCAACTAGAAACACTTTTCCAGTGCCGGTACTTCAGCCGCGTTTGGGTCACACAGGAAGTAGTCCTAGCGGCAGTCCTTACCCTGCATGTCAACAACGACCACCTAGAGTTGTCGCGGCAGGTATTGTCAAACATGCAGGTGGCTGATACAGTCCCAAGACTTTTTCAAGCCCTCATGGAATCAACAACGCAACAGTCTTTGGAGCAGCTACTGAAATTGACCTTCGCCGCAAATTGCTCCGAACCAAAGGACCGAATATATGCTGTCCATAGTTTGCTTGACGCGCCAGCCAAGAAGTGGATTCCTATCGACTACTCGCTTAGTATGGAGGAGATATTCACAAATGTTGTTCTTGCCTACATCGACACTACTAGAACCCTCGACATACTTCTCTTGACACGCATGGACTGTTCCAATTTGGTCATGGACTTGAACAACCTCTCTATCGAACAGTTTGCAAGTCATTTTCATACACCTAAAAATTCCAGAGCCACGGATCGCGACGTGCTAGCGCCTAAGACATGGAGGCCACATGTCCACATCGAGTGTTCCGATAGGATAACCGCTTCGGCCGATATAGAGGCCATAGATCACCTCTCTTCACCAGTTCAAGTTTCATCAGACCTAATCCCTCTCGGACAAATCTTACCCAAGCTAATGGTTCGGGCATATCACATCGACAACGTGAGAGGCAGGAGCAATTTCTCCCTCGAGTTCTTTCTACGAAGATTCCATATGAGTGAGTTCTATAAAGATTATACCACTGATGATCTATGGAGTCCTCAGGTGCCATGGACGCTGAGCTGTCAATTTCTGCCAGAGGGCAACACAACGGACATCAAAACACTTCTTGAACAATTCTCTCGGAAGGGATTTAACGACTACTGCTTATTTGGCACAAATCATGGTGTAGGTGTTTGTAACGCAACCATATGGCCTCGAGACCGACTGTACTTCCTCGACGGAGTCAACCAGCCTTTTGTCCTCCGCCCGCTGGAGACGTCCTGCTCAGACGTTCAGCAGCCAAGATGCGGGTGTTGCCACACATTCCGTATTGTAGGTCACTGCTGGTGGGAGAGCCTTCCTGTGCCCGGGACTTCATCGGACACTGAGCCTCCGAGACCCAAACACAAACCGTCTGAGCAATACGAGACTATCGAGATATATTGAGATCACCCGAATTGTCGGCTGAGACACATACTATCAGAATGTCATCATTCTTGCCGAAATGCGCGTTCTACGCAAAAAGAAGAGAAAATGCACAGCAAAAGCCTCGAACTGCACAGCCTTACACCCCCCTCAGTAGAGCCATCACCACAAAATAGCCCACAGAGTGCACCATACCTCACCGCGACAAAACTTCCAGAGCCCCTTACGCTCTGACACCCGGCACCCAGCCCCGACACACACCATGCCCACGACAACACCACGCCCACAACACCACCACACCAAGACACCAAATCCCTGTCAAACGCGAGCACAAAACGCGAGCACAAAACGCGAGCACAAAACACGACTCTCAACACGAGTACCAAACCCCAGCACCGCCCACCCAGCATCACCCACCCAGCACCGCCCATCCAGCACCGCCCACCCAACACCTGAGAAGACGAAGACAAGGCTCCTCGCACCCACGCGCCGGGATCTCGCGTCTCTCTCGCTCCAGCCCGCTTACCCCCCCCCCCCCCCCCCCCCCCCCCCGGCGCACGACGGGCGCACGACGGGGCACGACGGACGACAGGTGTCTGTCCCCGGCGCCGGAGCTGGGGCGAGCGCGGTTCTCAATTCGCGGTTCGCGGTTCGCGGCTCGTGGTTCGCGGGTCGCGGCTCACAGGGCACAGGACATCTGATGCACGACAACACGACGATGAGGGGAGGGGGGAGCGTCGAAGTGTGAGAGACAGACAAGAAAGTATGGACGGGAGTGCGCGGCACGCGGGGGAGGTCACAATGGTGGTCGTGTTTGCGTGAGACACGCGGGCGCGCAGCACAGCGCCGCGGGGCGCGGGACGCGGGGCGCGGTGCAACAGGGGATACGGGACACGAGATGGGCGATGGCAGGAAGGTGTCATGGTGAAATGGTATGGAATTTATAGATGTAGATACACCTTCCCCCCCTCCTTTCGCTTTTGACCCCCCCTCCCCCTCTACTGATCACACCGTCTCATACTCCGGCGGCGGAAACACCTCCGGCGGCCTCGCACACCTCACCGCGTCGCCCAGCTCCTCAGGCGCGTGCCCAAACGTCCACGCCGACACGACCTGCACGCGGGCCTTGCACACGATGCCGGACCACTCGTTGCCGACGCACTCGCCCCACATCTCGACCTGCAGGGCGTGCTCGAGCGTGAGCCCGTAGGAGGAGAAACTCGGGGTGTCGGAGGGCGCGAGCATAGTGTCGCCAAAGGCCGACAGGTCGAGGGCGTCGGTGAGCGGTTCGGCGTCGGCGGCGGCGAATTTGCGGTCGAACAGGGTCGTGGTGCGGGTCGCGCTGTCGGTGTGTTCCTGGGCGCGGGTGACGGAGTTGGAGGGCTGGGGCACGAAGGTTTCGTAGGTGGAGAGCAGCTGGACGCGGACGCGGCGCAGGAAGAGGGGGGGCGGCTCCGGGACGGAGGCGCTGCGGTCGAGTTGTTGGAGGGTGGTGTGGATGGGGAAGGGGGCGCCGAGGACGATGACGCGTGGGGGCGTGGCGATGACGTTGAAGCGGTAGAAGGGGATTTCGTTGAAGGTTTCCAGGCCGAAAAAGAGCTCTTTCTCTACGAGGAAGTCTTTCACGCGGCTTAGCTTGCCGCCTTTTTCCTTGGTGTTTGGGAGGAGCTTGCGTGTGCGGATGAACTTGTAGCGGCAGTGTTGCTTGGGCAGCGCGGTGCCGAATTCAATGTTGGGCTGTAGCAGGGACAGGTCGTATTCTGGTGCTGGGGGCATGAACAACACTTGTTGTCTTATTCTTAACGAGGTATCAGTCCGAGCCTCGAGATAGTACGAGACGCCTGGCGAGACGGCCACATCCGTGTTCATCAACGTGGTGCAACTTGGAGGTAACGGAAACCCTGGTGAATGCTGGAACCGGGGATGACCATAAGAATCTTTTGAGTAACTCCATTTCCGCCCCGCGGGCGGTGGTTGGACCGCTACATGTGGGAAGGTGAATTGAAACGGAAGCTCGACTTTGCCATCCGATGCGGTGCCTTGGCGTAGGATATCGTAGTTCTCGCCGGTACCGGAGGATGTGAATAGCTCTTGCTCGAGTCGGAAGAACTCGGTTTTGCACGCTTCATAGTTCTTGTCGTAGAGGATCGAGATGCCCTTGAAGACGATGCTCACGTTTTGGGGCCGTGCAGTTGGATCAATGCGAACGCTGCCGTGAACAATATCTCCTGCCGAGTAGACATGCTTCGCATCTGAAAAGACATCAATGTACAAGACATTTTCCGCCAAGTTGACATGGGAGGCACCCGCGATTGACACGCTTGCAGAACGCATGGCTGTTCGCTGCGGGCTGATGATCAGATTGAAGCGCGCATGGCGGCGCGGTTAAGATGCGGCTGGCGCTACGGTATCCTGGGCTGGAGAGTGCGGGGAACGGCGGGGGCCCTATTATACCCCAAGTGATGTGCAGCCCTAAGATCGGACGGTCAGGTGCAGCTTATGTATGCTCAGACGGTTCGGCACGCAGACGCGACATCTCCGGTCTGCGGTGTTTGCTTGATCCAGCACCATTGGCCGAGCGGCGCCAATAGCAGCAGTGCTCAGAGTTGGAACGGCTCAAGCATTCGGCCTGAACGAGCCAAGCTGCGGCGCCTGCGTAGACAATGGCAATGAGCACGTGAGTGTTCTTGGTTGGTGGGCGACATGTGTGGTGCGTCGTTGTGATGCTTCGACTAGGGCGGTGGCACAGGGTCTGGTGAAGTCATAGATCCTTCCGGGAAGGCGCGTCGCGACTTTTCTGCACCGCAACACAGCGCTCGCTGCCCTCAACCACCACAATGGCGACCACCTACACCTGCAGAGCCTGCTCGCAAGCGCTATCGGGAGCGCGCTCTACTTGGCTGCAGGTAGGAATGGAACTGCGCCTCGAAAAGCCCCGCTAACATGGTCAGTCGAGCAGCAAGACGGTTCTACGCCGCGGACAGCGCAACCTCTCAACCACTGCGCCAAGCCTGTTTCTCGCATCGCACAGCCTCAATGCGGATGTCAGACCTGAAGAAATTAAGAAACCGTACCCGACGGTCAAGTCGGGCGTGTCAGGACTCGCACAGAGACTGCGCGAGAAGGCGCCGCTGATGACAGAGCCGTACGTCGCATATGGCGCTACACGAGACCTGATCAAGGAGTGCGCGCGGCCGGGCGATTACAAGATCCCACAGGCGCTGCAGAAGGGCGCTGAGATCCCCACGATCGAGAACGGCGTGCACTTGGGAGAAGGCACGGGATGGTGGTACGAGAGTGAGTCTCGTTATTGAGCTGCTGCGCCTCTACGCTTGCTGATACAACACAGCGCTTGGCCTCAAGCCCACGTTCGCGAACTGGACCCAGATCACCTTCATCCACATGTACATGCTGCAGGTGCGCTTCAGGATGCTGCCGGCGACGCACGCCAGCACGTGGATCCAGCACCTGACGAACCACGCCTTCTACACAGCTGAAGACCGGCTCGTGGTGTGGCACAAGTTCAACGCCAACACGCTGCGCCAGAAGCACCTCAAGGACATGTTCTCGCAGTGGCGCGCCGTGCTGTTGTCGTACGACGAGGGCCTGATGAAGGGCGACGCCATGCTGGCGGCTGCTATCTGGAGGAACCTCCTGGGCTCCAAGGAAGATGTGGATTTCCAGAAGCTGGCCCAGATTGTGGGGTACATGAGGAGGGAGCTGAAGAGGCTGGAGAAGGCAAGTGACGATGAGGTTGTGAATGGCATGTGGACGTTCAAGGGCGACCCTGGCGACGAGGCCAGCCTGGTGAAGCAGTCGAGCAAGATGATGCAGGAGACGAAGGTGTGAGGTGCAGGAGACGAGGTGTGAGGTGTGAGGTGTGAGGTATGCAGGTGGGGACGAGGTATGAGGGACGAAGCATAAGGGGACGAGGCATGAAGATGATGGAGTTTGTATATCATGAAGCACGTGTATATTATGTACTCTATTAGATGTGCAGAGCTGAACGCCTGCTATGTTGTATGAATGCCAGCGTTGACACGACTATAATTGCCCGCGTGGACGTGAAATTCGTGAAATTCATGTTGCTAGTGTGAACATTATACATGTATGCAATTACCAGCGTTCACATGACATGTATAATTGTGAGCAATGCTGTCACACAAATACTGTAATTGCGAGTCTCATTACCCCACATATAGGACCACATATAGAACCACTGCAATAACAAAGGCGATATTACTTGCACGCCGTAATGATCAAATCTGGCGGGAGCACCCGCGTGTTCTCGACTCTTCAGCACGAGAAGGTTCTTTGTTCGCTGAAACACCAGCAACGGAAGCGACTCCGGGCTCGCCAGAGCTGGGTCTGCGTCTTTGTCTGCTCGAGCTCGGCGTGCACCAGGCTGGGTGTGCCAACTTGGGCGGCATCTGGCCGGAGAGAGACCGTGAGTGGCGCGGCTACGTCAGGCTGGTCGGTGCCGTGAGGATACCTGGTCGGTGCCGTGAGGATACCTGCTCGGATGCCTGCTCAGGGCTGAGCGGGTATCTGCCGGCACCGCGACAATCTCCGCACTGGCCGCTGTTTGAGGCTCTCGAGGGAGCAGCGGTGCGGGCGGCGGCGGTGGTCGTGAGACAGGCACCAAGAGACGGGCGTTTGAAAGGTGCAGCTGGAGCGCTAGAGGCGGACCCCTGGCGTGCCTGAGCCTGCACCCGCCAAACGCGCAGCGGGCGCTGGCAGGCGAGGCGAGCTCGTGACGGCGTCGATATTGGAGGCTTTGGAGCCGCGCTGGAGGGCTGCAGGGGCGCTGCGACGGCGCGGTCCCGTGGATGCGCTGGTGGCCAGCCCGCCGCCCGCTTGGCAGTGAAGTGGCCGACTGCTCCATCTCACGCCTCGAGCGGCAGCGTCACCACTCTGCACCCGCCCACGCCGCCCTCGCTCGCTGCCCCCGTGCAAACTGAATCCTCTGGAGGCCTCGGATACGACTGCCCGTGCTGCCTGCGCTCCCCGCCCTGTCCACGGCGCCGTCTCAGCCCAGCGGCTCCCCTGGTTCGCGTGCGAGTGCGTGCTTGACCGCCGACCCCGTCAGCCCCGAGCAGGCGAAACACGGCGCCCCTCACGCCGGCGACGCAGACGAAGCCCACGGGGTCCTGGGCGCTGGTACCTGAGCCTGAGCGCCTGCTGCCCGCCTCGTGCACGCGCGCTCGTGTTGCTGTCCGCTGCCGGCCGCACTCTGGAGCTCAGTGCATCTGCGACGCCCTCGAGCCGCCGCTCACCCACCCGCCCCATGGAGCACGTCGACTACTTCACGCCGCAGCGCGACCCGGCGCCGGTCGACTCGGACTCGGACATGGCCGCGTCGGCCGTCGCCTCGTCGTCGCGCGCCGCCATGCTCTCGTCGCCCGTCGCGCGCGCCCGCAAGCCCAGCCGCCTGTCGCGCTCCGGCGTGCCGCGGCCCATCATCACGCCCACGAGCCCGCTGTCGGCGACGCTGCCGCACAGCCTGCTGCCGTCGGCCCCCGCGTCGCCGCCCACGCCCGCGCCCAGCCCGACGCCGACGCAGCGCGCGCCCGACTGGAGCACCGCCGCCGAGCATGAGGACTCGCACATCAAGGCCATCCGCGGCCACTTTGGCGACATGAACCGCGCCGAGCGCCTGCGCCTGCTGGGCGAGCTGCTCAACCTGTGCGACAGCCAGGAGCTGAGCTTCGTGGCCGACTTTGTCAGCCCGCGCCTGAAGAAGGACCCGTTCCTGGTCCTGCCCACCGAACTGTCCCTGCGGGTACGTACCACGCCTGCGGCCTAAGCTAGCGGCTAGTGCTGACATGTGTAGATCCTCGAGTGCGTCGACGACCCCACCACGCTGGCCCGCGCCTCGCAGGTCTCCAACAAGTGGCGCGACCTGGTCAACGACGACGGCGCCTGGCGCCTGCTGTGCCAGAAGTACTCGTTCCGCCAGCTGCTGCCCCACGAGCGCAACGGGCCCGCCTCGCCGACCGACGCCATGGACACGGAGCAGCCCTGGACAGAAGACGCCGCCCGCACATCGCGAGCCGACGACACGCCGACGAACAAGCACCTGGAGATTGGCTCGCCGACCGCCGCGACCGGCGAGCTGCGGACGCGCAGTCTGGACCGCGACGCCCAGCGCACCGTCTCCCGCAAGTCCAAGGCCATCACATACCGCTCGCACTTCAAGCAGCGCTACATGGTCGAGACAGCCTGGCGCAACGGCGGGGTCTGCGACGCCCGCCAGATCACCCCCGACCAGGGTGTCGTCACAAGTCTGCACCTGACCAAGAAGTATATTGTAGTCGCGCTCGACAACGCGAAGATCCACGTGTTCGACACTGTGGGCGACCACCAGAAGACACTGCAAGGCCACGTTATGGGCGTGTGGGCCATGGTGCCCTGGGGCGACCTGCTGGTCAGCGGTGGTTGCGACCGTGACGTCAGAGTGTGGAATCTGGCTACAGGGTATGTCCAACCATATTTTCAAACTTCAGGGTGCTAATCGTGTATAGTTACCCCCAATTCACACTCCGCGGGCACACCTCGACAGTGCGATGTTTGAAGATGTCGGACGCTAACACCGCCATCTCCGGCTCGCGTGACACAACACTGCGCATCTGGGACTTGAAAAAGGGAATCTGCAAGCACGTCCTGATCGGTCACCAGGCCAGCGTCAGGTGTCTGGAGATTCACGGCGATATTGTCGTGTCCGGGAGCTACGACACCACCGCCAAAATATGGAGCATCTCCGAAGGCAAGTGCCTGCGCACACTGACCGGCCACTTCAGCCAGATCTACGCCATTGCCTTTGACGGGAAGAAGATTGCAACGGGCAGTCTGGACACCAGCGTTCGAATCTGGGATCCGAACGACGGGTAAGTTATTGGTGTCACCCCAACGTCCTCCTACTCACGCGTGACAGCAAATGCTTGGCGGTGCTACAGGGCCACACTTCGCTCGTCGGCCAACTCCAGATGCGCGACGACATCCTCGTGACTGGCGGCTCCGACGGCTCCGTCCGCGTCTGGAGTCTGGCCACCTACCAGGCCATCCACAGGCTCGCGGCACACGACAACAGCGTCACCAGCCTGCAGTTCGACAACACCCGCATCGTCAGCGGCGGCAGCGACGGCCGCGTCAAGGTCTGGGACCTGAAGAAAGGTACGCTCGTCCGCGAACTCAGCACCCCCGCCGAAGCCGTCTGGCGCGTCGTCTTCGAGGAAGAAAAGGCCGTCATCATGGCCAGCCGCGGCGGCCGCACCATCATGGAGGTCTGGGACTTCTCGCCGCCGCCCGACGAGGACCTCGACACCCCACGCTCCGGCAGCCCCATCAGCATCCCCGACCACCTGGACCTGGAGCACCCGCGGCCGCAGTCGGCGATCCTGCCGCGCACCGCATCGCTCGTGGCCGACGACAGCGCCGGCGACGTCACCATGGCCGATGCCGAGGCGTGAGCTCCAGCAGCGCTTTACCATTCCACAAAACCGTACGTTTAATGCTTGTTTGACCGCGTGCGAGCGTGCGAGCGTGCACGAACTCCCTCGCCCCCGCGTCTTTGTTATACCCCGGCGCCGGCCCGTCTGTTGTTGACCACCACGGCCGCGCTGCTGGCGCGCCTCACGCGCACTACCACATACCCTTGCATTCCGGGCGCATCGTCATGGCTGCATCACACCACACCACACCACACCAACACACACCACATCCCCCGCGCCGCTGGAGCCGCGAGCGGGGACGAAAAGCGGGAGGCCGCGGGGCGGCAGGGGCTGGACAACGCGGCGCCGGTCCACCGCCCGCGCCACGAGTTGTCACGAGCGCGTCGGGCTATCTTGTCATGTACCCCCCTATATTGTACGCGGGGGGGGCTTGTTATGTATTCTCGCCCACGGCGGCGGCCTTTTTGGATATCTTGGATAGCATATCGATCTACCATCTACCATCTATTTACCTCGCTGGCTCGCGCTTCCTGCAAAGCAGCTGAGCAGCTTATATTCGCGAGCGGGAACGGTCACGGCACGGGACGGGACGGGAAAACGGATCAACATTGGGTGTTTTTGGGGTTTTTGGATCCGATCCCCCCGTGTTCTTGGGGGCGGTGAGGCGTACTTGGGCGTTTATATAGACTGTCGTTGGAATCCTTATTCTTCACTTTCCAGCGTTCACTTCTCGATTCTCGGTGGTTTGGTGGACGTGGTATGTGTTGCATGCCCTCTTTCGTCACCGTGAGGGTGCTTGGGTGCTTGATGTCGTGGTGTGGTGCTGTGGGCGCGGTCAGGTCTCGCACATCTGCGTCCCCGCCTGGAGTGCAGCTGTGGCTTGCGCTGGGCTGGAGACCCGGCGCGTCCTTGCCCTCTGGCTCGCATCCGCGACGTCTAGATGTAGATGGCAAGGCAGCGCGCTGGTCTTGCGTGGCGTGTAAAGCACTCACTGCCCCTCATTGCACTGCGCCGTTTTCACCAACCCACCAGCCCACCTACCCAACCCCGCACCCCCTTCTTCCCGTCCTTCCCCCCCTCCCCCCCTCTATCTCTTCGTCTCTCCCTATCCACCGCGGGATCCCCACCAAACAGTCCTGAGACCGCGTTGCACACCGCACTCCCTTTTTTCGCAACGCCGGGATCCGCGGATAGCGGTAGAGTCGAGAACGTGTTTGCGTGGGCTGGGGGAGCTGAGTGGTGGGGGGTGTGGGGTATGGGGTTGGGAAGTGAGATGTGGGGTGGCGGTTGGCGGTTGGCGGTGTCGCTGGGGTGTGGTTCGACGGGGTGGCTTGAGTGGTGGACTGCAACTGGCTTGTCTTGGGAGATGTGCGTAGGTGTTGTGGTCGCGCACTGCAGTTGCTGGGGTGCGTGGACGCATGCTCGGCTGTGTAGTGGAGAGGGCGGTGTTTCACCGCGACTGGACTCGGGGGGTTTGTTTGGGTGGACGGCCAGGGGTGGATTTGGAAGAGCTGGATGTCGAGGGCTGGTGAGGGATGGTGGATGGAGTACAGGGTCTGGAAACGGGGTGGGAGACTGAGGGAATCCACCTCCACCCTTCTCCGTGCAGAGACACGGCATGTCTCTGTCAGTAGATCTCAATCGTCTGGGTCTGCACCGCCGCGTTCCGAACCGCGTTGGCTTCGATGTCAACCCACATTGACGGGTCGGGAGAGCTCATCTGCTGCCAGTGGCACGCGCTCACGATTCTGAATCTACCGGGTGCCACTTTTCGAAGCAGAAATAGCGGCTTTGCTCCTTCGATACGAAAGAGTTGGTCGTCGGGCAGCGATGCGGTGCTGGAAAATCCGTTTCCGTGTTGAGTGTCAAATCCTTTGAGCCTCCTGTAGTGGCGAGTCCTAGCTCGTGATGCAGAAAATGGAATCCTTCGGCGATTTTCTGCCGCGTAGAGACCATATAGTGATTCCACGAGCTCGTGATCTCTTCGTAGCACTGAGTAAATTCCATTAGAATTCTTCAGTCCATTTCCAGCGGTATACTGAGAGCTTACACTAGCGATATACCGAGAGCTTACGCCAGTTGAGATGTCAATGAGGAGAGCTCGAATCTTCAAGCACGGCAGTATTTGCCCGGCTATCAAACGAACGTCCACTCGATGCTTTGGCAGCGCAATGATGCTAGATGTCTGGTTTTGTGTCGGAGGTCCGTCTTGATCAAAGTTGAACGAGGTAAGGAACTCGTGTTCGTCGTTGAAGAGGATTAGGTCCCTATTATCGCCTGGCCCACATGCTGTCCACCCTAAGTACCGTTGCAAATGTGCCATCGTAAAGCTCCGAGCGAGTGTCAAGTTTGGCTCATTGCCATCTAAGCTGACAAAGTGCAGAACATCAAGACTGTGCGTGCTTCGAATGCAGGCGAAGACGGCGTTGGCGAACGTTTCTTCAGTTTGAAGTGAGTAATTGACCGGAATCAGCGTTCTGAGGTGAGGTGGCAGGAGGCTGATTATGCCATGTACTCCATCTCTGGGATCGGAGCAGAAAGATGATACTGAGGTACGGAGGGCATCTGCTACGTTCTGGAATCCATCTCTTTGTAAGAATGCGTTGATCAGAGGCGGCGCTCTCCAATTGAGCGTTGCGAGTATCTCTTTTGACCATTCCGCAACGTCGTTGTTCACGTGGAAAATGACGCTCTTAGCCATTACCACCTCTTGTATGACCCAAACACGTCCGAAATATCGAAGGGCGAAGAGGTCTACAAATCGGTCCGCCACGTGTTTCGGTAGCTCTGGAAACCCTTCCTTCGCGTTCAGCCATCTCATACATATTGAGTGGTCCTGGAGATGATCCTGTATACAGACGTGAACACGTACTGCATTGCGATAAATCTGATCCATAAGCCCGACTTGATGGTTACGCTCGTTGATATTTTCTTGGTTCACACACAGTGCGTCAAGCCAAAGCCTGCGTATCTGCCGTTTCCGAAGGCAACGCAGGGCCGCGTCGCAGTTCTTTGTAACGTAGAACACGCTATTGTCAATTTTCAGTGATTGAGACTTACTGTCGTCTCCATTTTCAGTTGCCCAAGTATATGAGACGGCCTCGTACTCTGCATGTTGCAGTCCAGAAAGGATGAGAGTGCATTGTATGGGGTCGTCATAATCGCCGGGCTCCAGGACCAACAATCGGATCATTTGTCCTCTCTGTAGACATCTCAAATCCGTGTAAATGTACTCTTGCTCTTGCCTTGCAGCCTCTGTTGGTAGTGAGGGTTCGTGGAATCGAGTCTCACCACACCCAAGGCAGCTTCGCAGCCCATCGAACTCTCGAACATCGACATGACTGCAACTTTGGGACGACATTGCGAAACTGGGGGGGATTCTGGAAAGTCTTGAATCGAAAGTGAGCATGTTGGTCGCAAGACAAATTTTTTCGATTAATGTTGGCTGGCGAGACCGGTGAGACGAGGCAGGAGCGGTCTGCATGATGCGGGGCAGTCAACCTCACATGGAAGCCTCAGCCTGCCGACGCATTAAGGACACTTCAACCCACTGCCTGATTTGAAGTCGTATTTGCTTCTTTTGCCTCAGACCTCACTCTCCTGCCTGTATTTCTTTGCGACAGGACGACAGGATGGTTTACGACGACATTGCTGCTGGTGACTTCTTCACCGACAGTCCCAAGATCCGCATTCGCAAAACCCCCGCCGTAGCAGGCATCGTAGAAGAGGCCAAGACATGGATCGCCTAGCAGTCTAAGAAGGGTGGTCCAAGGAATTGTCAGTTGCGACCAGCTTCTGATGAAGAGAGGAACGGGCACTTCATCCGTCTTGTCGGAGTCAAGAGGATGTATGACATGCTGCTTAAGTTGAACGGCAAGACTAATTACAAGCTCATTTATGATAAGAAGGTGAGGCTCTTCTTAAAACAATGCGAAGGGTACAAAGTTGATGAGTATGATGGTAGGAGAGGCCATGGGCTGTTTCAGGTGACCAGCATCCATGCGGTATCCTTTCGTACAACGATAAATGGTCGATGATATCCTGGGACAGTACCAATCTTAGCAGGCTCGGTCCTACGAAGAGAGAGGAATTGAGCTGTGTCCCTGTTGAAATGAAGGAAGGCAATTGGCACGGTTTCTCAGTAGAAGGTAAGTTTGATCATCCTGTTTCAGAATCGATCAATTGAAAGACATACAGGTTGCAAGTACTGCAATGGAGAGTACGAAAAAGCGGTGCGATCAACATTGGACTAGCGTAATGATGAAGGCCAGCAGCGGATCAAGACAATTAGGAATTGGGCATGTTGGGAGATAATCCTGGATGTGTCACTAGCGGTGCCCTTAGCTTTCGTTTTGCCTGAGTTGTGATGATTTGTACCCACGTACACGGCGCCTTTGAAAAGGTTGTGTCTCTGGAGTGATGCGTTATAAAAATTTGTTGAGAAAAGATAATCCGAACATGCCAAAGGCTCCGCATGAAGAGTGTCTTTCAGCACATAAGGTTAGCTAATATATCCTGACATAATATTAACGAAATACTAAAGTACAATATCTACGTAGGTAAACACTTCGCAGGTACACTTGCAAAGAAATATACATTATGTAAAATTGGCTACCACTAATGTTTTAGACCGTAACTAAATTTTAAATGGAGTTAGTATTCTACATCTCTCTCTTTCCTCTTTTACTACATCCCTTCAGACTATTAATGCAAAAAGGCAAAGTCGCAAGAGTAAGCAGCGTTCGAAACTTAGAAGCTGTAGGAGTACTATGGGTGGTACTGGTTGCAAAGCCATAGTAGTACACATTGTTTGTTATCGTTATCGAATCTGTGCAACCATGATCATTGAGTAAACAGTGTTCACGTTACCTTTGCGGGGTAGTGGGATAGTTTCACAGAGAAAAATTGATCGGCAAGACAACAGTCCTTCACTCCTTTCCCAAATCATGGAAACTCTTGAGCGCGGTTTCGTTGTCGATCCCGACTTTGTATTGCCAGAAGGTGTCAATCTCGTTCTTGGTGGCCAACATATCCAAATTGCATATCCACCTCTTGATCCGGCGTCAAATTTTACGCGGTTCCTTCCTCCAGATGCCACCGACACCCCTGAAACTCTGTTTGTGCCCAGCTTCAGTGGATGCACGATTCCAGCCCCACGTTTCATTCGCCAATCGAACAAATCCGAGTTCCTCATCTACACAGATGGCGCCTGTAATGAGAACGGAAACAAAGATGCTAGAGGAGGTTGTGCCTTTGTCTATAGTCCTGAGACATCTCCCTCAACAATTCCGTCAAAAACCTCATCTGGGCATTCTACTATTTCTATGAAACTCCATGAACTGGGTGCTGCCGGATTTCGACTCGAGACCCGCGGTCCTACTGGAGAAGCCGCATCTCAGACCAGTAACCGTGCCGAGCTCCGTGCCGTTATCGGTGCTCTTGGATTTCGGCTGTGGAACAACGAGGGATTCCAACGCCTTGTGGTTGCAACAGACTCGACTTACGTAGTTGACGGATCTACAGAATGGATGAAGAAATGACAGCGCAATGGATGGCAGACAGCAACAAAGAACCCGGTAAAGAACCAGGACCTTTGGAAAGAGCTTTTGAAAGAACTCGAAAGATGGAGTAAAGCATGATTTGAAGTACAGTTTTGGCTCATCCCAAGAACGCTTAATACAACAGCAGACAGACTGGCGAAGGAAGCTACAGCGCTTGCTGACCAAGAGGATTGGCAAAAGATCCAGGGTGTATTGTGCTGATTTAATATGAGAGCTAGTGTCAGCTTGGTTATTATCATGGCGGAATCTAACAATTATTTCAACTAACGTCCCATGACCCATGGATAGATCTTACAACATATCGTGCAAACATCGACAATTACGTGTATCGCTCGGCCCTCACGCTACACAATCAGTATTCCTTCTTGTACCTTGATGATACACTCTTCGTAGACCGACCCCGTGCCTACTCTCCGATACTCTCCATCTCTACCGGTTGGTACAACAGCCAGTATAAGGCTGTACCTTTTGCCGTTGGATCTGTTACTGCTCTGGCTCACGATAACACAGTGCAAGTTGTCGAAACTCTCCGAATCTTTCCAGTCAGGCTCCCACCACCCTTTGATCCCGCCATCCGAATCCCAGAAAATGTAATCAGGTGACAGCCAATTCTTGATGGACCCAGCGGTATCCCGGATATACAAGGTCTGGTACTCCTGCTCGTATTTCTCGTCTCGGGGTTTCAGTATACAGTCCACAAACACGCCTAGGTCTGCTAACAGTGCTTCTTGGCGCTGACTGTGGAACGATATGCTTGTGTTGAGTTCGAAAGTGCCAGATTCATCCTCCTCGTCAAACACGACCGGCCCTGAGCCAGCCAGCCACGACCATGACGGGACAGAGTCGTGATACTGAGTCGCTTTGGTGTTGTCTGTGTGCATCCAAAGAAGATTCCGGTGGAGATATCTCTCAAAGACGCAGAATCTGCTTTCACAGTCCAGTGCTTCTGCGATACGCTCCTCAAGCCCAGATATTGCGATTGGTCGGTCCCTTTGGAAAGTAATGTCGCGTTTCGAGTACTCTTCAATCAGATAGAAGATACAGTTCAACATAGCATCCCGATCAAACGCGCCCAAAAGACGGGCAGGGAATTCTGGGTCCAACATGAAGTGTCTGTTTCGGGGTATACTGGAAGAAAGCGTCAGTTTCAGTGAGATACGTGGGTCAGTAGGCAATATACTCTTACCTCTTCAACCTGGTAAGATTCTCGCAGTGTATACCCTTGCCGCATTCCCAATACATCTGGTTGGCGCTGAAATGAACAGTGCGCCGTGCTAGTACCAATTCTTGCATGACCCATGCACGCGTATTCAGCTTGGCTCTGCCGACGTCGTTGTCGAAGTCATCCAAGTCAGTGCTGATGTAGAACTGGCGTTCTGACCGGTCCTTGACACAGACGTATTCTGTTCTTCTGTCCTCTTGTCGATCCAGGAACCCAGAGTGAGCATTGTTGGCTGCCGTTGCAGCAAGTACGCAGTACGCTTGTGAGAATACATGCTTCATTCGAGTCGATTCGTATTTCCAATCTTCAAAGCTGTCTCCAGACTGTATAATGCAAAGGGAGTCGATCCAGAGATATCGGTGTCCGAGAGCCCTTACAACTTTGATTGCGTCCTGGAATGTCTTCGGTAACTCCGAAACATGGAAACCGCGCTTCCTTTGTTGTAGGTTATCCAGGGTGGTGCTGTAGCTTTGTTGAACATTTGAGACGTTGCCCCAGCAATGAGACAGCGCAAAGTACGTATTAGTGGTTTTCTCCGCAGCGTCAATCAATCTGATCCAACCGGGTTCGTGTGTCGCATATTGTAGGCCATCCACATCAAGAACTCTCGTCGGAAACACCATGTCAGTACTTCTTTCGTTACATCGATGCGTCTTATCGCATTGTTGAAGCCATGCACGGAGCAGTTGAATGCGTGCCGTACGATCATGATCTGCCAGCAATGGACGGCCAATAGGAACCCTATGCCGCTGCCGCTCAGGAAGATCTAGTGATATATCAGAGACCGTACGGTATAGTTTCTGTGAAGACGCAATACAAAGACTTACTTGGATCAGCACTAAACCGGACTAGACGCGGGCCATAGAAGTCTGCTCTAATCCCTGCATGATTTCGGAGTAGACGTATGTTACCGTCTTCACTCACATGATCGATAGAGGATCTTAGAAGGAGACTGCAGATCTGACATCGTTGGGCCGAGTCGATGAGGTCTGTCAGAGGGATGACAGCTGGTTCACCGTAATGCTCCTCGAGAAGGATTCTCTGGCAGCAATAACAACACCATGTCGCATACGTGCGTAGATGTGGATGTGTCCATATCGTCGAATAATATGTCTTCGCGAAGTCATCGTCGTACTGGAGTCTCCAGTCATTGTAATGGTCCATTTTAAATCTCTAAACGACGCAAAACGAACATTAGTGGTCGCTACCAAATCAAAAAAATCAACTCACTACTTTGGCTTCTACTCTATTCAGCTGTCACGTTGAGCACAATAGTCAGCAGCGCGCCTTATCGGCTTCTGTAAGGATGCTTACCACTTTCTCTAGCGAGCCTCCAATCTACGCAAACAGACGGCTGGTCAGTGAAATACAACAGTGTTGTCGATCGCATGTCTACTTACATATCTGTGAACATCGAACTCTTCTAGCACAGATCTACTGACAGATCCTGGTGCTGCAAACTCCCTTCGCGCAGCAAACGCCGCCTCTTTTCTTACTATCTTCAGCAACTCCTTATCATCACGCATCTGGTTAGACAAGGTTTTCCATGTATCTTTCATAGTGCTAGGCTTGCTGAGCGCCTTGAGTACATCACGCTTGCGATCGACACCAACGGCATCAGTTGCGTGTTCAGATATCCCCTCTACCACCGTGGAAAGCCATTGTATAAACGTCTCATCTGAATCATCTTCAACCTCATATTCGTTGATACTTGTGGGTTCCTTTCTGAATGAGAATATACTCGACGAATCGGACGAGATTTCGGTTTGCATTTTGACACAGTCTGCGGTGGGAGAGATTCAGCGAGAGCACTGATAGAAGTGAAGGTACATTAGGTATGATAAAGGAAAATGTCAACCAGAGAGCTCGCTTGTTAAAGAGTCGGAGTTGCTCTCGTAGATGAAGTACATGGGCAGAGTGTCGTTTAGCCGTTAATGAACGGCTGCAAACACGAGCTTACTTGCAGACTCCCAATCAGCGTCCGAGAAATGTTGTGATGGCTGCACGACCCTTGTTGTGGAGGCTGATCTGGGCTGCGCCGCGTGGGTCGACGACACTGGGAAGGCTGAAACCTAATCAGCCCCTAGGAAGCACGCGCGTTAGGCGGACTTTTGGCCCCATACTTCCCGCAGCATTCCGTTTCTGCTCCTCCGGAACTGCACTCGTCAATGGAACGCATTGCTCGCTCTAGTCACGTCTGTGGGGGACTCACCTCGACCTGCATTGATTATGGAACCTTATTTATCACAGTCAGGTCTTCTTGATTGCAAAGCTGTTGCAAACAGTACTAAAACTTGCACAGCCTTGTCTCTCATGGGGTCGTGGTGTTGGTCAGAGCAAGCATTCAGTCAGCTGTCTACCTATTTGAGCTGCTTATCGCGTCTCATATTTCAACCGCGACTTTATTCACCTTTTTTTCGTCCCGAGGACAGGGATGCAAGATCTTGTCCGCCTTGTGTCCGAGGCTACCGCACGTGCGTGATGCATCGCAGTCAACGTGCACACTCGGCCGCTAGTGCCTGTATCAACGACGATAGGACTCTTGCGCGATGTTGTTGCATTTGGGTGGTTCCAGAGGGATATGTCCGCGCCCCACAAGCGGCTGGTAACGCCAATCAAGCGAGCGCTTGGCGTGAAAGGAGTCTAGACCTGAACGGCCCCACCACTCTCCCGCTTCAACTCCACATTTTTTAAAATGCTCAACCTTGCGAAATCCATACATGGGTGACATCTCTGCTACAGAGCTCATTGTGCCACGTCCGACTTTGTGTCAGCCATCAGAATTTGATACACAACACACAGATGTCAGATCTTGGCACGTCCGCACGCGTTTGGATCTGGATCACAGCTCCGCAACGACGAGGCTGAAACGACAATGTCATCGCAAGGAATATGTGTTGGGCAGACATGGGTCTCTCTGAGGATTTCGTAGAAGATCGATCATTAGAACATTGGTTCTTTTACATCTGGTATCGTACGGAAGTGTGGTAATGCTTCAGCAACTTTCTGTTCTCAATCGTACTGTGCAGTACTCGGCTATTCCTAATTCCAAACTAACATTATATTAGCACTCTAACGTCTATCCCTATATTGCGAGCCACCCTACAACGCGAGCCGAATTCTTGAGTTTAATCCCTTGAAAGCCTCCCTCGTAGGCTAATAGAGGTACTGTTTGTACACGTCCATCTTTTGCCCTTCCCTCAACTAGGATCCTGTGGCACGAAGTAATTTTTGGAGTTTTAGGTCCGCTATCAATGTTTTTATTCACGTCATGCTGAGCTCCTCCGCTCTATCACCCTTGCTAACCCGTAATGATAGGAGTGTCTTGTACAACCGGAACTTTAGGGAGAAGCGACTGTTGTAGTAGAATGTAGATCCAGGGGTTTGAAAGCTATGTCAGCCTAGCAATGTAGATGCTGAGAGATTCTCCAGATAAAACGAGGGGTGATCTCGAGCCTTGCAACTTGAGGTAACCCTTGGCAAGATTCAGCGAGCTTGTATTGTATCTTAAGTAACGAGCCTTCCGAAGTGGGCTGTGGCTGTGGCGATCAATTCTAGAAGGGTTCATAAGCACGTGCTATTTCTATTTTTGATCTCTTTGTCACGTTGCTGTCAGTTACCCAGAACCTGGCCCCATGTCGTCGTGTCCTATCGCCGTGTTACCCCACCGACACTCCATCACCATAATCAGCTAACATGGATAGAGCCAGCCAAGCGCTGGCATTATGTGCTCCACACGGTGTGCCAAAAATCCCTTCGTGCTCTAGCTGATCATCACGGTGTTCCCCGCACGGCTCTACAGCATCGGAAACGCGACCGCCAGTTGATCGATCGGAAGAGAAGGCCCAGAGTCAACAATATCTCCGCCCGTAGGAAGAGAACGCTCTTGCTAAATCTATAGCACGTCAAGATGCTCTTGATTGCCCCGTCCGCGTAAAGTATATAGGTTCGATAGCCTTCGGTCTTGCCCGCCGACGGGAGCCAGCGAACAGGAAAGAACTGGCCCCAGTGCTTCTACAAACGCCATCCAGAGCTTAAACCAAGTAAGACCAGTGCGCTAGACTGGGACCGTTACGATATTTTTGATAAGGTCATACACTGGTTTGAGGTGATTGGAGAGGTCCTACAGGACCCCGCTGTTCTACAAGAGAACGTCTATAATATACGAGACTGGTGTCGTGCTTTCCAAGCTGAACTCTTTCAAAGTCCTTGTTTCTTGAGATAACGTGCGAGGCTATGGAGATGCCCGTGTCAAGCGAACGATTGTTACTGATGTTGAATGTGTAAGTGCCGATGGTAGGTATTTGACCCCTATGATCATTTGGCCTGCATCAACTCATTGATCTAACTGGACCACGTATCCTACCCCTGGGTGGCACTGTGCATTCTCGGACACTGGCTACACCGACCCATATCTCAGCTTGCATTGGCTCAAGGTTATATTTCATCCTCAAACTGAACAGCGAGCTAATGTAAAACCACGGGTACTAATATGCGACGGCTTCGGAACCCACGAAACTCTAAAGATCTTAGAGTTTTGTTTTAAGAACAAAATCATCCTATACCGTCTCCCCTCTCACATGTCCCATAAGCTTCAACCCTGCGACATCTCAGTATACTGAAAGTGGTCTACCACGAACAGGTCGAGCGGTTAGAGCGGGGAGGTGTTGGAACAATTGGGAAAGGAGCATTTCACCTATCTATATAGCACCGCAAGGGATCAAGCCTTTGAGTCCAGGAACATACGCGCGGGATGGTCGAGAGCTGGCCTCCTCCCCTTTAATCCAGCCAAGGTACTCAGTGATATACCAAAGCCCCTCGCTCGATTGAGTGCCCCCGCAGCCAACGAGATGGAGGGAGATGCTTGCATACGAGACCAAGTACCTCAAACACCAGTAACGCCAACTACAGCAAATGCTGTTACCTCGCTGCACAATCTAATCAAACAGGACACACACGTAGTTGATGAGGCGAGTAGACAGCGCTTGCAGAGACCCATCCAGAAGCTCACCCCTTTGCAGAACGTGCCCTCCTTGAGGAACAGAATCAATTCTTTACTGAGATTAATAACGAAGTAAAAGTTTGCCGATCGACAGAGGCGATAATCCTGGAGACTGGGTCGGAGAGAGTGGTAACCTATGCATATCTTGTCGAGGCGCAAGAGGATCATGCTTCAAAGACGCCGAGAGAGAGGCTAGAAGAATCGCGAGCGAGGCGAAGAAAGCCGCTAAGGCTACACGAGCAGCCGAAGTCCCCATTGGCAAAAAGAGACGAGGTCGAAAGCGAAAGACCGACCCATTGGAGATGAATACGCCTACACCAAAGGCCAAAGCGGTGCCGAAAAGCAAAGGACAACGAAATAGGTTCTGCTTACCGTGCAATACTCCGAAGCGATACAATCTCACTGACCAACAGCTCCATACCATGCCAGACCTAGAACAGCGCCGAACACGATCGCCATCGCTGGTGGGACCTTGAACCAGGCAGTCTCCGCATAGGTGACCGTAGCTACTACAACCCACCAGGGTTCTTGGCCAAGACTGTTGCCGTTGCTGCTCTCCGGCGTTAGGTAGCCAATCTCCCAAAGCCGATACACAGCCGTGAAGACGAGTCCAACGGCTGTGGCATTAATACCCCTGAGCAGACTAACGATCCATGCCTTTGCCCGCAGAGCTTGCCAGATAGACTGCACCCCAACTGCGAGGATAATGCCTGGGAAGAAGATGCCTAGGTAACCTAGCAATGCACCAAAGACTGTAGGGTGACCTGTACCTGCGAGTGCCAGCGCGCCTAGGTAGACTGCGAAGTTGAAGTTTGGCCCAGGGAAAGCTTGAATTATAGCAAGACCGAGGAGGAAGTCGCGAGGCGAAACCCAGCCCGGGTCGACGACGTACGAACGAAGAAGGGGGATAACAACCGGTCCACCGCCGAAGATAATAGTGCCAGCAAGGTACATGTTCGAAAAGAGATCAAAAGGGCGAGGTCTATTGGATAGCACTCCCCGGAGAATCATGATGATTACGAACGAGACTGTTTCAGGGTTAGAATGCGCTTGAAGAGCGGAAGTGGCAACGTACTCAGGAAGCCTACGATGAGCGAGACGCCCAGCTTGATGGAGATGTTGTGCGTCTTCGTATCTGCAACAGGAGCTGCTTCTGCGCTTTCCGCGCCTCCACGCGACGAACTGTTTGCAAAAGAATCCTGTCCAGTAGGGTCCCGTTCATCCGAAGTGTGCCCTTCCGAGCCCTCAGCCTGCGGCTTTCGCTGATTGAGCGTTGCTGGAGTAGCATGCGCGTGTTCCTTGAGCGGGATGCTCTGAGATGTATTGACTCTTTCAGCATCTCCTCCTTCGTTTGTCGTGCGCCTTCTGTTAGTTTCCCATTTCGCTCGCATCTTGCCGGCCATCTGCAGCAGCCACACATCCCATATAACAGTAGCTACTCCGCCAAGCAATATCAACATGGGAAAGTACCAGAGTGCGTTGTAGCACAGGCCTGCGCAAGCGCCCATGATAACCAGTATCCTTGTGAGACGATCTTTGATGGCTTTCTCCGCCAGCTGCATGTCATCAGCTATTTCCCTCAATAGATAACTACAGGCCCTTACTTGAACAGCAGCCAATGCGACTATCCCCACAGTACTCGCATTCAGTCCGCTTAGCAGGGCGTACACAGCAGGCGGCAACCGGTCAGGCATCCGTTGAACGCCCAGTGACAGACCATACATTCCAATTGCGCCAGGTAGGCTCCAAAGGAAAAATGTGAAGATGGCTCCAATGATGCCTGCACGTATCATTGCAATGCAGAATAGCATCTTTGTAGAACCTGGTCCAGGAAGTGCTTGGCATATGCCAAAAAGTTCTTGATACTGCAGTTGTATTTGAAACATGTTCCGCTAACAGGATACGTCGTTGACATAAGCATCAATATTTACTCACAGTCTGTTCGTCAATCCATTTACTTACGCCACCGAATCCGACCCCTTGCACAAACCTGCGGTGGAGGATTTGGAAATGTACGGGTGGCCCGCCAAACGATGTGAAGCCTAGATCCCAAGTCCTTATGAACACTTCCGCAAGTCGCCATCTCAGCGTTTCTGTGTTGGCTTGGAAGGAGTTGTTGCGTTGGGAACGCGTATGAGCGCGCAAAGAACTGATAATAGAGGAAAGCGACATTGTCAGTAAATCCAGTAGATGATCACTCTCTGAGGCGCCTTGTGAGGAACCGGGTTGAAGACAAGAGTTGAAAAGGATATACGCTGTGTCTCATCCAATTAGCATTGAGCAGTGACATTGCCTCAGAGCAAAGTTCCCTACCAATCAGCTGGCCCACGTGCGCGTACTCCGCCCTTTCGAAGCGGTGCTTGACGGTGCCAAGGCATGGCGCGCGCGAGCTAAGCGAGGTTTGCTGTTGTAATCAACACATCTTTTGAGGCCTGAGCTTCCTCTGTGGCTGTGCACATGAGGTCTGTAGTACTGAGGTCGCGGCAACTAACTGCTCCCAGTTCATCAGTGACTTCAAGTTACTCGGTTATGTTTCCAAAGATAGAGACCGATATGGGAGGCAGAAGTTCGCGAATGAGCTGGCTGCTTGCAGCAATGCGCGCAGCAACAATTACAAACCCATGACAGCACAGACAGCAACGCAACAACGGAAGTCATAAGAAGAACGCATAGCAATGCATTTGTTCTAATAGCATTTTAGCCGGACATGTCCTTGCTAAGAAACTTTCAGGCACCATGTCTCCAGTTATGTATACTTTGTTGCGCATGCAATAGATCTCTTTAGCAGACGATCAGCTGAGTCCAGTTAGCATCACGGATGTGCAACAAAGGGACCAGATTGTTCCTTAGCGGATGCATAAGTTGTAGTATGTGCAGTTATATCGAATCAATCGACGCACATCCATTGTACTTAGAAGCACGAGTGATAGGCCAGTGGCTACAGGTGTGATTCTCGGCATCTAATGAGACAACGGAAAGCACTATATCTTGAAAGCAAGAATTTGAGCAACAGTGCTAGAAGAAGACTAGAAGGTTGCTCTTTGTCTCATCGAGAGCGTACAATTGCTTCTATAATACTATTCCTCGAGTTGTTCAACTGGGGTCAAGATTACTAACCCATCCTCTTTGTTCTCTTTGATTATGTAGGATTTCCATCCGGCCTTAGGCAGATCAATATTCTCTTCGCCAGATAAGAATTTCATGAAGACGCCATGCGTGATAACGACAATATCTCTCCTCTCCTTGCCATGTAAGGCCAAGGTCAGTTCCCTGAGCCTCTCCCTCATCTTTGCAGCCCTTAGTGTGACTGAATCGTCGTCTTCTGCGTATTGCCCTACTTTAGCCTGCCAGTTCTCACTCAACTGCTCCAAATCCAAATTCAGGAATTCCCTCTCCAATTCATGGCGCTCCGAGCCAGTATCACAAGGCATCGCGCTTCGTTCTTGTAGATTAGGTTCTAAAGTGAGCGCAATTCCCTGCTCAACACCACGTCCCGAAGCTTGGTCGAAGTATCGCCTGTCGAGAACATGACAAAAACCGGTTAGGGAGGTTTGTCTGGCGCGTCGAAGTGGGGAGGTGGTTACTTCCGCAGTTCGCCCCGGATGGGGAAACGTGGTGACCAGACGAGCAGCTTGGTCGTAACCGAGAGGAGTCAAGGGCGGATCTAGCTGAGAAAAGTCTTTAAAAAGATTGTGTTCTGATTCAGCATGACGGATAAGGTGAATGATTGGTGCCATGGCAATGAGGAGATGCATGTGTTTGTAGATGCTGCTTATGTATGTAACAAGGTGAATTGAAGGGATGGCGCAATAGATGCTAAGGATCACGACTGTAGCCTCTGACCTCATTGCTTATGCTTCTAAATCCAAGCGATGTGCATCAGTCAATTCGATATAGCTCCACATTCTTCCCATCACATCGTGTTTCCCTCCAACGAGCCGACGAGAGCTCGCTGCGGCTTCGTCAAGGAATCGGCGCTGGTGGACTCGAGAAGCATGAGAATGTGGCAGGGTGGGCTTAATCAGGTCCTATCTTTACAAGAAGCCAAATACCAATACGACTGTCTTGTCGCTTGGTCTTACATGGCCTGAGAAGCATGTATCTGCACAATGAGGGACGTTGTTCGCTTGTTGGCGAAGATGCCGCAGTCTTTGAATCGACAATGTGCGGAAGGCATACGCATCGTGTACTCGCGAAGAACTCAGCCTGGATCTCGACTATTAACGATCAATGTACACAATGGTGAGTGGAACGGTCGAAACACTGATGGATCACAATGTTATTTTCCGTCATAGTGCACTTATCTTGCGCTGTTCACCTCGCCCAGCCAGCCCTCACATCCGACACCTTGAACGTATATTAGGCCTTCTTGTCCCCTGTCTCATGCTTCAAACAACAACATCAAATCAATTCACCATGGACAACCTCTTCGAAGCCTCGCCCGAACAGTCGCCAGTCACCGGGAGCTTCAAACTGTGGAGTCCCATGGCCGGCCTGAAGATGTGGTGCCCGGAACCAGCACAGCTGGTTCCCACCTACGGCTTCACCGACATGCCAAAAGAGTGCATGCACGCACTCTATACTCATATAATGGACAACTACTACGACGAGGGGGTGTACGACTACCTTGCCGCTGTGCGCGGAGATCTCGACGCCACGTTGCCCGACAGCGTAGCGAAGCTAGACAAAGATGATTTCACGCTCCGGATCTCGGCAGCGGCGTACTTCTCCATCGAACCAACCGAATCAGACATCGGCGGCCTTATACCATGGGTTCTGGCCGAGATGAAAGATTACATCGAGCTACTTGATGCGGACATGGACGCATATGATTTCGTGGTAGCGACGCAGCTGGATCTGCCGCTAGCTTTGACCTCGCCTCTCTATGTTTCTGAGGCTAATGCGATCGTCAAGCTTCCTTCTTATACCGCAATTGACGGATTCCATAGCGGGCCTGTCCGTACGCTGCCATACAGTGCTAGCGAGTGCGGGATGCCGCTTGATTGTCTCGCGGCATTTGAGGACTATTTTATTGATCTCTACTTCGAGGAAGGCACCTACTATGCTGATGTCGAGATGGAGGCACATCGGAGCGAACTCAACAAGCTTCTCAAATATCAAGCCCAGCTCAAGGCACAGCAGATTGAACTCGAGCAGAGTCTCGCACATCATGAGTACCTCTTGTCGTTATTTGATAATGAGGGGCCTGGCTTCGACGAGATCGAGATGGAGATGGAGAGCCATAGCTCTGTTCAGCATGTCGACGCGCAAGAGTTTGTTGCAAAGCTCGAGGTTGTTGATATCTCTGCTGTCCCAGCCGAGGACTTGACGTGCATGTACTGCTGGGGGAAACTAGGGGAGACAGACGAAGATCCGATTGAGTTGAAAGCTGGAATCATCCAAGCAGACCACGTCCCAGTCAAGATGCCGTGTCCTCATGGCCATCTCATTGGCAAGACGTGCTTGACGCAGCTCATTGACGCTGACATCCACCAGTGCCCTAAGTGCCGTGTAGACATTGTTGCTTTGGTCGGTTAATTGTTAGTCGTCACTCTCACAACGCAGGACGTTTGGGGGTTGAGATCGAATCTAAGGTATCAGTATTAATACTCTATTGAGATTACAATATAGCATATGTGCAAAATTGGGCCCTCCCATTACCGTGAATGATGAAATGCCTTTAGTGTTACAAAAATCCCCTCAGCGACATTGGCACACTGAGTCTCATAGCATCTTGTGCAAACGTGGCCCTCAGCAACCATACACAATTCTGAATCCTTGCACTGGCGAAGCCGGAGGGGCTACGTTCGAAAACTCCCAATAGTTCGGCAGTTTTCTTCCGTCATATGTCATGCCCATCTGGAACGTGAGTACGTCTCTGCAGGCCGTCTCGTTGATCGCTGCTACACCACCAGCACTCCTTGTCTTATTCAGCGCCCCCGGTTCACCATTGACGCGGCCAAACAGGTCTGCTCCATCATTGCCTTTGTATGTGTTCCAAGTCGCGCTTGCATCTGGTTTGACGTTCACATGATACACGTTGAAGCTTGGGTTGACGCCTGAGATCTTTTGTAGGTCTTCGCTGGGCAGAACGAACTCGAGCCGACACGTTGTGTTGGATTCTTGCGGGGGCAGTCCCAGAAACTGCACGCGGGTGGCAATCTCGCCCTCACCCGATTCCTGGCGGCGAAGCATGAAGAATCGCTTCGTGTGGTGAAGGTGGTCAACATCGTAATCGGGGTAGCGAGAATTGACCACGGTCAAGTCGGAGGGGTAGATGTGTTGGCAGACGTAAGGGCCACCGGAAGGTGCGTCGAGAGTTGTGTTTGTCATGTCCGTTGCATTTGGGAATGGGTAAGGAGCGGCGAGAGTCTGGCGCAGAAACGCTGCGGCGAGCACTGCAGTGATTGCGAGACGCATAAAGCGCGATAATAAATCGCAAGATACCTAGGGTAGCTAAGGTTCGGGTAATAACGAAATAGGTTATAGGTATGTAGGTGGCTCAGATGTGTTGTGTGAGATGAGGTCGAGGTGAAGCGGTTGTGAGGCTTCGACGGCTATGGGATTGTCTCGTCCTTGATTGGAAGGGTCTCGTGGCGGAAGGTGCAACACGTTGTGAAAGCACTTGCCTATTAGCAGCAGTTATGACCTTAACATTGCCTTCCAGCTAGAAAAAATGACAGCAACATATCACATCAGTAGGTGTAAACAGCCTAGTGTCATGAGCAGCTGCTTTTCAACAATAGCGGCACCATGAGAGGGACGAGACCAAGCCGCACTGTTTTTGTGAAGCAGCTGCCACTACCACCTCCTTCATGTTCTTTTTCTTCGACCATCCACCAGAGTTACGTTGATCGGACTTTGGACGACAGCGATGAAGTCATGGTACACGAGTCAAGGAGCGGGCTAAGCTCGCGAATCGAGGACATCTACAGATCGATATAGAGCACTAGGTGAACGAGATCAAGGAGGGTTTATTGAAAGTGAGGAGTATCGTCGATGTATTGAATCTATGGGACGAATAACTACGAAGCTGCGCCAATCCATACTCGGTTTCCTAAAGCCTGAAGCGAGTCAGCAAGAGCTCATCAACAACTCAAAAAAGCAACAGTGTATGTTGAGCGAGATCAGACATCCAAGGAAGACATTCGTATTGCGTTCAGTGCCTCAGTCTAGGTTCAAGTCGAGACTAACGTGGAAACTGCGAATAGTGGAAGATTTCATCATAAAGGGAGGTGTGAAAAACAAAGTCTGACTTACCAAAAGTATGGAGGAGGAGCGCTACGGCTGTTGCTGCTGTTAGTGGTGTGAAAGGGCTGCGAGCACGCATTTGATGCCGCGTCGTGGACTAAAGTGAGGTGCAGAAGTTCAGGCAGCAGAACGGATAACTTTTTATTATGGGGCCGGCGAATTGTTTTGCCGAGAGCGCGGACTCGACGCGACGCGTTGTGGGGCTGCCGTTATCGTCCAGTCTGCGCAATGTCGAACATGATGATTATCAAACGCTGTACTTTCATTTTACGACACCAGCCTAATTTCTAGATTTCCACAACGATCTTGCCAAAGCTAACACCAGCCTTCTGCTTATTCAAGCCCTCCTGCACGGACTCCAATCCGCCCTTAACCACGATCGCCTCAGGCAGCGCCTTCAAGGTGCCCTTCTGTAGCGCCTCGGGCACCCACTTCGCCCACACAACATCGCCAATGTATTTGTCGTCGAGCGCAACGCTCGGGGCGAACACACTCGCGCCCTCGATTCCCTCTGGCAATCCCTGAGCACCAGGCATGACAGACCCGTACTTGCCGCCGAGCTTATTGTACACGGGTGACCACGCCTTTGCCGCGTCCGGGGTGCCGATTGCATCGCATACGCCTGCGAATTCAGTTCCTTCGAGCGCAGCGATGATGTCGTCCGCGACGGAGGCAGAGTTGTAGTCGAATACCGCCGCGGCGCCCAGCGCCTTGACGCCCTCGATATTGCGCTTTGATGCCACACTGACGACCTTGTGTCCTGCACCAGCCGCGAGCTGGATTGCGGTTGCGCCGACGCTGCTCGAACCGCCCCAAACGAGCACAGACTTGCCGCTAGATGGCGGGTTGGGGTCTGAGCTAGTTGGCTGCGGTAGGGCGAGGGTCTCTTTCTTGAAGAGACAGGCTGCAGCTGTAGAAATGGCCAGAGGCAGCACAGCAGCGGAGGTGTAGGAGAGTGAGTCTGGGATCTTAGAGACGACGGTGGCGTTGAGCGCGGTGTAGAGCTGGAAGCCGCCTTGCGCGGGGTCGTTCGACACCAGAGAAAAGGCGTGGCTGTGAAAGATTTGTGGTCAGTATGGAGCTCGACGTATGTTGGGAATTCGTACCCTAGGACGCGGTCGCCTTTCTTGACGTGTGCAACGCCCTCGCCGACTTCGTGGACTTCGCCGGCCACATCAGTGCCCAGGACATTTGGGTACTTCTGGAGAAAGATTCCTGCGACGGTCAACTGCACGCTTCGTCAATTAACGGATTAGACATACCGTAGTCCTGGATCTTCCCTGAATTGTGTCAGCAATTTGTCGACTGGAGGATCACGCATTGATTGAACTTACAGTCCACAGGGTTGACAGCTGCAGCAGAGTTCTTTACAACAACCTCTCCCTTGCCAGCAGAGGGGAACGGAGCGTCCTTGACCTGCAGAGGGTTGGCCTTTGCCTCTGTGATGTACGCAGCTTTGTTAGACATATCGTGTGATTGATAAAATATGAATTGTGTATGTGAGGCTTGAAGCGGTGCTCAATGCTCTGAATTGTGGGAAGAAAAGGCGGTCTTGGCTTGGAAAGCTTGACAAGACATGACGGCGATCTCTGGAGCAACCCCACATCACCACTAACACGATAGCTTTCCTGGCCAGCTCATTGGTAAGCAGCGATAGTGCAACAATTGTGACGTCTGCGGTGCCGAGGTACAAGCATTGACATTATCTAATCATCTCTGCAAGCAGCTGCACTTCTGGTCAACTAGGCTCGGCTTGGTCCGACCCGCAATTCGTGACGACCTGTTAAACTTTCGCTCGGCAGGCTAGGATACAACGAGGGGTTACACGTTTCGCTCTTCTAAAGACTTCAGCGTGAATTGTAATCTGCTCGACACATTGATGCAGGCGGAGATGCTTGTGGCTGTGCAGACGAGATTCTCTGTTCAGAAACAAGTACAGCTAAGGACGCGTAAAAAAAGGCAGCAAGTTTTGTCCTTTCAAGACAATTGAAGACCTAACTATAGACTGACATGCAATAGTAGTGCCGTAATGGAGTCACTATCGATCATGGACACTGGACGCCGATAGTTTCCAGCTCGAACAGAAAGTGCAAAAAACGCCGCTCAAAACAACCTCAACAAAGTAAAGAAGTACAAGATGTATATGCCCATGATACCCATAACCAGGGGTATACACTCATTTCGAGCAAAAGACCAATCTACTGACTTCCCAATCCACGATTACCATCTCCACAGTCACTGCAGTCCCAAAGCATGCCTGTACAATGAGAACCCGGATCGCAAATTGTCGATGCATCGCTCGCCCGAGTGCATTGACAGCAGTACCAGGTTGACATTCCGTGGTGGGAAGTTGAGCGACCTATCGCGGGATCTGCTGGCCGATGGTAACGATGATGGCAGATTTGGGGCGACTGATATCCGGCTCCAGGTTCCAGGCTGTCACAATAGTGACCACGGGTATGACACTCTCGAAGGGACAAGTGTCCGGGACAATTAGGAGTTCCCGCTGCGCTACAATTGTCCGGTCGAGGGCTGGAAGAAGCGTGTATCTCCGAATCACACAAGCAATCGGGTGCCGGATTGTGATGAGGCACCAGATGCAAGGATGTTCTATGTCGCTCTCTACCCTCTTGACAGTACCCGCACATTCCGGTTGAGGATGTGAAGGATTGATCGGAGAATCGGTGGCGTGTCTGCTGGACGACTTTGCGGGATTGTCGTGCCTGGTCATTTGGTCGTGTGTGCCGAGCATGATTACCTTTGCGATAGAGACCAGTGAAGTTGTTATCGCACTGTAGACTGTACGGGGTATGCTCCTGCTTCTGGTAAAACGTTTCTACAAAGTCACCCCCAGCAATTGTAGAAGAGCGACGAAAAGTAGGCAAATCTCCCAGTTTTGATGTGCGGCTTCTGAAGTCAGCAGGCGAATTACAATCTTTCGAGGGTACATACCGTCCGAGACCCTGACTATACCTCAGAACTGATTCATCTGATGCGTCAGTTTGTCGCCCTAAGTGATACACAAACATACGAGTGCCCGTGTCTTCACATCTGGATGCGTGTCTCGCGATAATAGCGTCTGCCTTCGCTTGAAGGTCACCGCTATGAGGCAACTGCACTATGTGACATCTAACGTCGAGGCGGAAGCGCTCGTCGAACAGTGCACGAATAGTTTCAACCTAACTTTCTCAGCGCTTCTTCCTTCAAGATATAGATGGCATTACCTCTTGCTTATGCGAGTTGCTCTTCCAGTCATGCCAACGAATCACCAGCACTTCGACGTTCTGGCCAGGGGTGATCCTGCATGGGGCTTGAGCGACAACCTCATCGAACCAAGCTTCGATTTCCTGGCTCCGGTTGCGGCGCCCGCCAATGCTGGACCGATCTACCTTAAATGGATCGTATATATCATAATCGGTAGACCAGGCCCCAAATTCGCCAAGTTCAGTTTCTCCGCATTGTGTATAGGCGAAGGTCGTGTTCAACTGGGGAGGGCGGGAAGGATCCAACATTCCACCATCATATGAATCATATCCTAACCATGCTTTCGCGCAAGGAGACAATAGTTCATCTGGCGCCATAGTGTCCATCAAACTAAATGTGGGGAAGCCAACATAATTTGCTGATGTGAACCCATAGTCCCTTGAGATGCAGTTGAACCACTGTGCGGTGTCAATCGCATCAGTGATTAAACCGGTACCCGGTCCTCTCGCCAGATCAAGGGATGTTGGGTCGAAAGAGTTTGACGTGTTTGTCGCCACGTCCGTCGACACTGTAGTGGGACTTGACAGCATTCTTCTAATCTCGGGCATAGTATGAGACGCAGCCATGACATAAGCGAAGCCACTGGCTCGACAACCCGCAACTATGTGACCGTAAAGCTCACCAGTAAGCGCATCAATCACAGCTGAGCCGCAGTCGCCATCTGCAAGAGGTCCGTCAAGTCTGACCGAGAAGACCTCTTGGAATGATCTCCCGCGTGGAACCAGAAGATCAGACGGTGTGGCAGCGATATTGCCGGTAATCCTCCCGCCGGAGGCCGTATATGATTCCACAGCCGCTCCTACTGAGCTGGGTCGCGCTATTCTCATCGTGCTCATGTCATGAGAGGTCGATGCAAAGTACGCTGAGACTTCGGACTCTGCAGCAACGAGTACTTCTATCAGCGCCCAGTCCTTGTCGGTGGACCACTTTGACAAGACACCGAACGGAAGAAGAGACTCCAGAGCTGGTACATACGGCTCAGGGGCAGGTGCTCGAGTCTTGAAGTTGGAAACGTGTGCAAACACCACTTCGGATGTCTCCTCGTAGGTGGTCGCAGGATCAGTAACGTCTTGATCCATTGTTTCGAGGCTTGATTGCGAGGAAGTATCATCGTCACTATCCTGCGGAAAGACGGGGTCGAGATCCTCTGAATCGTCAGAAGACCAAGCTGCAGAAACTTGGCAGTCAAGCTCTGGAATGGAAAGTGCCACAGTATCGTCATCCGCCCAGATTGTTTCGGTCTCATCATCGATGTCGAATTCAAAGTCATCGGCTGAGTCGACAGAGTGCACTGACAATCCGTCGATCTTTTCAAAGAATGCGTGCGCAGGGCCCTGGTAATATATTTTCCCATTTGCTCGCAAGAGATTCGCTGTTATGATCCGAAGACCTGAACCATGGGAGACATACAAAGTCAGGCCTCGTGATCGAAGGGGTTGCGAAGGATCATAGAAGACTTGAGTGGATGGACTCTTAGTGTGATCGATGTTGTCCATGCGAACATCTCGTAGAAGTTGTTCCATGTCTGTGTCGCGGCCAGGATAATACTGGTGTAAACTGGTTGGGCTCTCTGTGCAGTCGATCTTACTCACATTGGGACCTGATGCGAGTTGTTCCAGTTCTCCTCCCCAGCTAGGATCTTTCGCGGCTTCGGCTGTCTTCCAACCTTGGTGCTCACCGAGAATGCCAGATCCTTTGATTAGCTTTCGAGCTTCTTTTCGTTGACCTTGATTTTCGGAAACGAACAGTACTGTTGGTACAGCAGAATTCGCTCTTCTGCCTATCATATATACTGTTATTGAGACGGAGTCTTGGCTGGAGACTGAACCAATACGACCGTCCAGACGTTGGAGTATCGCAGGTCTGATGTGTTTGTCGTAAAGGTTGCGAATCGACTCTTTGACGTCCCAGCAATGGGGCCCGAATTTTCCAAAGCGGCCTACGTATCTTCCAGTTGCTTTCGATTTGAGAGCTACAGTCGCACGTGTAGCGTCGTCAACAAGAGACGCAGCCGACAGAAAAGTCATGATCTACGCGCTTTAATGTAAATGGGTATTGGGAAGATGCTGATACGGATGTGTGGTTTGAAGACAGTGCGTTTCGAAAGATTATTTTGTCGCGGGGCGGCTGCACAAGGTGTTGAAGTCGTCCGTCTGGGGATACTCGGAGGGGCGCAGCGTCAGCTTGTGCGCAAGAGTGTGCGACGCTTCACTATTGCGCCAATGACAGCTGCATAGCCAAGAACATTGCCTAACGGTTTGGAGGTCCAGTGTTGCAGACTCAGCCTACCTCAGCGAATAGCTCTTAAGCTCGACAGGGTGGCTTGAAATCTTATCTTGCCTTGCTTGTGGCGAGAGCGGGCTGAGTTGTTATGCCGCGAGGCAACGAATTGCACAGCCACTTCCCTTCGCATGATAGCCTGGCCACCAAAGATCTTAACCCAAGCGGAGCCTCGTCAATCATGTCTTTTTAAGGCCGGCCCATGAAAGAATTCCTCTTCTATCATCATTGGGTTCCGGCCTTATATACCAAAGTAATGGAGAGCCTGGGCACATCTCTTAACGTTTCTCCGATAGGTTTCAGGACCAGGGAGGCTATCACAACACATTTTTGGCCACCGGCGGATTTACCAATGTTTCAGCAAAAGATCCTGAATTGGGAGCCTTACTTTGGGTATTACGAGAGGCAGTGCCGGGCTGCTCTGGTTGACCGCGGTCGCTTTGTAATGGCCAAGACGCACCACGATATACTCAAGATAATACGCAGTTTTGATAATGGCAGCTCTCGAGAAGTCATTAGGGAATCATTGAGACTAAACCTCACCGCACCTGGTCGGTCTAATGAAAATGAGATATTGGACGGGGCGATCGATCTGGCAGCGCGGTTGTATCTGATGGTCAACATCGCTGCAGATACTCGAACGATATCGGAACAGACGCGCGTGGAATGGACCACTGGTGAATTGAAGGACTGTGTTCGTGCCCACTTTCAAGAGCCACAGATCTTGAGTGATGCAGGGTTTCGACTTGAACCGATCTTTACGGCAGCCAACCTCGAATGTGTTACCGGTATCCGAGTTGTACCGACCGACAATCTTGCAGATCATCTAAGGTTGATGGACCGCGATGGTACAGTCGCTGTGTTTTGTAACGCCTCTTTTCTGTGGCGACATGTGAGGTACGTGGAAGTCTTCCAAGCGGACTGATACTGAGCACTAACATGCCGAGTAGTGACGTGTTCCCCGATGGTCTCTTGGCCGAGACACTTCAGACACTCTCCCTGCTCTTTCCAGCCAACGAAAAGCAAACGCAAAACTGGCTACGAAAGAATAGTAAGTCTGAAGGCATCGATCAAGCCTTGTCATCTTGTGAGCTCTTGCGGCTTGAAGAGAGACAGCTCGAGAGGTTCAAGTTCTGGCATGATCGACTCGTCATCCTGAAGCAAGCTTTCGACCATTCTCGTCCAGCGACCATATCCCAGTGGTGGTACGATCGACGCAATGGTGTCCAGTGGTACACTTTCTGGGTTGCGATTGTTGTGTTGTTTCTGACAATCTTTTTTGGATTAGTGCAGAGCATTGAAGGAGCTCTGCAGGTCTATAAAGCTTTCCATCCATCATGATTCTCACACGCGAAGCGTTGTTAAGAACTCTTACTGGTCTGATACCCTACGACGTGTTCAGGGACGCAGTGGTCATCAATAGTGGAGGCTCGGGGCCTCATAGCATGTTTCAACATTTGAACACTACGCCGTCTTCCGTCCCTTCTCAAGCGCTTTTCCTCTCTGTTTGATCATATATGTGAACATTGTGTACGCACCTTGGATGATCGATCAGTCATGAAGGTCAACAGAAGTAGTCTCACACACCTGGAACATATAATGCCAACAAGAAGTAGAACACGGGCGGAAGAACAGGACTAATCTTGCTCACAGGCTCGACGGCTTGATACATCAGCCACCACTCTGCACCGATACCGATCGGGTAAAGAGGATAGAACATCGTGTATCTAGAGCTTTTAGCGGAGTCTGACAGCCCGATGAAGTGCCAAGCATACCTCAGCCAGACAAGTGCTCGCGGCGCTTTCGCATGTAGATTCAACATCAGGTACAAATAGCGAATGGAGTCTGCAATAGCCCATGCAAGTACTAGGATGAGAAAGGCATGAGAAGCCGATGTGCTCGCGGGGAAGCTATACCAGATCAACCAGACCTGGATGACGCGCGTGAAGACCTGTATAGCGGTGGTGCTAACAGGCGACTTGACGATGCCTTCGGAGGTCAGCATCAATTGTGGCATGCTTCCCGAATCGGCTTACCGGTAGCTGCATGCAGAACCTCAATGAGCGTAAACGTCTGCACCCAGCGTGCTCGAGGCTCCACTGCTTCAAATGCGACGAACCTTCCTTTCGAAGCATAGCTGACCGCACTGATGCCAACTGATGCCCATAACCCAGCAAAGATGAAGTTGTAAAGAGTCAAGTACAGGATGCGGGGCTGTAGCGCAGGTTCTGCATTGCGCCCTGCGTCGAGACGTGCCGACTGTTCTTTGTGGACCATTTCGGTTGCTCGGCTTGAGGGTTAGTGATTGCGACACAGGATTAGATGAAAATTCGAAATTTTGGTGTTTTGACGGAGTCCAGTCCAGACTGGCACATGTCCCGAGGCTAAAGCTGCTTCGCTTGTCTGCATCCTTCAGTCAAGGCTTGTCCAATCCCGGATGTGAAACATTGCTTCAGGTCTGCGGTTATAATAGGAGCCATGTTGATAATTTGACTTGATGTACGTCGCGATGATACAACTGAGGGTCAACTTCTCACGCCACTTGAACTCGACAGGTGTGCGCTAGCGACATCCCAGCTAACTAGGCTTAGCACGCTCACTGCCACATCGCTTCTCCTTTTGCTGCAAATGTCCTCCATCGCAGGAGCAGCGTCGTTGATTATATTTACAAACGCAGCATTTGCTATGTAAGTGTCATCGCAGCCTGCGCACCATAGGTCGACAGCGCCTCACTGCACGGAGTGCAAGTCCCTCTGCAATTGCATTCGAGATGCCTCTCCTTGCTGCCCCATCTAATGTCAATCGAGCGTTTGCCTCGACTGCGATTCTGAGATCTTTAAAGATGGGTTTGTTTGGCCCTCACGTCTCCACTGTTCTCAGCAGTAGTCAGACTAACTTCACCCTCACCGCACTTCCAGCAATATTGGCATCTCTCAAGACTGCGGTGTAGACCGGTATTACAACCATACCTCAGGTCGGTAGCTCTGGGATGAGAAGTATCAATTCTCTCGCTGCTTTGTCAAGTTCGATCTGTCAGGGCTTCTCCAAGTCTCAGCACAAGCAATTGGAGCGCGCTCTTGCATCAAGGTTGAAAAATTACCTGAAGGGAGTTTCAAGAAGGCATTTCTCATTACCATGGATGACGGCAGGGATCTAGTCGCCAACCTGCCGAACCCGAGTGCTGGACGGCCGCACTTCACGACAGCCGGCGAAGCCGCTACCATGGACTATGTACAGGCTCCCACCGATCGCTACACGGTCACTGACGTCAGGTCATTTTACAGGTTAGAAACATCCGTCGTATCCTAGCACCTCCAACATATGGCTGGAGCTTCTCAACCGATGATGCTGTCAAATCTGAGTACATCTTATTGGAGCGCAGTTAAGGGGTGGAGTTGGGCAAAATATGGCGTGATATATCTTGGGAGGACAAACTTGAGGTTTTGGGAACCTTGATCGGGTATGAGAAAGCTTTGGTGTCTCTCAATTACCCCACATACAGGAGCTTGTATTGTGCGAAGGATGTACCTGCCCGGAGCCCAAGTCAACAGACAAGGAAAAAAATCTTTGTAGTTAAACCAACAACCAACAGAGCATTCTTTGACTCGAAGTAAATTGAGGGCCATGCAAGTGATCTTAAGTTGATTGCCATGTTCCTCTCAAGCTGAGAAGATGACGGGGTCTTCACTCAGTGGATTCGTCCATTCCCGCGCCGCCCGAGTGTTGGCATGCATTCATTAGTTCGCGTCGTATCCTGGCCAGCAAGGGTTTTCGGCGGCCCCAGTCAATCTCCACATGCCCAAACCGGTAAGGGACCTTGACTTGTACTAAATAGGTGGAGAATCATATGTTCGTGAAGTCGCCTCCAGATAACGCTCTCAAGAAGCGGTTTAACAACAGGAAGTTTCGCTCCACATACAAAGTAAGAAGGGAAAGAAGAAAAGTTTTCTTAATATATAATTATTTAGAGACAATAAATCTTTATGACAACAATTGCCAGCTTCAGTGGTTTAGTGGTAAAATTAGCCGTTGCCATCCAGTTTCGGCTAGCCCCGTGTTCGATTCACGGCTGATGCAGCTCATTACATTTTTGTTGCCGTGGTGTTCTGGTGGTGGTGCCCGTGAAGTGGGGAGTCGCTAGAGGAAAAGAACGCAAGCTAGTCTCAAGCGAGAACAACCTTGCAGTCTTCCAGGATTGTCTGGAAATTGCTAGCCAACATTTTTTTATATCATCGACTGGCAAGCGGTCAATATACCCTTCCTCTTCCTCGCACTCGCACCACGTCAGCGGCGTGGACTCGAGCACTTCATCCAGGACACAAGGCCCGAATGCACGATACCTGTGACCACGCCAGAGTCGTACTCAAGGCGTGTTGCCTTTATCAATTCCACCAGGCCTTGTGTTGTGGATCGCCGACGTAACGCGTCATGCCGTTGCGATTCGCACTTGTCAGCATATTTGAAATATCAAAATGTCCCCTGAGAGTGTGTGGCATTGTGGTTGCTCGCATTTGAGTACTGACCGCTTCACGTGGTCAATTCAGCTGGCGTGGATGCTAAAAGACAGATTCATTTCATACAGCCTCCATTGACTCCCAAGGTTTGAACAAGAATGCATTTTGCACATCATCATATCTAAACAGGTACTTTTTCCACCAAAAACTTCATCTTTTTCTGCGCTAGCTCGATCTTATTCCCATCCAGCCGCCATAGCAGCGTTACTTTTCGTTCATGCAACTCTAGACAATTCCAGCGGAGCCTCGAATCTCGAAAGCACGCTTTTGTGAACTGTCGTTGCTGCTGTCGTCAGAGTCCCCATCGTTGCTCCCCGAGCCGCTGGATCCAGAACCGTCATTATCGTCGCTTGAGCTGGATCCACTCCTATTGTTGCCTTTGGACGAGGAGTTGTCATCGCTGTCGTTGGATGAGCCACCGCTGCGGCCGCCTGAGCTGGAGCTGTCTCCACCGTTACCGTTTCCTGAGGAAGAGTCATTACCATTGTCCGAAGAGCCAGACTGATTTCCATCATTCCCTGAGGACGAATCGCTGCTTTCGTCTGAGGAGCCAGACTGATTTCCACCGTTTCCTGAAGAGGAATCGTTCCCATTGTCCGAGGAGCCAGACTGGTTTCCAGATGAGGAATCGTCGTTTGAATCGGAATCATCCGATGAGCCGTTGCTGCCGCCGTTGCTTCCCGTCCGAGAACCTCCACTCGAGTTCCCACCCGAACCATCTGAGCCCTGGTCCGAATCGTTGTCTGGAGTGTCTGAGCCGTCCGAGTCATCTGAATCGTCAGATCCGTTGCCTCCGCGCCCATTCCCTCCGCTGTTGCCCGCCCCGCTTCCTCCACTATTGCTAGTGCCGTTTCTCCCGCTGCTGCCAGCGCTGTTCACCCTACTGGTTGCTCCACTTCCTCCGATGCTGCTCGCGCCTCCTCCGCTGTTGCCTGTGCCATTTCCTCCAGCGCCGTTCCCTCCTCTGCCTGAGCGAGAGTCATCGTCATCGTTGTCATGGTCGATATCATTGGCGTCGTCGTTTGCATCGTCGACATCGTCGTTGACATCATTGGCATCATCGCTGATATCGTTTGCGTCGTCGTTGATATCGTCGACATCATTATCGTCGTCGTCGTCGCGGCCATTGCCATTCCGACCTCGACCGCCTTCAGTACCGTTCCTGGCTGCACGCTTCCACTGCTGGTCTTCTGCAAGCACAGCAGCAGCCGAACCCGAAATGGTGGTCAGATCGCGTATGTTGGGCGCACGTAGCTCGCTTCTCTGATGCAGAGTCACAGGTCCAGCTGCAACGGATGCCAGAAGGCCGAAGAAGACAGCGGTAGTGGTAGTGGTGAAGCGCATGGTTGATGCTGGCTCAACAATGAATCTTGGAAATATGAAAAGTTTCTGTAATGGACAGATTGCAAGAAGAGAATGAGTCGCAGACCGTTAATGAGAGAAGAAATCACAGTACTGATGATATCGACAGAAGCGATCTTGAGAGACGTATATACTTGCTGGCCAAGACCCACTTCGGTCATTCTATGCCTCTGCACTTTATCTGGGTACTACTCGCGACGACCCCACCAACGTTGACGCGAAGCCGAGCCTTCATGATCGTCTGTCGAAAAGCTTGAGATCTCTATGATAAATGCCAAGCTGTCCATACTGTGAACAAGTGTCGTATGCGCAAGAATTATCTGAGCCGATTAGATGTGCTAAACACTCTATCAGCAGCGGATGACACACGTCTCCAAGAATTAGTGGGGCAAACTCATCAAGTCAATACCTCGCCGCAGTGTCAAGCACGGTCATTGTTCATGCAAGCCCGCTGTCACGTTTCGACCCGGTCGTTCCATCGTTGTTTGAAACAAGCACAGGCCACACAAAAAATCACTACAGTCCAAGCAGGTGATGAGTTATACACGTTTGTTAGCGAAAACAACTTTGTCTGTGGTATGGACGAGTTGTCACAACAATAGAGGCTGCCGTCGTTGTCCTGTCCTTGTGGAAGATCTTGGTCGAATCGGGCACAGCAAGGCGCCCCTCTTTGATCGTGTGGCTACGCGCTATATCCCATGCAGCCTAAGGCGCAGGAAACATCGATTGTAATCTTTGAGTGTCATTCGCGAAGATATGTGCAGAACAAAGAAATGCTCAAATGCCAAGCCCACTGATGGAGAAGCTTCGAACAAAGCAGTGCTGCCTGTGGTTCTGCAGCTTGTTTCCTGGCAGTATCTTAATGGCCGCAGAATTCACCTACTTCGAAGTGGTCCATCTCATCTCATACCAATCGATCATTATGCGTACCTCTCAAATGCAGTCCTTGAGGCGAGGCCTTGACAGAGTCGAAGAGGAGGATCTAGTGGACTACGACGACTCCGACAACGAAACACAGACTCAGAGTTCACCAATCCCCCGAAAGTACTCACTAGACATATTCTCAGACGAACCAGCCCAGGAGCTAGTAACGAGGAACGATGAGCCTCTTGACAAGGCAGCGGGCCCTTCCACACTGACCGCAGCGAAGACAGCACAAGCGGCTGCTTTAATCAGCACTCTATCGAATCTGCTTAGCGACTCGATTTTCAGAAAATCCTTGGGCTTATCCGGGTCTGGAGATACTGTGGACTTTAGTTTCTGGGCCAGTGGCTTTGACTTTGCCGTCAATCTGAAACTCATCGGTACAGCCGAGGTCAAAGATTGCAAGTACGGAGCAGAGTGCCGCAACGTAAAATGTACGTTTGGTCACAATGAAGTTGATCGCGCAGCAAAGCTAGCTGGCCGCAAGCCCAAAAAGCTATGCTCTATGATCAATACGCCAAACAGCTGTTCTAAAGGGGAGACTTGCTGGTTCTCGCACGAGGCAGAAGGAGTCGCGTGTACCCATGGTAACACGCGGGCTACTTGTCCTAAAGGCACGTTCTGCGTCTATAAGCATTCAGATGACGAGGTCGTCGCTTCGATCGAGAATCATTCAGTGGACATCGGCCAGACTGGGGAGACTGGAGAAGTCGAAAGCCTGCCCCAGGCGACAATCAAGGTCAAGGAGATTGAAGCTCCAATTCAGACCCCGGCTCATGACCGGTCGAGGGTGTTGTCTACATCACATCCCAATGCATCCACCCCACGACCACACGAAGCAGGAAGTAAGCGCAACTTTAGGTCTAGAGACAACACAGAGGACATTGAAGGTGGACCGCGTAAAAGACGGCGTTTTCAAGAACACTGTGATCGTCAGAATCGGCACATCATTCGAGGTTCTCCTCGCCCAGGGCGACTGCACTCCGAGAGACCCTGGAACGGTCGTAACGACAGTGGATACCCACCAAGGCTGATTCGTGGGAGTGGACGTGGTAGGAAGAGCGGTTGAACGATATAGTCATGGGAGAGTGTCTCCTTTTCATTCAAAAATATTTCATGATAACTTTTTCCATCTATTCGCCAATTGACGAAGATTCACTGTTGTGGGTGTTGCTATCACTGTCTGTTTTGCGGAGCTTTGTGATCATAGATGTATCTTATCGCGCGATGCTCACGCATGATGTTCGTATGGCTCGATATCGTTTTACAGTCATATCACCTCTATAGAAGAGCAATCATCTTGCGTTTCAAGTCCGAATCAGCTTGCGCATCTACAGCGTCCCTGTGTACCAGGCCCACGCCGCGTCGCTCGGCAGCTCCCTCCTCGTTGTACTCCACCAACATAACGTAAAGAAAAACAGGCAGGTATCCCTCCTCACCGCTGTATCTAGTATGTATGAATCGAGCTGCCTGGCGAAGCTCAACAGTTAAAGATTTCGCTGTGAGCGCCAGCAGTATTAGCTCGCAGCCACCTCCACCTGCCTCTTTATACTTCTTAATCCAGTCTCGGTCCACGGATGGCATGAAACCACAAGGATGTCCGAGGGCATCCTGAATGACGAGACACGGTAATGACTGACCGACATCCATCACCCAGTCGCAAAGATGGTCTTCAGGCAGCTTAAATTTCATTTGAATGTGTGAGCACCATGCCATAATGCAATACGGATACTTCTCAATCAGCCTGGTGTGAGTGATAGCGAATTCTCGGAGCAGAGATGAATTAGCAGTCATGTCCGTATCTGCTGCTGGACCTGGGTAATTGTCCCCAAGATCGAGCATTGGTACCAGGCCGGTGTTTGACCATCTGTACCATTGGATAACTGGCCGATATGAATCAGCGTTGTACGAAGCAGCGAATCTGTTAGCCTCGAAATCTACGCTTCCAACCCATCCCGCCCAGGACCAGGATGGGTAGTATCGGTGGCCTGGTCGATATCGTTCAGACTCCTTGCGAATTTCAACTGCTTTCCCCTCCTCTATCCCGATAGCTTCTTGAAAGCTTTGTGCTTCAAAGTCACTTAGCACCCGGCGTTGAGCTGCACCGGTTGAATACCAGAGGAGTGATTCCACGAATTTGGCGAACGGATGCCCACAGAAGAACCCTGTTCCTTCGATGTGGGGTGACAGATGATTCATGATGCCTGTGAATGCATTCAAGATATCGCTCTCGAAACTCAGTGTGCGCTTCGTAAAGTCACGTACTAGCCTGGCATACTCTTGAAACCAGCCTTGACTTTGCTTATCTCGATGGAAGCCAGAGTCAAGGAGGTAGTCAATCCTTCCCTCACGGAATTTCGGTCTGGCTGGATGGGCTATGAGGTTTTCAGTCTCTCCTTCAGCTATGACGTCCTCACAACGTGCGTCTTGCGTGCATCTGAAGTACATCTGATGGTCTGTTAAGATCAGACAGCGTGGTGATAATGCTCCTTCTTGAAACGTCCATCCTCTGGACGACCAATGACAGCGTGCGAGAGAAGTATTGTAGTCGGGTAGAGCTGATACAAGGCGTATGCCCTCAATCTCTCCCACGAACTGCTGATGCAATCTGGCAGTGCCAATACCAGGGATGGCATAGTCCTCGCTCCTATCTACAGCTGTGGCTGCTACCAGTGTTACGTAAGCTTGTCCGTATACCTTGTCCATTTGTTTTATGAGCTTTTGTTTCAACACTGGATCATCCTGAACGATACACAGCGCGTCAATCCAAATGAAGGTTTCTTTGAGCATCGAAACAACCTGGCAAGCATCACGAATAACTCTCGGCAGCTTCGATAATAACTCTTGAATAGACCCTGGTGTTCTGAGTTCCTGGAGGTTGTCTTTCTTGAGCTGGAGGGTATTGGGATCGAAAGTAGGCCACACATAGCTGAGTGCTACGTACCTCGAATGTAGTGGTAGCTCTACCAAACAGTGTCTGTTGACATCGACGACCAACAATTGCAGATCATTGCTACCTGACTCATTTTTGTAACAGCCGTGGCTCTTATCGCATGTTGACAACCATCTGCATGCTAAATCCATGTTTGTAACCTGGCGATCGATGAGTCGACCAGTAAAGACGGGTGTTTTCGAAATTCTTGGAGCGTCATCGCCGAGTAGTCGCAATCTGCACTTCGCGACCACTGCAGCAGTCAATGCGTCTACAAACAGGGCCAAAAGGTGATAGTGCCGTGCAGGCCCCTGGCCCAAAGGCAGAGTTGTTGGCACACTTGTCAGAATGACAAAGCATGTCCCCACATTAGCAGGGCAAACCAGATCCGACCCATTCTCTAAGCGGACTGCTGCAGAGAGAAGCCGACACAACGCACAGCATTTGCAGGCTAGAATGTTCGTTGCCCAGCCCAGTTGATGTTTCTGGCCGTTCCTAATTCCAAAGAGATTCTCGATCTCGATCTCTTCGCAGCGCTCGCAGAGGTCGACACCTGGGATCTCGATGTGCGCCGAGTCTGGGTCGTCGTCTGGCATTGGTGGTGTTGTAAAAGTGGTCGCGCCTGACGAACCCCATACCCGTCTCTGTGTACCGCCATTCTCTGAATACGTAGGAAAGACCAGCATATCTTCCGAATATCTCTGAAAATCATGCTCGGGTTGCCGGAGGGTCCAACGCTGTATAGAGCCGTGCTGCATGGTCATACTCCAAGCGCTCATCTCACCATCATGATCCTGGATAGAAGCTGTAGGCTCATGTGTAGGCATTTTTGGAAGAGTGAAATGATCCTTCAATTCGAAGATGTTGAATGTAGAGAAAAGTAGGTGTTGTGGATCTAGATTCGCATCGATGTTCGCACCTGCAAGCTGCAGTCAGACGAAACCCGAAAACCATGCAAAGCCCCGCACCGGTCAACCTATGTGTAGAAGTAATACCGCCCCCTCAATATCTAGAATTGAGGCGCAGTCAGAGAATCTAGCAACTTTACTGCAACGCTAGTCCCTGTAATAAGACAGCTCGCATCTGTAGCAAAAGCAGATTGTATCATCATCAGAATCCAGCAATTTTAGTTCTGAGTACCTGAAAACTTCTTTCTCTTACTCTTGCTATCCCAAAAACAACTACTAGCATGCCAGTCACTTTCACTTTGGCAGGCCATCAAGCCACGGACTGGACAAAAGCGAAAACCAAATCAAGCGACGCGCTATTCGCGGCATCTTGTTCGAGAGATTCCAACGAAAGTCAGAAACTCATCCAGAGTTCTGTTTCGCGCCGCGACTTTCGCAAAAGGCACATCAGCCCTTCGAGCAATGGACTGATTTGGGCCGTCTTTAATGCATACAGCAAACACCACCACCTCGTTCTCCGACCAGAGGACATCTGGCTCGCCATCCTATGTCAAATGAGCTTCTTCATCAATGCCAACGCAGAGGAACTGCGTGACTACTTCGTATCTCACCAGGGGCGCAAAGAACTCGTGGTCGAAGACGTGGGAAGCATGGAGCACGCCGATTTCGGGGTGCTGGCGTGTCGCATGACGGATCTGATTCAGGATAACGTCAAGGAACCCCGTCTGAGCGAGTGGATCATGCCTTCGTTCAGCACCACCACCGACTGCGATCGTACCGTGGCTGCCATCCTCATGATGGGCTCTATGCAGAAGTACTTCAGCTTCATGATGTGTAGCGACTGCGGCATTCCGTCTGTGACGTTGCTCGGCGAGCGAAAAGACTGGGAGAACATCTTGTACAGGCTGGAGTATCTGTCTGAGCTGGGCACAGAGCCGGATACGTTTGCAAACCTGCTCAAGCCAATTCTCCGTGGGTTTGTGGCGTCGTTCGACGCTCAGCGGTCAGAGGCGAACAATAGGTTCTGGGGCAAGATGGTGCATCGTGAAAGCATGATGAGTGGTCAGGACTACTTTTCGGGCTGGATTACAGCGTTCGGCTATTGGAGTGAGGATGGCAAGGCATCGTACATACACACGGCGATTCCGGACAGGAGAGATGAGGTAGACGAGCGCGAGTATGGATGTGTGCTAGAAGACGTCAGGTACCCGTGCATTGACACAGATTCGGTTCCTGCTGGTTTCGCGTCTGTGCCAGTCACTGTCAATAACAACGGGGAGATCTGGAATACCAAGATGGTCGCAGGATCCATCGGAATCGAGGCCAAGCGCAGCGATGGACAGGCGATCGACGAAGCCATCTACCACAATGTGGAAGAAAGCGGGCCTGTCGAAAGGGAATCACGGAGGAGAAGGCGAGGTGAATATGCTGGTCTGGACACCGTTCAGCCGTTGACGGGGTGGTTCATGCATGATGTCGGCACCTCAGTATAGTAATTTCTGTCCTCTTCAGTTCTTGTATAGCGGTTGGGAAAGTCATCACGAGCTCGGGCTAATCGCTCTTTGTACACAGGGTAATTGTTGTGATTGACCCAATCGTCCCATCCTTGGTATGCGCCAATCTCCGTCAGAACCTCATGCATTAGCTCCACATCCTCGCTCCAACTCGCCTCAATATATTGCTGCTGGGTCCTATCTTTGAAATTATAAGAACGGGAACGCGGTCTGTCAGAACCAACATCCATGTTCCATTCATCTTGAACTTGGATAAGTATTCCTCGGGATATCGGCTCTCCATCACTGAAGATCGAGCTTAATAGTCCAGTGATCTGACCGTGCAGGGGCTCTCGGAATTACGGTGCGCTAGCAATCTCTGGACATTGACGAAGCATCAGTATTTCATGGAGTTTATATAGAGATTGAGCGGCTCAAAGATTCTTGGCTTCGCGCTGTTCCTGATCATTCATATCATCAAACACATCGGGTAGCGTGATGGGCTTGAAACCTTCTGGTATTGGCTCCTCACATTCGATGAGCAAAGGGTGCGGTGCTTGGAAGAAGAGTGGAGAAATATTGATCGCTTCCCAGTCAATGATGTTGAAAAAAATTGTTGGCTAGGATGACCCAACAAATATGCTTTCGCCATGCAGATCAGAGTGCCACAAAGTCGGCTTTTAAAGATTGGAACCTGTAGGCAGGATCTGAGTTGCGATTTTCAGACAATCCTGGAAGTTTTTCAAGGTTGTTCTCAATTGAGACTAGCTTGCGTTCTTTTCCTCTAACTTAGCGACTCCCCACTTCACGTGCACCACCACCACAAACCAGATGCACCACGGCAACAAACCAGATGCACCACGGCAACAAAAAAGACAATGAGCTGCATCAGCCGTGAATCGAACACGGGGCTAGCCGAAACTGGATGGCAACGGCTAATTTTACCACTAAACCACTGAAGCTTGCAATGATTAATGAAGGAAGTTGGACTTTGAATGCTTATGTACCAGGAATGCTTTCCTTCTCTCCCTTGTGACTCCGTATGTGGATCGAGACTTTCCGTCGTTGCAATGCTTCTAGAGGGCGTTGTCTGTAGGATACTTCAATACATGATTCTCCACCTATTTTGTACGAGTCATGGTCCCTTACCGGTTTTGCCGACCCCACTTCCTCGACAACCTCCATCACTCAAAGCAACCGCATGGTTCACACAACTCACGTCCGCCAGAACTATCATCATGAGGTTTCTGCAAGCAAACGAGTAGAATGGACACATCGTGTTGACGACAATGGCTCGCACCTGTCTCCATTTCCAGCAACAGCTTCCTTCCATGGACTCGGTACGAAGTCGAGAAGGGCTTTGAAACTTCACTATATACGCAGACTACTTCTTTCAGTCTATGTTCCGCTGGAGTACCCAATCACGGACTGCACAAAGGTCATGCTGCTCCCCGTTCTATGTCATGCTGCTGCCGACCGATATCGAAAGGCATGCGTGTGACGTCTTCGCCCGGACTAGGACTCAGATAGTCAAATCAGGTACAGCACTACCCAGAACTCTCAAGACTTGCCCAAGGGAAGTTCGAGCGGCTGATCTACATGCGGACTCCACGAGACGCTCACGGAAGCTCCTTCCCGGAGACCAGTCCGATGCTAGCGCGGACAGATTTTGCGGGGATAACGACCACCAGTGTGGGTGGCCGCGGTGCCGCGGCACACCACGAGGCGTCGTTGGACCGCGCCTGACCCTTTGGAGACTTGGGTGCGACTCGCGCACTCAAATTGTATGTCGTTATGATTCAAGCAGTAAAAGATCGTCCCAGAAGTCCACGCAAACGGATGTTGCCGTAGGTCAGCTTTCTTCTAGGTACGTTGATTGGATGTTGTTCAACGGTATCTGCCAAATCGATCGACAATTTGACGTCGTCAACTGGAGAGATGGGTAACGACGAACGGGAGATGAACCAGATGCATCAAGAAGGCGTGACCATTCCAACGTGGAGGAAGGCGTATAAGATGCAAGGGCAACAGCACGATTTCCAGCACATCCCTATTCCTCCATTCTGCTACCATGAGGCTCACATCACAACTTTTCGTAGCCGGTCTGGCACCCTTTGCTCATGCATTCCCTGCCATGATGTACGAGGCAGTGGCCGCCGACCCAGCCCTCGAAGCTCGGGCCGAAGAGATAGCTAAGCTGCTCGAAGCCCGTCAGGCGGGTGCGGGTGCAGCTACAGCTCTTTTCGAACCCATCAACACCTTCAATGCTGACAAGCAACGCATCAACGTGGGGCCGGGCAGTGGTCACGAGTATGTGCCCCCGGGTGCGGGAGACCTCAGAGGTCCTTGCCCGGGTCTGAACGCATTCGCAAACCATAGTAAGTAGATGATCATAAATCGCTCCAACAATTACTGATGTCTCGTAGAATTCATCCCCCATAGCGGATATGCTACAATCCAACAATACATCGATGCGACGATGAAGGTTGTTGGCATGGGGCCCCAGCTATCTTTGTTTCTATCAGTGCTCGGCGGTGCTCTGGACGGTGATCTGCTATCATGGTCCATCGGTGGCACGCCATCCCTTCTCCAGGGCGGCCCAACAGGCATCCTAGGCAACGGCCTCATCGGCTCGCACAACAAGTACGAAGGCGACGCCTCCCCCACAAGACCCGATCTCTACGAGGCCGGCAACAACTACAAAACCGTAACCTCGCAGTTCCAAGACCTGATCAACCACTCGCCCGGTGGCCAAGTCAGCCTCGAGTCCCTCACAGCATTCCGCTCAGACCGCTTCGACACGCAAATCAAGAACAACCCGAACTTCTTCAACGGCCCCTTCTCAGGCGTCCTCGTGCAGCCCGCAGCGTACACGTTCATCTACCGCTTCATGGCGAACCACAGCGCCGAGAACCCAGAGGGCCTGCTCAGCTACGAAACCCTGCAGTCGTGGTTCGGCGTCGAGGGCACCAACGGCGCCTACAACGCGGTCCAGGGCACCGAGCGCATCCCGACGAACTGGTACCGGCGCGCGCTGGAGTACCCCTACGAGGTCGACTATTTCCTCGTCGACGTCGTGAATGCGGCGAAGCTGCACCCCAAGTTCCTCAACGTCGGCGGGAATCTGGGTAAGACTAACTCGTTTGCTGGCGTCGACGTGTCGAATCTGTCGGGGGGCTTGTTCAACTCGGCGGATCTGCTGCAGGGGAATAATCTCGGCTGCTTTGTGTACCAGCTCTCGGCGCAGGCGAAGCCTGATATCCTCCTCGGCGCGCTGAATAAGCTGACTGATGCCATTGGAAGCATTATCGGGCCGCTGGGCTGTCCGCAGTTGAAGGCCATTGATACCGCGCAGCTGCAGCAGTTCCCTGGCTACAGCCAGAAGCCAGTGTATGGCTAGAGGTCTGGGCGGGGTTCTGCCAAGATGTAACGAGTTATGATCGCGATGACCTTGGTATGTGCATGGTAGCGTTAGCGCAATGAGAAGTAATATCACACACGGATGTGTCAATGCTTGCGTGATTTGTGGCTCTTGATGTTTTGCTCTAGTCCACAGCAGGGTCTGGTCGAGAGATCATTTCGCGTCGAGTATAAAGGGTCGGAACGGAAGATTTCGTCTTCAACACGATGGATGCAATGGTATTGTAGCTTCTTGGTACGGTGTTTGTAGGCCATTGGGGAGGGTATCAGAGGGCAAGAAAGATAGTCTCGGAGACAGACATAACAAGCCATCCGAGAACCCAAGACGTCCGCCCCGACCCCCCTTCCAACAACCAGGCCCGCAGCCTCTCAGTCCCCAACTCCCCACAACCCCTACACCCCTACACCCCCCCCCCCCCCCCCCCCGCACTCACAACCCATCACACCTCTCCGGCTCAAACCCCACCTGCTGCGCACACGCCCCAAACCCCTGCACCCCCGTATACACGCCCTGCAGCGCCGTCTTCCCCGCGAGCCCAAGCCCGAGCCCACTACTCGACGGCCCGAGCGTCACACTGCCCTGGCGAAACACCGGCTCCGCGGTCGTCTCGTTGAAGAAATATGCGTTGCGCTGGCACATACCGGCGCTGAGCCCCGTCAGCAGGAGCGGCTGATTGATCACGTCCGCCCAGAAATCCTGGGTGTATGCGGGCGCCGCGGTGGTGCGGAACGCGACGTCCAGCGCCTGCGGATACACGCCCGGCCCGGAGACCTCGTTGGGCAGCACCACCCACTTGGCTGCTGCGCTGCACTGGACCGCGGTGCACGCGTACGCCGCGTCGCCGGGCGCGAAGTCGCCGAGCCGCAGCGCCACGCCGCCGGTGAGCGAGGACACGAGCGCGGGCAGCACGCCCGCGAGGCGCAGGCGGTCGAGCAGGGTGCCGCGGTTGGGGCCGCCGATGTAGCCGTTCAGGGGCGCGAGGAGGGGCGTCGGGCGCCCGTTGTAGCTGACGAAGGGGATTGCGGTGCTGGAGGTTAGTAGCGCGCCGCTGATTTGCAGCGCGGAGAGGCGGATGTCGTCGTTCAGGCCGATGGTGGAGAGGACTGGGTGGGTGTCTGGGGGGAAGCCGGGGATGGTGATGGGGAGGAGGGTGAGGGTGTTTGTGGTGGGGAGGGGGTTTGTGAGGGACGTGAAGAGTTTGGCGTCGTTGAGGGCTTCGAGGACTTTTGCGCGCGGGACGGGGGTGAGGAACCATGCTGAGGGATGTTAGAGGATGGTGGTTCTGGGGGAGAATGGGACTTGCTGAGGTTGCCGGTCATGGTGCGGCGGTTGTAGTTGTTTACTGCGACGGTGTTGGGGCACTGGGCGTGGGTCTGCGTGAGCAGCGCGGCGACGGTGAGCACGCAGGTGAGGAGTCGGCCGGCCATGTTTGCGGTCGTAGCGTGAGAATGCTGTGATATTTGGTAGGGTATGATGGCCTTTCTTATATATGCTGGCATAGAACGGCCGCTGCATACCAAGCGTGCCATGATACAATTATGATGATCTCCACCCAGCCCAAGCTTGCCTTAGCGACATACGCTCCCAGACGGACCACCCGACCTAGGACGGTCGATCCCGAGCTTTTCCGCGCAAGCATTGGGAAACATCATTGGTGCTGATGCAGACGTGTCATTACTAGCTGTGGTGGTTTGAATTCCCATGGTTGTGTTCGTTGGATCTCGCGGTGTTATGGCGCTACGTGGCTGGCGCCAGACTTTACACCGACGTCAAATCCCATCACGTGTATACACGAGTGCGGGTACGTCGATCTTTCTTCTAGCAATTGATCGCTCCCTGGATGGTACGGCTGATTGGAGGAGAGTGGGCGAAGCAAGACCCTACCATGTCACATAGTATGAGCCACAGCCGTGCGCTTCCTTTGCGGTTCAAAGTTTTGTCTAGCTATTTCGTTAGATTGTCTGGAGTCTTGAATTGTGTCTCGGGGATTGATACCTTCCGGAACATCGCCCAATCCTCACGAAATCCGCCAGATCAGGAAGGGATCTTGCATAAAATCTACGACATGCGGTAAGCTCACAAATGCCAAGGCAGAGATCTGCAGGAGTCGATCGTCATGTTGAATTATCGATTATCGATGTTAGGCGTACAAGATGCGCCGGCTCAAGCACGCTCCGTCAGTTCCTCCGTGGACTCGCTTTTCCATCCGTTGAATTGTCGCGCTGTCAGCTTCAGCTCGAACATGCGATCGATCTCTGCGACGCTGCGGCCCTTCATCTCCGGAATCAGGTACCACGACACGGCGGCGCCGATTAGGCAGCTCCCGAAGTAGGTGAATCCAGTCTTTCCGCGCAGGTTGCCCTCATCGGGGTTGAAAACGTACGGCAGTACGAGGCCCACAATGGTGGTGCCGAAAGCCGACACGCACCAGCCGAGACCCTGCGTGCGGGCGCGCAGCTGCAGCGACGAGGTCTCAGCCGCGATGGCGAAGGACGCGGGCCAGACGCCGACGCCGGCGGTGACGATGGTGAGCATCATCGAGACGGCGGTCCACCTGGAGTTGTTAGCGGTGAAAATACACAACACAGATAAGACATACCAGGTAACAGCAGGCGTGACGGTAAAGCAGTTCGCAATGCCCATGGACAGCCAGAACAGGGATATGACCAGCAGACTGTAGACGACCAGCGGTCTGCGGCCGACGCGCGCCACGACCCAGACTGAGATGCAGTTGGCGATCAGGCCCAGGACGATGCCGAGGATGAGGAAGATGATTGAGATGCTCGCCTTCATGTTGACGAGCTGGAGGAAGTACGACGCTTTGGCAAGCAACGAGAGGCCGAAGACGGCGGTGAGAGAGTTCGCCCACATGACAATGAACGTGCGGCGGAAGTTTCTCTTGTGGAAGCACTCAGCGTAAGTGACCTTGGCGGACTGCTCTTCGTGCTCAATGTCCGCGAGGAGCTTGTCGATGATGGTTTTTGTGTTCACGCCGGGCGGATCCAGTCGCGCTTGCGCTGCGTGTGCTTTATCCATCTGGCGCTTGCGAACAAGCCAGGTTGGGCTTTCGGGGATGAGGAATGCGACGAGGATAGGAACGAATGAGAAGGGCCACTGAGAGCCAAACGCAATGGCATACCCATTGTTTGCATCGAGTGCGCCGAAGATGACCAGAGCCCCTGTGAGCTGGCCGAGCAGCGTGAACACCGGGAAGAAGGCCATGCCGGATCCGCGAAGGGCAGGTGGTAGGATTTCAGACATGTACGTCTGGCACGCGGCCATGACAGCACCGACTGAGGCGCCCTGAAGGAACTTCCCCATGAGAAAGGCGACGCGTCGGCCGGTGATGTCTGGCGGAAGATACGAGACAAACATGATGGCGACTGCGATCGCCGACACGAACGACGAGATGGCGAGTGCAAGACGACGGCCAATCTTATCCTGTAGCCACCCACCAAAGACTGAGCCACCCATTGAACCTATGGGAGACGCCACGTTCCAGAGCGCAAGCCAGGTGGATGGCAGAATCCATTTGCCTTCATAGAGAATCCCAAAATCCTTCCTGATGACGAGTGAGCATTGGCGTCCAGAACGGGACTGACAAAAACCTACTGGAAAACGGGCATGCCAGACACTGTGCCGACAATAACATTATCGTAACCGTACAGGAGGATCGCTGACGTCAAGCCAAACGTAACATAGGTGACTTTGCGATACTTCTTAGCATTTTGCCAGACAGTCTGCGAGTTCTCGCTCGCTTCGGTGTCGGCTTGGCTATCAGCGTGGCTGTCGATCTCGAAAATGCGCTCTGCTGTGCCGTTGTCCTTGCCCTCGCTGGGTCGCGACTCGTGAGATGGGGTGGCCATGGTGAGGTGGAGACCTACTCGCGCAGAAGTGCAGAGGAGGAAGCGCGAGTCGTTATCAGGAGGTCAGCGGCGCGGGCAGCGGCTTGATATGAGGCCTGTCAGGCCAAGCATTGCGCATGCGGGGGTCATCAAGGGCGTGAACAGTACAAGAAGACTATAGCACCCTCCCATTGTCGATGCGAAAGGATAAGTGGATCGGCAAGCGCCTGCTAGTCTCCGGTAGAGTTCATCGCTGCACGACGGCTGAGGCGCTGCTTACCCCGCCTAGCTTGCGCGCCTGAGTGGTTCTCTCGGGCATCGCGAGTGGCCTCGCCGTTCAATCTCACGCTCAATCTCAGTCAGCATTGCGCTGCCAGGGCTTGTGTCAAGGCTGTGCCACCGCCTCACACGCGCTGCTTTTTCCGCGCGCTGCATTTTGCGCAACACCCCAGGGGGTTGATTTTGCGAAGATCAGAGGGGAAATAAAGTTGCTAGATCCTCCGTCTTGCTACATAAAGAACGCCATGCAATGCTAAACCGCGCTTACATGCTGGAAATCCAATCAACGCAGGGGCCCAGTAATTAAGCACGTGAAGGGCCGAGACAGCGAGATGACAGCGCTTGACACCTGCCCGTTGTTCCTCAACCAAGAAACGACTTGACAGCTCCGCCAACGTTCTCCAAGTCCAGGAGGAACGTGTCGTGGCCAAACATACTCTTCTCCTCGCCGAGCTCAATGTGCGTGACGTTTTTGTTACCGGTGCGCTTGAGTGTGGTTGCAATCTCACGCTGTTGCCACGCAGGGAATAAGATGTCACTGGCGACGCCAAGCACTAGTGCTGGGGTACCGGCTAACGGTCGCAGACCCGCGACTAGATCGGGTGGCGGCTCGCTCCCGTCAGTGGCAGGCACCTTGCCTTCATCAAAGTCCGCCGGCTGCTCCTTTTCCTCGTAGGGCTGCTCTGGGAGCGTCAAGCTGCACGCATCTGCAGTCGCGGACGACTCGATGCCTTTGCCGTCGAGGTACGCCTGCACTCTGCTTGCATTTGCGGCCCTGCGCTCGTTGACGCGCGTGCGGTGCTCCTGGCCCAGATCGAACATGTCCATAGCCTTGGAGACGTACAGCAGGCTGTTGGGGTCGTACTCCAAACACCACTTCTCGCCCGCGTGATCCAGATACGTCTCAACTAGGAAATCGGGGCACAAGGCTGGCGGTCGCGACGGGTCTGCACGACGCCGCCCGAAACGCATCTCCCACTCGGGTCCGCTGCGGTACGTGACGGTCGCAATCTCGCGTGCCAGCTTCATGCCGCCGTGCGGAGGAATGCCGTCGTAGTAAAACCCTCGCGCCCAGTTGGGATCCATCATGAGTGCTGTGCGCGGTCAGTGGGGCACAAGGCTGCAAAAGAAATCTCCGACATACCTTGCCGTTGCGTGTGCCTCATGGCGATGCTGTAAGGGTGGCTGCGCGCACATCCGCTGATGCTGACAATGCGCCCCACGCGCTCGGGGAACAGGTTGCCGGCAGCGAGACTCTGCATCCCGCCCATGCTGGATCCCACGCTCGCGTACAGCTTGTGGATGCCCAGACTGTCCAGCAGTCGGAACTGCGCGCGCACCATATCCTCCATGGTCAGGATCGGGAAGCGCGTCGCGTAGCGCTCACCGCTCGCGGGGTCGACCGAGGCGGGTCCTGTGGAGCCGTAACACCCTCCGAGGACGTTGGTGCAGATGACAAAGTACTTGTTGGTGTCCAGCGGCTTGTCGGGCCCAATGAACTTCTCCCACCACCCTGGCTTGGGGTTGGCCTCGGTGCTGTGCGCATGGCTTGAGGCTGAGAGGCCGGTGTGGAGGAGGATGGTGTTGCTCTTGTCCTGGTTCAGAGTGCCCCAGGTCTCGTATGCGACGTCGAACTGGGGCAATATGCCGCCCCAGTCGAACAGTATAGGCTGATCTGAGTGGAAGATCTCGGTGTGACCAGATGTGTACGATGGCTCGGGGCCTTCCGTTGAGCGTTTGGAGAGCTTCGCAGTCTTCGATTCGAGCGCGTCGAGGCAGGGAAAGGATAGCGCTGGGTTCAGCAGTTCGCTCTGGACCGAGTCTTCTTCAGCCCGAGCTGCGGCATTCTGGTGGGCTTTGAGTGGCGCTTGACGGTGTATGCCTCTGCTCGCCTGAACGATTGACGGCCGTAGGGTTGGCCTGGTGTAGTTGCATCCTTGCCGCCGCGCGACGGCAAACAGCTGGCGATGGAAGCTCATGGCTTGGTGAGTGGACGAACGCCTACGCGACTGCCGCCATGTAATAAGGTGGAGAAGGGATTTGTGAACCGCATCATGACGCTACGTCGGATTATTAATGGCTCTCGACTGTTAACAGCCGTCTAGAAAGTTGCGGCGAACGCGTTTTGAGCCAATGACGCCGCGCCAAAATTGCGTGCTCCCACTCCGCAGTCGGCGGTTACCCATCGGGCAAGCAGCTGCTGGAGCTTTGACTGCACTCCACACCACCCATTGTCAATGAATCTTGAAAACTGTCAATGTATCCAGAAAACAGGCACATAAGTTGCTATCACGTTTGGATTGAACCTGTCAGTATATGCCATCCTGCAGCTTCCTGGGTCCACGCACTGCCGATCGATCGTCTCGCCAACGTCTGATCCGACGAAAGTGAACAGGAGACGGTGGTGCAATGTCTGGACGATTTTTGTGTGATCTCCTACAGACGTCTCGCGTCGGCCGCAGAAGAGACACTCGCAGAAGAGATGCGTCCAATGTCAAGCCACGCCCGATTTACCAGAGTGCACACAATGATGCTGATCTAGACCTTACTGTTCGCATTGTTATCGTTGCTACCTCAGACAGTGAAGCAAGCATATTCAATTGCCGATCCCGTCTTTCGGCCCATACAATCTATCAATCTCGTCTTCTCCGTTGGGTCCTATGAACATTCGTTCGTAATTGAGAGGATCAAGGAAGAACACGTTCTCCTTCCCACACGGCCAGTAGTGTGTCTCTGTGGCTCCAACACACGCCCAGAGACCATCTAACGGCACGATCCAGATTTCCCTTGCGTTGACAAAGTGCCTGACGTCGTCAACCTCCTGATAATAAAACCAATCGCCCTGCATCTCGCGTTTGAACCTCAGGAGTTGAATCAACGGGGCGACAGGCTTGAAGCTGTCAAACGTCGACGTTCCAATGTCGATGGTGTCGATGGCGAAATCAACCCAGACATACCTATGCGTTTTACCACGACTTAGCAGTGCATGAGTTTCAAAGCGATGGGGAGCTGCTTACTGCGCTCCACGCCCGTGTACAGCTATCTCAGAAAACGCTTTTTGATACAGGCCATGGTTCCGTGCTTCGCGGCAGGCTTGCAAGACGGCAGGCACAGGCGTCGACGAGGTGAGGTAGTACGTTCGGTCGGGATAAATTGGGTTTGTGAACTCAGCATGCACTGTGCGGGGCTCCACTGTCATTTCCCATATTTGCATCCGGAGCTCGTACGGTAGACGCGGAAAGGGGTGAAAGGTTGACATGGCAGTCATTACAATGTTGTTGATGCGGTATAAATGGCGCGAGCTTTGTGACAACCAGCCACCGCTAGAATCTAAACCTCACCTCTCCTGCAGATTTATCCTTGCTACTCTAAAACCCTTGTAACTAATTCATTAGTAGGGAATCCTCCAATATTTAATTGCATAAGTTAATGTTCAGCAGCAATAATAGATGTTGTTGCTGGGATTACAGTAGTCTGGCTTTCGATGCCCCGCCATGAATCAGCCACACACGGCCGGGCAGACATACTCGGAGTCGCTCAGGCATCACTCACCAGACGAGTCTTTAGAATCGTCCGACAAATGGCTGGTTTAGACTAAGCGGCTAAGATTAAGGGCGACCAAATACGTTGCAACTGGACGACCCACCATGCGCAGCCTCGATCGCGAGATTCGACTGCTGGATCTCCTCCCCGGCGAAGGGGCTGCTGCTATCCGATGCACAACCCGCATAGTCGCGCTAGACTCGCATCCCGAGTTCGAAACCGTGTCGTATGTCTGGGGCGACCGCAACGGGGAGCAATCCATCGAGGTTTCTGGCACCTCCATCCCGGTCACGAGGAACCTGCATGCCGGGCTGCTGCGCCTCCGCGACTCGACTGCTAAACGCACGCTGTGGATCGATCAGATATGTATCAACCAGTGGGATCTGGAAGAGAAGGCGGCGCAGGTGGCGCTCATGCGCGACATCTACAGGCAGTGCACGCGGTGCGTGACGTGGATGGGCGAGCTGGTGAGAGACGGGAGCGAAGTCCAGGTCCGCGACGCAGAGGCAGTGTTTACTTTCCTGGAGCAAACCGCCGCAGCGACAGTCACGCCGCTGGATGGCCTGCCAGTGCTCTTCCTGGACTCAGAAGAAGGCGAGGCCGCGCGGGAAGCCTTCAGGAGCTTCTCCATGTACGGCAATCCGTGGTGGTCACGCATCTGGACAGTGCAAGAAGCCATCATCCCGTCGTCAGGCGTGCTGGTATGGGGTCCGCTGTCGATTACTCGCTCGACTGTGCTTTCGGCGGCGCGCAACCTGCGCGATCTGGACAGTTGGGCTGCGCTCCCCGACGGCTTCGCGGCTCTCCGCCATACCTACACCGAGCTGCTTCGACGGCTTCTCTACCCCGTGCACGGCTTCAACCACTCGAAGAACGACAACGCGCTCAACCTGCTGATGCGCTGGCGGCACCGAGAATACACCAATCCGCGCGACAAGGTCTATGCGCTGCTCGGCCTGATCGCGCCAGCCGCCATCCCCAGCGCCCAGAACTGCGACTACACTGTCGCAGTACCCCGGCTATTCGCACACGTCACACGCGATCTCATCAGACACGAACAAGGCCTGCGGCCGCTGCTGGGCGCCTGCGAGATGCCGCACGCGTCCGCCGCCACACCCTCGTGGGCCATCGACTTCGCGCGCTGCAACCGCATCGGCAAGCGCCAGATGACGTGGTGGGGCCACTCGCACCGCTACGCCGTCTTCTCCGCGTGCGGCGACCACGGGCTCGAAGAGCTCGACACCGACCCGGAGACCCTGGGCCTGAGAGGCGTCTACGTAGACGAGGTGCGGGCCACCGTCGCGCTGCTCCGCGTCGACCCCCAGGACGCAGTGGACCCCGGCGCACTCCGCGAAGCCATCGCCGCCTGCGCCCAGCTGCTGGCGCAGTACCGTGCTTCGGGGCAGGCTGCGGCGGTGTACGAAGACGGCTTCTCGTGGGCCTCCGCGTTCTGCAGGACGCTGGTCGGCGACTTGCTCATGGACGAGATGCCCGTGGGCAGACTCGCATCGCTGGGGCGCGAGCGGCTGCAGGACGCGTTCGCGGAGCTCTTCGACGCGCTGGGTGTTCCGTGTAGTGAGCCCTTGGATCTGGATTTCGTGTCCGCGCCGGGCTCCCCTGGCTCTTCGGCTTCGCAGGCGTACTCACCCACGTCGCCCCGGCGTTCGCGTTCACCCACGTCTCCAGCGTACTCTCCGACTTCCCCAGCGTACTCTCCGACTTCCCCAGTGTATTCTCCGACCTCCCCAACGTACTCCCCGACATCTCCTAGATTCGACGCATCCGCCATGCCCACAGCCTCGCGCACAGCCGCCGTCCTGAACGGGCCCGGCAGCCCCCCAAGCCCCTTCGAGACGCCAGTCGCCACCCCACACAGCCCGTCCCCCAGCGCCCCAGACCCCCGCGATCCAGACTCGGCCTCCGACGCCGACAGCACCTACAGCTGGACCTCGGAGCGCCTGTACCGCCTCCCCACGCAGCGCGCCCCCGCCACAAACGCACAAAACGCGCCCGCTTCGCCCCCGCGGCACACGCACCGGCGCCGCCCCGGTTCCTCGTCGCCAGGTCATGTCTCAAGTTCCCCGAAGGATCTCTCGCACCTCGACCCCAAAACTCTATCCACCCACCTCCGCGAATCCCTCACCGGCAGCCTAGAAAACCAGACCTTCTTCGTCACGCGCACGGGCCGCATCGGGATTGGCCCCGCGCCGACGCGGAGGGGGGATGGGGTGTGGGTTCTCAGCGGGGGGCGGGTGGTGTTTGTTCTAAGGGGCGGTAGTAGCTGTGGCACTGGGTATGGGTATGGGGACGGGGACGGGGACGGGGACGGGGACGTGGACGGAGGAGTCGATGGCGAAAGCGGAGGAGAAGGTAGGGGCCCGCGCAGCGCAGAGCCTCAGCGGCTCACGCTCGTCGGCGACGCGTATCTGCACGGCTGCATGGACGGCGAGGCCGTGCGGGCCGGGGCGGCGTGGGAGCGGGTGTGGATCTGCTAGGGTGCCTGCGGTTCCTGCGGTTCCTGCGGTACCTACGGTGCGGTGCTGGGGACGCGCGGTGCGGTACTGGGGACTCTTTAAACGCGTACAGTAGTACGCTAATATGCGCCGGCACGGGTTGTGCGGGACGCGTGCACTGCACATCGGACACTGCACGCCCGCACCACACTCGGATACAAGGGGCGGTGGAAGACCGGTTGAACTGCATCGTCTACGATGGAATTTCACATTACACTACATTGAATCCGAAGAAGCCACGCCACCCCAACGCCCATAACGCCCCGCGCCACCTCTCAATCCTCATACATCCAGGCGTCTCCGCAACGCACACCCGTCTAGTGACCGCCCGTGGTGGGCAGCCCCAGGCCGACCTTGAACGAGTCGTAGATCAGCCACTGGAACGCCGTCAGGGTGCCGATCATGAAGATGCGCGTCGGCAGCCCGTTCCACAGCCCGCGGAACCCGATGTTGCCGTAGATGCGCGAGATGGCCTGGCCCGCGCCTTCGCCGGCCTTGCGGTCCGAGTTGAGCTTGGAGACCATGACGTCTGGGGGCGTTAGCATTCACACAATTCATACGACCGGGAATGGGGAGACGTACCCGCGGGATGCGACACAACCGCGCACCCGACGCCGGCGATGTAGCCGCCCAGGAACGACACGCCCGTCTGCTGCAGCCCGCTGAGCTGCTCCTTGGGCTTGCCAATCGCCTTGTAGATCTGCGACACGGTTTCCTCGAACGTGGCGAACTTGACCATGGTGTACGGGATCTGGCGCGCCCACAGCGGATACAGGCCCTTGTACAGGCCGCCGACGCCCTCCTGCTGCACGACCTTGCCCCAGCCCTCGCGCAGCGTGGCCGCGAACGGCGGGACCGAGGTCTGCATGCGCACCTTGATGGCCTCGAGGGGGCACAGGGCCAGGTCGGCCAGGAACTCGGCGCTGGCCGAGGCGGCCAGGAAGACGAGCGTCTTGGGGGCCTCCGGGGCCAGGCGCTCGCCGTACAGGTACTTGAAGACCTCGTAGAAGCCGTACTTGCCGGCGCCCTGCAGCGAGTAGCCGACGAAGGTGGGCGACCAGCCAGTGAAGACGCCGCGCAGGCCCTCCTTGGCGTAGATGGTTTTCCAGGCCTGGACGTTGGATTTGTAGAGGTTGGCGTCGACTTGGCGGCGGCATTTAACCTGGGTGCGTTAGCGATGGAGGTGGGAGAGGTGGGAGAGGTGGGTGAGGAGGGAGAGGTGGATGGCGAGATAGCGAGCTGGGTGAGAGGTGGACGGCGGGCAGGGTGGACGGCGGACGGGACGGCAGACGGGACGGCGAGCACACAGATCCAGACAGCGCTCTGAACAGCGCTCTGAACTCGCAACTCACACGCGCCCACCCCTCCCCCTCACCAGCAACCCTCAACCCCCAACACCGAACAGTCTCCACAACAGCCCTAAGAGCACCATTGCAGACCCGTCCGCACCGCACACCCGCATGCCGCCGTTCCAACCAGTGACCGCGCTCCCGTCCAGAGCCCAGCATCCGCAGCCACACGTCGACGGCCTCCTCCACCCCAATCTCCCTACACACATCTAATACGTACCAAATCCAGCGGCGTAACCATAGTATGCGTCGGCCCGCACGCGACGATCCCGCCAATCGTGCATGCCGCGAAGTAGCTGCCCGAGTACAGCTCGATCTTGCGCTGCGGCTTGAGGCCGAGTTTGTCTGCCATTGCGGCGGAGTTGCGGGGTCAATTGCTCGTGGGCGTCGTTGGGGGGTGCGGTGCGGATTCGCAGCTAGCAAAGCGGCAGAGGGACGGCGTAGGTCTGGTCGCGGAGGTGCGGTTCAAGACGAGAGGCTGGGTGGGAGTAGCAGTAGGAGTAGGATAGCAGCAGCAGTGTGTAGTATCGCGTCGCTATGACGTCGTCGGCGCAGCGCTCAGCGACAATCCCACAATACAGCACAACTAGAAACCTCGGGCCAGCAATCAACAAAGCAGGTAAACAGCCAAGACTGCAGAAAAGCTTCAGCCGCGTCTATATATCTATTCTCTCGCAATCGCACGCGCAATGACGCTGCAGCGCGAATCTTGACTCCCGTGGCTTCCGCTGCGCGGTGACGTCGCTGCGCGCTATCCACGCGCTAGCCTAGAGGAGGCTGATAGTGTTATCGCTGCGGAAGCGCGAGGCGCGAGGGGGATCCGCCCGTGTCGGTTCGCTTCGTACGAAGCCAGTAACACTACTAACTGCTGCAGGCTCGGAGTTCTCGCGGCGCAGACAGCCCGGCAGGGGGCACGGCAGGGGAGCGCGGCAGCGAGTGGTGGTAGCCGTGTGCTGCGCGACGGGCTCGTGTGGATGTGCTTCGTGTGCGCGTGAGTATGCAGCGCAGCGGGCAGAAGACAGACACCAATGCAGTCCACCGAAATCAAAGGATCGCCTACAAACACTACAAACACCGCCTCTTTAGAGCAAACATACTTTACGGCAAGCTTGGAGTAACATCTAACGAGACCAATATACACAGACAAGGCACTTGATACCTAAGTTTGCAGAATTCAGATACCATACTCTCACATCACAACCACTCCGTCACCCCAACCTACGCGCAAGCTAACCTCTAACCTCTAATCTCTGGGTGTCACTTGCTTCGCCAGCCGCGCTGGGCATGTGCGGTACGAGACTTCTACACATCCAGCCACGAGCGCGAACGCATAGTACAGTGCAGCACAGTACCGCACCTACAGTACAGTCAACCCCACTCTTCCCCTCCCCCCTCCCCCTAGCAGTAGTATATAGTATACGCAGGCAAGCGAGATACAGCACAGCAGACAGACACAGCAAGAAGCAAGTTCTATAGCAGATTCGCAGTAGAAGGTTTCTTGTCTTGTGCAGCTACGCATCTGTACCTAATAGGTAGCATAGGTAGTATCTAGCCCGTCCTTTGTACTACGCACTCCTAACACCCCTAGCGCTAACGACAGCTGTAGGGCTGGAAAAGAACAGATATAGATATACGCCAACCTCAACCTCAACCCCCGAAAATGCTGGAGGCAGGAGGCAGGAAACAGGAGGCAGCTCAGACGTGCCTACCTACGTGCAGTGCAATATCTTGCTCCTGGGTTAGCAGTAGTATGCGTAGGTAGGCGAGGGAGATACAGGAGAAGTATCCAGGGCCAGGTAAGATGGAGCTGCGTGGCGGCTCCGCATTCTGCAGTGGAGGTTTCCCAGCTTGACGGTTACTTGTCGTGAGATAGGTATGGGTGAGAGAGCAGTGTAGACGACCTGAATGCACACACGCCTTGAACACACAACATGAACGCACCCACGCCTCCAGAACACTTGTCCAAACACATCGATTCTTCTATCTAGCCCCCCAAAGTATCTGTTCTGTTCTGTGTAACATAGCATAAGCATACCAGCCCGCCAAGTAAATCACCAACAACACATGTCAAAAGCACGACCGCACATCCGGTCCCCCAAGCCGGCGCCGAGAACCACTTTTTTGCGCCCCCGCGGGAGACACAGCCGCCGCATGGATCGTCGCGTGCATAGCAATACATCTATTCGTCGCTGTGGCGTGGCAGCCGACACTCGCCTCGAAAGCAACAACCAGAGCGGCAACGCCCGCGGGAAATAAACGTACACGAACGGACCAAGAAAAAACGCCTACGTAACCCCAAGCCATGCTGTGCAAGTAGCGAACGACGGTAGCGAGCGTGAGCGAGGGCCGATGGCGGGCCGGAGAAGAGAGAGCATGCACGTCGTGAGGTAGAGAGACACAAGGCAGGCCAGCTCCCTTCTCTCCAACACGCGGGGGTCGTATACAAAGGGGATGAGATGAGATGAGATGAGATGATGATAAGATGATGATGTTATGCCGCTTATCCGCTCGCTCGAAGATGAAGGAACAATAGACAAGAATAATGCGGTGCTGAGGCTGCGCAGCCGAGATCTAGCGCAAGCCCATCTTGAGATGTTAGATCTCTTGAGAGACGTTAGACCTCTTGAGAGACGTTATATCCAGCGCGAGCCTATCTCTTGGAGAGGTTAGCGTCTAGCGCCGGGCGCGGGGGACGCATTTCTGCTTACCCGACCGCGTCGCTGGCCACCGCCGGCAGCCTGCTGCTGCTGCTGCTGCTGAGGCATGTACATTCCTCCGTACGGGTACATTGGCGCGCCCATGCCTGGCGGCATGCCCGGCGGCATGCCCTGGCCAGCGAGGTTGACCGGCTGCATCATGGGCGAGCCAGAGAAGCCAGGAGCGGCCACCGGGGAGGCGTTGCGGTAGGCGTCCATGCCGGGCTGGAAGCCGTTCATCTGGGGATAGAACTGGCCCTGGCGCGCGAGCAGCTGCTGGTACTGCATCTGCTGCTGGCCGTTCATGGCTTGCATGTTGGGCATGTACATCGGGGCGCCGCCCATGCCGTACTGGTCGAAGCCGTTCGAGTCCATGCTGGAGGTGCGCTGCAGGGCGACCGGGTCGAAGCCGGGAGCGGGAGCGCCGTAGAATCCTCTGGGCTCAATCTGCGAGCTGTCCCGCGACGCCGATCGGGTGGTGGACGACTCGCGGTTGCCAGGTCCGCCACGAGTAGAAAGACCCACTTCGTCCATGAGGCGCTTGTAGCCCTGCTGGGGCTGGGCCTTGATGCGCACAAGCACGTTGCGGACGTTCTGCACGACCTCGGCGCGGATCTTCTCGTCGAAGAAGGGTGTGGTGAGCACCTTGAAGATCAAGGTCGCACCGCAGTTCTGGTCAGACAGGATCTCCTCGAGGATCTGGTCGTTGGGCGAGAAGAATAACGCCTGCAGGATGATGTCGCGCGCCTCGGGCTCGTTGCGCTGGTTGATGATCTTCAGCACTGTGAGGTAAGCAACCTTGTGCGTGCACAGATGGACAATGTGCGGGACAAGACGAGGAGCCAGGACAGTGCGCCTCCTGGGGAAGGTGCAGGTGTCGAGGAACCAGGTCAGCAGCAGCGCACCGTTCGCGTTTGTGGCGAGCTGGACGCTGTGGAGAGCAATGGCGGCCGCCACTGTACGCTGCTGGTCCTTGCTCGCAAAGTGGCTTTCCAAACACGCACGCATCGCGCGAGATCCAAAGCGGCCCTGGGCAAGATCCCAGAGACGGCCGAGCATCACCTCGAAGATGAAGTTGTTGAGGTGCTGGTACTTCAGGCAGCCCTGCATGACGTAGTTGCCGAACTGGTCAAGGAACAGAGCCATTGCGTATGGCCGGAGAGCCTCCACGACCAGCTTCTGCATGTTCATTGTCTTGGAGACGTCGATGATCTTCTGTGCAGCCCACGTTCCATTCTTATGGATGCCAATCTTGGCCAGGTGGGGCGCGATCTCGCGAAGCATGGCCTCCTTGGTGTGCTCGGAGCAGTGCTCGAACAGCTTCTGGACGACCGTGTTGCCGAGGTAGTCGGACGAGAGCTCAGCAATCTCGGGGAGCATGTTCAGGGCGATCGACTCAATCTCCTCTGTAGAGCAAGAGCCGTTGTCGATGCGCTTGCGGATCTCACGCAGTCGGGGTGCATCGTGGACGCGAGTGTGGCTGGGCTCCTCGACAGCAGGGATCTCATCAACGTAGCTGTTGTACTGGATGGCCGCCTCCACCTGGGCGATGATCCTGCCCTGGTCTTCGTCCGAGGCACCCAGTTCTTTCACGATCTGGAAGATGTCGCCGCGGATGTCAGTCAGCTCAGGGGTGACCAGAGGCGCGTTGGCGGTAGTCAGGCTGGCAAGGTTGGCCTTTGTGGTGTTGATAGCGCCAATGCCCTCGGCCTGAGTCTTGGCCAGCGGATCAGGGCTGGGCGAGGGGAAGACACCGTTGTGGCCGGGAGTAGCAGCCGCGCTGGGGATCTTGGCGTAGCCGATGCGCACGGGTCCAGCGCCGGGGAAGATCTCCTTGCCGTTGAGCTGGGACTTGGCCTGCACAGCGCTCTCGAGGCTCTCGAAGTTGACGAAGCCACAGTTCTTGTGTGTCAGGACACGAGTCGACTCGATGGATCCGAACGTGCTGAAGATGACGTTCAGGGAGGAGACGGTCGTGGAGGATGGGATGTTGCCCAGCCACAGAGAGCGGGTCGGGCCTTCGAGCGTGCCGTCGTCGCCGAGGTTGGCGCTGGACTCGTGTGCATTGCGCAGATGGAGGTTCTTGACAGCTTCAGTCAGGTTGTACTCTGCGTCCTCGGTCAACTCGGAGGCGCCCAGACGGGTGGGCATGTAGCTCCGCATCAGGCGCTGCTGGGGTGCGTCCAGGACGCCAGCAGTCCTGGCACGAGGACGGGCGTTGGAGGCGTAGTTGGCGAAGGCCTGGACCTCGAGGTTGTGCTGGCGAACGGCCTCGTGGATCAGGAGGGCATTCGCCTCGGCGGGCGTCATGGCACCGCTGTAGTTGCCGAACTGGTCGAGTTCGTCCTCATCCTCGGCATACTTCTCCTTTGCGTTGACCGAGTAGGAGCGGAAGCGGTTGGCACTGTTGATGCTCTGGCCGGTGGCGTTCCGCTGGCTCTCGAGAAGCAGCTCGATGTCGGACGGGGCCAGCTGAGCGCGGACGGGCTGAGGGGTGTCTACAAGACCGAGGTAGTCGAGGGTCCTGACGTCGGTGTCGGCGAGCGAGTCTCGCGAGAAGTGCGACTGGGGCGAGCCCGGGCCGTTGGACGGCTGCGAGGCAATGCTCTGCAGGGTGCTGCTGCGGTCGCGGCTGCTGGCCCAGCCGCCCGAGAACATGGAGTTGCCAAAGGGCGAGACGGCGGGGGGCAGGTAGCCCGGGCGTTGAGGCATGGAGCCGGCACGCAGGCGCGAGAGCAGCACCGACTTGGCAGCGGCGTTGGTGGAGCCCGGGGCGGCAAAGACGTTGCTGCTGTCAGCGGGGGTGCCGGGGGCGGGCTTGAACGGGCTTGTGGAGGGAGTGGGACGCGAGGTCTTGGGCAGGAGGGAGGACGAGGACATAGACATTAAGCCGCCAGGCGCTGTGGAGGGAGAGAAGCGTGAGGGCAGGGTGCCGGCGCGGGCACGGCGGGTAGATGTCTGCGAGGCTGACGTGGGCTCGGGCATGGCTTGGTTGAAGTCAGGGAAGCTGTCCGCGCTGGGGGACTCCGGGATGGTCTCACGCAGCGGCGTCGAGTTGCCGCTGGTGGGCGGACCCCACATTTGTGGAGTCAGGCCTTCCTGTGCTTGGATCTCGCGTGCACTGGCGTTCCATGTTAGCAGGTGACGGCATGTTTCAGGAGTGCGACAAACCGTTTGGAAAATAAGCGGCCGCTGTACTCATGCGACGGGGATGCGGAGCCGAGGCGGGCGCCTGCAGCTGTCGACGAGGCGGGCGGAAAGCGGGCAGACGGGGGCTCGACGGGCGAGGCAGCGCCGCTGGACGAGGCCGAGTGCGGGGCGTTGGCGCTCAGCTGGGGCAGGTAGGCCAGGTTGATGTGGTTCTCGGGGCGCGCGGTCGGAGCCATTACGATTAGATCTGTCTCTCGACGGAGCGGGCAGCGGTGTGGCCGACGGCTCGGCGGAGTGTGCAAGGGGCTTCACGCAGAACGCCCTTGGATCCAGTCCTGGTGTGCGGGCGCGGTGGCAGCAGACGCGGGTCTGGCGTGGGCGGGGGCTCGGCGGGGCGCGGTCGCGGAGGGCTCACAGCGCAGCGGCGGGAGGGCTACGAGGGCACGGAGCCAAAGGAGTGACTGGCAGGCCCGCTGGTCGCAGTGAAGCGCGTCGGGCAGGCGGGCGTGGAATAGACAGCGCGGCGCGGCTGGAGAAGAACGAAGGAAAGGGATTACGCGGGGCTCTGATTAGACGCGGCGGTCATGGGAGACAGGCTGATAGCAGAGGCGGTCCAGCAGCAGCAGCGATGGGGAAGGTGGGCAGACGGTGCGAGCAGCGATGGAGGCCAGTCTCGCTTGTTCGAAGAGGCCCGTCTGCGCTGCAGTAGCGCGGGAGCACGTTCACCACCAGTACGACGAGCCCACCACCAGTAGCGATGCGCGTCCACCACGGCGACAGTGCGGGCTGGCCGCGCCGATCGGGCGATGCGCATCACGGCTTCATCTCCACGGCGTCGTCGAGACGATGCTGTGCTGCCCGCCTGCCGCTGCCGGCAATAGGGGCCTCTGTGCCCGCGGCGTGCCTGTCTGCGTGTGCGGTGGTCTGCTACAGTCCCGCCTGGTTGGCCCGCGGGCATGGCTAGCAGGCCGGACTGAAACGTTCAGCAGCGCGTCGCACCTCCAATCTGACGTGGAACCCACGGCTCTGGCCTGCCATGTGTCCTCATTGGCCTGCGCGGCTGCTGTCTCAATATGCGTGCTCGATATGCGTTGCGAGGTGCATGGCCGCCAGAGTCATTTTCGAGCATTGCCTGTGCCCGCCGCTGCAGACGCGCTCAATGGGGCGCTGCCAGGCGTCTCACAGCCCAGCGGCGCGTCGCACACAGATGAACGGCCGGGATGGGCGTTGAAACGCCGTTTCCTGCGCTGCGCGGCGTCATGCTCTGCTGCTCGGATCGTCGAGTGCAGTGTTCGTCAGCTCTGCACGCGACCAAAGCGGACTAGGCGGCTTCGACCGCGTCGCCGTTGTCAATCCCAGACCGGCGCTACGTTTCAAGTGCTGAGGGCGCCGTCGCCAGAGCCGAAGCCACCGCGCCTTGGCGACTCTGAGCCGGCGCGTCACTGTCGACGACCAGTGCGTGCAGCGACTGCCGCCTGCTGCATTGCCCTGCTGCACTGCACCCGCGACACGACCGCACGTGAAACGCGCATCGACCGCGCCGTCAGACTCGCGGCTGCCGGAGCCCCACGCGCATGGAAGCCTGAAGCCTTCGAGAAGACGCCCCGTCCCCGTGACGTCTCCTGCTCTGTCGCATCTGCCCCGCACTGTGCCTGCGCCTGCGCCATGTCTGCCGAGGCCCCGGAGTCCATGGTGCTCGACGCGCCCGAGGATGCTGTGGATGGCGCATTGGGCGCGGAGAGCGGCCACAGCAATCGCGACCGCGACCACCACAGTGACGCAAATAGCCACCCACACAGCGACGACAACGCCAGCGACGACAATCCCAGCGACGACAATGAAGACAACGACGACGACGACGACGACAACAACGATGACGCCCCCGTCGCCCTCATGGTCACGTCGCGCGCGCGGCGCGCCAACGCCGGCAACCGCATGTCGACGCTGCTGGCCACGGCCGCCGAGGCCGAGGAGTGGGGGGAGGAGTGGGAGGAGGTCGCCAACGAGGAGGAGTTCAAGGGCGGCGACGTCAACGAGGCCGAGGACTACAACATGGACTCGTCCGAGTCGGAGGAGGACAACGAGCCCGCCGACGACGACGAGGGCGAGAAGGAGCTGCGCAAGGCCGAGCGCCGCGAGCGCAGCAAGAAGCGCAAGGCCGCCACCAACCCCTTCGCCGCCCGCGCCGCTGTCGCCGCCCGCAAGCGCGTCAAGATCGACCCCGAGTCTGCGCCCGCCCGGCCGAAGAAGAAGTCGGAGCGCGCGTCCTGGATCCCCACCGAGGAGGACGGCCCCATCCGCACCTCGTCGCGCCGCCAGACGGTCGCCAACAAGGAGAGCACGCTGGCCAAGCTGCAGGAGAAGGACCGCCGCCGCGACGACACCCTGGCCATGATGAAGGCCGCCGAGGCCCGCAAGAAAAAGGACGAGCCCAAGCCGCTGACCCAGGCCGAGCGCCTGGCCGAGGCCGCGCGCCAGGAGCGCATCAACAAGAAGACGCTGCACCGCTGGGAGGAGGCCGAGGAGGCACGCGCCGCCGAGCGCCAGGCCAAGATCGACGCCCTCAAGAACCGCCAGATCGAGGGGCCCTTCATCCGCTACTACAGCGGGCCGGCCGTCTACGTCGACGACAAGCTCAAGTACGCCGGCAAGGACGCCCCGACCGTCGAGCAGCTGGAGGAGAAGCTCAACAAGGAACCACCCGACACACAGCCTGCTGAAACCGCTGACCCGCAGACACCGCGCGATGAACAACCTGCTCAACCGCCCATGAGCTCGCCCGAGATGTTCTCCATACCTGCCTCACAGTCCATCCAGCCCGACACGCCGCTGCCGTGGGCGTCCGGGTCGCACGCCGCCACCAGCGACGTCTTCATGGGCGGTGACGTGTTCATGGGCTCGTCGCACAACCTGCCCTACAGCACCCCCGCCACCGACGACACCCCCACCATGTTCGCCCCGCCGCAGAACCAAGACTCCTTCCTCTACGGCATCGACCAATACGCCACCCCGCAGCCCGCGCCCTCCACCCTCCCCCCAAACCCCTTCACCCAGCCGCAAAACCCTCCACCCGCCTCCACCCCCCTCCCCCCGCGCCGCCGCACAATCCGCCGCACAAACCTCACCCTCATCACCCTCTTCTCCCCCGCCCTCGCCCCGCCCACCCGCCGCCCCCTCCCCGCCCTCAAAGACCGCGACCGCCCCGCCCTGCTCGCCCTGTGCAGCACCCTCTTCGCCTGGTCCCCCGCCGACGCCTCCGCGTTCCTGTCCTCCACCCTCGCCCTGCACGCCGCGCGCACCCACAAAGCGCGCCTTGCGCACCAGCTCGCCCTGCACCCGCCGCCGCCGCGCTGCGCCGTCACGAACAAAGTCGCCCGCTACCGCGATCCGGAGACGGGGATCGTGTACAGAGACGCGCGCGCGTTCGGGGTGCTGAGGGGCGTCGTGGGCGGGGGGTTCGTGTGGGCCGGCGCGCTCGGGTGCTATGTCGGCGGGCGCGCGATGCCGTTGCAGGGCACCGGGGGCGTGGGCTTTCTGGGGATGCCGGCGGTCAAGGGTGTTCCGGGGCGGTTTCTGGAGATGGCGCGGGGGAAGGAGGGCGGCGGGAGTGCAGGGGGGAGTGCAAGTGCAGGCGCAGGAGCGAGTAGCGTGAAGACGGAAACAGAGACGCCGGGGTCAGCGGCCATGACTCCCGCTGCGCCTCCTGCGACTAGAACTGCTGCGCCGGCGCCGTGAGGCGGTGCCAGCTAGCCCCAAGTACGCGCACGCGCGTGCATACATACCCCCGTAAACCACCTGTATCACCACCCGTATCACCACCGACAAGAAGAACGACGCCAAAGCGAGACGAACAAGCACGACGACAACGAGGACGACGGCGAGAAGAAATACAAATAGACTTAATGCAAACACATTCAAAAACACAGCCGCACAGCCGCACATCCACCCGCCACTCACCACTCCCCACGCCGCCGTCCCCCCAGTCCACCGCAAGTCTCTCCCTGCTCCCCCCATCTAGCCCAAAAAGATTTATAGACGCAACGCTGGATCTCAGACGAATATCACGTGGCCCCTGCACAAGCTAGAAGATTGCAGACGCAGTAGGTACTGCAGGCAACACGTCCTTGGATGCGCTATATGGTATCATATCGCTGGTGGTGTAGGGTGAAGCAACAGGGATAGAATATAGAAGAACTATCAGATGTCAGATGCAGAAGTGGAAAAACGTATTCGCACACTCCGTGGCCTGACTGCGCTCGAGAATACGGGCAGATACTGGCTGTTGCTGGGAAGATACGCGGTGACGTTACACCGCCACATGTAGTCGTCCGATACTTGCACCCCAGGCTTTAGTCAGCGGGTGAAGCTCGGTGCTCAAGCGGGGCGCTGAACCTCCTTCCTTTCTTGACCATCTTGTTCAACACCAGTACCGTATACCTAGTTGCAACGGGCCAGGGCGGGTCGGGATGGCAAACTCTTCGAGCACCGTGATGGGCAGCGGGCCAAGCCTGCGTGTGCAGCGGAATGCTGGAGATAAGACGGTGGCGACGTCGAGCCGTCTCGCGATACAGTACAAGACGCCATAACCCGTGTCAACTGCAGGCAACCTCCAGCTCTCACCGTCTGGGCTCGGTGGTCCTACTCAGCGCCGGTCGAGAACACCACCCGTCGCGGTGTAGATGTGTAAGTATCGTGTATGATCTGCATCCGAGCGTCGAAGCGATGCCAAGTCGAGCCCTGCGGAGCGTCGCCCGACTGCCCTGCACGTAATGAGACCGAGCAGCACAGAGATTTCCTCGCTGACCGTCTGCCATTGCGTAAACGCGTCCAGAGAGCCCTCGAGCACCGCTGCCGCCGCCCTGGAGACGAGCCCGGCATGCCACTCTTGTTATCTTCCACGCTTGGCGCCCAGACACGTGGACCCACTCTGCTCTACTACCGCGACGTCAACACGCGAGTCTGGCACCGCGATCGGACCGTGAGCACCATGTAGGTGTATAAAAGCAGAGTGCGGGCGTGGGTGATGCGGACAGTGGTTCCGCGATCCAGCAGTCCGATACCATGCCGTCTCTCCTCCTGTGTGCTGCTGCGGCAGCGCTGGCGTCCCAGTGCGTCCGCTCAGAGCCTCTGCCCAGGGAATATGTCTCGTTTGAAGGCCCGCTCGAGGTCGAGGCGGACGGGATCCGGAACATCAACGTGGCGTACCACGGCGACGTGGACGGAGAACTGACCATTGCGTATGGCGCGTGCGGGATCGAGAGTATGTCGCAGGTCAGCCACCGCGTGGGGAGTACCCATGTCGGCAGCCATCCGTTTGCGAAGCGCCATGCGGACTGGCAGGACAGCAGGCCCACCAAGTTTGTGTGGAGAGCCCCGGCCAACGTTGAGAGGGGGTGTCTTCACGCGTTCGTGGATGACGTGCTGGTGGGCAGGTCGAAGGAACATCAGGTGAAGAGGAGGCAGATGAAGAAGAGGGCCACCTTTGCAGAAGTCTCTGACCCCATGGGGCCATGGTTCGACGGTGTGGAGTATCTGAAGGAGAAGAACGCAAACGAGACGTTCGTTGCGGCTACGAAAGAGAAGAAGTTTGGCATTCTCGGTGGCGGCATCTCCGGTCTGCTCACTGCTGTATGTGTCCTTGCAATCTATCATTCCACGAGACTAACGCCCGCAGCTCATCCTGGAGTCGGTGGGAATCCACAACTGGAAGATCCTGGAGTCGTCAGACCGCCTGGGAGGTCGCATGCTCACCGCGTATCTGAACAACACGAAGCCTGAGGACTACCAGTACCACGAACTGGGCCCCATGCGCTTCCCCTACAGCATCCACGATGCAGAGACCAACGAGACCTTTGCGATCGAGGACCAGAAGATGGTCTTCCAGCTTGCTGATATCTTGAACGAGATGAACAAGGATGAAGATCCGGCACTGCAGGTCAAGTTCATCGATTGGATCCAAACAAGCCAGAACGCCCCCGTGGCGACTTCGCAGCGCCGCCCGGATGGGACGATCCCAGGCCGCATGGAGACGAGGCTGGACCCAGCGCTACTCGACAACCCCAACTCGACCTACTCGAACGTGACTGCGGTGTATGAGGCGATGGCAGCGCTCGACGACTTCAAAGCCCTGACGCCCGAGCGCGTGCGCTTCTACGCAAAGGACGTCTTCCGCGCGCACAAGCAGGCCGTGGAGCAGGGCATGCTCGACTTCAGCGAGGTCGAGTACCTGAGGCACGTCATGGGCTACGACGCCAACATCACCGACCAGGTCACCACCACCGCCGTCTCCTGGCCCATGTGGGAGTTCGAGACCGTCTACTTCATGGCCAACCGCTGGCTCACCATCGACAAGGGCATGAGCCGCCTGCCCGAAGCCTTCCGCCCGCTCGTCCAGAACCGCACCAGCTTCAACACCAAGGTCTTCGGCATCAAGCACCACGCAGACTCCAATTCAGTGACAGTGTCGTCGCGCCCCACCGGCAGCAGCCCGTGGGCTACGAATACAACCGCCGAGGAATTCGACTACGTCTTCAACTCCGTCCCCTTCAACCTGCTCCGCTTCTGGGACCTGCCGCCGCACTCCTCCCTCATGAAGCGCGCCATCGAGCGCACCGTCTTCGACGGCGCCGTCAAGGTCGCCATGCAGTACAAATCGCGCTTCTGGGAGCACCTCGAGCACCCCATCATCGGCGGGTGCGGGCGCGTCGACATCTACGGCATCGGCCAGATCTGCTACCCGAGCTACGGCATCAACAGCACGGGCCCCGGCACCATGCTAACGTCGTACATCTCCTCCTCGGACGCGGTGGTCGCGTGCGCGATGCCCGCAGACGAGCACATCGCGTACATCCAGCGCGCGATGGTCGAGCTGCACGGCCCCATCGCGGACGAGATGTGGACGGGCAACTACGCGCGGCACTGCTGGGAGCAGGACGAGCACCACGCGGGCAGCTGGGCGGTGCCCGTGGTGCCGCAGCAGCAGCTGTACTTGCCCGCGTTCTGGCAGACCGAGTTCAACACGGTGTTCATCGGCGAGCACACGTCGTACACGCACTCGTGGGTGTTTAGTGCGCTGGAGAGCGCGGTCAGGGGGAGCGTCCAGATGCTGTTGGATATCGGGCTGGTGGATGAGGCGAAGGAGGTTAATCGGAGGTGGATGGCGAGGTGGATTAACCTGTAGGTGGACTACGTGGATTACCTCTAGTGGGTATCCCCAGCGTATTGTGGGTGTCTGCTGAGGAGCGTCACTGTCCTTCCACATCTCTACCATCAATGCGAGATACAAAAAAGTATTTTCAACAAAGCCGTACCCACATCTATGAAGTGATTGCAGGCACCGTCACTCTTCCAACCTGGCACACGGAAATCTCAGCAAATCAACCAACAGTGACTTACAGGATCGGAGCACATATAGCTTTTGACTCCACCCAGTAGCATGCGCCCCTCCAACCAAGCAATAGCCTCGAGGATGTAGGCGCACACTTGGAGCCGAGGGAGTAGCCTGATGTGGTGGTGGCAGTATGTGGAAACCCAGGCAAGCCATTTCAACCCAGCCCCATGACAAGAGCTCTGCCATCCGACTTCCACCGGTACTGACTTGCACCCCGATGCTAACTTCCACCCCCAGCCCTCTTCCCCAGACCCACCTGCGTCACCCCCCTAAACAACCCTCTCCGTCAACTCAAACGCCACCGGCCTGGTCTCCACAAACGCCTCCCCAGCATCAATCCGATCGAAATACGCCGCCAGCGCCCCATACGCGTCCCGCCACCCCTCCCGCATCCCGCCAAACTGCACAAACCCGACCGCACACACAATCCCCACATCCGCAATCGACAGCTCCGTCCCGACCACAAACTCCCTGCCCCCGGCCGCCGCGTCGCGCACGTAGCCATCGAACGCGCCCAGCGCGCCCTCGACCTTGCGCTGCTGCCGTGCGGTCCACGGGGCACTCCGCGCTTCCTCCGCCCGCCGTCCCTCGAAGCGGAGGAGCACCATCGCGTCCATGCACCCAACCGCCAGCGCAACGACCTGCCGTGCCTTGAGACTCCCCCGCGTGTCAGCGGGCACGAGGCGCGGCCCGGTGTCTGCGAAGGTCTCCACGATGTAGCTCACGATGTGCGCGCTCTCGTAGACGGGGGCGTGCGGGGGGTGCAGCAGCACGGGCAGTTTCTCCAGCGGATTGTGGGCGGGTGTCGCGGTGGATGCGTGCCAGGGGATCTCGGATTGTAGTGTGAAGGGGATGTGCTTGAGGGCGAGCAGGATGCGCGGCATGCGTGCGAAGGGGGACGGGGTGGCGGAGATGAGGGTCAGGGGTGGGGTGGCCATGGTGGGTGGTGTTTGTATGGTGGTTGGCAGGGGTGGGGAGGGTTTGTAGGGAGGGCGGGGGGTGGTGGCGGAGTATGGGGTTGGGGAGGTGTGCGGGGTCGGCTACTTGCTAGACGTCATGCGGCTACTGTGGTGGACGGGACGGATGGACTTGGTGTTGCTAGGGAGGCGGAGCAGTCTCCGTGGCCACGGGCGGATCATCGTTGTGGTGGGTTGAGTAGCGTGTGCATATGTCATGCGTGGAAGAGTGTCTAGTGACATGTAGCTGTGTGTAGGTAGTCCGCGTCTAGTGTTGCCTTAGTGTAGTTTCTATACACCCGCACTACCCAATACTCACACCACGCCCTACCCGACCCGCTGACACAGCAGCTCCAAACCCAAGAAAATTGTTTGTATGTTCGATACTCTCAGTCCATCATTCTGCAACCCAAAACAGACCTAAAGTACAGACTAAAAACACAGACCCTACCAACCCAGACTCTAGCTATAACAGACCACACCAAGAAACGCCGTTCTCTCCCCAACACTGCTTCCCTAACTATCTGGAAGTAAATCGCATCAGATACGTAGTCTACCCAACACACCGCCTCCAAAATCCACCACGAGCAAACATCCACCACTGCATCCCAGTCTCTCAACTACCTAACCGCTTGTACGCTTCTCCCGCCGACCAGCTTAGAGGAGGGGTAACAGGCGACAACATGTGGCGGTGTAACGTCACCCGTTATCTCCAGCATCTGGCCGCAGTGTTGAGGCCATGGAGTACTCGGAGTGCACGAACAAATTGACGTCTCCACCCCTGCCTCCGCAAGTCCCTTTCGTCTGTTAGATTTCTCGAGCAGTTCCCTTAGTGATACATGTGGGCCCTTGGCCAGTCTGGAGACCTGGACTTCGCCTCGTGTCGGTATGACAGGATTGGCGACAGGATTGGTGAGGATTAGTATATAGAGCAGAACCGGGACGAACTCGTGACACCCATGATGGCGGTTGAGGCGCATGCTGCTCTGTCCTTCATAGCACCGCGTACTGTGAGTGCGTTCTGCACTGCACATACAGCACAGCACCGCTCGACACTCCCCGCCATCTAAAACCCTGGGATCCAGAAGAGACACGAGATGACATACTTGCACGAAACCGCACATTTTATACTAATCCACGTATAAGACTTGAAAACTCCCCATGCAATCTGCAAGAAACCCCGTTCTTTGAGGAGTACAATAACAGCATAATTTGAAAGTTATCTAAGCAGTGAAAAGATTACATATTACAAGTCTAACCCCGTCGACCACGTCCACGTACAACTACAACTACACTTATCTCGTAGTCAGCGTCAACGTCAACGTCAATACTCGTCTTGAGAAGAACACACAACGCCCCAGAACGCCTCACCGCGACCGCCAAGCGGCCCGTCGCGGCGCAGAAGATATATATACATGCACTCGTGCTTCGTAACGCATCGCATCCGTCGCATCGCATCCGTCGCACCACCCACGCATCACACCATATACACAAGCCACCCACCCTCTTATTCCCCTTCCACATCCCCTTCCCCTTCACCAGCCTACCCCCTCATCTCCCCCACAAGATACGGCCCAATAGTAACCGCCGCGGTCCAAACAATCAACACGCTCTCCACCCCCAAAACCCAGGGGACGCGCCACACGGGCCCATCCTTAGCACGGCACAGGACCGCGTAAAACGCAACGGCGAAGAAATGCCACAACAGCGTCGCGGGGTTGCGAATCAATCCCGACAGCAGGCCCGCGGGTTCGCTCAGCGCGGCGCCGCCGAGCTGGAAGTACCGGAAGCATCCGTTCTTGAGGGCGGTGAGGTGCGTGTTGTGCGCCGCGAAGAGGGCGTAGAGCGCCATGGCGAGGATATTAATCACGGAGGAGTGCGGCTTGCGGGCCCAGTGGAAGCGCGACATGGCCGCGACGACACTCTCCGCGTCCTCGAGGTCGGGGATGTGCGCGGGCGCGAGCAGCGACGTGAGGGTCACGACGTCGGCGAGCGCGACCGTCATGCCGCCGCCGGTGAGCGGGTGCCGCATGTTCGCCGCGTCGCCGAGCAGGATCAGGCCGCGCGTTTTCTGCGTCGTCGGCGGCAGGAACGAGTTCGGCATGGAGCGGAACTTGCCGGCGGCGAGGGCGCGGGCGAACGAGGGCTGCAAGCTCGCAGGCAGGCTGGGCAGCACGACGGAGGTGAGGTGGTTTTTGACGCCGCCGGCGGCGGGGGCGGCGCTGGGCAGGGCGTCGGGGATGTCGATTAGGATGCGGGTTTCGTGCGTGCCGATCTGGTAGACGAGGACGGGGGGCGCGTCGGTGAGGAAGACGTGGCCGTGGTTGGGCAGCGGGAGGTCTGCGTCGATGAGCTCGAGGGCCCAGAACTTGCTGCGCACCGCGGGCTGGGCGGGGATGTACTGCTTGCGGAACTTGGAGGCGTAGCCGTCGGCGACGAGCGTCACGGCGCCGAAGTAGTAGTCCTTCTCGCCCTTGGTTTGGCACTCGACGCCCAGCACCTGCCCCGTGTGGCCATTCTTGACCAGGTCGGTGACGGTGCTCTCGACGACGGTGACGTTGGGCGCGGCGAGGGCGGCGGCGCGCAGCTTCGAGATGAACTTGCCGTGGTGGAACGAGCGGCCCTCGGGCTTCTTGCCGGGCTTGTCGGAGAGCAGGTTGTCCGGGTAGGGGATGTGGACGGGCTCGCCGTGGTACGAGACCTGGTAGCCGTAGCACGGGATGGCGTCGATGCCCTCGAGGCAGTCTGTCGGTCAGCGCGGCGCTTCAGTATAGGGGGGCCACATACCCTCCATGCCCAGCTGCCTCAGCGCATTCACGCCGCCGGGCTGCAGCAGCTCGCCGACGATGCGGTCGGGCTCCTTGAGGCTGCGCTCGAGCAGCACGACGCTGCGGCCCTGCTTGCCGAACGCGACGGCGGCCGCGCAGCCGACGATGCCCGCGCCGACAATCACCACATCCGCCTCGTGGTGCACGCGCCGCCGCTCCTCGCGGAGGCCCTCGGTGTACGTCCCCGGGGCGGGTGCAGCGGCGGCGGGCGGGCTGCGGGCGCGCAGCGAGGGCGACGCGGAGACGCCCGGCGGCAGCGTCATGATCTTCTCGGAGAACATGGTGAGCATCGACATGGCGGCGAGTGGCGGGCCTGTTGAAGGTCCCAGGTGTGCGAATGAGGTTGAGCGGGTGAGGTGAGTCGATCGTCCAAAGTCCAAAAGTCGTGCGTCCCAAACCAGATCGTAGCCGTCGATCCCAATCCTCAATATTAATCTCTTTCCGGTGCAAGGAGTCTTTCAGCGAAAAATCACATAAAACAACCAACTCGTAGTCCGTCACCAAAAACCCAACGCACGTCAGGACCCTTCAAGCCCGCAAGCGGCGATGCGCCCATCTTAAACCCGCCGTGGCAATCGCAGGCGGTGAGCGCCCTCTGCGCCCCGCCGCCCAGAACCCACAACCCCGGCTCCCGCGCCCCTGGCAGAACCGCCAACCACTCGCCGCGGTGGCGTGAAGCTCATCTCATGCCGCGACGGCGTCGTACCATTGTCTGCCGTTCTGCGTACACAATCGCTGCTTCCGTGTATATTTTTTCTACACGAAGGATTTGTGGGTTTAAGGGATCGGAGGGCACGTCTTTTTACTGTATGATTTAGGCACGCACAACTTTCACATGCGGAGACGGGGTCACGTGCACGCGCTGCAGAACACGTTGTATAGTACAGTATAATGTAGTATAGTATGGTATGGTATAGTGCGATAAGTATGAATTAAACCCGCCCCGCCAGCGCCAAAAACCCCGATTACCCATCCCCGCGCTCCCGCGTCGTCAAGCCCGTAATCGTGCGACTCTTTACACTACATAGTCCACTACGCCGCCCAGAGAAGACGCCGCGCGCCGTGCAGTCCCGCTGCGCGAGTTCTTAATGCCGTCTACACGACTGTCTGAAGGACTTGCGTGGCGCCTCGACGGACTGCTGAGCGCCGGCGAGCGGGTTCGCCGCCTCGCCCAGGAAGCTCTGGCAGTAGTAGGGCTTGTAGAATGCGGAGAGGCGGGCGAGCGCCGCAGACTCCTGGGCGCTGTGTCTGTCGTTGCACACACTACTCGCACTACTCGCGCTGCTGCACTACCAGCATCACGCCGCGTGCGGGTACTCAGAGTCTGGGGAAGGCAGCCGCGGGGCGTGCGTCTATTGCTTGCTAAATACAGAAACCCTCAATCTGGCTACCTACCCGGCTCGTCGACGCGGATCTCAGGCGTGCGTGCGTTCCTTGCGGAGGCGGGCAGCAGGGGGAGCCCCGTGGTGGGGGCGTGGCCGGGGGAGGGAGGCGTGGCGTGGCCGGGGTGCTCAGACGCGGCCCGGGTGGATGCGTCGGCGTGCGAGACGCGCAGGGCGTCGGGCATGGAGATCGAGGGCGCGGGCGAGTAGGAGTGCGGGTTGAAGTCAGCGGAGCGGGGCGAGGTGGCGGTGTCGTTGTCGCTGTCGGGCCCGCCGAAGGTGGTGGGCTGGGTGCGGAAGCCGGGAGAGGGGGGGACGCTCAGTGACATGTCTACTGAGGCGTCGTAAGGGTTATGCCTTCCGCTGAGTTCAGCCTCGGACGGTCGCAGTTTCATGTGAGGAGGGGATTGCCTACGGTCTGGGAGCGTCTCCGAGTCACGGTTGCTGTTCTTCCCCAGCGACAGGCTGACTGTGCTTCCTCCGTTCGGGTGCGGCTTCAGCAGAGGCGAGTTGGGGTTGGCGACGAGCGTCGACGAGCTCATGTTGGGGTGCCCGACGATCGATCCAGCTCTCGAGGTTGGCCGCGACTGTGCAACGCCAGCGTAGAAGCCAGCCTCGATGGCACGGATACCGAAGAGGTCGCCCTCGTCCTTCTCGCGCTGGTTGAGCTCTACTGTGTCTTCCCTGGTAGCCGCAGTCTCCTCATCCTTCTTCACGAACGCGTTCAACCTAATCCCGTAAGCCCAAAATTACACAGTGCATGTGATTGAACTCACTTCCTGCGGTCAAAGAAAACCTTGATAAACCCAGCCAGCATCACCAGGGCCAGAAGAGACAAGAAGACGACACTACAGCTATCAGCATCCAGTTCAGTCGGTCCGAATCTCGTCTTACATGTACTTGTACGCCAACTGGAGGTCGCCAAACCAGTTCGACATTATGACTTATGGGTATAGTAAAGAAAGTTCGAAAGCACCGGCTGCGTTGACTCGTACTGAGCGTGATGATCACTTGGTGAAGTGGTTGTCGGGATCCTCGTCTGGTAATCAAACGTATAACAGGCGGTTCGAAAGCGGTAAAGCAATGATGATCTTGGCTGTAAGTAGTCGATGTAGTAAATCCAATGCGGAAAGGCAAGTTCTAATGAGAGGACGTGTGGTAACACACTGTAAAGAGTGACTGTGAGCGCGAATGTAACACCTGGGACCGAAGAATCCTAAGAGAAGTGCGAGGACCTGGAGTTAAAGGTGAGCTATTGCAAGCGCGTAGCCTCCTTCGCTGGCGCCATACGAACGGTCGGCACGTTCGATACGATCTAAAAGCGGTATGACAACCTGGCTCAGGATCCCTGTCTTAAAATGCGAAACGCGGAGCCAATGAAAAAGTCTTGCGCAGTGGGTGCCGCCCAAAAGAGGTGCCCTGTTCGCGTAGACTAGCTGCTATGGTCATGGCAGCGTTTTAAACTTGGGCTTCGGCCTGTCTAAGGAAGGCCAGCCTTGCACTCTTCGGCGGTGTTTCTGGCGGTGCAAGTGCGGATGTACAATGTCTCGTCCATGTGGTGACTGAGGTCGAGGCGGCTTTGTTGCTCTCCAAGACAGTGTCAGATACTGTCAACGTGGCTGCGACAAACCGATGAACTCTGAGACCTGCCATTCGAGGAAGCATGTTTGCGTGGCGAGCATCAGGCGTCTGGCAGACTCTGGTTGAGGCACGCGTGCGCGGTGATTCGTCGTCGTCCCGTCGTGCCCCTGAAGCTATGCGGGGACGATGCAGGAACAGGACTGGCGGCTATCGGCAGCCCAGTCTCGCGTGCTTGGCAGGGGAAAAGAAAGCCCACACTCGGATAAGTTGAGCATCAGAACGGTCAGTGCTGCATCTTTTTTCGTGGCCAGAGGACCCGGCACGGGGCCTCGAGTCCATGGCCACAGCTTCCGGTGTCAGTCCATACACCAATCCTGGTGCCTTTCGGTGTTTTTCCCTGCAGCGTGGCCTCGACAGGTTCATGCCGGCTACGAGCTGACATGCCGGATCAAAATAACCGCTTGCTTGCTGAGACAACATCCATGCAGTATAGCGATGTGTTCACAGCGCCACCTGCTCAAAGGGTCGTGACAGGCGCAGGAAGCACGTTATTGACTGTCGCACCAGAGTTCAAATGGCAGGCTCCCGTCAAAACGAAACAGCGACGTATCGTCTGACTCTGCATCCTGCGGGGGAGCGGACTCGCGTACAACGACTGGAGCGAGCCTCATTGGGCAAATGCAGTTTCCATCGAAGACGCGCACAGCATGGGCGTCCTCGTTGCTCGAGTCGCCGATGACGTTCTCCACCACAGCTATATCGTCGACTGTCGTTTTTGGCAAGTGTTCGCTTTCAGATCCCTGTCGATCGCCATTTGGCGGTGAACTCAAAAACAATCTGGAATTCGGACATAAATTAGAGTATGCGATGGCGCATTTCCGGTCGCGTAGAATATGGCCAGTCTGCTCGGCGGTGATGGTCTTCGGCCTCGTGTTGGCGCCGGTGGGTACCGAGGACCAAACGAGTCAAATCTCAACACCGTCATGCACGATCAGTGTCTGCCTGTGAAATTGCGATTGCAGTTTTCGTCGTATTGCTCCCCCTTAGTAGGCGCATCGCAGCCATGGCAGGCCGCCTGAACTTGCTATTGTGAGACTATCGATTCGGTACCAGCAAGCCGTCCGTTAAGTGGATAAAGGAGAGGATCGCCAACAGCTTCCGATCAGCCTTGCCGACGCCATTGCGGGTAAGACCTCGTTTCGCGGCGCAGTTCCTACCGCTTCTCCGCTCCCGTTGCCTTCGAGGGCTGGCTGAGACCAAACGGTCTTGCAGCAGGGGCTTCGTCTTATCAGATCATCACCAACAACACGTTCAAGATGTCGATGTAAAGGGTGAGCAACGTAGTTGTTTAAATGTGGACTGTAGGCACATGGATATGTAGGCATCATGGTGGGTTCACCGAATTGCTAGATCTCGGCCTTGGCGTTCGCGATGTTTGTCGTCATCGACTCAGTTGCGCCCATCACACAACGCAAGTCAAGTTCACTGCGTCCGATCACTCAACGACAGCAAAATCCATATAACATAACAAGAATCCCATAATCAGTTCCATCCGCACCCCAACCCCACCATGACCTCGACAACAAAACCCTCCTCCAACCCCTCCAAAGTCCTCAAAACAGAACCCCTCGTACGCCCCCAGCACCCCCGCACCACCCCCTCTAACACCCCCCAGGACCACAAAGACGCCAAATGGGCAACCCTAACCTCGTACCCCCCTCCCCCTCCCTTCTAACCCCCCCATTCTAACCCCCCCAGCATCACCTTCCTCGACCCCTCCGGCAACCAGCGCCGCTGGGAATCCGCGTCGCGCCTGACGCGCCCGGCAGGTAGCTCTATCGACGCTGTGGGCGTGGCAGCGATCCTGCACGACCCCGCAGCCGGGTCGCCGCGCATCGTGCTGCAGAAGCAGTGGCGCGCGCCGGCGGAGGCCGTGGTGATTGAGATTCCAGCGGGACTGATGGACGAGGGCGAGACGGCGGGGGAGTGCGCGGTGCGTGAGTTGCGCGAGGAGACGGGGTATGTGGGGCGGGTGATGGAGGGGGAGTTTGGGGTTAGTCCGGTGATGTTTAATGGTATGTGGGGTTCTGGTTTTGCAGCGGGTTTGTGGTGGTGGTGATGAGGGGGTGCGGTGCTGCTGTGCTGTGAAGTGCTGACGCGGTGTAGATCCCGGGTTCTGCAATACGAATCTCAAGATGGTGCAGGTCGAGGTCGATATGGCGCTCCCGGAGAACCAGGACCCGAAGCCGCAGCTCGAGCCCGGCGAGTTCATCGAGACGTTTACGGTGCCGCTGACGGATTTGTATGCGGAGTGTGTGCGGTTCGAGAAAGAGGGGTATGTGCTGGATGCGCGTGTGGGAACGCTGGCGCAGGGCGTCGAGTTTGCGAAGCGGTGGAAGTTGGCTTGAGCAAGGAGACAGAGCAAGAGGGTACCAACGAGTCTATTCCCCACGCAAATCAGACTCGCGGACAGCTCTGGTGCTGCGTCCGCATCGTTGTCCGATCTGCCTCGCACCGCAATATCTACATACCCAGGAGCCTGCTAACCGACTGCACCTTCCGTGGTAACAGGCACAAGCAACAGCGAAAGTTCATCTTGCTACCCCTCTCATCCTCCCTCTCCTCCACCACCCCCCGTCGCAGTAACAACAGGCACAACAAAAACCCTCCTCCACTCCTCTCCATCCCTCCCCCTACCTCCCCTCCAAACCGCCCTCCCCCACCACTCAACCCCACAACTAACAACCGCCACCGTTGCACCCCCAGTATCCGTAACCGCCCATGTCTGCATTTCTTTGCGGCGCCCCACGCCGTGCGCGGTGTACGGCCATGTTGGGGGTAGCTGGGACAGGAGAGAGGGGGGGATGGCGTAGGTTGTCGTTGGCGATGGTGTTGGGCCTACAGTTGATGGGGTTGACGGTGTAGGAGTTGGAGACAGCGGTGTAGGAGTTGGTGGGGAAGGAGTAGGAGTTGTTGTTGGCGTGGGCGTTGGGATAGGGGGTTGTGTTCGCAGAGGGGGGGTCGGGGTCTGCGTTGGCAGCGAAGAAGAAGAAGAAGAAGAAGAAGAAGAAGAAGAAGAAGAAGAAGAAGAAGAAGAAGAGGTAGGGGAGGTAGTATTAGGGGCCCCAGTGGGCGGCCAGACAGGGACCGTGAACGAGGGCACGCGGCGTGTTTGGGTTGGCTGGTAGTGCAGAGAATCAGTGAGCACGGATGTGTCGGTGGTGGTGGTGGTGGCGGTGGAGGAGATAGTGCTAGCCGGGGGCCAGGAAGGGAAGCTGAACGAGAGAGCGGTGATTGTGTTGCCGACAACGATGAAGTCCGGGGTTTGGGTGCTGGCGGCGAGCGCGAGGTCGGGGGTGACAGTGCCGCCGGTGTCAATAACAATGTTGGTGGCGAGGAAAAACGCTGGCGCGTTGAGGCGCGGGGGAATAGCGGATAGTGAGGCCTGGGTTGCGGAGGCGGAGAGAGCGAATGTAGGGAGGACGTGGGATGCGACGCGGAGGACCAACGTGCTTGCTGTGAGGAGGGCGTCAACACGCATTGCGTTCTGGACGCTGGGCTCACTTGTGCTATTGCGTGGAGTGGACACTAGACTGGCGTCTCGAGACAGAGATTAGGGCAAGCAGCTCGTTTGCCTGCAAACGCTTTGTTGTGATGTGCATACACTTCACATCAGCACTGGGAAGCACATTTCAGGTCATCATGCATTGCTATTCAAAACCCGAGTGCCCAACGCCGATGAGGTACGCAATCATGAGGGACGAGCCAGCCATGGGCTGCAGATGCTCCCCTGGTTTAAACACGCTCTAAGCACAGATATGATAGCGAAACGACCTCGAACACTTCAAGGGCCGCCGCGGAAACAATACATACACGACTGGCACCCTTAGCCATAACCTTCCATATCGCCCAACTTTCCTCTAGATGACAGCACCTACGCAGTCTTTGTCTGCTTCTTCGCAGTACCAATATGTGTGTTGTGTACCTTTGTTGCGAACTTGAGACTGGTGACCGTCTCTTGCAAATGGGCTTGCAGCGGGCTGACCATGACAAACATGAGGGTCTTCGAGTTGCCGCCAAGCGAGTATTGAAGGAGGTAAGTCAACTATACTCAGGTTAGCTGTTGATCCTATGTGAGATTCGGAGTACTTGCCTTCGAGTTTCTGTACGGGATGTGACCGCCCTCCTTTGCCGACCCAAGTGCATTGATGACATCCCCAAGACAACTCAAACTCTTGTTGATGTTCTGGGTCTCCTTGAGACGTGCGCCCTCCACCTTCGAGTGCTCAAGACGTTCCGAACCAGCGAGATCGACAAGGTTGAGCGTGCCCTCACTTCTTTCGCCAGTGATTTCGTTGGTACCAACAAGCTTAAGAATAAAGACCGAATGCGATCGAGAAGAACGCATGTTGGCCTTTGTAGCGGCTACGGTTCGGTTCTTGTCGGCTGTCTTCAGTAGTTCGGTGACGCGGTCTGGGCCATCGAGTTCGATGCTGACGGTGTTCTCAAGGTTCGTCTGTTTCTTCACAGGATCGTGTCGAACTTCAACCTTCTTCTTGTCGAGATCCTCAGAACGGCCGAGCAGGTCGTTGTACGTTTCATTGTAGACTTCGAGGAACGAGCCTTCGATCTTGTAGCGCCAGCCCTTCTCTTCCAGACGCTTGGCTTCTGCGTAAATCTGTGCTGTCGCGAGCGGAATCATACCGTCTGCTGAAGACATTGTGTATGTCTTGCCAGAACCAGTCTGACCGTAGCAGAAAATACACACATTGTATCCATCGAGTGCACTCTGCACCAGTTGGCTGATTTCATCGAAGACCTCGAGATTCTGCGACTTAGGACCGAAGACGCGATCGAACGAATACTGGTATGAGGCGGTGATGTCCTTGCCGGTTGCACTAATCTTCTCCGGTCCTTGGATAGCCACCTCCTTGCTGTCGGTATCGACATCAGGAAACGAGATCTTGGCTGGGTCTGTTTCAGATGCGTGCGCTGGTCGGACACGACACATGACTCTGATGTTGCCCTTCAGCTCCTGTACCTGGTTGAACAGCTTTCTTCGCAGCGTCTCTTCTTGACGCAGCTTCTCGTGCGCTTCCTCGGCGGCTTCAATTGCCTCCTGCATGCGCCTGTGGAGATCGTTGTAGGCCGATGACTGCGCCTGGCTGTCCGACTCGAGGAAGTTGATCTTCTCCTTCATAGCCGTATTTGCCGACTCAAGCGTGAGGTTCTTGGTCGTCGCGTCTGTCAATTGACCCGAGAGCGCGTTCTTCAGAGCGCGTTCTCGGTCCAGCTCCGACTTGACGTTAGTCAGATCTCCCTGAACGAGCTGCAACTCCCGTTGCTTAGCATCGGCCTCGATGTTTGCGGCCCGCAGCTTTGAGGCATATTCAGCCTCCACTTCCTGCTCCTTCTGCAGTTGTCGGTTTCGCTCGAATTCGGTCTCCTTTGATAATTTCGCATTGAGTTCGTCCAGTTGTTCCTTGTGCTCCTTTAGGAGCTTGTCGATCTGTGCCTCGAAGTTCTTGCGGATCTTCTCTTCTGCCGCGTCTTTTTCTGACTGCCATCGATGGGCGGCCTTGGAATGCTTGTTCTCCAAGTCCTCGATCTCGTTGCGGTGCTTGCGCCTTGTGTCGTCGGCTTCGAATGCAGCGTTTCGGTTTTTCATCTCCATTTCCATCTCCATCGTCTTCATGCAGCTTTTGGCGTCTTTCAAGTCCGTCTCCAGGTCTCTGTTGACAGTCTCCAGGCGGGCGCGGATGGCTTCGAGTTCCGTAACTACAACATTGAAGATTAGCTTCCCATCACGAAAAATCCAGAATTGGCCGATGCGGTTATGCAGTGAAAGAGCTGCTACAAAGAACACTCACCTCGACTCTGGAGCTGCTGAATGCTCTCTTTTTGATCTGTCGCCTTCTGCATGTCCGTCTCCATCTTCTCCTTGAACGCAGTGAACTGCTGCTCCATGGCTTCCATTCGATCGTCGTAGAAATCTGGACATTGGTCGTTAGTAAATCTGTTAAGAAAGCGCCTGCGCGAAGTTCGAGGTGTAGAAGCAGGCCGAGTGGGGCTCGGCAGCGGAGGCTGGCGCGTAGGTGTTGCATGAGGGAGTCGCGAAAGCAGTGGCGGCTTGAGGAAGGGTTTCTCGCCCTCACCAGAACAGGATATACCACGTCCGAGGCCAACAATGTGATCGTCTGCGTCTGAAGCGCGCAGATTGAACGCTTTCAGACTCCTGCAGATATCCTCACAGTCGGCATCGGTAGGTTCCTCCTGTACTGGTGTGATCGGGCGAAACGCGGGGGATGATATCGATCGTACATGGGACAAAGGACGCGATTGCTGTGCTGGTATGTTGACGGAGTGTGGGCGGTACTGGTGAGCTGAGCGCGATTTCCTGGGAGCTTTAAAGCTCTCGCCAGGGTTTGTAGATATAAGAAATGGTTGCACACCTCTCTCTTCTTCTTCATCTTCCTCCTCGTCGCGGCGATACAGCGATGTCGCCGGGCGCGCAGTCGAATGATGAGACTTGCTGCGCACATGTGTACCGGTGTACTGGCCGTAGGCCGATCGAGGTCTTGGTGGTTTGGCACCGGGGCCCATGCTCGCGCTGAACCCGGTAGTTGTTGCGCTTCGTGAAGCGGGTCTGGTGCCGGCGCGGGACATGGACGTGGACGTGGACGCTGAGAAGCCGCGCTCTTTCCTTGTCACAGCGCTCTTAACACTGGTCGACAGCGGTCGCGCGCTCGGGGGTGCGGTGGGTTTGCGATTGACGACATCCCCGGCCCTGTCGGCCAGCGTTCGTCGGACTTTCGTCGCCGGCTCGGGTACTGAGTATGTCAGTGGCCTGTCCGGCTCACAGTACATGGGCAGGACCGATTTACAGCTCGATGGCTTGTGCTTGTGGCTCATCGGCGGGGGTATGCCACTGCGCGCGTTCATGCTGCCGTTCTGGAGCTCCCCCAGAGGCCGTGGCGGCGATGAGATCTGAGGAAGGCGCGAGGCAGGCTTAGGGAGCGCCGAAGCCTTTCTGACGTCCTGCGTGCAAAGAGTCAACTCAGCCATTCGGGCGCATAGAAGATTGTTCGATGGCACAACGTACCAAGTCTTCCATTGTGAGTCTAAATCTTCTTATACCGTTAGTGCTAAGAGAGCGAGCAATGCGACCTGAGCATGCTACGTCACAGCCAAAAACACGAGCGCGTGGAAGAAGATGGTGTTGTTGCGGCGTACTCGGGTCGGCGAGACTGAACGCCAAGAGAACAGTAAACAACACGAACAACACAACCCCTGTCATAAACAACCGAACCTTTAGCGCCGTATCAACGCTGTACGGACCGCTGTCAAGATACTGCATCTATGTCCGACCAGTCACCTCCCTAACACTTTTGTAGGATCTAACCGTCCTTATCGCAGCCAATGAGCTGCATAACAACTCTGTTCAGGCGCATGCATACCAATAAGAAAGACTTCCAATGATATTGCTATTCCCCAAGTGGCCGGTCGGACGGGCGAGGACCGTAAGGTGTTAAGACATTGCTCGTTCCTGGTAAGCACCGTAGTAGGTAAAGATGACTCGCACCGTACAACCTGACCGAACAGAAACGTTCTCAAACATTTTTTCTGTCAGCAGCGTGTGTTGCAACTTTGCCGGACAGCAACGTTATAAGACATTCTACTACTGGTCAGCAACGTGTGTTGTAACCACTCGCAACCAGTGACACTACTAGAGAACAAAGTTCTCAGACATTCCCTCACACTAGTTGACAACATCTTTCGTGACCTTTCTCAACAGTAACGCCTTGAGACATCCTCTGCTAGCTGACCACGTGAACACTCGCGCCGCACAACCTTTCTGATCAGTGACGTTCTAAGACATGCTCTGCAGCTGACTGGTTACGTGTGTATCATAAGCCTTCCAGACGGTAACGTCCTAAGACATAGTCTGCTGCTGGTCAGAACTGTAGGCCGCGAACATGAGCACTCGCACCGCACACGTTTGCTGATCAGCCACGCCTTCAGCCATTCTCTGCTGCTAGTCGACAACATGTTCGTGACCTTTCCGATCAGTATTGTCCTAAGAAAACCCCTGTACGCGCACCACATCACGAAGCAACACACCCTCACAACAACAGCCGAGACGCAACATCCCAAAACCACACGATGAATAAATATCTCAGTGCTCGCAGCCCATGCTAGTAGTTCTACCGTCCCAACGCCTCGCTGTGCATATGCAGATGCCCGCTCCCGCGCCGTGCAAATACAGAATCATCAGGAAATCCACCGCGAGGTCTACGATGCGGGCAACGTGGTTGGCGACTTTGCGCCGCACGCCTAGGGGCCCGCTTGATAGTGCGCGGTGTGAGCGCTTGAGCGCCATCTCTTCGGTGAGCTCGTGCAGGAGAGCGCGGGTCTCGAGGATTCGGTCGTGGGTGTACTACACTTGTTTCACGTATGCTGCGAGTGTGTTAGTGGGCGGTGCCGACGACGTGGGTTGTTCGGGGACTTACTAGCGTCGATCTGCTTGATTTGCGGCAGGGCTAGGCGCACCTTGTTGCGGTACAGCGCGGGTTGTGCTCTCTGGAGTGGGTTGCCCTCGAAGTACACTGTCTCAAGCTCCTCCTTGTCTTTGAGTTCTTTCTCGACCTCGGCGAAGCTGCTGAGCTTGCAGTTAGAAGCCCAGAATTCTGTCAGATGTGCGAGAGTCTTCAGGCCTGAGAGGTGCTCGATGGGGTTCGAGCTGATGTCGATGACCTGTAAATTTGTGTTGTGCTCGAGGCCCTCCAACGAAGTCAACAGGTTGTGCGAGATGTGTAGTTCTTCAAGGTTGACAAGTTTGTCCAGCCCAGATATCGTACGTAGACGATTCGACTGGATAGACAGGATCTTGAGGTTCGTGAGGGTATCGAGGCCTTTGATCTCTGTGATCTTGTTCTTGCCCAGCCACAGCTCTTCCAGTCCTGTGAGTGTTTCCAGATTCTGAATCTCGCGTATCCTGTTCGCGCCCAGTTCGATTTGTCGCAGGTTGGTCAAGCCGTCTAGATTCTCGATAGTACTGATCTTGTTCTGCACAAAATAAAGGTCCTTAAGCTTCTTCAGATGGTCGACGCGCTTGATGTGCTTGATCTTGTTGAAGGAGAGATCGAGCGAGGTGAGTTCGGTGAAGGCATCGAAGCCTTTGACGTGCGAGATGAGGTTGTCGTAGAGATCGATTTCAGTCATCGTGGCTGCAGCATCGGTCGGTATCTCGATCGTCTGTATACGATTCTGCCGGAGGCAAAGACGCTACATCTATCAGTATAGGCAAGCTGACCTCAGAGTGTCTGCGCACCTTCATTTGCTTGAACCGCTCCAACCTCAGTTTCGACATGTCGCCGATCTTACAGTGCACCAGTTCGATCTCGTCTTCATCGTCCGGAACGTCGTCTAGGAGGTCTTCGTCTGCCTGGATCTCATCGGGCGGCGGCCCTTCGTCCTCTGATTCTTCCGCATCGCTCTGCACTTCTGCGTTGGGGTCTGCCGGATATTTCACGACGACTTGCTTTTCCACTCTCAACTTTCCATCCCATCCCTTACTATCTCGTGGTTTGTCATGCTCATCTTTGTCCTCATGCGTGGGAGCAGCGGTGGTTGGCGTGGCGGGGTCATTCTCGGCGTGCGGGGCAGCATTTGGCTCAGCCATGGCGAAGAATATGTGAAACGAGCGAACACACAAGAGTGAGTGTAGAAGCTGGTTGCGGAGTACTATGACGAAGTGAGAACAATGGAGGTTAGCAAATGCAGAAGTTACGTAGAAAGCTTAGCTGCAGCTAGGAAGAGCAAGGGTCTCCAGCCTTGTGGGGTGAGACGACAGCCTCCACCACGAGTGGCGGTTACGTAGGCAAACAATGCTATGGTGCTGATCAAGCATTACGGCAAACACCAGCCTCTTACTAACGGGAGCAGAGTAACGAGAGTTTTACGTTTCCAGGTACAGGGTCGTACGTCGGGCTGATGCAGACAAATCAGAGCTCAGGACTGGCGTGCTGCCCTCGTAGATTGGCCAAACTCTGAACAAGCACCTGCGAGCTAACATGATCTGCTGTGATCGGTCCATGCACCTCGCACCCACAGATCTGTGAGACTCATGGCCAAGTGCAATGGTAAAGTCAAATTCGATCTAGTACCCGTGCTGTGCTGGATGTCTGACCAGACTCTCCCAACCTGACATCTCTCCTATCAGCTCGGGTTCCATCTGACGGTCTTCCAGAAGGTAGCACAGAGGTCCATAATTGCTTCTGGCTGGAACCTGTGTCAGGCGGAACGGATACCGTTTTTGTGAAGCACTGGACGTTTATCTGCGTTGATTGCCCGTCTTTGCTTCTTCCCGCAGCGCTTTTGAACAGCCGAAGGCACAACATCACGGAACGGCCCAGCGCCCCGCAGTCTGTGGCGGTCGCAGGCCTTGGATTGGGGTGACCCTCAGGCTACCGCAGACCTTGTGATGATGCGACCAGGAATGGGTTGTTTGTAGATCGGCACGGGATGATCTCGACGTGCGACGGGCCGTTAGGGTGCTGCACTGCACTTGGTTCGCCACAGCGTGGAACGCAAGACACGGCATGTGACAGTGCACCAGACAAAAGTACATGCCTGGGAACGCAGCTGGTCAGCGCAAGCTTCGATGGACTCTTTCACGCTGCAAGGTCCGCTTCGCAGCTGACAGGATCATGGATTATTGCGGGCGCAGGATGCAGCGGCTGGTGCTTCTGGTCTTACGGCTGAGGCGGGCGTCGATAGGCTGCAGCGGTAAGCCTCCCTGTGCGACGGCGCTTAGCAGTGAGCTTAGCTCGGCCAGACGGCCGGGTGAAAGACCAGAGGCCACAAAGGCTCGTATGCAGGGCGCGAGTTTATTGAGCGAGGGCCAGCGCTCGGCGGCCATGAGGCTCTTGAGCAGCCATCACGGCCGCGCGAGGAGGCCCTGGGCAGCGTGCGTCGGCGCATTCCCAGGCCACGGCGGGTTCCTGTGCGGTGCGCAGGACGAGGGACGGCTGGCAACGCATCAACGAATCATCGCACCAGCAGCGCACCCACAGATGGAGTGCAGATGGGAGCGAGTTAGGGCCTGGGCCGCTCAGCAGCGGCCGCCCGGCTAGCACCCAATAGTGCTAGAGAGCAGCAGCATGCACTCTCCATAAAGAGGCCCCTGTCGCAGACGGCGTTCGCACGAGAGACAGACGCTGCCAGCAAGCCCGCCGTGCGTCACGCCTCTGCCTGCCTCGCTGTCTCGCATTCCACGACGGCCTCCGCAGCGCACCCGCACACGCAGCCGCATCGCAGCCGCAGCGCAGCTCGAGGACGCATCCCGTGCAGCAATTCGTTGGGTGGAGTATTGGCGCTTGATGACGGTGAAAGACGGCGTCTCATTTCCGCCCGCGTTAGCGAACCAGCCTCATCCCCAGCACCGATCCTGACCTCGTAGCTCCCTACGCCGCCTCTCTCGTTCCCTCGCGCGCCCCCTCGACGACCTCCCCCATCGCGACGCCGCGTCCGCTCATTCCATCTCGTGCGCCTTCCGACAGCTGTGCTGTGCCTGCCCTGCCATCCAATTGCCCGATTGGGAGTCCGCCGGAGCTTGGTCAACGGCTCGACGACAGCTCTGCCACGAGGTCACCGCCAGGTCACCGCCCCACGCGACACCGCTGCATCGCCGCCGCCGCCGTCCATCTCGACACCTCGCCGCCGACTCGCTGCCGTCTGAGCACCGTCGCGCGCCATGAGCTCCGACCCGCACACCGGCGCATCGTCGCTCGGCGCCGCCCAGCCCAACAGTGACGGTACGCAGACGCAGCCCGCGCCGCCCGCCGCGCCGCCCGCCGGCCCATTGCTGACCATGCCAGGCTCGCACACCATCGTCCCGTCGACGTCGTCCACCGCCGAGGGCAAGCAGCCCCGTCTGGACGTCCCCTCCGACGCACACGCACCCTCGGGCACCGGGCTGAGCGGCGTCACTGCCGCCGACGCCGAGAGCGTCGGGAAGGGCTCGAAGCACTCGAAGCGCAGCTTCATGGGCAAGCGCCGCGCCGGCAGCACCGCCAGCAGCAAGCGCTCCGGCCAGCCCACCAACCACCCCGACAAGACGGCCCAGGCCCCGCCGCTGCCCGCCACGCCCGCCGCCCACCGTGAGGGCTCGACAAGAAGCAAGGCCAGGAAGACCGGCGGGCTGCTCTCCTGCCTGCCCTGCTTTGCGCCGAAGGACATCCGCGACGAGGGTACACCCCTGGAGAACGTCAAGCGGGCCGAAAAGATCCCGGAGGGCCGCACCTCACAGTCCACTCCCGTCAAGAAGCAGTACCCGGTTGCCGTAGCTGAGTCCAGCGCCGCCGAATCCAAGGACCCCGTCGACGAAAAGGCCCCCGCCGAGACGTTCAGCCCTGGTGCCGTCGAAAAATCCAGGTCTGGCGGCGACGGCACCGTCGAGCCCGTGCGCCCGTCCCATGACAGCCCCCCTCAGATTGTGACGAGAAGCTCGTCTAAGCGACAGCAAGCCTCGGACCCCGTCCATGCCCCGGCCGTCGTCCAGCCTGGCCTCCTGCAGACTGACCACCCTGCGATCAACGTACAGACCCCGACTCCTGGCACTACGCCCGTTGTGGGCAGGCCCTCGGAAGACCAGCAGCGGATCATCGAGGACCAGACTGCGGAGCAGAAAGCGCTGGATGCCGACATCGAGATGAAAGACGTCCCTTTGTCGAGTAACGATGTGCACCACGAGGGCGAGGACCCGATCGCGGCCGCTGCCGCCGAGGCCAAGGTTGATCTTCCTCCCCCGCCGCCGCTTGAGCAGAGGCAGGACGCTATCCAGAAGCAGACTTCGGAGATGTCTGAGGCCTCGGAGCCGCAGAAGTACCTCCTCGGTCCCATCGAGCCCAGGTTCACAGGCAAGAAGTGCTTAGTTCTTGACCTCGACGAGACTCTGGTCCACAGCAGCTTTAAGGTATGTGGTTGTCGAGATCGTTCTGGCCCCACGCTAATACTGCATAGATACTGCATCAGGCCGACTTCACCATCCCGGTTGAGATCGAGGGTCAGTACCACAACGTGTACGTTATCAAGCGTCCAGGTGTCGATCAATTTATGAAGAGGGTCGGCGAGCTGTACGAGGTTGTGGTCTTCACTGCGTCCGTCTCAAAGGTACGTTTTGGCATCTCACCTCGCACGCAAAAGCTAACAAGCACAGTACGGTGACCCGCTCCTCGATCAGCTCGACATTCACGGCGTCGTACATCACAGACTATTCCGCGAAAGCTGCTACAATCACCAAGGCAACTATGTCAAGGTATGCCGTCCGTCACGCCCTCTCTGACCGTACTAATATCTCCTAGGATCTCTCGCAAATCGGTCGCGACCTGAAGGACACTATCATTATCGACAACTCGCCCACATCGTACATTTTCCACCCGCAACACGCCGTCCCGATCAGCAGCTGGTTCTCTGACGCCCACGATAACGAACTCCTCGACCTGATACCCGTACTCGAAGACCTTGCTGGCAGCCAAGTCAGCGACGTCAGTTTGGTGCTCGATGTTGCTTTGTAGGCGGAGACGAGAAATACCCCTTGCGCATACCCTGTTTTATCGCCTGACATAATCTTTCCGGAGTCTTCGATTCGGAGCTTGTACTTTGTAATCAGTCTTGTAATCTGCACGAGACATGCAAAGTGGACAGCCTTGGGATGGGCAGTCAATCGCCTTGCCTACGCTGCATCGCTACGCTTGTCCGGCGCGGTTCAAATACCCCTTCTACGCAAAAATCTGGAGCAGGCATCGGTGTTGGAAGGATTCGAAGCTTGGGAAAAGAAACACTAATACTGGTTTATTCATACATACCCCTCCCCCGATGTACACTCCTCGAGCGTCACTGTCGAATACCATTTCCTTTGTACCTACCGTTTTCCTTGACCTAGTATAGCATTTCGGCGGGCTGCATCAATGCATTTCCTTTTACTCTGTTGAACATGGGTGAACCAGGATGTAGAGCAGCTTCAAGAGTGAATTCATTTTGTAGAAGCACACAGTGTCGAGTGAAGCCTGAGGTCATGACGTTTGAAGCACATAATTCCGAAGTCTTGGCGTTCACATGCCTGCCTGACTCGCATTGGCCAGCCACTCGTCTGTGATATCCGCGTCAAGCCAGCCAAACTTACCCACACGACCAACTATTCCCCTTGCCACGCTGCAGCTTGCAGAAATAGGCAATTGAAGATTACAAGCTTCCGTAGCGTTATAAGCTTGCTGCCTCCGCTACCCGTAGCACATTCCTCAGCAAACTCATGGAATCGTAACATCGCACCAAGATGGAAAAATACAGCCAGTTCCGCGACAAAGGTGCGCATCTAGTAGTGCTGTGTGATATGTGCTCGAGCTGATGATGAGCTGCAGGTACGGCGATAGCGCCTTTCCTCCCTGTGCCTCCCCCGCCCGTCAGCATCGTCTGGACGCCAATATACGCCTTTCTGTTCCTCTGCCGCATACCGTTTGTAGTTGGGCTCTCGATTCTCCACTTTGGCATCGTTGAGTGGCTGCCTCTCGGCGGGAGAGTAAAGTATGCGGTGCTCTGGGCGCTGCTGGGCGTGACTGGAGTGTGGTGGGTCGACTTCCAGGTCGACGGCGTGAAGCGTGGGTGCGTATTGAGTCTTGCAAACAGACGCTTCAACATGTACTAACACCATACAGAAAGCTCTCCACGTCGAAAGAGCACCTCCCCCAGGCCGGCACAATCATCGCGTCCTCGTTCACCTCCCCGCTCGACCCCCTCTACCTCGCCGGCATCTTCCAGCCCATCTTCACCCGCTCATACCCCAACACCCGCAAAGTCGAGCCCATAACGCTCCTGCGCGCCATCCTCCTCGCCTTCGCGCCCCCCGCCATCCTCCCCGAAGACCCCACCAAGCTCGTCACCCTCGCCTCCCTCGTCGCCGCAAACCCCAAGAGCATCATCTGCGTCTTCCCCGAATGCACCACCACCAACGGCCGCGGCATCCTCCCGCTCAGCCCCAGCCTCCTGGGCGCCACCCCCGACACCAAAATCTACCCCGTCAATCTGCGCTACTCGCCCCAGGACGTCACCACCCCCGTCAGCGGCGCCGTCCTGCGCTGGCTCTACCGCCTCCTCTCCAAGCCCTCGCACCAGATGCGCGTCCGCATCGCCATGCGCGTCTTCAACAGCGCCGCCATCGACGCGCCCGGCCGCCCCGAGAGGGCCGTGGCCTCCGGCTACGACGCTAACATTTTCGACACGCCGGCGCTGCGCAACGGGAACGCCAATGGGATCGCCGCGCTCGAGGCCGAGACGGGGATGCACGTTGCGCCGGGCGCGGACGGCGAGGTCAGCGCAGCGGAGCAGCGGGTGCTGGACCGCGTGGCGGAGGACTTGGCGCGGCTGGGGCGCGTGAAGCGCGTTGGGCTGGATGTCGGGGACAAGATTGAGTTTCTGAAGGTGTGGTTGAAGCGCAGGCGGTAGGCGGGGGATGATGTGCAGTTTGAGTGTGCTGCTCGGTAGGAGGTTACCGTAGTCGTGTTGAAGCAGTGCTTTTCTCGCTGCTACAAATACTAAAACTGAAATCGAGACTGAAATCGAGATCGAGACCGAGCCTGAGACTGAGACTGCAACTGATATCCCACGCCCCGCTGTGTTCTTCACTCTTCACTCTGCATCCACCCCCTTCTCTCTGCTCCACACGCCTCTAATCCTAACCTCCCATCTTCCACACACCGTGTTTTCTCTGCCCCCCTCCCCCTTTCAAACTCTTACCTGCCCAGCTATATCTCCTCCTCCCTCAACGCCGCCAGCGATACGTCTACTAAACCCGCGCCGCTACGAAACGAAATGAAATGAGATAAAGCGTCTCAGCACGCTGCCGACCAGAAAGGCCACAACCCACGCTTTACCCAGGCCCGGCACCGCATTCACGGCCTTGATGTTGGAAGCGCGGCTGGCGGGTGTTAATGGGCTGTGTTGCTGGGTGCTGGGTGCTGGGTGCTGGGTACTGGATACTGGCGGCTGGCTGCTGGGTAATGGGTGCTGGGTGCTGGGTGCTGAGTGCTGGATGCTGGATACTGACTACTGACTACCAGGACACACGCAGTCTCGCAACAAGCGCACTGCAGTCCGACGTCGCGGCCAGCCCGCCCGTGGCGAGAACTGTCCATGCGTGTGCGCCCACGCAGGGAGGAGAGGGCTAGAAGTGCCAGAGAGGGAGAAGGGGACGAGATGGCGAGCTGGCACGGCACTTAGCACGAGAGAGCCGGGCCAGCGAGTGAGGCGTTAAGGAGCGAGGCGTTCAGGAGTGAGGCGTTCAGGAGCAAAAATAGTCTATTTTATATATATCGCGTTCATGTGGCATGTCGTATGCACGTTTCCCCAGCCAAGTCTAGGTTTTCTTTCGTAGATATAAGGATACACAAAGGCAAACTCCGGGTTCGCTAGGGGTCCAGCTGCGTCGGCTGGTGTCTTTTCTTCTTTACACGGTCTGCTGTCGTCGGCGGTCACGTCCTGCAGTCGGTGGCCACCTCCTCCAGCCGCCGGCCACCTCGTTCCGTCAACGCCTAAAAATCCCCGTTGACTGCACCCTCCGCCTTGGCGCCGCCCTGGTACTCGCGCGTAATCTCGTCCAGCACGCCCGCCGACGCCGCGACGAAGCCCAGATACGGCCGGCTGGGGTCCAGCACGCGCGACAGGTACTCCGGGTGGAACTGCACGCCGACGTACCACGGGTGGTCCTTGATCTCGACGACCTCCATGCGCACGGCCTCGTCGTCCTTGCCGACAAAGTGCAGCCCCGCGTCCTGCAGGCGGTCGATGTAGGCCGGGTTGACCTCGTAGCGGTGGCGGTGGCGCTCGAGGATCGTGTCGGAGCCGGCGTACAGCGCGCGCAGCTTCGACCACTCGGAGCCCGGCTGGAAGAGCGTCGGGCGCAGGCCCAGCCGCATCGAGGCGCCCATGGTGGTCTTGTCGACCTCGGGCATGAACATGATGAGCTTGTTGGGCGCGTCGCCGGCGAACTCCTCCGACGTCGCGTCCGCGATGCCGCACACGTTGCGCGCGTACTCGATGACGGCGATCTGCATGCCGAGACACACGCCCAGGTAGGGTTTCTTGTTCTCGCGGGCCCAGGTGGCGGCGGCGATCATGCCCTCGGTGGCGCGCGAGCCGAAGCCGCCGGGCACGAGGATGCCCGAGGCCTTGACGATTTCGTGCCAGGCGTTGTGGAACTTGGCCGGGTCGGCCTGCTGCATGTGCGGCTCGAGGTGGTCCGAGTCGATCCAGCGGATGTCGAGCTTGCGGCGGCAGCGCATGGCGGCGTGCTCGAGCGACTTGACGACGGAGAGATACGAGTCCTGCAGCTCGACGTACTTGCCGACGAGGGCGACGGTGACGGGGTCGTGGAAGCGTGTGTCGCTGCCGGTGAGCGTCTTCCACTGGTTCCAGATCTTGACGCCCTTCTGGGTCATGGCCGCTGGGATGGTCAGGCGGTCGAGGGCGAGGAACTGGCGCACCAGCGGCACCAGCTTCTGCTGCTCGAGCAGCATGGGCACCTGGTAGATGGACGGCATGTCCTTGACGACGACGACCTGCTCGGGCTCGACCTGGCAGAAGTTGGCCAGCTTCTCGATGACCGACGGCTCCAGCTCGCGCTCGCAGCGGCAGGCGATCTGCGGGGTCAGCACAATATCGTATGTCGTGGCTTTCAGGGGCCTACCAGATCCGGGATCATGCCGTTGCTGCGCACCGTCTTGATGGCGTGCTGCGTGGGCTTCGTCTTCTGCTCGCCGTGGATAATGGGTATGTATGAGACGTGGATCTGCATGAAGTTGTCACGGCCGGCGCGCCTTCTAAGCTGCGCCAGCGCTTCAACAAACGGCATGCTCTCCATGTCACCGACAGTGCCGCCCAACTCGATGATGCACACATCCGGCTCCTCGTTGGTGTCGTCGACGGGGATGCGCGCCACCTTCTGCACCCACTCCTGGATCGCGTCGGTGATGTGCGGCACCACCTGCACCGTCTTGCCCAGGTAGTCGCCCTTGCGCTCGCGCTCGATCACGTGCTGGTAGATCTTGCCCGTGGTGATGTTGTTGTCGCGCGTCAGCGTGATGTTGAGGTAGCGCTCGTAGTTGCCGAGATCGAGGTCGACCTCGCCGCCGTCGGAGAGGACGAAGACCTCGCCGTGCCTGCGCTGCTCAGCATGGGAAGAGGGGGCCGGGGCGGAGCGCGTACTCCTTGGGGTTCATCGTCCCCGCGTCCACGTTGAGGTACGGGTCGATCTTGATCGAGGACACGTGCGGCCGTCAGTAGAGCCGCTGGTGCGTCGCGCGGGCACTTATCTTGAGCCCCATCGTCTTGAGCAGCAGCCCCGTCGAGGACGCTGCACGCGAGGGTCAGTCTACGCGCGCATTGCTGCCGTCACCGCGTCTTACCTATGATGCCCTACATGCTCGCGTCAGTGCTACTCCCGCAATCTACGTGCTCTACGCTTACCTTCCCCACGCCGCTGATCACACCACCTGACACAAGCACGTACTTCATGATTGCTTATAGTGCCCGGGCTGCGGTTTGGGGAAGGGAAGGAAGAAATATAAGTCGCGGCGCGTCACAAGAAATTTGTAGCGTCCCGCCCACTTTGGCTCGGGTGGGGCACACCGCCCGCCAAACCTAGTCGAGCCAGTCAGGTCAGCCGAGGGCCTGCAACCGACCGCCCCGACATCACGCCGACATGTTCTTGAACGTCCATTTCTATCGCTGAATTCAGGCTATCAATGGTATCGTGCGCAATCAGGCTATCAAATGGTATCGTGCGAAATGCCGTGCTAACCTCAAATGCCCTACCCCAGTACAAGCCCTCGTCGTCGAGATAGTACACGGCCACCAACAGAAACACCCTTCATCATGTCGTCAGATGCCAAATCATGTCCGCAGAAAATGCTCCAGGTATACAGAATATGACTGTGCCGCCCAGTGCTTCAAGAAAATATGACTGTGCCGCCCACCGCTACAACAAAATATGACTGTACCGCCCAGTGCCACAAGAAAATGCCCATATAATATCGCTGAAAGAAACCTCCCTGGAGCGGGAGCTGCACCTTACATCCTGCGTCGCCGCTTCATCTCTTCTTCCTCCTCGTGCTCCTGGCTGGCGGTCAGACGCTTGCGAGCCAGCGCCTTCTCATTACCCTTCTTCACCTGGATGTTGCAGCCTTGCAGCTTCAGCGCCCGAGTCAGGGCACTGCTCGGCCGCATGCCGGGAAAGTCCTTTGCGGTGTACACGGTGAAGACGTCACTCATGACCTCGGTGAGGATGGGCGAGGACCCTCCGACATGCAGGTTCATGGGGTCGATGCGCATGAGCACGAACCGAAGACGGTACCTGCCGTGAGTGCGACACGACAAGTCAGGGAAGCAGAAGAAGCACCCTTCGTGGTCGTGTTCATCCTTGGCAACCGAGGGCGACGCTACGAGCTGGCCCATGAGTCTGCGCGTGGTGCGGCGATCCGGTTGGATGAGCGCTGTCTCCTCGTTGGTCCCGTCCGCATTCCACAACGTGCAATGCACCACGTTAAGCGAGTACCGGAGCTCCTCCTGCTCGGCTACACCGGTCTTTGGGTCTGTGACTAGCAGTTGGATGATCGGCGGAGGGTCTATCACTCTGCGGTCACGTTCACCGAACCCACATGCTCTTGCTGCGACAGGCTGTTGTCTTACTCGCAGTTCAAAGTTGAGATTTCTAGCAGTGTTAGTCTTGTTCCACACGTTCAGGGCACATGGCATGCTCACAGTTGCTCGTTGTACACAGGCTGTGGTATGGATCCAGGTAATGGGATCGCACGCACTTCTTTCCGCGGAGGGGGGCCAGGTGCATGTGGTTCGTGGTACGCTACCGGGCCCAAGGGAGCTGCCACAGACCCGCGTTGCGAATGCGAATAGGACCCCACAGATCCACGGAATGTACTACTCGAGGCATAGCTCGGAGTGTATCCAGGTGACGGGAGCGGAGCATAGTGTCTCTGCTGCTGCGAGGGCTCGACTGGAGATGCAAGGGACGAGTATGGCTGCTCGTGTGGTGCATGGTGCGCGTGCCGAGCTTCGTCGTATGAAGCGTAGCGTTGCTCACTGAGCCTTCGCGGGTCTCTGTTGTCGTACTGCGAGCGAGGCGAGACTTGCTGGGCGTAGTTCTTTGGCGAGTAATGTGCTTCCGACCTGGGGGGTGTGTATGGGTTGGTGTGGTGTACTAGCTTTTCGAGAGGCACTGCTGGTCTGTAGCGTGCTGTCGGAGGTTGCTGGTGCTCGTGCCGTTGGGGAGGCTCAGAGTGTATGGAGGGCAAATGACCAATGGGTGAGCGAAATTGGTAGTCCGTCCGTGGTGGTACAGCGTCGGGTGGGATTTCCAACTGCTTGAGCTGGATAGGTGGGGGCAGTCGTCGGTGATTGAAATCCAAAAACCTTGGCGGCGGGAAGACAGGAAGCTTCTGAGTTTCTGTCATGTCTGGAGCTGAAGGGGAGGTGTTTGACGGAGGAAGAGACGACAGCGGAGAGGGTGGATGTGGTGGTTGGGACATGCGTGTATTATCATTTGCTCAGACCAGGACACGATGCACAAGGCCGAATTGGGCGGTTCACTACTGTACGCTTGTGTTCAGTTCGGAGGTTCCTTCACACTTCGGGAGTGCCAGGGAGTCGTGCAGTGTTGGACAGAACGTCAGGAATGCGGGCACCGCCTTGACTGTGGCGGCGTGAGAGGTTTATAGTTTGGAGTCCCCTTGTAGGCGACCCTGTACGTATCTGGATCGCCAGCAGCCAGATCGCCGCCCGAATGCTTCAGTTCGGTTACGTCGACGTTGGGTGGAGGCGCCGTGATGCTAAGACAACGGGCAGCCGGGAGCGAAAAAGGATGCCGACGAGGGTGGCCTGCCACATACCTGGTCAATAGGCAAGCCTCACGCCAACTGTCCAGAAACGCCGGTTCGGAGTATAAAAATGACCAGGAAGACGACGAGGTCAGCAGGGGACGGGCAATACGTGAACGAGGATGCTTGGCATGTAGGCCACACTTTCCTGAACAAGTGGGTGGAGCAGAGACGGTTGACGTATAGCGCGTTGAATTCCTGGAACGCGCAGAAATGGGCTCTGTTTGTGCAAAGAGCGGGCTTGTGGTGACTACGAAACGACAGGGCCATGCTAGCCTAGTCGCTGCATGTGTCGCAGCAGCAACCCACTTTCTCTCAATTGCGCTGGCTTGCATGCAGCAGTGGACTTGCGAGATGCTCTGATTGCTCCGAGCGAATCCTCTTGTGGTCCAACGGCGAGGGAGACGGCTCTCTAGCTCGCTGCCGGGTGCACGCTGGCTTTGCTGGCTTTCTGTATTTTCGTGGGGCGTCGCCGAATAGGCTCGCACCCGGGTAAAAGAGACAAACAATGGTCGTCCCCAGGGTGCCGCAGGTGGGCGGCTGTTCGAATCACGGCGGGCAGGGCGTTGCACACTGTAACCCGGCAGCAGCCAATTTGGCGCAATATGCCAGATTACCACGTAACTCGGTCGACCGTCACCGTTCAGCGGAGGTAGCATCGCGAAGCGGCTGCCCAGCCAGAGCATGCGAGGACGGCTGGCATGAGGGCACGGTGGGCGTCCCCATCTGGCCAGCCGCCTACGAGCAGGAAGAACAGGCCCGCGGAGGGTGTGGCCGGGGGCGGCTGCAGCGACGAACCTGGATGCTGCAGCAGCATCAGTGCATCCTGAACATTTGATCTGTCAAGGCGTGCGGCGGCCAATGGCACGCGGCGACGCTGCGGCTAAGGGGATCACGGTCGCCGCCCTGCCACAGCTGGTCGCGTCGCCTCTCCGCAGCGCGAGTCGCGGTGGGGCGATCCTAGCAGGTTCCCTGTGCCGCGATGGAACGGGGGCCGGACAGCCAGTCAGCATCCCAACCGTCTCCCAGGTTTCCGGACGCATCTGCGCGACGTGCAGGTCCGTCTCATGCATCACAGTCAGTGACATGAGACAGCGTTTCCTCACCTGGATGCCGGACTCTGCCTGGCGACGGACACGGCCGCCATGCTCGTTTGTGGCGTGCGCTTGTCTCGGGCGAGGGCAGGCTTCTTGGTAGCGAGGTCGCGAGAGACATGTCGCGGGCAGTGGCAGTAGCAGTGGCAGCACCACGCCGCACAGCACCGCGCCCTCCCGCCCGCCAGCTCCTCCAGCCAGCTCCTCCAGCCAGCTCCTCCAGACGGCGAGTAGCTGCCGGTGCCGCCAGTGCGAATTGCACATGGCGCGTCCCGGGCAAGCTGGCGGCGGGGCTGCTGGCTGCGGCGGGCGCTGTGCTGTGCTGTGCTGTACTGTGCTGGGCGGCGGGAAAAAGCAGCCTTGCGCCCACCGTTTCACCGTCGCACCAGTCGCGCCCTCTGCCGCTGCCAGGCGGTCCCATACGCGCCAGAGCACTAACGGTGCTCGCCAGCGGTCGTCTGTCCCATCCGGCGACTGCCCTGTGGACCGCGGGCGCTCTGTCGCCTCGAGTGTCGAGTGGCCGCGCATGTACCGTCGCACCACGTCGCCGGCCCCTGGCCCTCACGGCCTGCGTCAATACGCTAGCGCAGCTCTCTATTGAGCGCTGTCGCGTCTGCACAGTGCGAACGCTTCGCGCACCCTGCCCTGGGCCTGGAGGTGCAAAACATACGGGCAGCCGGCGGTCTGTATGCGGTGCCGACACCCTGGATGAGCGCAGCTCCGCCCTGTGCTACATCAAGCGGTTGCATTCCCATCTCAGCCCATTCTCTCACAGACATGCATCACCCTGCTTGCTCAGGTGCACATCTGCTGGCCGTTGCAGTTGGCTGTGGTTGACACTAGCTGGTGCTCCATGGCGGCTCGTCGCCGTCCACCAACTCTACGCGAGGCCGCCATTCACCGTTTGCCCTCACCGCCCGTCTCAGAGTCCACGGCACTGCCTGCTGCAAACACTCCCGCCGCTCGCCCAATCCCCCGCCGTGCAGTCGCCCACCAGCCCACCGCGCCCCGCGAGATTGTGGATTGTGCTGCGAGATTGTGCTGCGGCCACCCGAGCATCTCCCCTGGCCACGATCTGCATCCTGCCTCCGAACGGTTTCCCTCGGCAGCGAAAATGGCCACCAACTGGGGCAACTACACCGGTAAGCATCTCCTCCGCCCGGCCTGCCTTGGCCTGCCTTGGTCAGGCTTGCATCCCTCCCAGCCTCGCATCGTCGGCATCATCGGCACGACCAGCACCTGCGTCTAGCTGACATGCTTATGCCTATCACTTAGACTACACCGGTCCATCACGAGTTGCTGGGACAGCTACCCATGTACTAGATGCCCGTCTAAACCTGCTCACCACCCTAGTGCCAGCGATCTTCACCGCGAAGACCTGCCTAGACATTGGCTGCAACGCTGGTAATGTTGCGTGCCAACTTGGTACGTGGAGGGTTCCCCCCGGCTCCTTGTCCTAAGCGACTATACCTACCAGATTTCCATATTAACCTATGCCACAGTCTTCGACTATCATGCATCATCAGTCACTGGCGTCGACATCGATCCAAAGCTAGTGGCCCAGGCCGAAAAACTCCTGGCGCTGCGCTCTTCACGTGCTCGCCCTCCCACTGGACACACGCAGCACCTCGTGGACTACTACCCAATATCCGCGCTCTTGAACCACGGTTACCGCATCGAGCCAAAGAACAAGGTCTCTCGCATCTCGTCACCCGCGGCGACAACTTCAGATTGGCCTTCCGTCCATTTTGTCTCCGCAGATTGGGTTGCATCGGCAGACCGGGCAATCTCTGGCCCATACGACGTGATTCTGGCCCTCAGTGTGATCAAGTGGATTCATCTAGAACACCTCGATGAGGGGTTGATGTCATTCTTCAAGAAATGTGCAGATAGCCTCCATTCAGGCGGATATCTGGTGATTGAACTGCAGACCTGGGACTCCTATGCAAAAGCCGTGCTCCCGCATCATTCGCCGCACTTCGGGGAGAATATGAAGAAACTCGTCTACCGGCCAGAAACATCGTTCGATGGTTTGCTCGCGGAACATCACCTGAAACTCTGCGCTTCGTCCACCGAGCTTCCCCGGCGCATCAATGTCTATCGTAAAGACTGAACATCGGAGCTCTGCACCAAACTCGGACATATCTCTTCGCCCGTCACAAGCGTACCCAGAATTGCAAGCCGCGGTGATCGTATTGTATCCACCAACAATGTGACTTGAGCGGATCTTTCCTTGCTGCGACCTCCATTCATCGTACTCCTCTTGCATACGAGCAGCATCACTGTAGTCGAACTCTATCGATCTAGTCCCGGTAGACGGTCAGAGATGGTCCGTGATTCAAGTCTTCTGCCGTTTACCCAGTTGTAACATGTGGAAATTGGGTCCTCGGCACAGGGTTTGCACGATTGCGCTCCACGTTTGAAGAATTCCAGCCAATCCGGGCTCGCAACCTGGTGACGATATTGTCCAAGATTTTCCTGGACCATTGAACGTGGTGTCGGAAAGTGTGGCATGTCTTCAAACCTCCCTGATTCGCTGGAATTCCATTAGGTTCCATTCCCCTTTTTGATTAACGAATCAGGCAGGTACCCTTTACACAGGACCCGTTTCGGGCCTTTGCTTACCGTTGCTAGGCTTTCCTGGTCGTCATGCCTATCACATCTAACAATTGCGGGTACATGCGCTCAACACGGCTCGTGCATCGTACGATGTTGTCCAGCCAATGCCCAATCAAGCACTATCATAAAGGTCTACGTGCATTGGCAGTACATATCACCACAGCATGCAATTATCGATTGTTAGTCCACTATATCGCGGCAGGGAACGGTCCAGTCAAGACTTGAATGGTAAGGCACGTTTGTGCAAGCATGCGATAACCCTAGTCGAGTGCGAATTACGACACATAAATGGTCAGGATTATATGACCATTTTCGAAACCTTCAGGCTTGGATGAACAGTTCGAATGAAGCGGACGCAGCGCAAGTATACCGGTCTCCACATTATTACGCGGCCAGCATTAAAGTTCAATGTCGAGTTCTGCTGTGATGTTGTAGTGCATTCAACCCATGCAATTTTCCTTCATTTCTCCTCAGTCCCATTACCTCAACCCCATACAATCGTAGCATTGCTGGACAGGGGCTTTCATTGGCCAAATGCATGGCAGGTGCATCTAGGACAGGCTATAGAGCGAACACAAGCAAGTCGTGCGAGTACTTGGGCACCAGCGCGCCTCGATTAGTTGCAGTCCTATGTGTTTTGTTGACTACATCGAAAGACGCTGATGGAACCTCGAGATCGGCTACTCAGAAGACAGTGGCAGGTAGAGCATAGGATGCTAGACACGGGTGAGCTTCACATCACCTCATCGTCAAGGCTAGTTGACCCACACGTTGAAGTCGTCACCGGAAGTTTGTGCTCAAATTACCACCCGCCGACAGACCCGACTAGCAGTGCTTGCCGGCCCAGATGCTTCACCTACCTGGATCGTCGCTGGCTCAAGTAAGCACCCCCACCAGGTCTCATGAGCAGAAGACACTGGCATTGAGGGACGTCAGCACCAACGAGACCCAAGCCCGCTCAGATCCCAGCTCGTCGACGTACAAGATTCGTAGCAGCTAGGTGACAGGCACAGCTCTTTTGCGACCGCTCCTGCTAGCATCAGGCCTCAGGGCTCGTGCTCAAGCACACCCGGCCTACCGTCGCGTGAGTAACCCAGCTTCGATCCTCTCTGTCAAAACCCCTACTAACGGCGAACGCGTGCTAAAACCCACTAGTGCCAATAGAACACAGCAGCACGCAATTAGAGGTACGGCGCGGACGGAGTGATGCGGCGCTACAGAGAAAAGCGGTTCCAACTGCTTGCTGATCTGCCCTGCGTTACTTGCTATGAGACGTCTCACTATGCAACGTTCACAGTAGCAAGTGGGCATACATACACTCATTCAAGGCAATACTGATGAGGCTCGGCTCTTCGGTGCTGCTCAACCGGGTGAAACCTTCCTCCGAGAGCCTGAGCCAGCGGATAGGTACGCTCCCAAGAACCATAGTTTTGGCTCATTCTTACAGGTACCCATACGGTGCTCGTACCACGCCCATCTCGTAGCATGAACGAGCAGAATCGTAGAGCTGTTCGTCGTGCAATTCCGTCTCTCGTTCAATCAGGCTTTGCATCGAATACGCGCCAACGCACCCAGCACACCATCAGACATCTCACAAAGGCACCAAGCTTGCAAATATTCGCCCAAGCGACCAGTAGAACGTATTGGTTTGATGCTGTGGAAGTTGACCCACTCGCTTGTCGAATGGGTGTCTCATGACACGCACCTTGTGCGGCATAGTCTTGCTAGATCCACGCATGTTGAACAACCTGTCGGCCGCCATACAGTGCACTTGTTCGAGTTGTACGACAGAAAAGTCGAGCAACATACGACCTACCTATCGATAGTAGCGTCATTGATCACGCTGTCCATCGTAAAGCACCGCCATACCAATGGCATTGTGATCTGCACACCATTTCAAAGCTTCGGCAACACCACGCCGATCTGAAGAATAAGGTCAAGTCCGCGGAGAGCCAAGAGCCAAAACTACGGGGGCAAATCCGCCGAGTACAGAGTTCATGCTTGCCTGCTATGCTGGTGAATGGATAGCGCGGCGGGGAACTGTTTTCGATCCATGTATATAGCACAGCATGAAAGTGCAGCGAAGACAATGCTGAGCAATACCTTCCCGGACTGCCGCGCATAATGTGTCGTGTATGTACGTACCTGAATCGTGAACGGAATAGTGCTTTTGCGCTCTTCTCCATCAGCATTCTGAGCATGGCAATTGAGGCTATGACGCAGCAGGTCCAGAACCACAGAGTCGGTCCCCGGCCAATAAACCAACAATAGAGTCAGCCACTTCCGTGCTGTCCACGTCGTTTCCACGCGTCGAATCGTCCTTGCCTGTTTGAGTGGCAAGAGAATAGAATCGAGAAGAGTGCAGAGACGGCAGCCAATGAAGAAAACCCGGTTGCTGCACTGCTAAGAACCTTCCTTGCGCCTGCAGAACACCTCCTTCGTTGCACGACGACAACTCAGCAGCAACTAACCCTTCTCGTGAACCACTCCTGAGGCACAGCATCGAAGTTCCGGCCATTACTTATGCCAACGTCCTCGTACTCCGTTTGCACCGTTGCCGGCGTTACCCTGAGGCTGACCGCTGTGAAGATGGGGCTTTTCGACGTTGGGGTGCGGCGTCCACGTAGCGGCCGAGCGGCTGCGTGCGGCGACAAGTCTTTTTCTTGCTGACAGGCTCCGCGCCTCGCGGCACAGTCGTCTCTTCAGAGCAGAATAGTGTTTGCAGTCTCACAGGCCTACGACTGCAGCCGCACGATGCTAGCAGCTGGCGTGTCGCGCTTCGACAATGCCACTCGCAGCTGTCGTCCGTTCGCTGGTGGCGGAAACGCTCAGCTCGAGAAGAACACCCAACCAGTGATAACCACAAGCGCAGCCAAGGATTGCATCGTGGTTTTTCGCAGCAACAAATACTTATATGAGCATGCGAAATTCGTGGAGGCGAAAACCATTACAGCTGTATATCCTTGCAGCTCGCTCTTGCCGCGCTGCTGAAACGCCACAGACTGGTAGTCAGTCAGCCATCCCGACGCTGCCGCACAGTAGGGTCCAATCCTCAAGTAAGCATCCACTACTATACTCGTACGTCAAGTGTGCCTCGTGCGGCGTCAGGCGATGCAAAGGGCGGCGTTGAGCGTGATGCTGCGAGGAGTGGCGCGGCGCGCTGTGAGCCACAATATAAGATGCTTGAGGCTGACGACGGAACAGGCCTAACAAGATTCGCACAAGCCTTTCACGATCCTTCCTGCGGATCTGGTGCGCTCGTAATTTCGAAGTCAGCTTACAGGTGGCCTTGCTGCAACCGTCCACAACAAAGCGAATGACCACTACGTCCAGGTGACACAACCTAAACTAAACGACCATTCCTGATCTACGCGATCCGTGTGCGGAGACACAGAACCAAACTTTTCGGACGTTACTCGCATCTTCGTTGCAAATTGTGTTGCAGGTCAGGTCCTGGGAAGGAGTAGACATCTGCCCCCTTGAACCAGCACATCGAGTGATCTGGTTTCATCACAATCTTGAGATGCCACCAACCAGCTCGTCCTTCACAACCCTTAATGTTCCAAGCGATGTCGTACCAGAATATATGGGGTCGTTCATGCTTGCCGCGCCTCCAAATACAGATCTGTGGAGAAAACCGCCTTCCCGAGACACGTCCACAGCACCCGTGCTCTACACATCCCTGCGCAACCCATTCATAGCAGCCGAAGTTACCGTCTCTGCCGACTGGGAACTGGAGTGGGATCAAGGCGGGCTCGTCATCTTTGCAGGCACACCGCCAGGTCAGATAGCCCCTGCAGCAACCCCAGACGCCCCAAGCGTGGTCCCCATTCTGCTCGACAACTGCACAACACCGTCAGCACCAGCCCCAAGCACACACCACAGGAGAAGAACCTCGAACTCCCGAATTCCGGTTCCAGAAGCAGGCCCTTCCCCTGCCCGCTCCAGCAGCCCACCGCCGGCGTACGCCACGCCCGCTCCAGCATCGAAGTGGGTCAAAGTCGGTCTCGAATTCTGCAATAACGCATGCCACGCCACATCCGTAGTCGCCAATTCAGAGGGTGCCGACTGGTCGCTGACTGCGCTGCCCGCGTACCACGCCCGCCGCCTAGATCTGCGCGTCAAGATCGAGCGTATTGGGTATGCGCTCTGGCTCTGGTACGAGGACGAGATGCTGGGGTGGAAGAAGTTGCGTGAAGTGACGTGGTTTTTCTGGGGCGTCGAGGACAAGGCTGTCCGCGTGGGCGTGTATGCGAGTCGGCCGGCGAATTTCGGGGTTAGTTTGTTTGAAGGGCGGAATGGGTGGGTGAATTCTGGGACGAGGAACTTGTGTGTGGATTTTGAGGGGTTGGAGATTTTTTGAGGGGGAAGCGAGGATTTGGGCTTCGGGAAGGGCATGGTGTTGCTGTCGAGCCAGAGGACATTGTGCGCGCCACATCAATGGTGTTAATGCCAGGTTTTTCACAAACGCCGCCTCTACAAATCTTAACTGCAGCTCTACGAACAACCACTACGGCTCGACATAGGGTCACGGAGAGCTGCAGTAGGTGTCCGTGGACAAGCGTTTGGGATTTGTGGAGGCTACATGCTCGGAATGCCTGGCTATGATGCCATTGGTGTGACGCTCACAGCAACCTCTAGCTCGACAGCATCGCAGGTGGGCTTTTTGGCCACTCGGAGTGGAGGCTCATCTTCAATGGCGATGGGATCGCGCGCCGAACCAAGCCACTTCACAGAAGCGACACGACGACGGTAGGAAAGTTGTAATGGGTTCTTTCTGTACATGTGGTTTGCATTTTGGAATTTGTTGTCATTGTATCTATCCGTCTCTCACGTTTCCTCCTCTCTTCATTCTCGGGCAACTGGCGATTGCATATGCAATGTTCGTAGTCGATACTTCTTCTAATCCACCACGGTATCAGGTATCCATGCCAAACATGCGCACGTAGTCCTCCTGCATCTCCTCGTACTCCTCTTGCATCTCCTCGTCTCCCTCCGTCTCATCATCCCCGCCCGCCACACTCATCTGGGCACCATCGAAAACACCTCCATCGCGCTGACCCCGAGCATCCAGCCCCGCGAGCTGGCCCCGCAGGCTCTCGATCTCAGCGTCCTGCCCCCCGCTGGCTGCCGTGCGTTCGTGCGTGCACTGCTGCGTGGCCTCCGAGCGCTGGCGGACGGCCGATTCACCTGGGACGAAGTCGGCGGTGGTGTAGTAGGGCAGCTGGACGCGGGCCGTGGAGACGTGGGGCGCGGGGATGATGTAGATGGAGTCGACGTTGCGCATGGCGATGCCGGGGGCAACAGTGTTGGGCGTCATGTTCCACGTCAGTGTGGTGCGGGAGTGGTGCGGGTTGTCCATAGTGAAGTCGTGGAGGTACGCGAAGGACCAGTGCTGGCGGAATATTTTGCCGCGCTGTTCACAATAGGCTTTGAGGTATGGGCCAAAGGGATCGGTGCGGTGGATGCGGAGGAGGGAGAATACAGGCCTGTCTTGGTCGAAGGGGTTGGCGTACACTCGCAGGGTGACGATCTCGTTGTCCTGCCCAAGACTATGTGTCAGCTCGATGGATGTTTGAGGGGACAGAGAGACTGACCGGGTCGAGGTGGCCTGGTGGCAGGGCAGCTGGAGGAAGTAGTGTTGGCATTTGAAGGCTCCACTGAGACGGCAAGAATGCAGCAGATGTTGCTGGAGCGAGAAAGACGCTTGGAGGCGGTCCGAAATGCTGTCGTAACTGCTGACTTCCGTAATAGTCTCGGTTCAAGCGCTCAGGTTGCAAGAAGCCTTGCGTCTCTGGTTGTTGACTTGAAGCTACAGAAGCTGCGTTTGATCGAATCAGTAACTGGTAATCTTCACAATCAAGCGAAATCCAAGACAGACAGAAAGCAAGCAAAATTCAGTAACATCGACTTACACCCGGTTGACTGCTCTCGCAACCAGTCAGATACTGCGGCGTTCTTGGCCTGTAATTTCTTGGTCTGTGATGGCACCTTTGCTTGAGGAGGATCGGACACACGCTCAGCGCTGTCATCAATAGCTTGTTGATTAGCCATGGCCTTTCGCTTGTTGTTGTATGCCTCTGCCAGGCTCGCGCTCAGGTTTGCATGAATCTTGCGCTTTTCAGGGTTCTGGTTACGAGAAGTGATAGCTTCGTCATTGGTAGGCGTCTCAACGCGTGCTGAACCTCCTGGCTCGGTCCAGAGCTCAGTGTGGTGTTCGTTGCCAGCCATCTTCCGCGTCTGTCGAGTAGTTGGTGTGTTGAGTCGAGGTCGTTGTTGCACGGCAGATTCAAGTGTAGTGTTGTTTGTTGAAACTGGAAAGTTTATAGGGCAAGGGCACGTGTTCGTAGGCAGCCAAGCTCTGTAGCGTCCTAACGTGGTTGCAGTGAAGTACTCGGTTGCTGCAGCGACGTCAGGCAGCTTCTGACGCGCAACTTTGTCACGAGTTAGGCCATGTGCAGTCTCGAAGAAAGTTAAGCTGAAATACGCTGAGCCAATTCTGAATATGTGAGACTGTCGACAATGAAGCAGAGCTTGTGGCGTGCGCTCTTCTCCGCAACTCTCGTCATCAACCAAGTAGATAGAGAGATATTCACAAAGTACAGGAAATGATCAATCAATATTGGACAAAAGGGATCCTGGGTTACATAGAGGGGTTACTGAGGGAGAGAGCAGTGAACGAAAGAAAGTTGACCGGAGTGAAAAGAGGGAGCCTCCACGTGGGAACAACGCAGGATATTTAGACAGTCACCTTTCCCTACATTCCAAAATGCATCACACTGTATATCGTACAATAGACAAAGCTTTGATGCTGGTCTACGGACCTTCACAGAGTGACTTGGTAGCCTCTCGCGGCGCTGCTATACCTGGGGGGAGTACATTGTTGCTGATTATAGTATTCACAATGCCTATTGCCTACATAATTGCGTATAATCTGAACAATACGTCTTGCTCAACACGTGAAACGTGTGTTGGATAGATGTGATAAGATGAATGTGGTGGGATGAGAGGTCAGATGCATGTTCCCGACATCGATGCAGCCCCACTTTTATTTAACTCGATCGCTTCTAGTCTCGATTCGGGAGACAGTTGGTGAGCCGCAGCCCGCTGACATCTAAAACCGCCACGATCCCAATCAAGTATACAGCCTTTGATCGAGAATACATCTATGAGAAATGTTAAAAGACTTTCTTTTCCCATTGCATTTGCTCCTGCACGCCCGGTCGAACTTTAGATGCGCCACTCCGTTCAACGTGACATTTCAGCAATGCTGAAAGCTATCTTCATTGCATTTGTTGACAAGTAGATATGTACGACCAAAGTGCGGTATATATGCGGTGCGTGGCTGTTGACCGGCTGCCTTGTACCGCTGACTTCTGCATGTTTTGTTTTCACCTCAATTACCAAAACATGGGTCGATGTACTATTTTACTACGTAACATATGCCCAACACCATTGTCGATTGAGCCAGAGTGGTTTCATCTACTGTGAGCATGCCAGGTTTCCGATCATCCAGTGACTTCGATCGTGCTCATTGACCAGAGTGAATGGTATGCAACAATCTTTCAATTCATTTGAGTGCTGGTATCTGGCATTTACTGTCAATATAACCTACCGTGAAACGTATTCTCGAGCACACAGCGATTCACCATCTCCGTTGATTGGCTGCGTGGCCAGCAATTGTAGGACGACAACTATCGTCACTCTGGAAGATCGAGGCTGTTCATGAATTCTGGCAGTATCAGCAAAGCTCTTCAATTCTCAACAACGTTGTAATACATATGTGCATATATTTCAAGTGCCCGAAACACTACGACTTTTTGTAGCGAATCTTGTCGGAATAGCCACTGCTTCCGCGACGCCTGCGTTTGAGAAAGCCCCCGAGGTCAGCTTTGCAGCTTCAGCCTTGTCACTGTTGTGAACAGACTGCAGTTCCATATGCCACCTCAGCCTTGCGTCAATCAAGCCACAGTTCGACGGGTAGTACCGGCACTATTCGTAATACATTGGCTATTGAATGCGCGTGCATGACTTTGCCGCTAAGATCTCCGCAAGTTGTAGTGACGAAGTGTGAATGCTTCATTGAGATCTTGCTTGGAGATGCTAAGCAATCTTGGTGTGTCCAAGTTCCAAGTACACTTTCCAGATCCACTCCTGCGTATGGGCATATAATTCACGAACCGATGGTACGCTACTCTTATCTGTAGCCTCTAATGAAGTCACGCTCCCCCATCAGACGAGGCCTCAGCAATTCATGTAGCCGATTGAGGCCACACGTCAGGGTTGGAATGGAACACCGGCATGACTGAACGACTCGACGAAAGACAGGTGTGAAGTGGAGAGATATAATTGTGTTAAGCCTCCCATTGCTGTCATCCACTGAGAGAATGAGCTTTACGGTTGAGAAAATGATTACACGTTGAAGAGTGGATTGTCTGACTCGAACCGATGTCACTGCCTCTTTTGCCGTGCAACGAGGTCGCTGACTTCCAATTAAACCGACACTCGTGAAGTCTGTAATTTGATAAGTGTTTCGTGATCTTCGCGATGCAGCCTTGCCCGCGGCCTGACAACCACGCTCGCTTGACCCTGCCATGGTAGAGGCACCCCCAGAAAGATCGCTTAATCTGCAACATGAGCTGTCAATGCATGATAGAAGTGATGCTTGCTTGTATATCGCATCCGTTGGATACAACTAAATCACGCAAGTCTTGGCTGGATGACTGAATGAGGCGGAGTGCATGAGTGCATGCATGATGGTGCGGAGAACTGATCTTGAGATGCCTGAGGCTCATGGAATGAGGTCACGAAATACAGCCACTAAAGTTGCGAATGCACGCTTGACCCAAATTATCTGGCAAGGTTTTGCGAGCTTACCTTCACCGGATTCTCTGCAGCATTTACCGCAGAGCCTCCTTGGACTATGTCACGGCGAGTTTCGTTGGTGGTCTGCGCAGATGTTTTAATAGACCGGGCTCAAATCTAGTGTCGAAAACGCCTCCCAAGGGTCCCTTTGGTGATGGTTGTGGTTGAGAGTGATCGAGGACTGGCTGTAGCAGCTTCGCGAGTATTCCAACCTAAGCGAATTGAAGCTCATCGCTGGCTTCACAGCCTTGCGCGCTGTGTCTCTTCCAAGTTTCTTTCTGCCAGGCTGGCGTTCTAGATCCTTGGCTTCATACATGACATGCTGCTCATCGGTGAGGTTTGGCCGCGTTGTTCTACGGCATGCACGAGGCAGACTCCAGGCTGTGTTCTCGCAAGAGGTTCGGCGCAGGTGTGAGTTTTCCGTTGCAACATATGTCGTTCAAGCTGTATTGCGACCTGCGAGAAGACCATCGCAAGGCTAATTGCAAAGTGAGTGTTCATGCCCCTGTCTTGACTCGTCACAGAGTTGGAAGGAGTAACACCGCGGTTTCGGCAGTGAAGCAACAACCCACGACCGGCCAGCTGGTGGCGTTCTGACACGTATGTTCTTGCCGTTGAATGTGCATATCGGTTGTTGTGAAAGACTAGGTAGGTTGTGCTTAGCGTGTGCTCGTGCCTGCAGCATTAGCTCTCTGAGGAGCATCCAATGTTGAAGCTTCAATTCAAGACTATGAGAAAGAAGATGTGGTGTGTTGTATACGATCTACCGGGCACACACCGAAGGTGGAATATACGTGCTAGCTCTTTCAAGCCACGCAAGTGTGAAGGCTGACGGCATCTAGGGGTGTCATGGCTCTGGGAAGTGCGGAGCATGTCGATTGCTCGGTAGGCCTAAGGACCCTAGTGTCCCAGTCGCAGAGTCTCTCGCGGCTCTTTGTGTGCGTCCTAAGCTTCACATCAGACAGTAGTCGTTAACACCCATTTGTGTTTATCTGTCGACATTCTCCTTGTGGCGTCTGTTGCCGGCCAGACTTTCATACCTAAGTAGCGATAAGTGGGACGGGATGGCAGCGCGTGCCGGTGTATCGTTGGGTCACAAGATGGCAGCCTGCTCTGTACTCGGTATGTGCCTACCTTAAGCCTTCGTCGCACTTGAGTACCGCCCATAAGATCGAAGACGCTGACTGTCATCTGTGTGCCTGAAGTAAGTGGAGTGGCAGCATCTAACGGACAGGCCTCGACTCGTACCCTATCAGCAGGAGATATAGCCGGCATAGCTACGGCGATTGTGGCTGTTCCAGGGTTTATCATTGCGATGATGCAATTACTTCGAATTCGTGCTGCGAATGCTAGTGAGTGACAACTCTCCAATAGAGACGTGGCAGGTAGCGATTGATGGCGATCAATGTATCATCCCGAAAGGCTTGAATGAGCAGCATAGTCAAAATGAGCTCTTGAGAACATCTGCTTGACATGTCCTCGACAGTTCACCATGCTGACGAGGCTGCTTAGGGAGTCGCAACTGGCCAGCCGCCGTTGGCAATGAGATGGAGATGCCAAGTCGAGATGTAGTTACGACAAGCATGGGCATACTTCCGATAGCATCAGTGTCCGGCTCTGACGTGATGGCTCAGGGCAGTTTAGACTTACCTCAAGTACCAACAGCTGCTCTAATTGTCCAACCTGATGGTCGAAGTGCACAGGATGGGATGTCTGTGTTGCAGTCATCGCAACAAGCAGTTCCGACGCTAGGCAGGGTTGACAAGCAGAACATACATCGCCATGATGCTGAGCTGTCTGTCCTTGTCGATTGTGAGCGGGCAGTGTGGGCCTGATGACTGTGATCCAGAGCACCAGTGGCTGATGTTAGGTCTTGATAGCGGCGAAATAGAAGTTTTGAATCCAATGTTTGATGATGGTGCGATGATGAATCCTCGACGGAGAGAATGCAAGAATGTTACGACTTGGGAAGAGCGCTGAACATAGAGATGTATGGCATGAGCGCAGATACGGCTGTTGATCATCTGCTATTGTAAATAATGGACGATGTGATCATACTCAGCCAAGACGTCTTTTCGGGAGGCGAGGAACCAGTGTGCCAGCGATGAGAGAGGTCGACAAGAAGATGATTAGCAAACCGGGGGAATGTCGCAGGCTCGAAACGAGTTCAAGAATGCTTGGTCAAATGGGTGAGGAGGCATGAGGCTTCTGTAAGAAATGAAGGGGCATACTCAAAAGCGAGAGGGGCATAAAGGGCAATGGGAGAAGGGGGCAGAGGGCAAAGGGGGAAGATGGCAGAGGGCGAAGGGGCAAGATATCTGCCGGCTGATGTTTCTTGGGCTGTCGGGTTGCCCTTTGAAAGCTCATCCGCTAGCGCTCTGAAGGACCACGCTAGTGTCAGTAGCGGCGCACCGATCTCCATACTGTGCATTTACTTACCTATCCGACGACACCCTGGACGGGCCCCCAGTGCCAACGCAGTGTGAATGGCACGCCGTCGCCGAATGCACGTCTCTTCAGCTGCATGCCGTCGAATCTGACTGAGCGGATATTGCGCAGGCTGGATGCGTACGTGTGTCCTTCTGTCGCAAAAAGTGCTGGGGACGGCAACATGTGGCTGTTTTCTCATCACTCTCATGTTTTCTGATGTCTTATTTTTTGGGTTGTCTATGAGTTTTAGGCAGAAAGCCTGCATACACTTTGTTTCGTCTGTCCACACCAGGCACATCTACTGCATGGCTGCATGCACACAGATTGACGTAAACCATGATTGAGGAGCGTCTGTCCCACAAGGCAGCATTTGCCATCGCGTGTGTTAATCGTATCAATGTGGTTCATGTGCTTCCGTGCGCACGCTGCGCCGCAGCCACCCATTATTGTAACCCTGCAGTCTGAGTGTCTGAGTCCTTTCGTGTGTCTGGTGTCAGAATCCGCCGCTCTTCCCACGAAGCCTAAAGAATGGCTGCATTTGAGTGCGATAGCCTAGTAAATATATTCACGCTCAATGGTTTGCATAGCGAACTGCTTAGTGGACACCCCAAGGATATTTCGTGATAGTCTGCTTTATTTTCCTACGAGTGTGCCTCTCGAGGTTGCGCTTCGCATACTTGCCGGTGAAAATCACCACGCACTTTCGACACCCTTCGACACCCTAATTGAAGGGTAATATTCAGTGGAATTCGTACGCACCCATTTGCCCAGCTAGTCCTAGTGCATCTCTCCCGCACCGCCACACAGCCCGGTAGACCCAACACCCAGCGCAACAATGACAATACCGTCAAGCGACGGCTTCAACTGCGGCGCAAGTGCACATGACAACGCCGCGACTGCCCATGTTTCCCTGCGTGACGCGTGTTAAGCCGATCAAGATCAGACGATACAGTGATGCCTGCGCCTGGCCAGAGGACACAGTTTCTGCGAGCACATGCTGCACTGTTACTTTCCACCTACTGATCTCGACTTGACGCGCCGCAGACCGGGTGTTGGTTCGGCAGTGCGAGTCTCGCGACTTACACATTGCCAGACGTAAAAAGGTTTCTTCTTTACGCAGTACCACAGCATCGCACCTAACTCTCAACATTCAAGCTTAACTCTAGTATATAACAGTATAGCAATTATGGTGCAGGCGTATAAGTCTTGCAACTTACGCACCGCCAGACGTAAGTGTATTTCTTCTTTGCGCGGTGCCCCAGCCTCGTACTTGACTCAGAATGCTGTTTTGGCTCGATTTGGATATGTGGTAGTATGGCGACGGTGGTGCGCGTGCAGTCGTGACTGGTGTTGAGAAATAGTGTGTTCAGTCTCTGCTCCGGTGCGTAGGTCGTCGGTCGACTCATAGTGATCAAAGAATTGGGTCGCACGGCCAGAAACACAGTGGATCGATGCATTTCCTTTCTGAACTGCTACCAATCTCAACCTATTCCTCTCTCGCAAGCCATACACACCCCTACCCCCTCCACCCGCCACCGCCCCTACCTCTCCACCCCCCACCGCCTCTCCCCCGAAACCCACCGCCGCCTCGCCCCCTCCCATCCCCACCCTCAACCATCCCCTCAACAACCCTCCCCTCATCATCAAAACAATACCTGTACTTGACCTCCCCGACCAATCCCCTCCCCCTTCGCACCGCCTCAGGATCCCACTCCCGACTCGTCTCCCGCCTCAGCTCCTCGAGCCTCTGCTCCGCAACCTCATCCCCGACCGGCAGGAAAAACAACTGCGGCTTCGCCACCGTCGCCTCGAACAACTCATGCAGCGTGCGAAACGGGGCTGCATCTTTCGCCTCCTTCGCGGCCACCGGCGGCGGAACGGGGACGGGGACCGGCGCGTCCGCGCGCGGCCCGCGCGGCGCATTCGCAGGCGCCCCGGCCCCGACCTCGCGGTGCTGCGCAACCACGCCGTGCGGGGCAGTCGTGTACACGACCTCGAAGCGGGCGCTCGGCGCCGGGCGGCCCGCAGCGCGCGCGTCTTTCTCGGCGCGCTGCGCGGCCTCCTCGACGGCGATCCAGCGCGCTGCGTCGTCGGCGGGGACAAAGTCGGCCCACAGTTCTTTGCGGTTGCCTTCGGGCGGCCAGATGGTGGCGTGCAGGGCGGCGCGGGCGCGGGATGCGGCTGTGGGGGAGGTGAAGAGGGCGAGGGCGTGGGTTTTCATGGCGTCGAGGAAGAGGGTGGGGAGGAGGGTGGGGTCGGGGGTGCTGGAGGGTGGGGTGGCGAGCGCGGTGAGGTGCGTGTGCAGTTGCGAGGGGCGGAGGGGGCGCATTAGATTGCGGATGTAGAGGGCGGGGGTTACGGGGTGGATGGCGGGGATGGTGGGGCGGTCGTCAGTGAGGGTGTCGGCGGGCGGGTTGGAGGTGGGTTGGAGGAGGTCCTTGTATCGGTCGAGATTCTCTTTCTTGTCCTGCTTAGGGTCGGAGGGCGAGTCCTCAGGTCTTTGCTGCTCCATGACTACGTCGTTAGAGGAGACGTCTTGGACTGGCTCTTGACTCAGTCGGAGCTTCTTTGCCAAAGCTTCTTTCGCGGTGAGGTCTGGCGAGTTACTCCTTCTCTTCCTCTTCTTTGTATCCGCCTCCAGCTCCTCGGTGTTGAGTCTCGAAGTTTCTGCTGTCGACCTCTCCGGTATCGGCAATAGCTCTGGCTTCTCGACAGTGTCCCGCTCGTTCGGCGCTGGGGAAGGTGTCCCCATCTCCATAGCTGTGTCTTGCGTCTCTGCTGGCGTCTCTTGCTCCGGCTGCGCAAGTCTCAAAGTTTCAGCGGCCGGCCCTGGAGCTTCAGGAAGCTCGCCTTCTGCATCTTTTGCTTTCTCGCCTTTCGCATCGATCTCGGCCTCCTCATCTGTAGGTTCGGTGATGTGCGGTCCAACTTGGTCGTCCTCGGGCGCCGCAGGCGCAGGTCTGAAGACTTCCGTAGGCTGAAGGCCGCCAGCTTCTTCCTCCGCTGTAGTGTCCTCCGCCGGTCTTTCAATCGCCTTAGTCTCGTCAGGCGGTGGCATGTCACTATCGATGTGCGAAATCGTTTCCGGCGAGCGATCGGCTGTCGGCGCAGGCACAGGCGCGGGCTCTGCCGCTGCCTTGGTCTCGGCGGCTGTTTGCTTGGGTTCTAAGCTTGCGTCAGCTCCACCTGCAGCTGCAGCATGAACAATTGGCATACCTCCAGCTTCTTCAAGTGGTGGATCGGGCACGTCATCTTCCCCTGAGCTTTTGTCTTCAGCCGGTTCGGACTCCTGTGCAGCATCTTCGGTCGCATTGCCTGCCTCGGTTACTTCAGTACCAGCAGTATCTTCCTCCTCAAGCTTCTCGATGATTTGCGCTTTCCGCGAAAGCCCGGTGCTCGGTATGCCTCGATCTTTCAGCAGCTGTCGCAGTTGCGCGACTGTCAGCTTGTTGTAGTCGGCCATCGTGCCTCAATTCGCCCACGGGTAGGACTCGCAATGCGCACGTTATAGATGTGAAGGATTATACAAAAGAGGCAATGTGTCAAGAACGTGCGTCAGAAGACAGAAGTCGGCGATTGGTGACTGAAACTCGACGTTCGCAGCTCTCAAAGAGCAACGCGACAAACGACGCTAAGTCGACTTGGCTTGCATCAGCGTGCGCCTCGTGCGTGAAGATCATCAACGGTTGTGGGGCCTCCGCCTTGCCGACCACGAGGTGGCTTTGGGCCACATTCCGACAGACACTGACACATGGGGTACCGAATTCAAACAGTAATGATATTCGCACATGTCGCTAACCCAAATATCCTCCTTTTGACGGAGAGCGAACGATACACTTACAAGACCTCCCACGCTGGCATCATATGTCCACGAACCTCTCCTGCTCTATATTTGGATCCATCATCACGGCCGAGGCCGCCTGGCCGATGATATCCGCTATATGTAGATGCTGGTTGATCCCAGCAAGCTCGTCCCTGACGTACGATAGATCGTACCTGGCAGCGTCAGCGTGAGAAACGGAGAAGACATAGCCTTGAATAGATCAAGACCTGGCTTCCTCGAGCTCAAGCTCCAACTGCCTGATGCGCTCATCCTTCTCGCGCGATGATGGGTCTAGTGCCTGTGCACTGGCCTTGGTCTTCAGCTGCGTGACTTCGCGAACGAGCAATGCAATTTGGTCAGACTGATCGGCCATGACCTTGGTCTGGTGCTCAAGCTGAGACTTGATGTCACCAAGCGCATCACGCAGAGCCGAGGCCGGTCCTCCCGTGCTCGGTGTGGAAGCAGGGGGCGCAGCTGCTGGGGCGGGCGTGGGTTCGGCTGGCGTGGCCTTTGCTTGTGCGGGAGCAGATGCTGTGGGAGGGGTAAACTTCTGTTGCTCCGGTTCCTTGGGGCTTGCGGCGATGACAGATGGGCGCTGGACAGGCTTGGCCACCTCTTCGAAGCTGGAGTCGCTCTCCTTGTCTGACTCTCCATCCTTCTCAGCGAATCGATCGGCCTGGGAAGACAAGGAAGCATTGTCCTTCAGCTGCGGTGGTGGGGCGCGGAACACAGGAGCAGGTGTCGGCTCCGGCGCTGGCTTTGGTGGCTCAGCCTTGACGGGGGAAGGCTGAGCAGCAGGTGGCTTATAGTCGGAAGGCACCTCCTTGGGCGCCTCGCCGTTGTAGAGGCTTTCCAGCGAGATCTTGGGCGGCAATGCAGTCTTACCGCCAAACCATTCTTCAGCAGTGACGCCAGCATTGAGGCCGTTCGTAGGTGGGAAGATGTCGCTCTGGAACATCTCGGCACGGCGAGGTACAATGAAGGATACGGGTTCAATGAAGCTGTCGTTAACAGTCTTGAAGCAGCGCAAGACTTCGTTCTCGTGAAGGTTAATACCGCGCTTGGGCATGAAGGCAACACCTCGCTGCGGGTTGGGAGAAGAGTATTCGGACAGGTACTCGAACTTGTCGTTCTCGTATTCGTAGTAACGGATGTTGCCATCACTGAGAGTGTTAGTTTGCATCCATTGTAAAGCGCGACGATCTGCTTACCCCTTGCCAGCAAGGTACAGGCACTGTGTACCATCGTCCCAGAAGGGCATGCAGACACCGGAGATCGAGTCGAGGATCTGGAAGCCGCCGATGGGCTCCGACGGGTTGCGGGGGTCCCACAGACCCAGCTGGCGGTCGCTCATGCGAGAGAAACCAGTGGTGGCGATACGGTCGGTCTCACCCATCCAGACGGCACGGCTGTTCTTTGCACCAGGGTGTCCAGCAACCTCATGGGCGGGCTTCTCCTGGCGGACGTCCCATACGCGCAGCTTCTTGTCTCGGCACGTGGTGACGAGCTGGGAACCGTCGGCACTCCAAGACAGCGACTGCACGATGTCGTTGTGCTTGAGGGTGAGCTTGGCCTGGCCAGCCTCGACATCCCAAAGCTTCACGGTGTAGTCGCCGGAGGAACTGGCAAGGACGCTCTCGGCAGCGGGGTTGAACAGGACGTGGCCGACCTTCCTGAGCCAGCATTAGCGGGCGATCGCAGTAGGCCTCGACAGTACGCACCTCATGTGCCCGCTCAGACGAGCGACGGGCGAAACGTCGGCGGGCTCCTCGCCATCACTTTGCAGAGTGAAGTTCTCTGGGACCTGCCAGATGAAGACCTGCGCGCTGTGAGCTTCCCCCTGTCATCACATGTGGGGCGGTCGCACCTTGCCGTCGTCCGAGGCAGACGAGATCAATCGGTCGTTGAACGGACTCCTGCAAACTCATGAGCGCCAGATTTCCCTCTCGAGCATGTGTGCGTACCAGTCGGTGTCGAGCACGGCGGCGGTGTGTCCGCGGAAGAGGGGCATGAGCTCGGGGGCGCGGCCATTCTCGTTGATGGGGATGACGGCAAAGGCGCCACCGCCGCTTGCCTCCCAGTTCACGGAGATGTACTCGGGGTTGGCCTGCGAGGGTATGAGTGGTCATGTTGTGGTGTCGCGTGCGAGGCTGCGCTGACCTTGATCAGGTTGGTGTCCCACGCATTCTTCGAGATGCGGATGTTGTCATAGCTTTGTTCCTGCCGCGCATTAGCCTACGTCCAGGCCCGTAGACACACGATCCGTACCTTCTTCGTGCCCTTGCCGAAGACGTGGCCTGGTGCAATTGTCAGTCGCGTCAGCAGCGCGGAGGCGGGTGCAGGAGCACGCACGGTACTTGGAGGCTCTCACGAAGCGGCCGGCCATGGTTGCGGTATGTGCCTGGCTGTTGGTGCGGAGGTAAGAGAAGATGAGTGTGCAGCCCCTGAGGTCGCAGTCCAGTAGGCGCCGGTGGTGAATCAGGGTCGCCTGTTGTTCCGCGACGTTTCAATGCGCTGCTGCTTCCCATTGCTCGCTTGGCGATCCACCCACCAATCCATGTCGGTCGCGGGCGCTAGCCATCGTCATCATGCTGCTCTCCACCACCCCTCTGCGCTACTGCGAACACCAGCTTGCCGCCCGTCTAGCTAGTCCACCCGAGCATGGGTCGGCGTGACTTGCAGTCATGAGAACGAGAGGAGTCGACGGAACCGGCACCCGAGCGACACAAGACTGCCCAAATGCTGTTCACGGAATATCACACGAGCAAATGGAGCCCTGTAAATACTAATTTTCATTACCTCAAGCACAACTACGTAGTCTTATCATTTTACGACCTCACCCTAACTCATCACACATCTTCTACGTCTCGTACTTGCTGTCGACCTCAGTCACATCAGAGTGTGCATTCTCCGCCACCCATCCCAGCTCTCCGCACCGCTCTGTCAGCCATTGCTTCCAATTGCCGTTTCCAGCTACCAGCACAACATTGTTAAGGGGTAATATCTCCACTGCGTCCTCGTCAACGCCTTGTCTATGCCCCTGATGAACTCCTGCGTGTTGATAGGGTTCCACTTTGCAAATAAGTCCTCGAGAACTTCACGCACGCACTTTTTATACATTGTCTCTACTAAGCAAGTGTATTCCTCTTTGCACTTTCGCTGCTTGTAGCGCTCTTTTCGGTCATACACCTGGAACAGTATGTCGGCCAGTGCATCAGGTACATTTTGAGTCTTGCACAGGTGAAACATAAAGTTAGCAACTGCGTACACGAAATCTAGCGCCCACTGAAGAGCCATCGGGATTGGTATGTGCCAGTTCATGAAGTTTTCGAGGTGCGTAACGACAAGGTCTTCGATGCTGTAGAGGAGGCGGCCGACGCTGACGCCCTGGTCGAAGGGGATGCGGTTTGGGGCACACCCTTGTCATGGCCTCGAGTAGATCACTGTCAAGCCTCATCATGATTCCAATGTGTGGTCACTGGAATCTGCACAAATAAGTCGGTATAATATTATATGCATTCGTGCTGTGAATTGACAACGTGAACGTTAATTTTATGACAGGTCTTAAACGAGATTCAGGCTCTTGTTCTGAGTCGCTGCTATCTATTATCCTGAGCTTAAAGGTGGTGCCCTGTTACGAGAGCCCGTTGAATAGTCTATGAAGCTAAAGCGAGCAGAAAGGCGCTGGTTTTTACTTCATTGACATCGAAGTGGCCATCGAAGGTGGATCACGAACGTACCACGTCATCAATATTTCGTATGCGTACTTTGAATGATACTCAGCATGACTGTATTTATCTTGTCATGATCAATGGATTGCATTGCCTCTACATTTGGGACTCTGTTCGCGCGCTCTTATAGGTACCAAACCGACCATCTCTAGATAATAACTACGAGTACATAACACTGCGCGAGCTCAAGCTAGATTATAGGATTTTGCTGCTTGCTTGCCTAGTCTTACATCGTATGGCGGATCATGGTCTGTTGTAACGTATAAGCGTAACTTTTGCACACGATACGTATTCTCTTCAAAACACCATGTCAAATCAACGTATCCTTCCAGCTCTTCGCCTGATAATCTTGTTCTGACAAACTCTGCAGTCTCCTTATCGATGACCGCTATCTCAGTGCCTAGAACCTCGATGACAAGGCGGCGTGAGATTACGTTTTCGTTCGCTGTGTTGTCGACTGACAATATTGCATTCCTCCATGAGTCGGATACGTGGATTTTTATTCGTGCTCGTCCTGATGGCTTGAGCTGTGATTACCGGCATGTCAGTCACTTTCACTTCCACGGTGTACGAAGGTGGAGCACCTTGGACTTCGATTGGAAGCAGCTTGTTACATTCCATGAAACCATGTTGGAGGACAAAGAACGAGTAGTTGTCCTTGGTGTTGTGGAGATTGAGTACACCAGTGGGGAAGATTCAAAGAAGGCACTCGTGCAAAGGCTTAGGGATCCGCTATATTTAATCGCGCAAGCCGTACAGAGACAACTGCATTGACCGGGCTGCGCATGCATCAGCAACCCTGGAATACAACCAATGTTTTGATTGGTGGCTTCGAGCTCCCAATGCACCTGCAGGGATGCCACCCCGCCCCTCTTCGAGCTTTCACAGCAGGCATTCCGCTTCAACACACATATCGACAGTCAAAAATCTGATCATGGAATCTATGTGTCGGTGATAGGACGTCCCAGCCGTGTGGCATATCCTTATCAGTTGAAAGAGGCAAAGAACTCGGCCTTTTTGCTCAAATGCGCAAGATCAGTCACAGCCTCATGCATGGATTCACGAAGCACTTGTCGTGCTGTCATTCGGCCGTTGCAAAGGCCCCATACGTTTCGGTGTACATCTGGTAGGCTTTAAGGTCCTTCAAGCCTCGTCCTAGGTTCTTTTTAAAACCCAGCCTGTTCGCCACGTAATCTCTCAGTTGTCTAGTGATCCGTCTAACCGCCGAAACACCTGCAGCCTTGCAGCCATGACCTCTATAGATGTCCTTCATGAGATCGTACCAGGCTATCCGAAGCTAGCGGCACGTATAGAGCTCCAGCCCGAGCTCGCAATATACCGCAGATTCGTTGCTCTGAACGCTCAGAATCTTCTATATTTTCAGGCAGAGTTGACAGACCTTGAACGAACCCTGAGAGAGCAACAAGTTATCGACCACAGAGACGGAACCGGAAACAAGTCCAGATATGCGGTACATTGGTATTGGTTGAAGGAATCGGAGAGAGACAGGGATACCGACCAGCTTGAGCTTGTCATGAGAGTCCGGGAGGTTCTCAAGGAGTACAGTGCGTGAGCAATATTTTGGTAGTCAAGCTGGAGTGATCAGTGCTAACTCTCCAGATCACGCCCTGATGCAGCAATCCGCAATTCTGAACTACCCAAACCCAGATAGATGGGACCTTCATCACATGCAAGATTATCTACAATCAGCAGAGATGGGCAAAATGGCCTTAAGAGGATTTGATGCAGACATCTGGGGTACGGCACTGCAACGCGACGACCACAAGTGCGATCTCGTCACTCTGCGCCCGCGAGCGCGAGAAGACCCTTTCTCGAAATGGGTGAACGAGAACGCCATCGTCAGATTCTTCCGGTGTGGGTGCGCGCGCAGAATGAAGCCCTCGCCGGTGCATGGAATGATTGGCTACGAGGATACAACAGTCTTCCGCATAACCTACTGGTTCACGAGTATCTTGGCTTCTCTGCTTCTGGTCGCTTCGATCGCGATTTTGTATAGCGTTGAATCCGTTCCTGCGCGCCTGGGTATCATTGCTGCTTTCAACGTCGTCGTCTCGATATGTTTGATGGGCCTGGCAAACGCGAAACGCGCAGAGGTCTTCGCTATTACAGCTGCGTGAGTTTCACGCTTTACACACTAGGTCATCACTGACTCAAATGCTGTACAGATTCGCCGCTGTTCAGGTTGTCTTCGTCGGATCTGATAATAGTAAATCAAGCTAAAAACGGGGCATACGGCCTGATTCCTCAGTTCTGGCTGTCTAGTTCGCAAAGGCGATGAGCAACGCGTACGCGGGGACAAATTTTGAGAAGTCATAATGCCGAGACTATGTATTAGATCTGTGATGTAGACTCTACGAATGATTTCAATATACAAGGACAGTACAGCGATGGTCGTTGATGAGGTACATCTTGCACATCATTCGTCCCTAGGTGCTAGGAACGCTGGGCGGCTTTTTCTCGCTTCTGTTCTCGTCAGTACTATCGATACAATGTGATAACCACATCTTTAACCCACCTTTCGTTCTTCGTCAAGCTTCTGTTGCTGCTGGGCGAGAGCACGCTCGTTTTTGGCTTTAGCCGTCTCTTGGGTAAGCACCGCGACTGTGTGAAACGTAAGCGAAGGGCAGCAGAGGGAAAGGCGAGATCAAATAGTGTTCGGGTGTAAGAGTCTGAGCATGCGACACGTACCATTTGTTGGGGGAATGTAGGTAGTCAGTGAGCCAAATAAGACCGAGTCCGGGTCAAAGACTCCGTGTTCTGCAATCGTCTCGGAGCCCATGACAACATCGATTGCCTTTTCATCGACAACGTGAAAGATAGACGTTTCGTAACGTGGGTTATTCGAGGAAGAGATGTACCATCGTGCCTCAATCCTATCCAGGCTCACGACTTTCCCGCCTCCAAAGCCAGTACCAATGCGCCTTTGTTTGTTGACGGACGACCCTTGCCAGCCAAGGCGCTGCGCATGCTCTTTCGAGATTAGGTTTAGTTTGCAACCAGAATCGAGTGTTACTTTTCCATAGCGTTGTACCTCGTGATAAGATCCAGGCGTGACATAAAGTATGTCGATAGTTTGCACAGTTGCGATGGACCGGGCAGGAGGACACGATGATGGAGAGTACTGCCTTCTGGGCTTGAGAAATCCTGGAAGGAAACGCATTGCTACAATGGAAGGCAGGATTTCAATAAGAGCGTGATGAAGACCTTGAACGATGCAATCGGGGTGCCGGCAGGCGGTCGAGTGGTGCCCGAGATAGAGGGGAATAGTGTGCTGTGACACCACGAAGAATCGAAGAGTCTATTCGAGATGCCAGGCTGAGATGCAGATTATTGTCGACGTTATGACAAGACCTAGAAGTGCCAGCTGCAATATAAAGGATGGAAGAAATAACTAGGGGGCCTACGACTCATGGTCCCATCATTCTCGAAGAAGTTCCACGTTGTTGACGGTATAAGGTTGGCATGTTTCGTAATCTAGATCAACGTCGCGTCTCCAGGATGCTTGTAACGGGAAGGCATTTCTTCAGTCCCCGCGACCTGTGATTGATTAAGCCAGTTCGTTAGTGCGCAATCCGTAGACGCTCGACCTTATAAGGGGCTCGTGCGCGCCAGAAGTCATCACTCGAGTTTGACACTTCGTCATTCTGTTGGTGTCGCTCGCCCTGGTGCAGATAGCGGTGTTGTACAGCAGCAACCACTATGCCTGTTTGAGCGTGACTGTCACTTAAATAGGTATGGTCATCTCTGTTACGGGTATCGTAGGTTTTGGCTAGCGACTGGCGGCACAATCCCTCCGCGTCCCCGTACCGTTACCGATTCTCAGGGTAAAGGGCCCCGGTACGCCGTGTGCTGGTTGAATTCCCATCCTTGTGGCGGCAGCGGAACGATTTCGGAGTTACATCCGCTACCACCTGGTGGCTCGCTTAGCAGTGATATATACAGGGGTATCCATTAGCTCACGAATTATACACGCTAAGCGGTGAAACATAGGTACTAGGGACAAGGGTACCTAATTCTTTAGTTCACGGGATGTACAACAGCTACACCAGTCTCCGAGAGCTTCTGACTTGCTGGATGCGTGCCGCGCCGGCACACTGTATCCGCCCGACGTGCACCCCCCCTGTACATAGGTACATACACAGTAAATCAGTACGGAAGCCGCACAACAGCCAAGCCGAGAGGATCTGAGCTGCAGAACTCATTCAATTAATGAACCCAGAGCCTCCACTAGCTCATCTCTCGTTGCTGTATGTATGGACTGTTCTCGTGCATCAGTGTTCACTGTTGCGTACTTGCTTGAGTGTGATACCTCATATCTCAAACTGGTGCACATCGAATCAACTAGTAAGCTTTGGTGTGTCTGTCCAGCTAATTATATAAGCGCCTGTCAAATTACCTGGACAGACACACCAAAGCTTACTAGTTGATTTGATATGCACCAGAAAATACGGTAGTCTATTGATAGCTAAAGTAGAAAGTCGATGTTTAGAAGCACGCTGAGACAACTCTACGTATAGGTAGCTGGACGACGAGCGTAGAAGCCGAAAACGCGGGCGTCGAGCCAATGAAAAAACACCGCACCTGGAAAAAGCGTCTTTCATCCAATCACAACAGTAGGATTTATGTCTTTTCTCCACACCAATTGACTGGAGCCGAACCTCGGTCCAACGGGATATGCGGAGAACAACAACCTTGGTATCCCCGCGTATCCCTTACCCTGATTCTACCAAATTGTCCTGCACTCTCCATATTACCCAAAACGACCTGCAGTATGTCTGAAGAGGATACAAAACCTGGTGCCCCTGCGGCGGAAGTTGTCGCCGAGAAGGCCGAACACATCGAAGATGCTGGCGAAGCTGTGGAGAAGAAGCTGGAGGCTATCGAGAAGAAGCTAGAGATTCCTGTCAAGAAAGCTCCGGGTAGCGCACTGAAGCTGCTGAGCGATGTCGACAAGACCGCACTGAGAATCAACAAGTATGCATCAATGCGCAGTAGTGTGTCTGATACACCAAGCTGACAAAAAGGTCACAGGCTGCTTGCGTTGCCTGGCGGGCTCGCGTCGTTCCTCTCGACATTCAACTACACCCTTTACATTCTTGCCTACGCTCAAACGAAGTCGCCCTCCATCACATCGCTTCTACAGAAGGTCTTCTCGGCCATACGCACCTCAAGCGCGGTCACAAAGCCTAGCACATCGGTCCTGGTCAATGCAGGCGCGGTCCCACCCATCGCTGCGCTCGCAGTCCTCGTATCGAAAGCGCGCACAACTCTGCGCCTATTCGGCTGTTTCCCGCTCTACGCATGGCTCCGCACACTCCTCGCCGGCCCTAAGCCCGGCGCAGATGTAGTCCTGCACCGCATTGCCACCTTGCAAGCTAGCAGCTACTTTACCTACCAGGCCCTCGAGAACATCTCGCTCCTGGCCGATTCCGGCGTGGTCGGGCCTGCGTTCATCTCTGCGATCAACCGTGGCGATTCGAAGACGGCGCGCGTGTACCTGTGGGCATACCGCGCGTGGCTGGGTGGTGTCTCATGCGACTTCCTGCGTCTGGCGAGGGAGTGGCAGCTTGAAAGCCGCAGGAGAACAACAAGGGCCAGAATGCAGAGTGAGGGCAAAGCAGTCGCGGAGTACCAAGATGATGAGGACGCGAAGTTCGATCAGAGGTGGTGGACAGACGCTATGATTGCAAGTGCATGGTTCCCTATGGCTTTGCACTTTAGCAGCTCGACTGGCGGAATCCCTGGATGGAACCTCGGATGGATGGGCATGTGTGGCCTGGTCGCCGGCAGTACCAGGATAACACAGCTCTGGGCGAGCACAGCTTGATCGAAGTCGATGGTCCTGCAGGAGTATTGAAGGCTTACTTTGATGTGCTTCAAGCACTCTGGTGTAGTGAGTGAACTGCGAGTTGTACATTATTTGCTGTCGAGTTCAGCAGGCTTGTTCAGGCAACAATATACTTTACCAACGAATGCTCAGTGGTGATACAGCAAACTCATGTGAACAACCATGCAGAAGCCAAAGATGCGTCAAAACATAAGCAAAAGTCCATGTCGACGGCCTCGACATAACCACATTCGACTCGACCAGTAGGCTAACCGGATTCGGCAAGTCCAACCGGTCTATGATAAGCGGGGAGTGCATCATGTCGACGATGCCGCACTCCGAACATGTACTCCATGAATTAAAGTGCGTTACCGGACGCCAAGCAGTTGGTATTTAGACGCCATACACGATACAGATACAAATTGAGAGACTTTGATCCTGTCTCATCATCTGACTGCCGCACGACTCCAAGACGCTTATCGATCCGAGCAAACAACACATCATGGTTGGTTCTGCACTTCAACCGATTATCGATTGCGCTCTAACTCTTTGCGGTTGCAGGAATCCGAGCTTCCATCAACAGATGGCTTCAACATCGTCGAAGCAGACATCTCGTCACATCTGGACGCATTGGCATCCGGATCAACCACATCAATATCACTCGTTACCAGCTATCTGAACCGAATTGCAACATACGATATCGCTGGAAATTTGAATGCCTTCACAGTATTCAATGACAAAGTCTACAAAGAAGCAGCAGCATCTGATGCTCGACGAGCTCAAGGACTACCGCCGAGACCACTGGAAGGCATACCTTACACCATCAAAGATAGCTACAAGTACCTCGGTCTAAGCGTCACTGATGGCTCGCCCGCTCTTGAAGGTGTGATGTCAAGCGAAGATTCGACGCTTGCAAAGAGGTTGAGAGATGCTGGTGCGGTGCTCCTTGGCAAGACGAACATGCCGCCAATGGCTGCCGGTGGTATGCAAAGGGGGCTGTACGGGCGCGCGGAGTCGCCATACAATCCCAAATATCTGACCGCAGCTTTCTCTTCGGGATCGTCAAACGGTGCGGCGTCGTCTTTGGCTAGCAGCATGGCAGTGTTTGGCTTGGGAAGCGAGACAGTAAGTTCGGGGAGAAGCCCGGCGAGCAACAACGCACTTGTATGTTACACACCATCGAAGGGGACTTTAAGCTGCAGAGGTCTTGTACCGCTGTATGTAACGTGCGATGTCCCGGCGCCATACACACGATCTGTTTGTGATATGTTGGCACTCCTTGACGTTATAGCCGCACCGGATGAAGAAACAAAAGGCGACTTCTACAGAGAACAGACATTTGTTTCCATTCCTGGACCACCAAAGATCGAGTACGCTTCCCTGAAAAATGCAGATGCTTTAAAAGGCAGAAGAGTAGGCGTACCGAAGATGTACGTTGGCCAGAAAGACTCCGACTCACATGCGAAGCCAACATACGTCTCACCTGAAGTGATCACCGCATGGAAGAAGACAGCTGAAGATCTGCAAGGACTCGGTGCAAAAGTAGTCTACACCGACTTCCCACTCGTCACCAACTATGAGAACGACTCTGTCTCCCAAGAAGCCAACAACGTCGTCGGCGCACCATCAAACTGGAACCACGTAGAGCGCGGCATCCTGATCGCAAAAGCATGGAACACGTTCCTCGAGCACAACAACGACACGAAGATCAAGAGCCTGGGCGACATCCAAGACTCCGCCATGCTATTCCCCAAGCCGAAACCTTACGTTCCTGACACTTTCCTCGAAGTTCGAAACTGGATCGACTACGCCGGCCTTCCTTCCCTCCTACAGCAATCCAAAGAAGAATCCGTCTTCGACGTACCCGGCCTCGAAACCGCCGTCAAAGCACTCGAAGCCCAGCGCAAGCGCGATCTTGAGGACTGGATGACAGCGCTCAATCTCGACGTCATCGCATTCCCAGCCCAAGGCGATGTGGGCCTCGCCGATCTCGAATTCAGTCTAGAAAGCACAAAGCACAGTCTGCAGAATGGCGTCAAGTATAGCAATGGCAACAGAGCGGTACGACACCTCGGCGTGCCGACCGTCAGCGTGCCGATGGGCGTGCTCGAGGGGAAGGGTATGCCTGTTAATATAACGTTTGCTGGGCGAGCGTATGAGGATCCGAAGTTGTTGGAATATGCGTATGCGTTTGAACAGGCTACGAGGAGGCGCATCAGTCCGCCCTTACAGCCACTCGCCACGGATATCATAAGGCCGGGAGCTATTCAAGCCTCTGTGCAAGGATCTATAGAACTTGAAGTTCGTGTTCAAAGTCAGACAGTGGTAGATGGAAAGCTTGCGATCGAGATCAATGGCTCTGTTTTGCCAGATGGTACCGAGAGAGAGGTACAGATCTTCGTTGATGGCAAGGAGATGTGGAAGGACAGGATTGTGACCGAGTCCTGGAGCGTCAAGCTGGAGCATACTCTGGTGCGACGAGAGTGTCTTGGTTGGGACCTCAAGCCGTTACCGCCAAAGAAGGCTATGGTCATCGTAATCGTGAAGGGGGCAGGGACACCAGAGGAGGCGAAGCTGATGTGGGCGGAAGTACATTAATTGGGGTGGTCTTAGAACTGCTCATCAACTTTAGAGCGGGTAATGCCAGTTCAAATGTAGGATGCTAAAGGTATCGAGTCACAGATCAACGTGAGGAAGAAGAGTTGACATATCTTGAATGCTTTATCTGTTTTCGTAAAATGTGCCGTTCACGCGGCGCCTTATTCTCCCTCGTGATGGTATGAAGGCGCGAGCCATCATTCGATTGTGCAGTGTGTATGCAACAGTCATGCTTCCAATCTGGTCCTCCACCTAGGCTTCACCATCAGCATCCTCCGGTCTTGAGGCAACAATCCTGCTCCTCGTCACTCGATCCCGTAGACTTCGGTAGTGGGCTGGTTGTACTGACCAACCCTAGGCACCACGTTCACATCGACCGGTAATCCAAGATCCAAGCGCCACTTACTCAGATGGCTCACGTCTAGGTCTTCCACAAGCGCCTTCATCCATTGCTCCTCGAGATCAGTCTTCACATACACTTCCAGTCTCTCCAGCACAACAATCTTCGACATCCCGTTCCATCTGGTAGCTACTCGCCAGGCTTTCGGCACGACCACCAACTGTTTCACGCACTCAGAAAGGAACATGTAGAATCTTCCATGTTCTTCTGGGCGATGGACGAGACGGATCATCTGGATCGTGGCCCAGCCATAGGTGATTCTGATGCGAGGCGTGGAGGCGCACAGAATGACAGCATCGCGCAACTCAGTGGTCTGGTCACCATCGTCGATCTCCATTCTAATGTTGCCGACTTTCTGCGGCATGACAAAGACACAAATATATGCTTCGAGCTCGGTGATGCGGACGGAGATAGGGATGCGCGCTCGGTATATGGGCAGGAACTCGTTGCGCAGCTGGCGACACACTTGAGTCAGGCCCAGGCAGGATCGTCTGTACAGGCGCCAGTTGCGAGTGAGAAGCTGCGCCTCGCGAGTTGTTCGCGCCTCGCGTTTTGGGTGCGCAAGGCCTGGCATGGTGCCCTTGTTGAGAACGTCGGCGACTGCGAGGACGTAGATTCGGTTTCGGATTTCTGTGACTTGTTCCAGAAGGCTGTTCTGGATGAAGTAAACTGCTTACCTCCAGGCACCATGAGAAGATGCGGGACTCCAAGCGGTATATCATCGTATTGCGGTACTACGGTCCCGCTGTTTATGGGGATTGGTTGCGACATCGTGTGTCGTTCTTGTAGTGGTGTTGGAAAGTTGCACTGATAGTGATTTATACTCATCACCCGGGTGATTCCCAAGCTGCTGTGTAAAAGCGCGTCTCGTGTAGCGGGAAAGTAGCGCGTTGTTTGTTGACAGTCGAGTCTCTTTCACCTCACCTTAGTCACGTCCCCTTCGCTTCACCACACCTAAAGAATCCTCATATCTTTCATGACGTCTACTGAAGGTGAAGTCCGTGGACAGGTGATAAAATCCTTACGCAAAAACCTAAGAAGATAGCCAAATTGTGATGACGACGTATAATGGGAAGCTGGTGCTAGACTCGATTTCTTGACCGTAGAAACAGCTTGATCTCAACTTGACATGCATCCTAGTGTTCGCTTCCCAAGCGAGTACTCAACTTGTCCAACCTAGACACGATGTCGTCTTGTATAGAGGAGCGTGTACTCGAGGACCTGTTGGAGGTTGGTAAAGTTCTACAGGTGCTTGTCCATAGGTACAGATCGCCTTGATACGAATGCGATAGTATATATACTGGTAGCTTCCTGCAGGGTTTAGAGAACCAGTTGACTACCGTTAAATTCTATATCTTATTGCTCAACGGAAGCAACAATGAAGGCTTTTCGTTTAAAAGCAGCCAGCAGCAAGCAGTAAGCATCAGGAAGCAACTGTTCCTATCTCCACCTGTGGCCTGAACGGACACCTGATCTTCTTCCGCCCCGTCAATCCCAGCGCAATCTCCCAGTCACCCATCTCAGCTCGGTACTTCTCGAAAACAAGCGGCTCGCGCATCCACTCCTCAGCAAACTCCCGTTTCACATGCAGCACACAACCTTGAGTCAGCGGGTAAGGCCATGGCTCTTGATCGTCATCCGAGTCCATGCTGCCACAGACAGCAATAAAGTCGTCAAAATCTATATCGACTACGACCTGCGTAGTTCTCTCTGAGATATAGGCATGAAACTGCGGCCAACGATCAGCATCGAGTAAGATGGACATCATGTCGCTTTCCCGCTCTGGGTGCGTGAATTCAAGATGAAGATGCGGCGCGCAATTGTGTGACAGCAGCAGATCCTGGAGATCGATTCTGCATGGAGATGTAACATCGATACTGATGTTCCCGTAAAGTAGCTCAGGATCGGCGGTGGTGGCAGGTTGGATGACTTTGGCAAGATAATTTTTCAGGTCCCAAATATCGATGCGTATTTTAGTGTTCTCTCTGTACATGGGAAGGAGCTCCTTCCGGACCTGACGACAGCACTGTGTGAGACCATACGCTTGCCTTTGGAAGCCGGCCCAGTAACTGGGATGGGTAGGAGCCGAGACATTATCGGAGTTGCTTCGAGGCACAAGCCGAGGCAAGCTGTCGTTATCGACGGGTGGATCGCAGCAAAGTAGGGCTTCGTATATCCGGTTGCGAAGTTCTGCAAAGCAACCTAAGTCAGACCGCTTGGCACAAGGTCACGATATGTGTCTTACCTCCAGGGATCGTGAGCAGTCCTATTTTGGCCAACACTGAAACACCACCACTGGAAAGTACGTATGCATCGTGCATCGTTATGTTTCCAGCAGGATATGCAAAGTTGTAATGAAGTCAAGAACGTGGGTTGTCCAACACGAGACTGAGTGGGCTGATTGTGGCCTCACAGTCAACGAATCACTGCCCGGTTCGCCCAGCCGCTATACCTGTTTAAGCAACCAAACACCACATCCATTCCAGCTCTGTGTATGTATGTACACGGTCGGTGAGGTAGCCGTAGACGTCATCCAGCTCGACTGAGATATTGACCATCTCCTGGTGCATTGTAAGTGACTCGTCGCGAATCGGGCAGCAAACTTGCGTCAAGCCGAGAAACCCGTCGTCGCATTTCACCTCAGCGGGGGGTTATGCGAAGCCTAGACGCCGTGGAGTGTACAAGAGTGGGACCGTCCTCGGTATTTGTGACAGATATCAGGGCTAGTTCATGCGATCTTGCGTCAATTGTATTTCCATTTGCAAAACAAAGGTCGCGAACCTCTGGGAAGGGCCAATAGGCGCAAGTGTTCCAATTGCGTCACGAGTGTTGGTGTTTGATGCCATTGATCATATGTAGCGGGAAAATGAGCTCAACTCCGATATTGGAAAGAATGGTGGAAGACAAGTGACGGATCCGCTGCGTAGAGAAAACAATAAGCGCGCCAAAAACAACCGCATCATTCCTTTCACTTGGGCAAGAGCGAATACGGCCATCACGACTATCAAGAATCCTTGTAGAAACGATCAAAATGTTTCCTGAGTTCCAAAATGAGCAAGTAATTACATTGCTCGGGAAACGAATCAACTGCTTTGACTCTTGCGGTTACACGCGTCGCCCGTTGACCCAACAAACTCGTATACCTGGTCCCTGGAGATTCACCACTTACTGACCCGAACGCCGGATCCAGAGACGATCCTTGCCGCTTCGTAATACCTCAATGTTCGACGGCAGTTGCAACTCCTCAAACCACTCTTCACCCGTCAACTCAGCCACGGTGGTGTCACGGCCAGCAACGTGAACGGAGGTTCCAAGATACTCAGGCTTGAGATGAACGAGAAGCCCTGATATGGAGGTACTGCCTTCGAGACCGCGTGCAAAATGAAATGATGAGCTGTACATTCTCAAAGCAACGCGGACAGTGCTTACATGGTTGCTAATCAAGCTCCACCACCTCGGAATTTGCATTTCTCTCTCAGAAAAGAGGGGCTTTAAGGCACTATCGATACCATTCGGCCAGGGTTGCGGACCAGCCTCGTGATCGTAGCATGTATAGGAGAGATGAAGGTTAGGTGCCTTACTGGACGCCAGTATCATGGGAAGTACGTCTACCCTCAACTCCCACACGAAAGAGATCCGAACGTCGATGCAGCCCACAGCTGATTCTGGATCATTTGCCTGCATAGCAACAACATCGTTCAAGTAATCCGCCGTAGCCTCGAGAGCGACACAGATCCGGATATTTGAGTGCAGGCCCAGAAACTCTGCTCGAAGCTGTCGACAGACTTGAGTGAGGCCAAGATAGGGTCTTTTGGGCGAGCACCAGTCCTGGGAGGCACTGGAAGTCTTGCGAAGAAGAGGGACGTTTCGCCTGCGTTGGTCCAGGAGTGCATTTTGTCGCTGGTAGTAATGCGTAATGTGGTCGAAGTCTTCGTCCTGCCAGGCATTGGCATCTTCAATAGCCAACTCGTAGATGCGATTCCGGATCTCTGCGATGTGTGCATTAGTCAAGCGATCTCAGTTGCGCAGGATATCACTGACCTCCAGGAATCGCAAGCAGGCGCGACGTCTGCGCAACTACAGCGCCGCCCACTGGAACTTGCATGCCAGGTGCTGTTAGGGAATTTGTGTTGAGATCAGCGTGACGCGTGATGTTGTGGTGGTGTTGCGAATTTGGTGGGGATAGAGCGAGCCGGCGAAGATAGTTTATATGCATGGAAGGCACAGTGAAAGACTGAGGAAAGCGGAGCCTGATCTGAAGCTATCCTTCACTTGCATCACACCGGTAGGGCTGTTTGCGATCGAAAGTTACCCTCATGGTTCTATGCTTGTGTCAACCCAATCAGAAGAGTCAACAATGTCGTGAAAGCTCGACAGCGTTTGCTCAGACGAAAGAGATTCACAGCGCACTCTGAGGCGGCACCACGACCCATGACAAGGACTTGCCGGAAACATATTGAATGCTGCACCCAAGGATGGCCAAGTTGCTATCAATACAGCTCCAAGGCAAGAAACAAAGGATAGGTGGCAATAGTTGCAATCTTCCTTATGAGTGCAGTTGCGCTCAAGTAGAAACATTTAGATGTGATTAAGGAGGCTTGTTAGTTGTGCCAAATCAAATTTCAATCCTTCAGGACTACAACAAAGCTACTTGGACGTGACTGGTTGCGGTACGTCTTGGTCGGATAGCAATCTCGTGACGAAGCCCCCTAAAATAAAATAGAAAAAGCTACAACTTACAAAGCTACGCTAGGGGAGAACAGATGTTGCTCTTCAGGTACGAGCATCTTCGTATTGCCGTACCATTGTGGTGAAATTTCCAACAAAGTGGGGCTCAAGTGGCTGTGCATAATGTCACAGCTGTTCAGACACTTCGAAACTGTTAGCGGTGTTTCGTATTGCGAGTGACTTGTAGGTTCCAACGCCTAAGAGAAGTGCAACGCAGGTTCCAGCGTTGATGGTGGTATGATGGTGACAGCGGCGACAGCGGCTACCAAGCTTCCCAAGCCTGCGCCAACAATCTTGACTGCTGACGGCGTGGCGCACTGCAATGCAACGTCGATCACTCAGCACCGCCGCTCAACAGACCCGCAAGCGACCTGCGGTGCAGCGCAGAAGAGCCCTTCATTGGCGTGAATATGCTGATTGCACGTTGCAAAACAGCGTCGAGACGCCACACCGCAGGGCTGACCCGTCATGCAGGGACTCAGCGCGCGCTACCGGGAATCGTCGTCACGTTGCGGGTCGCTGAAACGTGCATTCCTGACGGACGCGCAACGGTCATAAGGACTGAATCGCCCCGCGCGACAGGTCTGCTCTCCTGACGCTGCTGACGCTGCCTCGATGGCTTCTCTGATCCCTCCTACGCACAAACGAACATAGCAAGAGCGCCCTTGCCTACGCTACAACCAACCACGCTTCCGCGCGCCTCCCGCATCCCCGTCCTGCCAATCTCCGTCGACCATCGATGCTGAGCTCTTCAGTCGACGCGCCATGAATGCACACCCGTGGACACGCGCTGGGCATTTTGACCCCATGCCACACCTCAGCAGACGGGCAGAGTGCAAGAGCGATGCACTTGAACACGAGACAAGTAGGCATGCATTCATAGCATTGGCGCAGCAGGCATTGACCAAGGGTAGTCAGTGAGAAACCGCTGTGGAAGGCCCTGACCTTTCACCACTTCGGCCTCATACTCTCAGCGACTTTTGGCGCGATTGCAGTAGTCATCGCCTTCTTCCTCATCTTCCGGCATGCTACCCACTACCTGAAGCCGTATGAGCAAAAGCAGTACGTTTGCACACCTACTGCACCTCTACAGAAGCTGACGCGCACAGCATTATTCGGATCCTTCTTATGATCCCCATTTACGCCGTTGTCTCCTTTCTTAGCTATCTCTACTACAAAAAAGCCATCTACTTCGAACTTCTGCGAGACTGCTATGAGGCCTTCGCCATCGCTAGCTTTTTCACACTCATGTGTCATTACATTGCACCAAACCTCCACGATCAAAAAGAGTATTTCAGGAATGTCGCCGCCAAAAATTGGGTTTGGCCCGTTACATGGATGCAGAAATGTACCGGCGGAGAGAACAACGGGTGGCTGAGAAAGCCGCGGAGCGGGCTGACATGGTTCAACGTACGCAGAAACCTCTTGGACTTATATGCTCTGGCTGACAAGTTCTCAGGTCGTGTGGATTAGCATCTTCCAGTATTGCTTCATTCGACCATTCTTCACCATCGTCGCCGTGGTTGCACAGACGCAAGGCCGCTACTGCTCGAGCTCCAAAGATCCCCGATATGCATACATCTGGGTGGCAGGCTTTGAAGCTGTCTCGGTCACGATCGCCATGTACTGTGTTGTACAGTTCTACATTCAATTGAAGGACGATCTTGCGCCACATAGACCGTTCCTAAAGGTGCTGTGCATCAAGCTCGTCATTTTCTTCTGCTTCTGGCAAAGTTGGATAATCTCTTTAGTGACGGCAGATGGTGGTCCCTTGAAGGCAACTGATCAGATCGCTGGACCAGACCTACGTATCGGTATTCCGTCGATGCTCACCTGTGTTGAAATGTCCATTTTCGCAATCATGCATCTCTTCGCCTTCCCATGGAAGCCATACGATCTCAAACGCCAGAGCCCATTGGATACGACTATCGACGGATATTCACCACAGCCGACAAAATACGCGAACGGAGCAGCACGCGCCCTTCTAGATTCTCTTAATCCCTGGGATATCGTCAAAGCCAGCGGTCGCGGTTTCCGTTGGTTGTTCTATGGCGCACGACACCGCGAAAATGATGCCTCGTACCAGACAAAGATGGAGCCGGTTACCACGAATACCAGCTACAACGGCCCAACGTTTGCAGGGAATGGCGAGCCAATTGTTGCGTCTGGATCCGTGACGAAGAACGAAGGGTTTGGCGACTCAGATACCACAGGTCTTCTGAGCAACGCGCAAGCTAACCCGTACCTACAGCAGGGTGCGACTTCGTACGACGGCGCGTTCGGACCCGGGACAATCTATGGAAGCCCGCCAAATCCGGACCGCCTTCCGCAAGCGCCGCTTCCTGGACAGGAATACGGCGTAGCCCACCATGGCTCTAGAAACGATCGATTCCAGGACTTTGAACAACAAGACACTACGTATCATGGTGGTGCAGCTGTCGATAGCTACTATGAGCGACCAAGATACTATCAGGGTAACAACGATGTAAGGCCGAGCACAGAGTGGGATATGTTTGCAGGAGCGAATCAGCCTGCTCAAAGGCCCGTAGGCGATAGCAATCGCCCTCCAGGACGGATGTAAACTTCATTTTCTTTTAACTGCATACATCGTCTGGACGAGATCCATTTGATATCCCAGGTCAGGCGTTTGTTTTTCTATTTTTTTTTCTATGCCTGGCATGAACTCCACACACAGGAGCTATGACCAGCGCCTCCTACTCAGACATAGGCCTTCAAGGACAACAAGTCTGCACTTCAATCCGTCCCAAAACTTCTCGCTCACCCGTGCAGTCACATACATCGCGCAACCGAACACCCTCAATTCTGCACAAGCCAAATATGGTCTGCCGACAAGCGACACACACGATAAGCAAACATGCTGCTCACTGTTTAACTTTCCACCGTTATTGGCGTTGCTTACAGCGATCATGAGTTTCTGAACAGCCACGACGCGCAGGTCCGGTCGAGGATTTAAAGCGGGAGAGTCAGCGTCCTGGACACCCGCAAGTTGGACACGTTCCATTGCTATCAATATCAAGGTGAACATGGAGTCCGAACTTCACACGACGCTGAACTCGGTCTCCCGAAGACATAAGAACCACACAAACTTTAGCCCATTTCCCTTACAAGCAAAGACTACAATATCGCCCCCGCAACAGCATGACGTTAAACGCGTTTGATGATGATTTCTGGACGTAGGTCGTACAAAACTTACAACATCCGATTTTGACACAAAGACGCGCCGATTACAAATTTAGTACACGAGCACCACATCAAAGGTGTACGAGAAGTACAGATAGGTACACATCAGTACATATCGTTGGATCACGCCTGCATGGAGTGATTAGTCTATCCTAGCCTCATGCCCATGACTTGTTTAAGTGAGGATCCGCACTGCTACTTCGGTGAAATCGTCTAGCCGGTCCGGGCTATGTTCCGCCGGAAGCATTTCACGACTCGAACGTTCACTGGATCTAGAAGGTGGTTCTCGAACTCGCCGACTTAGCTGACCCCGACGCCTTCGTTAGAGACAGCCCGAGCGCACATGTCGAAATACCTCCCGTTCGGTTCTTGGCCTAAGTTTGTTAACGTTGGCGCGTTGGCGTTTACGGTTCCTTATGAATCCACAAGTCAGGATGCACAAGTACTACAACTGCTCGTTTATCAACGTAACAACCTAGTGTCATGCGTTGTAAGATAGTTGGTTTCTGTCTACGACCACATTGAGTAATACTACGGCGAAATCAACTGAGGTCGGGACGATTGGCTAGACAACAGACATTCACCAAGAACTTACGATGGCACGGGCCGCAAGACTACCTTCGACGTTATGCGAACTGGGTAGAGCCTGCGACCTAGTTTTGCCGCCCGGCCGATTGGAAGTAACAGTAGATCGACAAGCGGACTGTTCACAACCAAACAGAGTTCGCTGGATCTGGAAAGGGTCGGTCGGGACTGTCCGGGTCACGGAAGTGTCAATGTGTCAAAGGTGCTATACGGTGCGGCATAGGGCTTGTGCGCTACTGTCGCAGTGGCTTGGGAAACGAAGCCGGGGAATTTTACAATGTCTTGTTTATTGCAGAGCAGAGCTCGTGTTCGACAAGTTGCAGAAGGGCCTAGATCATGTGGATACGACTTCCCCATGCTGGGATAGGGGTTCTCACCACTGTGGCACCGCAGGAAGGATCCGCCGTTGTATCCCTACAAATGCCAATTCTGTAAGTACGGTTTACGCAGTAAAGCGAGCTGTGGGCTGTCTGGGGTATCAGAGTACACTAAAGGTCAGTCCGCTTGAACCCTGTGGTAGAAACAGAGTGAAATTCTGATTGTCACCACCAGAATCAAGCATGCCGCCTACACTGACGGTAAAGGAGGCGACAATTACAGTTCAGAAGTCTTTGAGGGTGACCCACAAGAGTCAGAATGAGCTGGAGTTGCTTCCGCTCTCGCAAACCACATAGTACGTCGTAAACCACACTGTATGAGGTCACCCAGATCTAGCAGTGATGTCCGTTCGTACCTTCCGGTAAACTCGGGAGGCTAACCTCCACCGTGAACATCTATATTTCGCTTTTCTCATTTCGGAGCGTTAGTTTGGGATGCTCACCGGGCTGTCATTGTGGCGGCGCTTGTTGTTTCGAAGGTTTGATCGACCCCAGGGTATATCAGCGCTCTGACTTTCCACCACCCATCATTCGTCTTTAAATCAATGTCACATTGAAACTGAGTGCCAAGGAAAGGCCTCGAGGTGGGGTCGTAATCAAGTACGGCTGGCAATCAATGCATAATTACCTACAGAGTGAAGGTTTACTAGCGGTGCGGGTAGTCAAGTTTAACATGCATGACACAATACCTCCGCTCCACAATACCAAGACAGCCAAACCCCCGTTGCCAAGCTCTTTAGCCAAAATGCACGACTCGCCACGCTTGTTTCCAAACAGCCCCAGGAAAGTACTCGAATGAGCCAAGAGAAATGATGTGCGGCATCGTTCGATACTATAGGAGATGCGCTTGCCGACGATGAGCTCTATAAAGTTATAAGTGACACCTCAATATCGAGAGTACAACTCACCCTTCGTCTTTCATTCGATTCTTCCGTGCAAGCTTTACATTCGTTTCCCATATATTCGGTGCCGGGCACAATTCCTTCTCTTCGATCAAAGCAATTACTGTCTCATCCAAGATGAAGTCTACACTCGCTATCTCCACCCTCATCGCCGGTGCTCTCGCCGGTGCTATCCCTGGTGATGTCCACACCGACATTCACCGTCGCAACGCCGCTCCCGTCTGCGCCTTTGAGGCTCAGGGCCTCGCCTTCGATGACTCCAACGCCTGGAACACCACCCCCGCCAAGCGCGACCTAAACGTGAAGACCTGGAACCCTCCTTCCAACCTCAAGAAGGGTCTCGATGCCGTCTGGAAGCACCAGGTCGACACCTACTCCAACGCTCTTGGCTTCAAGAACTACGGTTATGATCAGCTCATCGCCGGCAAGGGCAAGATCAACTACTGTGTCCGCTGGGAGGGTGACGCCAAGGTCACTGCCGCTCAGCGCGCCAAGGTCCAGGCTGCGCTCAAGAAGCAGTACAACAAGTGGATCAGCGTGCTTGCTGGATTTGACGGCTTCCCCTACAAGACGGTCGATGTCAACGTTGTTGGCTGGGCCGTCAAGAACAAGAGCCAGCTCGAGGGCGATGTCAGCGGTATCACCGTCTACACCGACAAGGACTCCGAGGGCGTCCCTCAGTGCGCTGAGAGCTGCGGAAGGTTCTTCCACCAGGACAACAACTACGCCGCCTGCAAGGCTGGTGCCGCTAAGCACTACGGTAAGCTTTCACTTTTCCACTGACTGATTTGAAACATGCTGATCTTGACTAGACCACTCTCTCTGGCTGACTCCCGGTATGCAGGGTGGCGCTGGCGGTGACTGGGGCCAGCGTGTCGGCCAGGAATACTTCATGCAGAACGTCGATGCGGAGAACATCCACATCTACCTCCACGAGGTTGGCCACACCTACGCGCTCGACGACTTCTATGACTGGACCCCGGAGGGTGTTACCAACTTCGTCATGTTGGCGGGCAGCGCGATGGAGATCACCGAGTTCGATGCCTGGATGGCTCGTGACTGGTGGAGGCACCTCAAGTCCAGGTACAGCTTGTAAGCGTAGTACGCTCACAGTTGGTATCTGTGCCCCTCTGCATGAGATGTTGGCAGAGGCGGTGTGGCGAAAAGGTGTGCAGGGCTGTATTTGCTTTGCTTCTTGTCAATATTACCCCTTACATACAGCTTTACAGCAATTTATACTTAAGGCGACCGAAGCCACTCCATTCCTCGGAAGTGTGACATGTCGTGAGCTGCGCTAGAGAAAGCATACTGATGCAAAGGAAGAAAAGATAAAGCAGGGTTCTGCTCGAGCAGCCGTCGTATGCTGCGAAAGATTGCTGTTCTCGTCCTATCCGTACAGTCAGACAGGGAAGTCGCTGACATCGTCCGTCGAGATCAGGTGAAGCTGTCAAACATTGTTCATGCTCACTCTGCTGTTCAAAGAACATGCTGGTCCACAAGTCGAGGGTCTAGTCCGAGGTTCACCCAGTCCAAGTCGCTAGGGCCGCAGGTATACCACTCTGGATCTATTCCCGACAACAACAGCTATGACCATCATGGATTCCGGCACACGTCGTTACACGAAATTACCTCGTGGCTCCATCGTCTGACGGCAGGCCGAACGACTCAACTCTTGATCCATCCGTTAACGTTACTGCCATAAGTTGTAGAATTACCGCCCGCTTATAGAAGATTTGGAAATCAGAGACCCGAGACTCATTTCGTATCGTCCTTAATTCACGGATGCGGTAGTCACCCGGCATCTGCGCGAAGGTGGTTCGGCTATGCAACGTCGGCAATGTCGCGTCGGCAACGTCAGTTCCTTTCACGGCCAATCCATTACACTTTCCTGCCGGTAGTGCTGAGTACAGGTAATTTAGCGAGGCGCCAGACGCTCAAGCAGTCGAGGCCGCGGTGGTGTGCTGGCTTGTCTGGAACGCAGCCACAATGTGATCAAGCGCCAGAATTGGGGCCTGCAATTTATTAAGTACCACTGCAGGATGTCGTACTGCGGCTGCAGCGTCTGTTCCTGAGCCACTAGCCGGGCGTTTCTCTTTTAGCGAAGTTGAAATATGTGTCATCGATACTCATGCTTGCAGCGCAGCAATTTATTATAGGGAATACCAGAATAGAGGATACAGCGCGAAGTGGTAAGAAGAGTCTTGCTTCGTTTGCGCTAATTATGTCAGCAGTGTTCATTCTCCACCACACGCTTCGTCTGTACAATATCGTACATCATTCAGATCCAACCCGGTTCAGCGCTATGGATCTACGGAATATTGGCTTGTTGCATCGCAACAGCTGCAGCCGACTTCGCACGAGCTGCAGCTTGCAGTTGCATGCCATCTGTTGAACCTTCCTGGACAAAATCGGCATGCTCTCGGAATGTGCGTCATTGCGCGCATTTCCATCTCTCTCGGAACTGGAACGCGACGTTCCTTGAAGATTCCGAGCCAGCTGCTGGGCCCAGTGCTTGCTCGGCACCGGCCGACGTCCTCAAATCGCGAACTTGTGCATCTCGACGCGCGTGCACTCTAAGATATATGCTTTCATCCAGTGCGAAACACAGAGAAACACTTGGCTGGAAAAGACATTTGGTTTCAAGATTGATGCTTGTACGGGAACAATGCGTCGGCTGAGTTGAGCCGAGAAAGTAAGCCACCTTTGCGTCCGCCACCAAACCAAGCTTTTCAGTGAAGCTTGGGTGCGGTTGGCGTTCATCGCCACCACAGTGTTGCGAAAGCCTCCGGCGTACCTCGTGCTTCATTCCGTGATAATTCGAATCTGTGTTTCTGCTGATCAATCAGAATGCGACTAATCAAATGCCGAAACTCATTGCCAGTCTATCAAGACCCACCCAGTAGTCCGCTGGTGAAGCAAGTAGGACTCAACAATCAAGCATGGCCCGGTGATGGCTACCGTATGTGGCTGCCGTTATCTGCGTTTGGGTTGGTCGGTGTGATTCGCAAAGCCTAGCGATGCCGTTGTGACGACAATCCACAATTAATCCTGCCCCATGGGCCGCGCCATCGCTGTCTGGGGACTCCACTCGACGGCTCCACGGTTATACTGTTACCCCGTGAACTACGAACCAAACCCTAAATCGGCGATACAAGAAGACTGTAGCGCAGTTGCTTCGATCTTCGTCGAACCATTCTCTCCTGACTTTCCACACCTCGCGCAGCGCATTGGACGATCATGGCTGCTGCAACCGAACACATACCTAAGGATAAGGAGTTCGTCTCTGGCGTTCCTCAATACAACGAGGACCTGGAGCATGCGAATACTCATGGCACCTATCTCGATTCTGCTGAGACTTCTCATCTCTCAGAGGAGCACCGCCAGTATCTGCTTCAGAGACATGGCACACTTGAGCTCGATCCTATGCCTACTATGGGCGATGCAGACCCTTACAATTGGCCCACCTGGAAGGTTGGCATTCGACAAGCAAACCCAAGTGTTATAGAAACTGACAAAGTTGCAGAAAATCCTGAATCTCGTTTTCGTGGCATTTCACGCTTGCATGTGTGCGTTCGCAGCCTCGGCCATCATTCCGGCCTACGAGAATATCGCAGAAGATCTCGGGGTCAGTTTGCAGAGGACGTCATACCTGACCTCGCTGCAAATAGCTATCCTTGGCGGTGCACCGCTTTTCTGGAGGCCTCTGTCGACTCGCTACGGTCGTCGGCCGATCTTCATCATCTCTTTGATAGGAAGTCTGGCCTTCAACATTGGCTGTGCGAAGAGCACAACGTATGCATCCATGGCGGCCTGCCGTGCTCTTCAGGCGTTCTTCATCTCGCCTCCCAATGCTATCGGCAGTGCGGTCGTCGTAGAAACCTTCTTCAAGAGTGAGAGAGCAAGATATATGGGCGTGTGGACTGTCATGATTACACTTGGCATACCTCTTGCGCCACTCATCTTCGGATTCGTCACGTATTATGAGGGTTACCGATGGATTTACTGGATCTTGGCCATCGTGAGTATATCATCTATCCCATTTGAGATCATGTCACTGACCGCCACAGATCAACGGTATTCAGCTGGTGCTCTACACCCTGTTCGGTCCAGAGACACGCTTCATTCGTCATGATAATGCCGAGCACGCCGTATCTGGTTTCGCCGCCTTCAAGGAGTCGTACCTTAAGTTCCGTCGTATCGATCCTACGCCTATCACCGTTATGGAGTTTGTCTCGCCCCTTCGACTAGCCAAGTACCCTTGCGTCATGCTCCCAGCCTGTGCCTACGCCATGGTCTTCCTCTTTGCCTCCGTTCTCACAACGGTCGAGATTCCACAGCTGTTCAGCGAGAAGTTTCACTTGAACTCTAAGCAGCTCGGTCTTCAATTCCTTGGCCTGATTATTGGTTCAATTATTGGTGAACAGATCGGCGGCCATTCAAGTGATATGTGGATGCGTGCTCGCGCAAAGAAGACCTCGCCCAAGAAGCCCGAACCCGAGTTCAGACTGTGGTTGAGCTACTCCGGTATTCTACTTTCGATTTGCGGTCTTGTGGTCTTCCTGATCCGCATCGAGCAAGCCCCCGAGGGTCAGTGGAATGTCACACCCATCATCGGTGCTGGTATTGCCGCAGCAGGCAATCAGATTGTCACGACGGTGTTGATTACGTACGCTATCGATTGCTACCCTGAGGAGGCTGGCAGTATTGGCGTATTCATCACTTTGGTCAGGCAAACTTGGGGTTTCATTGGTCCCTTTTGGTTTCCTGATATGTTCGCCAATATTGGTCTGGCTCCCAGTGCCGGCGTTGTTGTTGCCATGTTGGTGGTAGGCTCCCTCATTCCTGTCGTATTCTGCCACTGGAAGGGCAGAGCGCTCCACAGCAATATGAGCAAGCGATTGTAGGAAGTCCTAAGTATACTAAATTGTGGATTCCATACGCATTCAGATCGAATGGTTGCAATGACGTGGATTTTCAACGGCATGCCTGAGTCCATTTGAGTCGCTACGTAATGTGCTGAAATTGATGTATACAGAGGTGATCAATATATAAACTACTTACAAACCTGACTCTCACGTTGCAGAAAAAACGGTGGATAAGCGACCTCCAAGTAAATCATTTCCAACATAGAAGTTGTAGCTATTGTAATACCTAAAGCCAATATTTAGTGACGTATTACTACATTGTAGGTAAATAAGTGTTTAATAGAGTTTTTTTATGTTACTCCTACTTTGCTGTTGCGTGGTGGAAAACTTGGCTCATACCTTAGCCCACCGTTTATTCCGCAACGTGAGAGCTTGCCACCAGACCCTCCGTCTGACACAATTCTTCTGCCTGTTTTACCACATTGGTTCCGTACACCATGGCTTGGACGTCTGCGTCTGCCCACTTGTCCGGAACCTTGCCACCTCCCAGCTTAAGTGCAGCGAACTGCTTGTCCCGTTCCTCCTTCGCCTTGCCGGCACCGAGATGCATGTTACGCCCACTTTCAGCAGCAAGCTCAACCAACGCCTCGGCTCTCGGCTTCCTCAGTTTCTCGTACAGCTTCAGCGCCTTGTTGATCGTCTCCGGGTCTGCGTCTCCAAGTCTTGATGGCTCAAGTACGACACCAAGCACGGCGCCGTCTTCAATCGCTTGTGCCGCGCCTTGCGCCATGTGCGGTAGCGTGGGATGACAGGCATCGCCGACCAAGGCCATGCTGCCGCTGACCCATGTGGGAAGTGGATCGTGAACTCGCAGTTTCCATTCAACGACTTCGCCTTCCGGAACCAAATTCAGCATGTCCTGGATCATGGGACAGAAATCCTTGTACACTTCCAGCATAGCGCTCTTGCTACCCCTGGTCGTGTACTGCGCATCTGGTGCGCCGGCAAAATTGACGTCTGGCTGTGCAGTCGACAAGTTGTAGATCTGCTTATTGTGGATGGAGTATGCGATGATATGTTTCTTTTCTCCAATCCAGCGCGTTACCGTATCGCTATCAATCAGCTTGATTAGCTCGGGGTACGGCGCCATCTGCTCGCGGGTGAGCATGATGCGATACGCAGCCTGGCCCGAGTCCTTGACCGTTGCTGTCTCGCCCAGCCCGTCCAGCATGGCAACGCGGGTGTTGCTCTTCACACCGTCACAGCCGAGTAGGATGTCACATTCGACGTCTTCCTTCTCACCAGTCTTGTTGTTGGTCACCTGGAACGAGGGCTTGGCGCCGAAACGCGCATTTGTGATCGTGCTGCCGAACTTGAAGGTGATTCCACTCTCCTTCTGACAGCCATCATACAGACCGCTTGCCAGCGAGGCACGATGTCCGACCATGTGCGGGTAGTTGTACTTCTCCTGGACGTAGCCTAGATCGACATATCCCAGCTCGTTGTTTGAGGCGCCGTCGCGGATGGATGTGTTTGCGCATTGCACGGCTTCGGCAGCTATTTGCTTCCAGACGCCCATCTTATCAAGAATGATAGCCATGTTGGGTGCTAGCTGGATGCCTGCCCCCACGAAGCCAAGGTTTGAGGCATGCTCGTACACTGTGATGTTTTTGTGGCCGGCTTTTGCAAGAGATAAAGCTGTAGCAAGGCCGCCCATCCCAGCGCCTATGATTGCTATCCTAAGGTTGTCCGCCATTTCGTGGATCAATGCTTGTCAAGTGATGGTGGTTGTTGATGTGCCAGGCTGGGTTCCAAGCTTTTGCGGGGAAGTTTCCGTTGGTGCAATGGCTAAAGATGTTGACCTGCTTGAATCGACAAACAACAGCTGACTAGAGCTCTTTATTCTACAAGAGCTTGATACACTTGCACAAATATACCAGCTTGCGTGAAGCTCTTATGCTCCGGTAGCCAAACTATCACCGAGGTGTGGAAAAGGAATTATCCGAGGTCTTGTGGGAAGTTGCGTACGTAGGCAACGGCTGATTGGGCAAGATCGATGAGCAGCAACGTGAGACTCGATACCGAACTTGGAGGCCCCACATGCACGTGAAGGTTGAAGACGTTCGATCTCGAAGCAAATGGTCTCGAGATTTCGGATGTTTGCATCTGCCGCGCAAACCCACCGAGGTGAGGTGGGGCCAGGGCCAAATCTAGCGTCCGAGCTCCAGAGAGGGGAAGCTGGCAATCCGACCTGCCGTTTCTGCAACGTCAAACATCCACCATGAAAATTAAGACCCGTTCGTCAGCTCTTGCAATACAGTCAACAGTATTGACTCAGGTTCGGACTCGCAAGTCGTTGCTTACGAGTATTGTACCCTCGCTACGAGTGGATAGAGCCGCTCGGCGTTTCATTTCGATACCAGCCCGGTGCGGGTCAAGATGTCGTACAAGAAGGCCCCTGACGCCATGTACATACTACCCGTATGTGGGGAAAAGATAAACCTGCTACTCTATTTCGGTGAGATGAGCTACTGAAGGATCTTCTGGCCATGACATGTTAAAGTCTTCATGGGAACACAATCTGCCGAGTTCAATCTTGACTCCTTCTTGCCCTGCCTGTAGGTGTTTTTATTGACAAGATGATGCAAGCTTTGCTCGGAAGTGCTGTGCTCATTGGAGTTGCACAAGCATTGAACTACACATGCACGCCTGCCGCGATTCAAGCTGCACTACCTGAGGGTGCCAGTGTCAACTTTGCATACCCTGTTGCAGCAAATGCAACATTCGAGGTTCCAAAAAGCGACACGGGCTACCCTAATAGCCCACCCAATCTACCAGAGTTGTGCGCCGCATCAATTCAGGTCCAGTCAATTGGCAACAGTACTTTTGCATTCGGTATCTTTCTCCCCGAACAATGGAACGGTCGTTTTCTGGCAGTTGGTAACGGTGGCTTTGCTGGGGGTATCAACTATGTTGATATGGTAAAATTCGACGTAACCTCGGTTCTTTCCATTGTTAACATAATCACAGGCATCTGGTGTACGCTACGGCTTTGCCACCGTTTCGACAGATACCGGGCACAACTCTACCAGCAGTGATGGTACGTGGGCGTACAAGCAACCGGATCGTGTTGAGAACTGGGGTCATCTTGCTATGCATGGCTCCGTTGTTCTTGGAAAGGAGATCACCGCTGCGTACTACAAGCAAAACGCATCGTACAGTTATTACTCTGGATGCTCCACCGGCGGTCGCCAAGGTCTAAAGGAGGCCGAGTACTATCCAGAGGACTTCGACGGCATTGTCGCCGGCGCCCCGGCGTGGTGGACAGCGCATCTCCAACCCTGGACTGTCCGCATCGCGCTATACAACCTTCCCACCACGGCGGACTATCATATACCGGTCGCACTGTTTCCGATCCTGAACGCCGAGATTATCAAGCAGTGTGATCCTCAAGATGGTCTGGTCGATAACATTGTATCGGATCCATTGGGCTGCAATTTCCAGCCCATGACATTGTTATGCGGCTCCAACGGTTCGAGTATCGCCAACGCCACATCATGCTTCACTGGCCCTCAGCTCGACACGGTGTTCAACATCTTCAGCGACTATATCGGCGAGAACAACACTGTATTGTTTCCTGCCTTCTTCCTTGGCAGCGAAGGACAGCCTGCCTTCTTTTCAGGCAACGCACCCAACCTGCTCGGCACAGGGTACGTGCAAAATTTCCTCGGCAAGGGGCCCGACTGGAATTTCACGGACTACAATGACGATATCATCACCCTGTCCGATGCTATGAATCCCGGTAATGCGACTGTAGGCTTCGATCTGTCTCGATTCAACGCTAAAGGCGGCAAAATTCTCTCATATCACGGGATGGCTGACCCTCTCATCCCAACCGGCTCAACTCCTTACTACTACGAGCATCTCACTCGAAACATGAAGCCAAAAGGTGTCGACGTGGATGATTTCTTCAAGTACTTCCTCGTACCTGGCATGCGCCACTGTTCTGGTACACAAGCCGGCGTGGACGCTCCCTGGTACTTTGCTGGTGGCAATCAGCAGCCTGTTCTTGCAGGCGATATCTACAGCGTTCCCGGCTTCGAAGACGAGGAGCATGATGTGCTCAAGGCGATGATGGCTTGGGTCGAAGAGGGCAGGGTACCTGAGTACATGATTGCCACAAAGTATGTCAACGACACTACGCACGACGAGGTACTGCGACAGAGGCCAATCTGCATTTACCCTAAGCAGGCCAAGTACACTGGCAAGGGAGATGTTAATGACGCTGCGAACTGGGAATGTAAGGGTCTGTACTAGATGGGTTGGCTATTTACTGTGCATCAACTCAATGCACTCTACACAGTAGGCATAATATTAGGATACACCCCACCATCTGTGCCCCACAATAATTATGGCTTTCAAGACTACCTATATTCATTGTTTTGTACAACGTCAAACGAGTGCTGCTGTCATCAAAGCATTTGGTGATCGCAATACGTGTCCGATCTTTACGAGTGTTGTACGAAGGCAAAAGAATGTTGTTGTACGGAAGTACTTCTGCAGCCGTATATCAGCCGAAGTGGTTTCCGCGGGGAACAAGAAGCCCCGCGCTAGCGCATGAGGCTGTCTGTGGGACGCTTCAAGACACAGCCGCGTCACCACTTTTATACTGAAGGAAGGTCGTTTCGCGCACCACTTCTGGGAAGACAAGTCATCAATCAGACTCAGGCTGTCACCTAAAAAGCGGGATTGCTGCAGCATAGTGGGAAGAGCTTTCATCCGGCTGCTACGTTGTCGACCACGTAATCGAATTGGAATATCCAAGAACGTCAGAATCTAGAGGCCCGGAATCAGACTCGGCTCCGTACTGTTAAATTGAAGGTGTACAGGACCATAGCGGCTTGGTGGATTGCGACTGTCATTATCCATCGACTGCACCCGCATCAAGAACCACTACCAATCCAACGATCTTTACGTAGGATCTTAAAATGGCCAGGAGAAACTCATTCGACGAGGCATCCGTTGCCTTCCGACAACATCTTCATGATCTGAGTACACCTCGTTTCACTACGGCTGCTAAGCAGACAATCTACGAATATGCAAAAGACATGCAGGACAACCGGAGACCGCCATGGCTATACGATCTGACCAAGGTCTGGGAAACACTACTTGCTGAGCCATACAAAGGAGTGACCAACGACGGGAAGATGAGAGATGGCTTATTCGATGCGAAAGATGAGGGCTTCGACACCGAATCTGTTGTCAAGGCTGTTGAGGGACTGTACAATGAATTGGACGAGGAAAAGAAGAACAAGTTGTCTTACCCAATCAATGCAAGAGAATGGAGAGCGTGGAGTAATCCGGAGTTCATATTGCGACCTTTTGGCATCCGCCTGGAGGAGGGTAAGTAGAATTGCTCAATGTGGTGTCACAAAATGCAGGCGCTAATCGGGAATAGTCTCTGAATCAATCGCACAAACTATCCTGAAGGTAGTTGAAGCATCATTATCACCAGAAGGATACAAAAAAGCTGTTTCCGCCATGCGCGTCAATCACTTTCTCGGCGAGGTCGTCAAACTTCCTAACATCATGAACAAATACTCGTACAACTTCCTCATCTTCGGCACTCCCTCATCATCTCCATCTTCGCCATGGGGCTGGCTACTATACGGCCATCATTTAGACATTGCATGCTTTTTCAAAGGCAACCAGATCATCTTGAGCCCCTCGTTCACCGGCGCAGAACCTAACATCATCGACGCTGGTGAATGGAAGGGGACCGAGATCCTGCACAAGGAGGGCAACCTCGGCCTACGGCTGATGCAAAGCCTAAAGCCCGAACAGCAAAGCACTGCACAGGTGTTCAAGACCCTAAGAGATCCGGCGATGAAACAGGTCTACGGCAACTCTGATAACGACGAGTCGAAACGCGACGAGCTCATCACCGATACCTGGGGTCCAGACGACCAACGTCACCGCTGCGGCGCATTCCGCGATAACCGTATCGTCCCGTATGAAGGTGTGGTAGCCTCCGACCTTTCATCTTTGCAGCAGCAGCTCATCCTAGACATCTGCAACGAGTTCCTCTTGTACCACCCTACCAAGTCTCGCGCACTCAAGCTCGAGCAAGTCAAGAAGCACTTCGACGAGACGTATTTCTGCTGGATCGGAGGCTATGGTGACGACGATGCGTACTACTTCCGCATCCAGAGCCCGGTCATTCTTGTCGAATTTGATCACCATTCGGGCGTTTTCTTGGCGAACAAGGAACCAGCGAAGTTCCATACGCACACGATTCTGCGTACGCCTAATGCAGGAGATTACGGACAGGCTATTAGGGAAGGTGACGAGAGGCTGCAGTGATACGATGATGGTCAAATGTGATGGAAAGCCATGATGTTGTTGATAGAAAGCATGTTAATATCCTACTCACTTCGCAACAACCACAAGATGCTTCGATGATCCTCTCGATCTTTTGAAATTGTGCACGTCAGTATACGAAAGAGGTGTTGCATCTGAACATGAGCACTCTACTGCTTTCCAAAGTGTTTCTTCAGCCACGGCTCAATCCTCTCCACTACCTCATCTGGCGCCTCATATGGCACCCAGTGCGAGGACTTAATCATTTCGGGTTCCTCGAGGTGCGGGAGCAATTGCGCCTTGTAGGCCGCCATTAATTCTGGTCGACACACGGGGTCTTCACTACACCCAATGTACAACGCAGGCACCTTGACTACCATTCTATCACGCGGCAGCTCTTTGTCGCTTGCGCTTTGGTAGTTGAGCGTCGTAGCCCTATACCAGCACTGAGGACCCTCAAAGCCGTCCCTCGTCATGCGATCGATGAACGTCTTCTTGAATGCCGGATCCTGGGCGTACGGACGCAACTCATACTCCTGGCCACCCTTGGTTAGGTACTCTCTCGTCGCACCCGGAACGGTCCAGATTTTGGACATGGCATTTCCTGCACTATGTTGTGCGCTGAATGTACGCTCCAGGTTGTCGTAGAGGATCTTGGGGCCATCTTCGTTGGCGAACACATCCCAGTAAGAAAAGACTGCTACGCCGAGCTTCTCTTTGGTGACAGCGTCGAACTTCTCGAGGTCGAACGTATCGCCGCTTGGAGGCGTGTAAGGCACGTTGAGGTTGGCGAGCCCAACGACTCGGTCTGGATAGTGGTTGTAGAGGCGTGAAGCAGCGCTGGAGCCCCAATCGTGTCCGATGGATACCACATTGTGCGCACCCTCAGCGTCGGCGATCTCCATGATATCCTTGGTCATCTTGTGGAATTGGTACTCGGCAGGGTCAGTTGGCTTGTCCGTTCCATCATACCCGAGCATATCAGGGATGATCATGGGATGCTTCGTTGAGAGAAGGCCTGTCGCGACCTTCTCCCACATTGCCGCGTGGTCCGGCCAGCCATGATGGAAGATGAGCGTTGGGAGTGATTTGTCGCCCTCGGTCACATAGTATGTATACGTGTAGCCCCTTGATGTCTTCAAGGTCTTCTTCTGAAAAGCGTCCATGTTGTGCTATTGATGGTTCGAGCCTGATGCAAATCTACAGTATGGACAAACGTGGCTATATATGTGTTGTCGGCAACTCGGTCTTGCGTCCAGAACAGACACCGCCCAAGATCAGCTTTGGTCGAAGAGTGCGACTCCACAGTGGTTACCTAGCGGTGCAGCAGCTGCTTACAGCGATGGCTATCGAATGATGCGGGGTGTCTGGCAGACACCAGACTCTTACGATCGAGTAAGGTTCTGCGTACCATATGTCATAGTGGAGGTTAATTGGGTACATCGGAGCCGGGCTAGGCGCTCAGCTGGTGTAGCTCCGTGCGCTAGACACGGACTCTGACGTATCAGGCAAGCGTTGCGATCAAAACAGTAGAGTAATCCCGCTCTTGAGGTCGAAGGTTCCTCGGCTGTCTCAAAGACCTGAGTTTACGATAGCGAATCTCTATTATATTTGATACTCATCACCTTACGAACTCGGTGTTGTATCGGTGAGTTGTGTACGAGACAGAGACAGTCTGCTGAATAGAAAATGAACACGCGTCATCTTCAAACCCACCAAGCGACTAGACCAGCTCTTGGCCTTTGTGCAGCCCACATCTAACGGCCGTACTGATAATCAGTTATCACATCCCAAGTGGCAATGTCCAAACACATATACCTGTTCGGGAAGGTCACCGTAAGCAAGATGTCAGGCCTGCCGGTGTGTGAGAGTCAGACCTTTCCTGAGCTCTGTCAGCAACAATAAACTTCAGACCAAGAAGGGTAATATGAACAGGAAATAATTATGAGCTTATTCTTGCAGTGGCTACTTATCCAAGATGCACGATCTACAGCTTGGCAAGGAGTTTCTCCTTCGCCTGTATCCGTTTCACATACTCGCCCTTCAGCTCCAATACTCCGAAACCCTTCTTCGCCCACTCATCTTCCCACGGTGGCAGCTCGTAAGCCTCAGATCCCTCCGCTGGAGGCCCAGCAATCGTTCTCAGCGTATCAAAGTACTCCGCGAAATCCGGTGCAATAGTATGGAAGATGTGCGTCGGACCTAAGCGCTTGATTCGGTCTTCCTCCCATTTGGTTTGCTCAGCGGTGGATGGTAAGGTGCCGCGACCAGCAAGTACACGGGCTACAGCCACAGCCTGATACTCGTATGCGCGGAATGAGAGAGCAGCGCGGATCTGACCCACGACTGCAAGCGATCGATCGGCAACGTTGAAAGTGTGCTGATAGAAACCTGCCAGTCGGTTCTTTGCGGTGACGGGGTTGGGTTCGAGAAAGGGATAAGATAGCCTGTATCCTGTGGCAAAGTAGACGACGTCCACGTCAGCACCAGATATCCAGCTTCCATCACTGAACTCGACCGTTCCATCATTTTCAAGCGTAAAGCGCGAAATCGTCGGCTTTTTGGTGACGCCAGGCAGTTTCCAAACATCATCGAGTGCCGGGTTCGCATTCTCGCCTCGCTGCGCTATAATCAACGAACCACGGACAGATTTGTATGTGTCAAGCACGAAGTCGCTCGCAGACACGCTGCCACCAACTACAACAACGGACTTGTCAACGTATGCATCCCGGCTGCGGAACTGTTTTGAATGCTGGAGACGATCAGGCCAGCGTTTGTACCATTCTTCGATGCCTGGAATTTTCGGGATATATGGCACACTGTAATGGCCTGTCGCGACAACCACAGCGTCAAAACTCTCGGTCCACCAGTAATCGTAACCTTGGCCCTTAAAGCGGACATCCGACTGCCGCAGCACAATGTCCCATTTACCGGTCTCTATATTTTTGCGAATACTTTCGACAGTGGTGTTGAATGAGACTCGGTACAGATGCTTCGCAAAAATGTCTTCCAGGTAATCAGCAACGACTTTCCAAGGTCGGGTTGGGTTTGCATGGCCGAATCGTCGCACTGACAGGGCTGAATTGATCTTTGGAATCGATGCGTAAGTAAATTCCATTACAGCGGCACCAACATTGCTGTCGAGGTACTGATACAATCCTGTCCTTGTTGTTGGATCCTCTGGTGCGGGAGGCGTGAAGGTAGGTAATTGCGAGGGGACCTCGTTGTGCTGCGGCGAGACCAAGGTCGAATTGAATGTGTCAGGAATCTCATCGTACAGCCTGTAGATTGTCAGCATTTGCGAGGCGCAAAAAGTTAACAAGCGGTTGACGCACCAGGTTCCACCAACTCTGTCTCTTCTTTCAAACACACGGATTGTGTCAAAAGCCTTCTCTTCATCTAGTGCTTTTACAGCTGATAGGCCGGATGGCCCAGCGCCGATGACTGCGACAGTTCTGATCGGAGAATTTGAAGGCATATTTGAATTGTATTTGGACAGCAACTGTGCCGCTGGCGGCAATTTAAGCTTACGACGGTTGAGAGATAACAACCTGACGCCATTCTGCACGACATAGCGTTTACTCGAACAAGGTAGAAGTGGTGGAGACGTAGTGCGAGGGTTGAGCTTTTGTCGTTGGCCGAGGCTGTCACGACATTATGGGATGCGATGCGCTCATCATCAAGCTCGACTGAAGAGCGGCAATTCGAATCAAAAACTCTCGCGTCCTGAAGAGCTTTACGGAAATCTTGACGCATCATTTGCACCGTGCGCAAGAAGCATTATGTCAAGCTGTAAGAAGCCTTGGTACTGCTTGTTGACGTCTGAGCAACGTGTGCTGCATGACTCGCGCCGGGATACAGAAGCTCAGTACCTACCCTGACGTTTGTGCATTGGAGTCGCGTCGGTCATTGCCAACATACCTATCTGAATGTTGACGACGCATTCTAATGTTGCAGGATTGTGTGTGTGCACGCAAAGGAGGCATTACCTAAGTAGCGATTGTAAATGTACCTATTTAGGTGTCAATGCCTTCTGATTAACATTTGTCTGTGGTGCGGCGCACCATCTGCATCTGCGACTTCTCAATTAAAGATACGGGTCGACGATAGTTTGAAGCGTATCACTCGTTCCGGAGCTAGCTCGGATATTCGTCACTGAGTGTGCAAGAATATCGAAGGCTGTCCAGGAAGGTACATCAGGTGACTGCGCGTACCCGCACACACGTCCAACATCTTGGCGTATCCGCCCTGGCTTGGCCAATGTCTACCCTCGCGTCCTCCTAAAGGGTCGCCCTGTGCATATGCGAGAAACTTTATAAATTTCTATGACGAACTCAGGGCGCGTTGGCTTATCCCCGCACCAATCCCATCCAACCCTCGTCATCGTGGTGCATCCGGCTCAGCCCGGTACCTGATCGGCTCTGCTCCCAAGGGATCGCAGACGGCTTTGTGCAACAACAACGGGCCGCTGGGGCATGTAGGGATGGCTACTCCGCGGCGGACACCTTGCACCTGCCTATTGCGGAACGATTGCATAGGGTTGCCGAGACCAGCTCAAAGGTTAGAGACCTCCACACAAGCAACATACCAGAGAGTTATACCCGGTCTCAACACCAACTCAAGCAGGTCCTGTCAGCCCACATGCAGGCCTTGCCTAATGCTGATGTCATACCAACTCACATCTTGTCTGCTCTCACTTGCTGTTCTACTAGTGAGAGACGGCTCGCGAAATGAAGCTACGAGACATATAAGAGCGTCTTGGCTCCCTTACTTTACTTCGCGCGGCGCCTAGCAAACAGCTCTCCACAGGGACAGGCAAACGTAAGAAGGTCGAACCGACAAACAGCGCAGTATACATAAGGATACCTTAAGCCGACTTGGTGTAGCAAGCACTTGACACTACCATGAAGGCCTATCTCTTGGTCGGCCTCGTATGGGGCATGGGCGTTGCAGCTCGCGCGCTTCACATCGATGATACTTCTGGCGGCGTAACGTACCGCGGTCTGGAGCGCGATGGCATACAACACTTCTATGGCATACCATATGGACAAGACACAAGCGGAGAGAACAGGTTCAAACCTCCCCGCCCATATGTGCCACTTCCTGGGTCGGCTATTGATGGGACAGAACCTGGAGCCGCCTGTCCACAGCCGCTTGGAAAATCGTCCCCACCATTGGGTCAAGGCAACATCACAAAAGTTTCCGAGGACTGTCTAAACTTAAACATCGTCAGGCCGAGGCTCGACGACGCAGATGCGCACCTAAAATTGCCGGTAATGGTCTGGATCCACGGCGGTTAGTCGAGACCTTTGAACCAATGAAGATTGTGACGGCTAACTGACAACGAACAGGCAGCTTCTGGTGGGGTTCGAACATGGAGCCAACTTTTAAGCCTGACGGATTAGTCCGTCAGTCCGTCGAGGGCGGTAATCCAGTGATCCATGTGGCAATGAACTATCGCCTGGGCTTCTTCGGATTCGCGCAGTCAGACTTCCTTAGACAAGAGGGCAGTGAGAATGCTGGACTTCGGGATCAACGCCTTGCGATTGAATGGGTCCGCGATAATATCGACATCTTTGGCGGTGATCCAGAGAATATTACCATTTTTGGACAGTCTTCTGGTGGCCTTGCAATTGGAATGCACATCCTCGCTTACGGGGGAACAAAGCCCTTGCCGTTTCGAAAAGGTATCGCACAGTCGCAATCTCTTGAGCCTGGCATCACCGGGAATTTCTCAAGAGATGCAATGTCTGCCCTGGTAGACTACGTTGGCTGCAATGCGACCGATCTTCAAGCCTCAGAGACGATTGCTTGTCTGCGCGACATGGACACCGACACACTGTTGAATGCGTCGATCACCACTTATGCAAGCGATATTGGCCACAACGTTGGTGACATATGGCTGCCGGTGGTTGACGGTGATTTCCTGCCTGCGCCTCCGAGTGAACTGATTGAAGAAGGTCGATTTGGAAATGCGACATTTACGACAGGCTGGACGCAAGACGACATGAATTTCTACACCAACGTCAGCATAGCTACAGCTGATGACACATACAACTTCTTTCGCTTGTACCTTCCAGCCCTACCAAGGCAGTCTCTGAAAGCACTCTTGAAGTTGTATCCAGTTGCTGAGTTCGCTCCACCATCAGGAACAAATTTGACAGCAGAATTCTATCGAGCAGCGCGTATCTTCCGGGATATACTGATGGTCTGCCCATCACTTCATTTGGGCGCCGCAATGCACAAGGAGCACGGTCCGTCGGTCTTCTACTACGACTTTAATCAGACGATCCTCGAACCGATATTGGAACACACCATCAACGTATCGCATCTAGGACGCGTTCACACATCCGAGTTTGCGTACGTCTTCGGCAATGTGGAGGCATACAACAACTCCGGTAACCCCGTCATTCTGACGGAGTCGGACTATGCTTTGCAGGAACGCGCGAGCCGATCGTGGAGTGCCTTTGCAGCGGACGGAAACCCAACGCAGAAGGGGCAGAATACTCTACAAGGCTGGCTTGACGCATACAATGCCCCGGATCAGACTCACGTCATGACGATTGGCGGGCCGTGGGAGGGCTGGTGGCCATTGAGCGGTGTGAGCTCGCCTGAGGTGGTGCAGCATCAGAAGCTCGTTGAGAGGTGTGCATTCTTCAACAGTCCAGAAATAATTCGAGACCTCCAGTATTGACCGCCGGTCTTGCTGCTTTGGAGCAGGTCGTGAAGCTAGAAACGGACCAGATGCGACGCCTCGGAACGAGAGTCCTAGGCAATGGAACCGGAAATATTCTACATGATGGGGATCAATAGTGAAACGTGCCACACAGGTGGACTGGTAGTTGGTCCTTAATGTCCGTCCACGGTAGGGCCCGGCTCTTGTTTGCTCTCGGCCATATTCATAATATATGCCCATTCTTCTCTGCGAACGCGGCAGACACTCAGCCTCCCATTTGTAATCAGCTGCATGTCTCGCAGCTTGCCTCCGGCTGCTGCGTTATCTTTAATGCTCTTAAGGTCTACGATATCGTCGAACTTCTTGACAAACTCAACACCCACGCAATACCACTTCGGCTTCGCCCTGTCGCTCTTGGGATCATAGTACGGATCCTTCTTGTCGAATGCTGTCTCGTCAACTTTCGCTTCTTCCACTACACGCAAAATGCCCACAACACCAGATGGCTTCGCGTTGCTGTGATAGAAGAAGCCGAGGTCGCCCTTTCGCATAGCTTGCATGTTGTTGCGCGCCTGAGGGTTGCGCACGCCACCCCAAGGTTCTGGCTTCGTGCAAGCAGCCAAATCGTCGATGGAGAAGGCGACATTGATGCCGTTCTCATATCGAGGCAATGGCTCGGCCTTGAGAAGCCAGTAGACTTCTTGATGGCCGTCCGAGTCGCGATTCGATTCGTTCGTCGAGGCTGCGGGTGCTAAACTCGATTTCGGTTGCTTAAGCTCGGCTTTGGTTGGCTTCGATCCTGACTGTAATTTTGCGCTTTTCTTGGGGGGTGCTTGACTGCCGCAGTATCAGCTTACTGGTGTGTTCAGGAAGCAAACGTTCGAAGGTACTCACGCTGCCCCATTCACGTCTTCCTCCGCATCCTGTTCTCGTGCGCGCTTCTGGCGGGTCGTCTTCTTAGCATTGCGTCTCGGTGTTGCTTCCTCAGACGACGGTGAGCTGTCTTCATTGTATCTTGGGGCTGATGAAGGTGTTTGACGCGTTGAGCGACGCGTTGCCGTCATCTTGAGCGCGTTATGGCTAGTTGTTGGGGTTGGAGTGTAAGGTGAGTCCGAGGTGGAATGTCATGATTGGTCAGAGAACACAGGGTCGTTTCCAGGCCCGGTTGGTTGTTCAGATCTAGAGCTTCGAGAGCACCTAAGTATATATATCTGCAGACTCATGTTGAAATTGGAAAGCCATTGCAGGACACCCACAGGATGCTGACAGGATGTTCCTTGCCCGCGAGACGCCGATCCTGTCTCCCTAGATCGACACAACTGCATTCAGAGGTCTTCGTAAGCAAAAACAGCACTTCTGCTTCGCTCAAAATGAATACCTCCAGGGAAGCTCTTTAATTGTAATAGCGGCTTGGAAAAGTTATTTATTGACATCATAGTTAGCCATGTTTAGTTAAACTATGTTTGAATAAATTCGGACTGCAACACCCAGTCGGTGTCCTTGCTCCCACCGGAGCCTGCTTCATCACCTTTATTCGATGCACTCGACACCACGGACGAAACCGTTTGCCTTCCGATCAGCAGCTCGGATTACGTGGGGCCAAGAGAGCTTCTATAATCTACATTCTGCAGTGGGATACACATGCGCGATCGCTGACTTTCAAGTCTTTGGGATGGTTTGTGCTGCTTCAGGTTTGCCGTGGCGTACCATCCACAATAGGACCAGTTGACCTCGCTCGCGTATATATTTCGATCAGATGGCCGCAACAGTAGCGCGCTACCGGTTTTTGTTGGTTGTAAGGTCCGCCTAAGCAGCGCTCCGCAGCCAGGATGACGACAAGGGATGGCTAAGCAAGAAAAGCCTTTTCGTTCCGCCATGTCTGAAGAACAGGGTAGAGATCAAATCCTACCAAAAGAGTTTGATGGAATGGCTCTGAAGGCATCCAGTAAACCTCCATCTGGCTTTCAGTGTTGAAAGCATACCATGTCATTGAGGCATTGATCGTAGGATCTACTGCTGGTATCAAGTGGAAGAATACTGAAGTGTTCGCGTCGCGACTCGACGTTCCGACACACACGCCTAGGGGAATGATAGCTGGATACCGGTTGTGCCGCATTTGTAACGAGAATCGAGCGTTTTGGTGTATGATTCTCGAGGCTTCGATGCCAATATTGTTGAACAGTGCTGTTGCTGACTCTATATCTGGTGGCGGACACGCAGTGACAGAACAATGCGAACGCCATCAGCTCATCATCAATATTAATCAAGTCTCCCATTCAACAGCGTTTGACCCCCTCTTGTCCCGCCATTCCAACATCCTCCTCACGTTTGGTCCATACTCGGTTTGAATCCACGCATCCGTAATCCCGTACGCATCGAAACGATCTCTCAAATTCAGGCTCATCGATCTCTGCATATTGAACCAACTGCAGATCATCGGGAACGATTGAACAGCTTCTTGGTCACTCCAATACAAGTTGTCCTTGACAAGTCGCAAATGAGACTCGTTGCTGTAGACGTATAGACCAGTTTTGTGGCGATGGAAGCGCTCCAAGAGGTCTTTCTGATTTGAGGGATGGGGCTGCAGGAGGACGAGCTGCGGGCGGTAGCCAGCTGCTTGTTGAACAAGGGGTTTGCCTACGAATGTCGTGTTTGGGGTAGGCATGAACTTGGCGGTACTCAGGTCCGGGTCCATAAAGGTTTTTATTTCGCGCCGAGAATTCATTTGCAATGGATTGGGGTCCTGCCACTGATGAATGCCCACTCGAACAGTGGTCAGTGTCTGGTGAAAGGGAGAGAGCAGTGATTCGAGGGTTCGCACTTCGCTCCATATCGTCGGATCGTCCGTCATGGATCGCTTGTTGTTCACCAGAACAGTAAGGTCCTTGATAGATGCCAGAAGATGTGCAACGTGCTCAATTGGGGCTGGTTCGGCGTGCATGATGATTGATCCTTCGACAGCGTGACACCGCAGATCAGTCAACGCGGCAGTCTCGTGGTTCGTTGCCCGGGTAGTTGATATCGTCGCTGCCAGACTTCGAAGTAGTCGTGATTCCTGGTATTCTTCTTGTAGGCGCGTGCATGTTCGAAGCACGGCTGGGACTGGGGCCTTGTGTACATCGATCGCTACGCAATGCACATCGTGCTTGTTAAGCTCCCATCTTAGTCGGACTGGCTGATAGAGATAGCCATAGATCTGATCCCTAATCTCTCGGGGAAGATCAAGGAGCTTGAGACTTCTGGTTTGGCTGTTGTTTGGCGTAGAGGTAATGTATTTGCGACATTCGTGGTGCGAGTCCATTCGAGCCAGGACTGGCCTTACTTCCAGTACTTTTTTATTCATCGAGTTCCTGTATAAAGACTGAAGAAGATGCGCATTTGACTCAAGATAAGAAAGTCAAGGTCACGTGATGCTCGGAACGGGAGGCGGTGAAACGCTCATTTGCGAAAACGCTCGTGCACGCTCGCCATACTTTACCTCGCCAGCTCAGATGCCGAGCCAGTTACAGAACAACCGGTAGCCTCACTCTGATCGTGTCCACGATACGGGGATGCTGGGTCGCCATGATTCAGGGCCGGTGTTCCGGTTTTCAGAGGCCATACCGTCACTTTTCAATGGGCATGATCTACAAAGGTACGGATCACCTTGCGTAAGATCGCGAAAACAACCAGGAGTCCTTGTAGGTGATGTCGGCCAAAGAAAGTTAAACACAAAAGAGATGAACAAAGACGGCGTTGGAGAAGGGAACTCGGAAAGGTTCAGGATCGGCGATGAGAGGGGGGCGCCACGACAAGCATAATGACACCGCTCTTGCTTCTTGCAGCTCTGCTGCCAACGTCCACCTTTTTGGTGTTCTCTACTGTGTAAATCCTTGCAAATCTTCACCGTTCTCAACGGCTCTGAAAGCACGAGCTTTGATTTCAGAACGTGGCTGTGCACTTACCAGTACGCTGTACACAAGCAACGTAGCACTGCCACACAACGTCACCTGCGCACGTTCATCTCGCAATCGACGCGGACCACTACGGAGTTTTCTGTGGAGTTGTAGGTAAGAGGTTGGTGCACAAACGACACAGCCAGTTTCCAGCAGCCAAAAATAAGAATCACGCTAGGATCCACCACTGAGACCCTGCATTTCTGGTAGCCCTGTCGTCGCTACGTGGCCTCGGTTCTCGACCACATCGCCGCCGACTCTTCCGTTGCATTGACCACGGAACGCGGCCTCAGTCTCAGAGTACCGGCCCCATTGGCTAAGCTGTGGCTGGGATGGGCTCGATGTGACGAGCACTGCTGTCCCACCCCACAATGTCGCCGTGAGAGTGGCGGTGTCGGCCGGTTGTTGAGACAGCTTTCGTGCGATTCGTATGATGACACTGCGCATGATGACATGGCATAGAGGGGCATAGAGGGGTTATATAAAGTTAAGGTCAGTAAGGAGGTTTTCGCTGCGATTTTGCACATACCACTTCTGTTTTCATTCTCTACTACTATAAACCCTCAACATGTCTTACAACCAAGATGGATACGGCCAGCAAGGCGGCTACGGTCAGCAGCAGCACCGTGGCGAGGCTAGCGAGTTCTACAACCAGGGCAGCAACAATGGCTACGGCCAAAACAATGGCCAGCAACAGTACGGCGGTCAGCAGGGCGGTCAAGGAGGCTACGGTCAGGGCCCTCCGCAGTACCAGCAATACCCCTCTGCTGCAGCACATTCCTCGAACGGAGGCCGCAACTCCGAGAACCAGGGCTACCAGAACCAGTACGGCGGTGCGGGCGACCCAGAGGGCGACCGTGGTGTCATGGGCGGCCTCGCTGGAGGTGCCGCAGGTGCCTTTGGTGGACATAAGCTAGGTAACCAAGCTGGCCACGGTACCGCAGGTACTATCATCGGCGCCCTCTCTGGCGCGTTCGCCGGGCACAAGGCTCAGGACGCGGTCTCAGACTGGAAGGATGATCGCGATGAGAAGAAGAAGTGGGAGAAGGAACAGGAGGAGAAGGAGAAGTACAACAAGCAACATCACGGTGGCCCACCACCCCAGCACGACCAGAATCGCCGCAACAGTGGCGACAGCCGCGAGCGTGGTAACTTCGGGGGCAACTTCACTGCCTCATCGAGGGATATCCGTATCGACGCGCACGGCGACTTCACCCTCCACGCTCAATGCGCCCGCACCGATGGCTCGTACCAGTCCAGCTCGATCAACTTGAACCAGTTCATCGAGAACGACAATGGCAGCTTCCGCTGGACGGGAGGTTGCAGCAACGGCGCCCAAACATATACTGTCCAGCAGGGCGATACACTCCGAGCCATTGCGGGCAGGTTCTCGCATTGCTCATTTGAAGAGCTTGCGAGGCACAACAACATCTCCAACCCCGACCAGATCTGGCCCGGCCAGAATCTTCAGATCCCCGGTGGTGGCAGCCGTGGTGGAGGCAACTTCGGTGCTTCGGCCAGGAATGTGAGGCTGCAGCATGGTGGACAGGAGCTTGTCGCTGACCTTGGTCCTTCGTGGCACACAAGGACTCTCAACCTTGATGAGAGGATCGGTAACAAGAACGGGTGCTTGGAGTTTGTTTAATCCGCTGGAGGAAAAGTGACAGTATGAATACATGACGAGACACCAAATCAAAAGAATTGAATGACAATGCTCAATTGTTAACTCAGATCTCATGTTTGCAATTGTGATCGTCGAAACTCTCTTCCGTCGGGTGGGTTGACCATGTTAAACGCGTCGGAGTAGAAGAATACTGATATTGCATTGCATTCGGCCTTGTTTGTGACATGCCATAAATTCAAATTATTTTTTGTCATTACTTGGCTTCTTAAGCTGGTACACAAAGCCGAAAGGTCGACAGGGCCCTGATTTTCTAGTTTATATGCATACCTTGACTCTGTCTGTCTTCTCAAACTTAAATGATCCTCGAAGACGCTATGGAGCTGATCCTTGTTTGAGATCACTCAACTTTACTCTTCAGGTCCACCAAAATTCCATCCTCTGAACCCATCGAATCTCTTTGGGACCGAATGAATTGGAAGAACATATACATCATTCTCGACTTTCTTCTCGGCTGCTCCTCAGCAACACATTCTTCCCCTATGAAATTTAAATGTTGCGAATGCACTCCTTATGACATGGACCCTCGCGTGGCTTCGTTCAGCTCACAGAATCCCTGGAGAGAACTCTATAACATCTATCCCCTTTAAAACGCAAGCCTACGAGCTACGCGGAGGCAAGCGCATGTTATGTCGCAAGTGGTTGAGTTTGACCGGTGTAGCACACGGCCTTGCCTTGCAATCTACTACTGCGTGTACAAGGCGTGCTTGTTGATAACTTCACACGTACATCCAAAGACAACATAGGCCAATGCGTGCGCCATGGCGAGGCGAGCGTGAAAAGGAACCGTTGCTCAAGATGACTACCAAGCAAAAAAGAAACACGTACGTGGAGACGACTGTTATGCGTGATATTGCGATGCCCTCAACTCTATATAGGCCACTGAAGGAGGCAGTGTAAGATAGGTGCAAGATCTTGGGTATCAAGAAATAGGAAGAGCTAAGGTGCAGGAAGAACGCTCATCATGGTATCATATAAACACATACACCTCGTCGCGCGGTCAGATCGAGCGGTCCGTGCTCCCAAAATCTCGCCGCGTGATCCCCAATGTCCAGAAAGATGCTTGAAGAATGGAAATCATGAGGAATAAGAGAGGTAAAACAATGTACGATGTCGTCGAGCTCAATACCAACGGGCACCACCACCATCCTCCTCTTGAACCCGGTGCGGTATCAGCGGCTCCCTGATATCGTACGCTCTGATGAACATCTGCCATGTTGGGTAGTCGATACTGAACACAGCTTGGTGTTTCTGTGCGCCTTGATCTCGTTGTTCCGTGACGCCTCGGGGGGCAGCAGGTACTATAACGTGTCAGTGTGATATTCGCGATCAAGGAGTATACTGACTTACGGAGCAGTGGTAGCCCATCATTGTCCTTAATAATCTGCGCATTGCCTTCTCTTACCAGAAAACTAATGTAGAATAGGTTTTCGATCGTCTGCCCAAAGTCGCGCGGATTGATGGCGAAGTCGAACAAGTGAACGCCAGCCTCGTCGTCTGGTGTCCTAGCAACACGATGCCTGGCAAACGCAGCAGCTTCGTCTTCCTCTGTTATCGAATCCTCCCCAACATCCTCAGTCAGCTGTTCGATTTCAGTAGCCGCAGCGTCTGCTGCAGCTTCCAAGTGCTGCTCCAATCTCGACTTGATGCCCTTGACCAGATGTGTGAGATTGGTATTCTCAGACTGCGTGATATCGCCTTCTTTAATTTCATGTGGCCTGGTTGCGGGGCCGACAGGACCTTTTCTTTGCGTTGCTCGTCGTTGTGTGGTTCTGACCTTCTTCTGCACTGACAAGGGACCGAGAAGAAAACTCGACGTGGGTGGTCGCTTATTGCTCGGAAAACAGGCTCGTCGCCCGAATAAGGCCCAATCAAGACCATCGCCGGTGTCTTCCTCTTCATCCTCTGCGACCGCTATGGCTGGCGCGTCTTCTTCGCCATGTCTATAACCACCGGACTTCATAAAATATATGCACTTCGATACGAATTGATCGAGATCAATACCAGCGCCACCACTACCGTGCAAACTCTTCTGCAGCTTCATGTTGGCCATATCTGTCGCAGTAACAAGAAACCTGGAGTCGACTGTCGCATCTGCGGTCTGCCTCACTTTCCCAAACGTCGAGTCGTTTTTCTTGAGCAGCTCGAACAAGCCATTGTTCTTGGCTTGAATGAATGTGTCACGATTTTCTGGGCTATGTCAGCGTGATTCAAGAAGATGTAGGTCTGGCGTCGCGTACCCTCTAGCTGACGGTGATGATCGCGCAGCTGATAGCGGACTTGGCGGCGCTTTTCGGGATCCTGGTTGGGATTGTAGAGTTTGATTTGGCTATCTTCATCTTCCTCGGGCTGGGTAGTCGGTGCCCTCCGCGGGTTCCGCTGCTCCTGTTCTTCCTCGTCTTCATCTTCCTCCTCATCCTCATCCTCGTATAACCCGGAGTTGCCAGTTTGACGATAGTTGTCGGTCCGCCTCCGTTTGTTGCTGGTGTCGCTGGTTGTAGAGCCAGTATCGGGCGTTGGGATTCGCCCAGACGCGTTACTGAGGCCCCTGCGTTTCGGTGGTTGCGGCGTGCTCTCGCGTGAGATGTTCTCCTTATCGGACGACTGCGACGGGCTCAAGACTGAGTATGTGGAAACACGCGCATGGCTGTGGCTGTGAGGCGCGACTGAGGGGTCACGGTACAAGGAATCGACTGTTGAGGCACGAGCCTGAGGGGTGGCCGAGAGATGTGTGTTGAGACGCGCCATGACGGCTTGTCTTGCGCTGAAAGACAGATAATAACGAAGGAAGGGCGGTGTTGATGTTTGACGTCCGGGCACCACAGGCTGTGGCCCGGCCAGGACGCGGCTGCCGTTTGCTTAGCGCGAATCTCGCGAAGAAAGTGCGGAGCGTCATTGGTCACGTGTGAACGCTCGAACGCGTACCCCTGCCATTCAGTGGAGCAGGTGCATCCGTGCGGGCAAGCAAGCCACACCCCACGTTTCACACCTCGCAACCGGGAGACTTCTTGACGCTTGTTCTGGAGCAACCAGGGCTTTGGGTGAAGCCCGTCGGTGTCGCGCGCCTATGGACAGCGGTAGCGCACAGCTTCCTCACCGCTCACGATGGAAGCCTTCAACTTCGCGACGTCACTTGACCTGACCGAGCTGTCAGTGCATGTGAAGATGTGAGCTTCTACACTGCTGTGACCGACGTCAGCTAAGAGATGGCAGAGACCGTCTAGATGGGAACCAGAAGCAAATACCGTACTCGGTGCTGCTCAGGCGGCCAGACCTTCGGCACCGAGCTTCCAACATCAAGTAAGTGACCGCCTAGGCCGGAGCCGGAGAGCGCGCGGCTGATGCTATTAGTCCTCACTTTGAGCTATATGTGACAGCACAAATCTGGGCTGACAGTAAGCCTCTTACCATTCCCGTCCAGACCGCCTACAAGTCGTTCAAGAATGCGCGCATATGGAACGAATGGCTCGAACTGCCCGTCACCTACGCCAACCTCCCTGCTTCTGCGCAGCTCGCCATAACTTTATGGGATTTGTCGCCTCTAGAAGATACCGACTCGAACATGCATGCTGTACCCTTCGGCGGCACCACCATACCGTTGTTCGACAAGGACAACACACTACAGAAGGGCCGGCAGCGATGCAGGATCCACCGTCACAAGGCTGCAGATGGCCTGTCAAGTACTACCACACCGTCAGTCATACCGCCAGCGCGACGAAACCGTAAAGCACCTGCAGTGGAGGACACAGTCGATGAGCAAATTGCTGAGATGCAGCGCCTGGAAGATCTGCTGAAGAAGCAAGAGATGGGCGACTTGCCAACCAACACATGGCTAGACAATCTCGTTTACAAGAAGATGATGAAGATTCGCAGCGACGCGCTGAAAGCCGAGGCCGCTGCCCTCAACCGCAGGAAAGACACAAACGGTAGCAGCAACGGCACTGATGATCATGAAGATGATCTAGAGTTATTCTATCTCGACATCGAGTTTCCGCGCTTCGATCATGCTATTGTCTACACAGACGTAGAGTATCCTCCGCCACCCGTCTCTGACTTACGGTTACCTGCAGAGTCAGATATCCGGTTGCGTCCACCACCGGAAGTGTCATTTGGACCCGACATAGATGTCGATGGCGTCGGGTACGGTGATGCCGATGCTGGCCGGCTCATCAAGATATACGATCCTGAGATTGGGCGAAGGGTCAACCCAGCCGAAGACAAGCATCGAGAGTTGATGCGCAGCCAACAGACAGACTCGCTGGACCGCGACAGAAAGCCTAACGTGCATGTTCGCGACAAGCTGAATTTGTTGATGGCCAAAGGTCCACTTGAAGAGATCACGTCACATGAAAGGGACGACATCTGGAAATTCAGATACTTTCTGCTTCGCGACAAGCGCGCCTTGACCAAGTTTGTAAAGTGCGTAAATTGGAAGAACCCAAGAGAAGCGCGTCAGGCTGCACCTTTGCTCGACAAGTGGGCAGAAATCGATGTAGATGACGCGCTGGAGCTACTCGGTCCCCACTTCGACCACCCGGTTGTGCGAAGCTACGCTGTCGAGCGCCTTAAGAAGGCCGATGATGAAGAGTTGCAGCTATATCTCCTCCAGCTCGTACAAGCCCTCAAGTATGAAGCAGCCGGGGAGGGTGATGACTCGTCTCTTGCGCGCTTTCTTGTGACACGAGCAGCGAACAGTTTCGCACTGGGCAACTTCTTCCACTGGTATCTCATGGTCGAGATCAGCGATATGAGCTCTGATCAAGAACCTGAACACCGCGATCTCTTCGCAAAGGTCGAATATGACTTCATGGTTGAGCTCGAGAAAACACCAGAGGGAGTTGAGACTCGTAATACTTTCCGTCGTCAAGGCGAGCTTCTCACTATTTTGGCCAAGATTTCGAAAGACGTGCGATTTGGCGGTGGTGATCGAGTCACGAAGCTGGCTCGTCTCAAGAAAGCCCTTGCCGATCCAAAGAACGAGCTGACGAACTTCGAGCCACTACCTCTCCCACTGGATCCTTCGGTCTACATTACTGGTATTGATCCCGAGAACTGCAATGTGTTGAAGTCGTCCCTTCTGCCTATAGTCCTCAACTTCCGTACCAGTCACTCGCAGAAATACCCGATTATTTTTAAGTTTGGCGACGACTTACGCCAGGATCAACTCGTAATTCAGATCATCACGCTTATGGATCGACTTCTTCGCAAAGAGAATCTCGACTTGAGACTTACGCCGTATCGTATTCTCGCCACCTCCACCTCGGCCGGTGCCTTTCAGTTCGTGCCCTCGATGAGTATTGCAGCAGCATGCCAGAAGCACAAGGGGTCACTTCTTGCGTACCTGCGCGCCAATAACCCCGACACAAACGCTGACCTCGGAGTCAAAAAGGAGGCAATGGACACATACATCAAGAGCTGCGCGGGCTACTGCGTCATCACATACCTGCTCGGTGTTGGAGATCGTCACTTGGACAACCTACTCATTGCACCTAGTGGAGCTTTCTTCCACGTCGACTTCGGTTACATCCTCGGTCGCGACCCCAAGCCTTTCGCCCCACAGATGAAACTCTGTCGCGAGATGATCGAAGGAATGGGTGGAGCTACGCACCCTAATTATCTTTCCTTCAAGGAGTATGCGTTCACGGCCTGGTCCACGCTGCGCAAATCTTCCAATCTGCTACTGAACTTGTTTGCGCTCATGCAAGGCGCTAACATTCCTGATATCAAGGTCGAGCGTGAGGGTTCAGTACGGAAAGTACAGGAGCGTATGTGGATGGGTAAGAGCGAAGGCGAGGCAGCGGAGATGTTCGAAAGACTTGTGGAAGAGAGCATGGGTGACTGGAAAGCAGGGGTTATCGATTGGGCACATGAGTTTGTGCAGACATATTGGCGAAAGTAGATTCGGAGTATGTATTGCGACTGGACTGGTTGCAATTGGACGCTTGACAAACCGCTTGCAGGGGTGACACGCCCTTCGGTCTCGGTGTGTTTATGAGTACAGCTATCAAGTGCATGTACGAGCGTTTGACACTCCTCCCGCAATATACTACGCAGATCTGGTCTTCTTCCCAGGCTCGGATAGATTGTTCGACTTACTCCAGCATCTTGCACTCTCTACCCTGACCTTTATTAGCAAAATTCTCTCCAAGACACTCCAGCAAGTCGGCCGGATATAGGTTATAGCTCCACGAGCCCCAGGACTTTGGAGCGCAGAATCGATCACTTTGCGTTGCAAGCGTGTACACGTAAGATGCCACCCGGGCAACTGCGTGCATCTCCCAGTCCTGGAAATCGATCCCAAAGTCCCGGTCGTCGACCTGATGTTCAACCATGCACGACTCGACATAGTGACCGTGTCATGGTAGACCAGAGGCAGACCAGCCATTGTAGGAGGGTACTGAAGTAGCCTTGACTCAATATTTTCCACCGTCTTCTTACACAAAAGCGATTCTTCGTCTGTAAGTCCTGTGTAGTTGTAAGAGTACTTCCGTTCCAGAAGACTAGTCTCACTGATAACATCGAGAGCATCGCATAGGACGACCTGCATCGTTGCCAGCCGTGGAGGCTTCTCACGTAGTGCTGCTGCAAGCTTCTGCGCGTTCTGCCACACCTCTTGGTTGTGCTCAGTACGGTAAGACATGTTGCTCATGAGGACGACGGCATTCCGCAACTGAGAGACAACATCGACACTGATCAGCCTAGCATAATATGTGGTCTGTGTATTCATGTTTTGGAAGCTTTCGATATGAGTTTGGCTGCGATGTCATCATTGCATGTAGGTTGGCCCTCTACCAGGCACACAATATACAACCATACGGCAGGTGTGCTCACGTTGGAAGTAGGTGCAAAATTGCAAGATGAGTGCCCGTCGGGTGTACTTAAGTGCCACACCACACGGCATCCAGGCACAGACGTCCAGTGTCACCATCCCGTTGTCTTCTCTCCGACTCGTTGAGCTCTGGGGTCTGCACTACAGACACGTTATCGCAACGTTCCTCTTTCCGTTCGATCGCCGTGGGACGTTCCACCTTAGCCCTGTCCGCTGAGGCTAGGGCCAATTCAGGTACAGGTGTACAGTATCGACATTCCCTCATCGTCTGTTCAGCTCCCGAGGCCGTTGAGTCTGCATTCTAGGCCCTCACATCGGTCCTCTTACTGCCGTGACTCTATTTTCTTCCGGCCCAACTGTTGAGGCTACGGCGACTTTTGCGTTGACCCGCTTCCAAATCCTCACATCGGAAGTGTTCCCCTTCAGGCTGATTTCGTTCTACTCGGTTTTGGCGATGATCCGAACAAACTACACCCGTTCCTCATTTTCCTCACAAACCGTAAGTACTCCTCAAGCGCTTCGATATGCGAGGGGTATGTTCTTTCCTTGTTCATCGAAAGCTTCAAGTACTTGCCATCACTCCGGCCTCTGAGCGCACAGTAGTACTCGCCCTCGTGCTCAGAAGATCGCCGTAGAACGACCTCAAGCTTCTTGCCTTTCAAGCCTGTGACGTTCGTAGCTTGTTCTAGCGAGTGTAAGTTACGAGTTTGGTCTTGAGTCGATGCAACGTACGTAGGCATTCGGCTTTCAGCAGCGCGATTCTGTCCAGATCATCGATTGACTCAGTGTCACTCATCGCCGTTGAAATTGTAATACTGTTGAATTTTGTCGCGATGTCAGTTGAACAACACCAGACTAAAGGATCGAGTTTCTGCAGATAGCGAGTACTGAATGTCGCCGTCAAAATAATTGCGATGGGAGTCTTTTATCTCCGCAAGGCTCTGAACTCCATGTACCTAATTGCAGTCTACCCGCAGGAGTCCAAAAGCTTTGCGTGCCCAAACACGGACCACAATTGGGTAGAAAGCAATGGAGATCGACCGTTGAGCCGAACGTGCACGACCCAAAGCCCAGGATCTAGGGACTGGGGAAGGAATTCCTCCTCCGTATACCGTCATTGTGGGCTCTGCGAGAGATTCCTCCGCTACCAGTGGTGCTGAAAGTGCTTGGAAAAGGGGCTATTCGGTCGCAGACTTGGGCTGCACACTTAACTATACTAACTTTGATGCCGCATCGAAAGGCCCGTTTGTTTATCTAGGATGATGACACAAGCACACCAGCTCTTTTCAACCAATCTCTCCAACAGAAAATAAAGCACCGGCGAGATGTAACTATCTGAACATGCCCATGTAAGAGTGCCCACACTGACTGTAAGGTGAGGAGTGGTGTTGGAACGCGACGATGACGCGACATTTCACTCTAGCGAGCCCCACCTTCATCTCCGCGCCCGCTCCTCATGATCCTTGTCCCGAGCTACATTATGCTCAGATCTACTCTCTTAAATGCACTACTAACAGGTTTTTCGTTGCAATTGTCTGGATTTGACTCTGGTATCTAATTCAGGCTATCTGGAATAGTACTTTAAGGTATACACTTTTGCTCAACGTGTCGAAATATCTGAATACACTGAAATGGAAGGGTAACGCTATACAAGTGTCGCAGCGGTAATCTATGCTGCGATGCCGACGGGCTGAATGCCAACTTCTGTCAGCTTCGCCGCTTCTGGCTCCTTAATTTCGACTTCGACGGGGTCAATAGTATCTGTCAGCCCCATGTACTTCAAACTCGCGGCCCAGCCCAGATCCTCGCCGAAGTAGCTCTGCATAACTTCGACACCATACTTGATACCGTTCTTGGGATCATACGTAAGGCACTGTTTGCCAACCGCAATGCCAATGACGGCATCCCATGATGGAAGCTCCGTCTGCTCGTAGCGATCAGAGTCTGATGCAGTGTCTGGAAGCTCGGAGTTCAGGATCGACGAGTAGATGTTCATCGCGGCGGCCTGACCCATGACCGTAGCGCTTCCAGCACGCTTGATGCCCGTCCATTGGATAACGTCGCCAACACCGAAGTGGTATGTGGAATTGGGGATGGTTTCCTTGAACACGAGACTGTTCTTGACCACAATCTCTTTATCTTTGTTCAGACAGGCGTCGGGGAGGATGCCAGTCGTAGGCTCGCCCTTTCTTGTCGAATCGATGACAAAGTCTGCTGTGATCTTCTCACCGTTCGCCAGGGTAACTTCGAATTTACCGTTTGAAAGCTCCTCAATCTTAGCTCTGCTGCCGAGAACGACGTCAACACCCTCTTCCTTCAGCATGGTCCCCACACGATCTTTGAGCTCTGAGGGCAGTGGCTCCGATGACAGGACCTGATCGCGAGAGTGCACAAGCGTGACTCCGATCTTTGGGTAATATTGCTTGATCTCGCCGGCGAACTCGATTCCAACAGCGCCAGCGCCGATGACGACTACTCGTCGCCCATCGTGCTGCGACTCATCACCGCCTGTAATCTTCTGGATGAATGATTTTCCGTCTCGTAGATAATCCTCATAGCTACCCGATTTTGGGACTGCGGGCCAATGCCTCTTGAGCCCTGTAGCCACTACAAGATAGTCATACGCTTGCTGCTGAGTCTTGCCGTTGCGGTCAGACCATTCGGCAACCTTAGCCTCAGGATCAATGCTCTTGACTGAGCCGTGTCTGAATGTCAAGTTGGACTGCTTCAATTCGTTCAAGTGCGAGAAGCGCTTCCACATGTGACTTGTGTACTTCGGTGCCACATGGGCAAGCGGAGCTCCCACCGAGTGGACTACAAAATACCCCTGTCAGTACACGATCTGCTGCTGGAAAAATTCAAAGACAACACTTGTTGAAGCCTCGGTTAGTGGGGCTGAGAGATTAATGACGTACAGTATCCGTCGCGCTCGTCGATGACGGTGACTTCAACACCTCGTCTGCTCTTTACTCCTTTGAAATCTGGTCCTGGGTAGATGGGCTGTCTTGCCTTGCCGTTGGACAGTTCGAGAAGGTTGACAATTGCTGCAATGCCTCCGTAGGCACAACCGACAACAAGAATGCGGTGAGGTGTTGATAGCGACATACCACCAATGGCATCTGTGAGGTTGGGCATTCTCATAGTGAAAATTTTGATCTGATAACGATTCTAGAGGAAAGACAAGTGGGATGGAAAGGAAATAGAAAAGATGATCTGATTAGATTAGGACCTGCTCGGCGTTTTATCGCGCAGACCGCTTTCTACCGGTATCGGTCACAGGCTACCTTTTCGGAAACAGTCAGTCCACAAATTACGCTTCGGCAGCTCTGACATTGTTCTAGCATCCACTTCTGTTACGGGGTGGTGTGCTGAAGATGCGATTGGCGCAGACCAGCAAGGTTATCAGATCCGCAGCAAATTTTTATCAGATCCTCTCCTTGGCAGCGTCGGCCTGACGGCTCCTCTTCCACGCAGCCCATCGTAAAGTCATTCGCCAAGAATCCGTACATGTGTTGGCGGCAACCTTGTCAGGACTTCTTCGCCTGAAGCTGCTCTGTATTACTGCAAGGGCGGAGCGTGATCCCGCACATGCGTCCGTTGATTTGGGTCCTGCTTCTTCTGACCTTAGGCGTTCACTCTACGACTCGAGTGTGCGATGAACATATGACGAATGTAGGTAGTGCACAGCCGGCGCCGGAGAGACCAGCGACTAGCCTGAGTTGCCGGTGGGTTCAGGTTGCTTCTCACAACGCCAGCTCGGATACCGGTCTGCATCATAAACCGTTCCACAAAACCACGACCAGGGTACATGGTGCGAAACCTATGTCACGTGCATTTGCATCGGACATGAGTCACATATTAGTAAAGTCGCATTGGTGATCGAATTCCGCCGCCAAGTCGCCTTTTAGGTAAGCCACACCAAGCCTGCGAACCACCCCATTGGTGCGGAGTGGCTGTACGAGGATTGCGAACTGTGTTTACTGATCGACTGTGCGGAGTTCCACTGCACAAAGTGCACTCAGCTCCAGTGTTGTCGCTGCCTAGAGCGTTGGTCCCTTTCGTAGCCAACCAGAATCTGTCCTTGACTCTATTACGAATCTTGAACGCGAGAGCTTACAGCTGTACTTTGCAGTGGCCAGCTAGTGTGCCACGGTGGGAACTACCTATATAAATCGCAAGCTTCAGGAGGACAATATGCTTCATTCGAACACAACTTGATTACCGTTCCAGCTACTCTACCAATTCCAACACCATGTCCCAAAAACTGATTACCGTTTTCGGCGCAACGGGCGCACAAGGCTCGTCTGTCCTTCGGAGTCTAGCTGCTAGTAATTCAAAAATGTTTACACTACGTGGAACCACCCGCAGCCCCTCGAGCGACTCATCACAGAAGATCTCTGCCCTTGGTGTTGAGGTCGTGAAGGCCGACGGATGGGACAAGGAGTCCATGGTCGCAGCCTTCAGTGGCTCGTGGGGTGCCTTCGTCAACACAAACAGTGATGACCCCATTTACGAAGATCCTGACTTCAAAAAGACTGAGCTTGATCAGGGCAAGTTGATTGTAGACGCAGCTGTTGAAGCCGGTGTACAGGTGTTCGTGTACAGCGGACTCAAAGGTGCAAAGGAGATTACAGGTGGCAAAGTAGCGAACCCGGCATTCGATGGTACGTGTAATTTGATTATGTCAATGCGGACACTGATAGGATCTAGACAAAGGCGACATTGGCAAGTATGCTGAAGCTACTGGAGCTTTCAAGAACGTTGTTCTTGCAGGTCCAGGTGACTATTACGAGAACTGGACCCATAAGGATCTGGCACCAGTCTTCGGTGGTTTTCCCTACATCCCATCTGAGGACGGCACGTTGGTGTTCCGGTCGCCGAAATGGGGTGGCAAAGAAGAGATCCCATTCATCTCAATCGCGGAAGACTACGGCGATATCGTACACGGAATTTTCCTGGACCCTGCAAAGTGGAATGGGAAGTTGGTGCAAGCCGTTAGCGAGGTCACATCTTTCGAAGAGACAATGAAAGAGTTCGAACGAGGTTTGCATCACTAGTCAATTTGCCTCAAATCGAGAACTGACATATAGTAGTCACTGGCAAGAAGGCCCGCTTCGAGGAGATCCCAGATTGGCGCGACTTCAATACTTATGGTGTCCGTGCACTGGAGACGGTCAAGCTCATGTTCGCCTTCTGCCAGGAGTCCGGTGGGCTTTACTACGGTGAACAGACTGACAGTCATACGGCAGCGGATCTGAAGCAGAGAGCTGCTGAAGCTTGCGGCAAGTCTGGTGATGAGACCAAGCTCTTCACGCTCAAGGCATTCTTCACGAGAGAGTTTACCGGTAACTAAAACAATCATCTGGTTTATTAATTCCATAGTTCTGTACACATAATACATTGTTTTCCTCCACTATCTGTCATCAGAACCCGATGTTTAGATATCTGTTATTTCTCCCACTAATCAACCCAGTAAAGTCAGTAGGGAGCTCAAGCCATTTTTTCACATGCGTTGAATAACAAAAAGTACACATATTACCAAGTGGTATCGGCGTTTGCTCTCTCAATAACGCCCGCAGATGCTCTCATTGCTGCCCGCTAAATCTGAACATTCGTCTTAACGAGCACACAGTCATTGATCTGCAGCTGTTCAATCAAAAGAGATATCGGAACTGTTCTTGGTTCGCACATTTCACAGATCGCTCTCATGAACAGTTCATGAGGGCACAACAGCGTGGATATTGGATGTGGCCAATGTTGCAAGAACGAGAAGATCACACCAAACGCATCTGGGGGATCGCATCCGTTGGCGTTCCTTGTAGTACCCGATCGAGCTGTGGATATTGTATACGCCAAGAGATTTTCACGAACAGAGCAGTCCCCGTATCACTGCTTTACTGCAGTCCCGTTATTTCATGTGACCATGATCAACTTGATAAACGTCGCATTGAATAGGAAGTGGTGTATACTGGATGTACTGCAACCATGTCCACAAGCCACGATATGGGCGTCTCAAGAATCTAGGTTGCAAGGCGAACATGTGTCCTGAAAACATAACTGTGGTCATGGAGTTGATGTCACTAGACATTCCCATCAGATATATGTTCTTGAAATCCCACGTCTTTGGTCTTCCGCCTCCGCGTTTCTTTGCAGAAGCGTCTTGCGCACCCAACCCCATCACATCCTGCAGTATGCTCATGCTCAACTTCGTGCTTGTGCAATTCGGCGTTTGTAAGAAGTCGGTCGTCCGCGCACACAGAGCACTTGTGTTTGAGCACATATGGGGCAGTGTGTATAGGTCTGCGCTGGGATTCTGGGTCGGGCCAACGAATTTGGGTGGTATCGCCCACAAATGCATCGTTGCTGGTATCTGAGGCATGCACTGAGCCGGATGCGGATGGAAGCTGGGATGACATGGAGGGACTTCTTGTGTTCAATTGAAATGGTGGGTAGGCTACCGGGGTGACTATTCGCGATGAATCAGTCAGCGGTGTTGTGCGTGGAGTGATGTCCTCGGTATTTTTGCCGACAGCCGTTTGCGGTGTGGTGGCGGTGATAGAGTCAAGTCTTCTGACGTCGATATTAGGAAAGTCAAGTAAAGCTACGACCAGAGCTTGGTCGAATTGGTAGTTGGGCAGGCCGGCTGCCTTTCGCAAAGATAGACTAAGCATGAGGTTCCACCTGTCGCTCTCACTCACTTTATTCGACACGGTACTCCTTGCGACGTTGTCCAAAAGACGGCTACTGATAACGGCAAAGTATGCACGTTGTAACTTTGAATGGACATCAATTGGTGCCATCTCACGAATTGAGAGCTGAAGGTCACCTTCAAGCTTTGTACATGACAACAATTGTTGGTAGTCTGGACGTTCGGGTATTGGAAACAGGCCGGCCTCCCACCTATAGGTTCTACCGTCCTCGGACCTGGTGGAATGTCCTTGCATCTTTCTGAGCATAGCTTGAAGGACCTCGGTGCAAGTAGGTTCTGCTAGAGTAAGTGCAGCAGCAACGTATGACCGGACCCCGTCAACATGCTCGTATTCAGGATCCGCACCTGCATCGAGCAGCTTCTGCGCCAAGGCGAGCACATCTCCATCTGAGGCCTGTTCAATGCATGCTCTCAACGGCGTCATACCTTGGCTGTTGAGCCCATTAGGGTCGACGCCTCGACTCAACAGAGTCTCAACATCCTCCAACGCCCCTGCATAATGCCTCTTTGCGACTGGACAAACTCCGACCACCTCATGTAGCATCGATACCCCACTGTTACAGGTTTCTTGGCGATATCTGTGAAGTACTTGTCGCGATATGCATGGAGGTGAATGCCAGATGGCTTGGTGAAGAAATGTGTTGCTTGATTCAGCTGCACATGGACTGCCAAAGAACTTCGCCGAGAGATCAGCGCCCTTCTCAACAAACTTTCCAAGGCATTCCATCTCTTCCCAACTTAGTCTCATATTCCAGTGATCAAAGTCGTGCCAAGGCTCTATAAATTTCTCAAAAGAAAAGGCACTGGATCCCTCAGGTGGTGAAGCATGGATGCTGGCCCCTGCGTCCAGCAATAATTTCAGATTCTTGTTGCACTTGTCCCGGACAACTTCGTCACCGTACTCGCGAGCTCGAAGTTCCAGGCAAATTTGTAGAGCCGTATGAATACCTGGACTGGCAGGAGATAGCCCAGCATCGTTCACTCTGGCCCCACGCTTGATCAGTATGCTTACAAGGTTGGGCCCGGCCCAAGCGACGGCTTGCAGCAGCGGCTTCCAACTTTGATTAGGAAGGCCGTTAACTTCGGATCGACCAGGTATAAGAAGTGCCTGCACGGTATAGGCCCGGTCGTTTCTTATGGCATTGTGCAAGGCTAAATCAACACCTGATGGATGCGTTGAGCCTTTGGCGCCATATGAGAGAAGCACCCACACGACCGGTCCGTTCGGCATTGCACTTGCGATGTCTAGCAACGTCTGATGGGGATGTTGCATGATGTCCATTTTCGTGAGGACTGGATGATTGGCGAAACGGCTGTTAGGGGCCTCAAAAGGCATACCGATAGGATCATTCACCTCGCTCATGTGCTCCATCAGGAGCTTTTCTAGCTTGGCGCACTCGTTGTCCAGAACGAACGCGATCATATCTTGTGTTACTTTAGATGCGGTAGGTGGATCTTCCACCCACGCTGGGATCTCAATAGAAGGCACTAAGCTAATATCACTGTCAGTCGTGGAGTACAAATTTGCACCAGACACATACGTTGGCGTCTGTGTGGCCGACCCAGTGAAAGGAGGCTGTGTATACGTGAGTCCTGCACTACTCATGGCTTGCCATTCACCGGGGTTTGTGCGATGCGTGACTGATTCGGTATCAACAGACATAGGCTCAGCTGACAGTGCTGGCGACTCTTCATCACCAATATCGCGGCCACGTCCAAGATTACTGTCACTTTTGTGATCGAGCCGAGGTTTTCGACCTTTGTGTCGCATGAGGCCCCATTCTTTGAGCTTCATGCGATACGCTCGAGTCCTATATAGGGTGAGAATGTGCAAAAATGATTTCAAGCAGCTGCTTACGACGCCCTGAACTTGTACTTGCGCTCCATCAGCTCTTTGACTTCCTCCAAAGGTTTCTTTTGATTGAAGGAAAGCTCTTTGATCTCATCTTGAACTACATCCCAGTCCTTTGTCATGTCTGCGAGTGCGGATATCCCGAGCGTGCAAAGTTTCGAAGTTTGTCAGTGGTCTTGGCCGCCAAGCGCAGCACGAAAGAGGTCACTAATGTAACAGGACGCGTGATAAATCAACGTTGCTGGTATAGTATACGAGTTGCAACGACAGCAAAATCCGGGGAAGTGCATACACGAGAGATGCAAGTGCAAGATTACGAACCCGAATTGCACTTTTATCTGCGCTAGCTTTGAACGGACTAGCGCATATGACATCATCGACTTGCACATTGAAACTTGTGCAATACGACGAATATTGATACAAGTGGTCTTATAGAAAGCATAGATTAGAAGGATGGAGGTGTTAGTTGATGTTTCAGCATGACTGGGCTTCACCAGCAATTCGATGAAAACGAGGGCTGCGAACATGCTATGCCAGTTGTTCCTGAAAGAGAAGTGGAGGTCGAACCCTGTGGGCGGCTCTCAAGTTCAGAAAAAACGGCGGATAAGACTTTAAGCTTACCAACTTTATGGAATACCTAACTTGTAGCTACTATAATACCTAAAGCTAGAATTAAGTTAAGAGTTACCTATATTGTAGGTAAAAAAGTATTCCATAGAGTTTTGCAGTGTTTCCTCTACTGTTGTGTGGTGTACTTGGCTTATATTCTTAGTTCGATGTCTATTCTGCAACGTGAGAGGGCAGAATGCTCCCCGTACTTGTATGATCCTTTGCAATAGGCTAGGTGAGTTATCGATAAAAAGATTGGCATTGGGCGTGACAAGCGATGACAGGGTACATGCCGCCTGTCAGAGATGACGAGATTTAACTTTGTCCCAATACGACGCTCCGCAGTCATACCTTCTTGGAGAGTGGAGCCAAAGCCACCATCTGCGCTGCGTTCCCGCTTTCGCGAATACAAAGTAACAATGTGTCCCGGCTGCCATGCCAGAGGCAAAACGACACCGATTTGAGACATAATAAACTCTGTATACATTCTACTAGGTATCGAGGTTGCTCACGCTCAATCAACCGTTACACATGAAGGACAAAGTGATGGGTGCGTACTCTTGTTCTTGCATTTCCAGTATTGAGGCCCGGCAAATGTCAAGCCAGCATCAAAGTCTTCGCGCATGTAATCTCTAGCGATCCAGACCTCGGTGATCTTCTTCAGTCTCCTGCCCCTGTATCTCTCTCGGCTCATGCGCAACTGTGTCCGACAGACAGACAACACATGCCTGCCTTGTCAACACGACTTCTTCGTGTGAGTATCGGTATGGTGCCATGTGCCACTGGTTGCACGGTTGGTGTGCAGGCGTTTCTCCTGCCGCGCCCATCTCATGACGCGTTCTGCACTGCCAGAACCCGCGACTCGTAACATAGGCATGCATCGGGGATGGCAGTCTTCTTGTGACAAGTGCTGTCATTGGGAGATCTTGGCGGACCGGGATGGGGAGCATCATCGAGTTGCCAGCCTACAGTACTGAGGCTCAAATCAAAGACTTCACGATGCGGTCTCGGAGCGGGCTAATACCGGTGTCTGAAATGGACCCGAATCATCTGCCGTTGACCGTCACTGTTGACCCCATGGGTAAGAACACGACGCCACGACGCACGACAAATAACCCGAGCGCGGTTCCACACTGAACTTGGCAGGTCACTAACCGCCTGTGACGTAGTCTGGGCACTTGCTCCCACATGCACAAGCCATCCCCGCATTTTATCCAGTCTCTGAACATCACAGGTCCGAATCGCATCGCGAAAACTGGCATCCCGTTGTTGCGCGACTCGGTACGGCGTCATTACTAGTTATATTGCCGAACCGCCATCTGTTGCGCCAACAGGCTGCCGTGGATTTGCCGGCGCCATCTGAGGACTACACATGGCGGACTCGCAGGACGATCCGCTATTAAATGCAGGCGATGCCCCGATGCAAAGACGCAGGTCGTCGAGGTGGCTCATAAAACGATTTCCTGTCATCATGTTGTTCTTTGGTACTGCATCGCTGCTATTCTGGGTTTTTGGTTCCACCGGACTCGGGCGGCCGCTAAAAGACACACCATCCAACGGCTCAGATGGCGAGCTGCTTGTCACGCTACCCGGATATGGCTCATTCCAGGGTACACACGTTGTCGCCAACTTGCTCAAGACGGTAACCTTCAGCAAGCCAGTCGATGCGTGGCTTGGTGTTGACTTTTCGACTCAACCTGTTGGTGAAGGTCGTTTCAAGCCTGTTACCTGGCCAGCAGCGTTCGAAGGTATCAAAGATGCCAGTGCTTACGGGCCAGCGTGCTGGCAGAACGTGTATGGGTCGATGCTACAGTCAGAGGCCTGTCTCAACCTAAACGTCTATCGGCCATCTGGAGTGCCTATGGATCAAAAACTGCCAGTGTTTGTCTTTCTCCACGGCGGATCGTTTGTTGGTGGTACTGGCAAGAGCTTCGACGGAGCAGCATTCGTCGCGAAGAGCACGCAACCTCTGATAGTCATCACGGCGCAATACCGACTCGGAGCCATCGGGAACATCCCAAGCAAGCTTATGCAAGAGGAGGATGGTCTGAACTTGGGCGTCCGGGACCAGCGGCAGATGCTGGAGTTCGTGCAAAAGTACATCGAGGACTTTGGTGGCGACAAGGACCAAGTCACACTCGGTGGTCTCAGTGCCGGCGGTCACTCCGTTGGGATTCACCTATTTCATAACTACGGCGAGGATGCTGGCAAGCCTCTGTTCAGCAAAGCCATCCTGGCCTCGGGATCGCCAACAGCACGTGCATTCCCTGGAGTCGACTACCCCTTGTATCAACGTCAATTCTCAGAGTTCATGGACTACCTCAACTGCCCCACGACGCCCAACGACGCCGCACTTGCGTGTCTGCGCAACGCTGAGGTTGATGATATACAGTTTGTCTCGTCGGCAATGTACTCCAATTCAGGATACAACATCACGTGGCCCTGGCAACCCGTCTCGCCTGGCCCGCTCATCGAGAAGCGCGGCTCCACCTCCGGCGAGGACGGCACCTTCTTCAAGATCCCCATCCTCATCACCTCTGCGACTGATGACGGTAGCCCCTTCGCACCGCAGGACCTGCGTACCAACGCCCAATTCGTCGCCTTCTGGAGGAACCTCGCTCCCGGCCTAACTGACCAAGACATCGAAGACCTTCAGACCCTGTACCCCGACCCCAGCGTGTCCGGCGCGCAGTCCCCCTTCCTGCCTGTCGTAAGCAACTTCGTCAGCCCGCAGTTCCAGCGTATCAGCGCTGCGTACGGCGACTACAGCTACATCTGCCCCGTCCAAGATACAGCCTCGCGACTCGCAGCCGCCGGCGCGCCCGTATACAAGGCGCGCTTCAACACCCCCAACTGGTCTCCTACCTGGCAGGGCGTTCCCCACGCCAGCGATGCCAACTACTTCAACGGCCAGGCGGGCACGCAGTACCCCGAGATCGCAGACATCTACAGCAGCTACTATGCCAGCTTTGTCGTCAGCGGCGACCCGAACACGTATGCTGATTCCCGCGCGGCGAAGTGGGACGTCTATACCGGAGCGGGTAGCAACCAATTGGTGGTCAACCCGCTAGAACAGGGCGGTCCGCGTATGGAAGCAGAGGCGGACGGAATTCGGATGACGCAGTGCGCATGGTGGCGGGATGAGACACGAGCCACAAGGTTAAACAAATAAACTAGGCGGATGTTGATGGAACTTTAATAACGCATGTAAACGAATATGACTAAGACGCATTACCTCGCTCCTATTTCAATATCACCTTACTTTCAAGAAACACCAGTCAAGAACAGAATCGAAGATTAAATACATCATAGAACAGCACATAGCGTAATTATATAACAGGTAACGGCTAATAGTATTCGTCAATGTATCTACCGAAATTCTTGCGAGGTTCTACGAGACAAGGCCTTGTTTCTCCAAGTGCCTAGGCTTAATTGTGTCGTCCTGCATCGTATATGGAAGATTGCCAATCTTCTGCTCGAGGATCTGCTTGGTTAGCTTCCATAGGTTAAGACCCAAGACCGGGCTCTTCGACTGGTCTGATGGCTCTGTCACCTTGCGGTCTGGCACGATATATCCACCCTGAACCTGCTCCTTAACGATGTCTGTGTGAGTCGCAGCGAATAAGATCGAGCGGCAGCCTTGCTTAACGGGGTCTTTCAATAGCGGTCGTACAGCAGTGACGCCAATCTTGCCAAGCGTGCCGTATGCCTCAATGGCCTGCTCCTGCTGATCGGTAGCAACGCCGCCAGGGTGTGTGGCGTTGATCCACGGCAGGCCAGTGTCGGCAGTGATCTCACCGAATTGTCCTGCCTTGATGCGGAGCAGCAGTTCGCGGAAAAAGACGATCTGTGCGAGCTTGGTGCGATTATAGAGCTGCAAAGCGCCAATATCCTGGTTCATCTCCTCGATGGAGGCGAATTTGATGTCACTGCTCGCCGGCCGGTGCATATCCGAGGACTGTGCAACGAGACGGGAGTCTGGCGTCTTCTGCAGGATAGGCAGGAGCGTGAGCATCAGATGTGCCTGTGCGAAGTGATTGACTTGCATGTGGGTATCCAGACCGTCCTCGCTCTCGTTATACACGCCAACACCAAGCCCGGCGTTGCATATCAAGGCGTCGAGCCTGGACAGCTCCTTCGACAGCTCCCTCGCAACCTTGTCTGTTTGTTTGAAGGACTCGAGATTACATTGTCTCCACTCGACTCGACTGGCATCGCCCCAATGCTTCAATGCATCTTGTGCCTCGGCAGCGTGCTGTTCACTTTGTGAAAGGAGGTAGATTTTCTGGGGGTTGTGCTGAAGAAGATGGGCGACAATGCCGAAGCCGATGCCCGCGGAGCCGCCGGTGACGACATAAACCTAAGACATGTTAGCAAACTCGAATCAAGATGTAGGGAGTTCACTGACCTTGCCGCTGAGATCTGGGATCTCCGTATCTGGATCGAACGTGTTGCTGGTGAGAGCTTTCTTGATGGTGTCCATGCTGTGCTGTGAGGTCGATAAGAAAGTACGTCGACTGCCGAGCTTCTGGGCTATCGTGTAAAGTTTTGGTGCACCACTTATCATTAGTTCAGCTTCACGTACTTATACCTTTCTACTTTGTACAGCCGTCCGGAGACGCGTCCAGCATCGTGTCGTCATAATGAGATGCACGTGGAGGCGACGCGAGGGATCGATGCTGCGCATGAATCTAGCAGCATCTACGGGCGTACATATGACGTGAGGGATCTGTAGGTGAATACAGACATGCCTCATCCGTCTCGTCGCTGCGTTGTAGCCGTGACGGATGACGCGAGCGTGTCTGGGGAAGCCGCCCCACATGGCTCTCCGGAAGCGCACTAGCTCAACGAAACATCACGATTCTGATAGACATTTTAGAGCAAGACATGTCCTGTTGTTGGTGAATCGTTATTTGGATTTCCGACATCCGTCTCGAACCGTGCGGTCCTGTCAGTAATTATGTCGTAGCCAATCTCCCAACCAACGTCCAGCTCTGCAATAGAGCTTCCCGCAGCAACACACTATCCACCAGGAGGACTGATCTCCTTCTCACGTTGGGGGGACTAGGGATGTGAGCCAAGTACGCCACATGACAGCAAACTAGGGAGAACACAAGAAACCTCTACAGAGTGCTTTGTTACCTACAATTTAGGCAACAGTTAACCAAACTTTAGCTTTAAGTATTATGATAGCTACAAGGCTACAGGTTCAACGTGGAGCTTGCTACAATCTCTGTCCCGATGCCCCGCGTCGGAATCATCGTATACGATTGAATTCGTGACCTACTCCCTTAAAGTTTTTTGACTCAGCTGCCAACCGCGGCTATTGTCACTGACTTTGTTAAGTGCGTTGACTTTGTTGTACTCCTTGACAGCATAAATGGACACGTAATTGTTAAATTACTGTTGTTGAAGACCTCCTCTATTATGTATGTTTTCTCTCGTTTGTCGTCTGAGTCCATCCGAGTGTAGCCTGGCATGACCGCAAAGTTGACACGGACATGGCGGTCTCCTGTGCATTCGTCAGTACGGGACAAACAAGCGATTACCTTTGAAGATGCAGAAGTGGGAAACTCCGTTCAAGATTGATGCGTTTTGTAAAATCATATATTATAGCCTGGACTGTAGTGTGAAGCTATGACTAAGAAGTATTTAAAGCCGTATACCTCGAAAAATAGTGCAGGCCTTACTGCCGTTGCAGAGAAAGAGTACCCTAGAGCTCAAAAGCTGCTTCGCCGGACGGTTGAGAAGTTGAGAGATGAGCAAATGAAAGTCAACGAGAAAGAGGAAAACGAAGCTATCGAAGAAGCCATCGAGGAGACACTGCGTGACAGCCTTACTCTGGAAGCTTTTAATTCCTTAGTTCAACGAGGTGCTACACGGTACGCACGGCCGACTTGCCAACTCGCAGTCTCTAGCGACGAGTGAGATCAGGACCTCTATACACGGAACGGAAGATTCAGCAAGAAAGAACGTATGAAACAACCAGAAGAACCTTTATTTATACCATCTAAGTCATACACCCACCGTGCACGAGCAGCCGAGAAGCCGAAGCGGCCACACACCATCTCCCACCCTACACCTTTGAGGAGTTTTGAGATGGTAAAACGTACGCTTCAACATTTTGCCGCGAACTCAGCCGTGATACCGCCAATTGAACTAAAGCCACGGTAATCATCCTGGTTATCCTCCTTTGAGTGGGAACTTTCTGCAAACATACGCGGCGCGTAATTGCTGAAGGTGACAGAGCGTCCGCTACACACAATCTCCTTTTTGCCAGTGACGAACCATAGCCGGGAGCTTTCGGTCGCCAACAATGTTACAGCCCGTTTGATGACAGCGAACCAGCTCAACATCATCCCAGATCCCTCCTATATGGGTCGCAATATGCTGCACTTGTTCACGTTGATCAGTGTCATCGTGGATTTCTTGCTGACAAACAACGCATTCGAACAGCTGGGTCTCTGAGTGGGTCTCGGCAAAGTGAATCAGAGGTTGGAATCTATTCACAAGCGACACGAGCTCTCGAGCTTCGAGGATGGCGTTGGCTGGCAGTGGACGCGGAAAGATATCATGCGGACCTGCCATATGATTAATTGGTGTTTCACATCAGCAGGGGCATCATGTCAAAACGCACCATAACGCTGCGACTGAGCGCGAAGGTAATTCTCTATAACTGATGGGAGGGTTTTGTCGTCCGAAGCCTGTTCTATGAAGCGCAGAACCTCATCCAGCTGGAAACATGCATTCTTTGCGTCGTAACGAATGACTCTAGCGCTCTGGCGAGCCTTTGGGAAAACATCCCGGTGCTGTAAGGTAGAGGTCTGCTCCCCACTGTACCATTGTATGGCGATGATATCAGTGTGGTGTTGTTCAACTGCTCGCTCTGGGACACTGAGCATCCTCGGTAGACAGGCAAAAGCATCGCCTGTGTGACCTCTTTGATCAATGTTGCGATCTCGCCCTGGTACTCTTGTGGGTGATCGAGAAACACCGGACTCTCTGGAAACCAGAGAGCGACGCTTTGGTTCCTGCTGATGAGATTTCTCCCTTCTGTCGTCTTTGTGGCTGACGTCGTGACTCTCTGACAGTCTTGCTGGTTGACCTAGAGGCTCGGCATCCTTGACAGCCATAGAGCGACGTGCGACTCCATCAGCTGCGGAGATTGCTTCGATTGCGAGGTGCATGTGATTGAAGAGGGCTTGGGCTTCTCCAAATGGAAATTGATCGATGTCAATTATCATTGGTTGTTGCTGTTGCAAAAACAGTGCGAAATGATGCTCTCGTTCGGGCTTACTCTGACCAGCTAAACCATTCGGACCAGCTAGAGTATTCTGCCTGAAGAAATATGCTATTGCATACGAATGACTCATTATCTTTGCTTCTGGTTGCAATTTAGCGTAAGGCTTGAAGAGTGACACTCAACCACAGGTACTAATGGAGCGTTGTGAGTACTGCGAGGCCACTCTGTTGCCTTGTGATTCGTATGGCGGAGGGCCTTGTGACGCCATGGCGGAATTCCGTTGCTGACGCGTCTGACTATGGTGTGTCAGTGGTACTGGCTTTGAGAGTGTTGAGGTGGCGGCGAAAGTGCAGCGTACCTCTTGCCAAGTCTTAGCGCGTCCTGCTTTCTAACGCGTAGGGAAGGAGCGACGAAACCAAACACGTGCCCTTTCACGCCTTAGCGGTTGGAGCCAGACGAGAGATCTTACAGTTGAGTGCACGAATTTCCATGCGCGATCGTCGCAATCCAAGCCCGATGGTTCATGATGGTGGCGTCCTTCGACCGGATGCATTACTTCACAACAGGGAAGACCATTATACTATAGTGCTCGTTTTGGTTCTCACTCTGCCCTTATTCAGGGATATAACCAGTCGTCGCCCAAATCTATAACCTGAAACTGATCGTGGTTGTTCTTTGATCACCACGTAGTCACCGATGGTAAAATATTGGCAGTATCGTAATTGAGTGGCGACTTCTGACCACGCGACATCTGGTGAAACAGTGCCCATGGGATGATAGGTTCGATTGGCAGTTGTGTGTGTCTCGTTGCCCAGGTAGTAGGCGTGGCTTGGGGGAGGCGAACATCCAGCTACCAATTCTGGCAAAGCCATGAGCGGTGAGAGGAGAAACACGAAAATACGATGAAGAACCATGCTGTGACCCGTGTGGAGGTGAAGCGAAGATATGGCTGTAGTTCATGTTTCTGGAGGGCAGGTATTGATTAGACGATGATGGGATCACAGCAATAACCACGCTAGAGCTGATTTTGCAATTACTTTGCTGGTGAAGGTGAGAGACCACTTACCTAGAGGACACATGCGGGAGCTGAATGTGCACGTGTTTGTGTATGGCTTGGGGCTGGAGCAGATTGACTTTGCGTTGCAGGCAATCTTGAGCGCAAGTGAAATAAGATGGGTGGCAGAAATGTGTTCATTGTATCCGAATTGCATCTATCGCAATTTTGTAATATAAGGTATCTCGAAACAAGCGCTAATAACAAGGCAGAAAGTATTCAACATCAACGGTGCCTAGCGACCACCAATCTGGCCCTTGGGAATCGGCCTGACCCACGACAAGCAGAGGTTGAGCGCGATGATCATGCAGCCCATGATCCAGAAAACGCGCGCGTACTGGCCCGGGTGGTAGCGGAAGATGATGGCAAAGATGATGCCGCCAAAGTTACCGGTCGCACCGACAATGCCAGACAGGATACCGTTGGCGTGGGGGTGGATGTGAGGCACGAGCGCGAAGTTGGCGCCGTTGCCGGCCTCCATGAAGATGGCCATGAGTGCAATGAGGCCGATCATGGTGTCGAGGTTGTGAGGGTCGAGCTGGCCGATGACAATCATAAAAATGCCGCTCATGACGCCGACAAAGTGAATCCAGAACTTCTTTGCCCACAGGCTGCCGTTGGTGTACTTGTAGATCAAGTCGCCAATGAAGCCACCGAGCGGGCGGGTGATGACGTTGAGGAGACCGAACATGGCTGCCCAGCGACCAGACTGGGTCTGACCGAGGGTGGGGAAGTTCTTGAGGTAGTAGGAACCAAGGACGGAGTTGATAGCAAGCTCACCACCGAACGAGCAGAAGTATCCAGCACACAGCATGATTGTTTGTGGCGAGACGATAATCTTCATGGCCTCCTTGAGAGTTGGCTTCACGATGACTTCGTGCTGGACTTCGTCGATCATCTGGCCGTCCTCAGAGGTGGAGCCGGACTCAACATCGCGCTCAGGAGCAGGCTTCTTCTCATCAGATGAGCTGATGGATCCAGTCACTGCCGCAGGCTTGTCCATGATGCCGCCGGTGGTGGCAACGACGTTGGCTTGTTGGGAACCATGGACGACCACAGCACCACGGTCGGCCCAGGAGCCAGTGGGTGTATCGTCAGTGAGGAGGAGGAGACCAGTCGCAGTGATGGTAATAAGGATGAACGGAACAATGAAAGACACGCGCCATGCGACGTGAGAAGTCAAGCCACGATCATTGCGAAGCGAATCGTAGATAGCAGGCATAACGAAGCTAATCAGGGTCAGTCGAGTTAGAAAAGCTGCAGCTGGCATACTTACTAGGTAATGCCACCACCAGAGTTACCCCAGCCGCCGACAAGGGCGTTGGCAGTGCCGACAATGTTCCTGTCGAAGAAGCCGGTGGTCCACACCTGGCAAGGAACAAAGGTGCCGCCGAGGATACCGACAAAGAAGCGAATGAAGTACAGACCCATGGCATTCTTTGCAGTACCCGCAAGCGCAGTGGGAATAGCACCCATGAAGAGCAGGGCAGCAAAGGTCTTGCGAGGGCCCACGTGATCGCACATGGGACCAGCGATCGCTCGCACGAGCAGTGTCGCGGTCAGCGCAATGATGTTAGAGTTGGCGACCTCATTCTGCGACAGGTGCATATCCTTCTTGATACTGATACTGAGCTGTACACATGTGAGTACACGATGATTGGTTGGGGGTGTGGGTCATCATACCAGAGGCGGGAACGCGTACCTGGAAGAGTCAGCATGTGTGGAGCCGAAAGGGATGTGGAGACTTACCATGACCAGAACGCGATGAAAAATCCAAGGTAACTGAAGAAGAACACACGGCCATACTTGTCGACAGGGTTGAAGACGGGGATCGACTTCGCCTTCTTGTTGTAGGGGTTGATCTCTGGTGCCGACCAGAGCTGTCTGACTGCGAAACCCATGATGCGGATGATTTGCAGATGTCTGGGGAATGTTGTGGAGAGACTGGGGTGTATGCGGGCCCTGCGGAAGAGAGGAGCTGCTGAATGCCTACAGATAAGACCTGAAGATACGGCACCAGAAGTTATATATTGAGCATGAAAGACATCAAATTCACTACTTCCGCGGTAGAGTACTGTGACGCAGGCCTTTCCTAATCCAAGCCTGAGCTGCACATCATCCGCGGTGCCAAGGGTGATAATTGAAGATTCGGGCTTGAAATGGAGGCTTTGGCGTTTTCGTTATCTGCGTTGGCGTTCAGCACGCTACGACCAGGAGTGCGGGAGTGTGCACAGGTCGACCGCAACTCCGATCAGCGCTGTGGCGCCATCTAGCTCTTAGAGACGTTTCGGTAGAGCCTTCGGAGCATGGATGGACGTCGTAATGTTGAAATTGACGGCGTAACGTTGATGCGGAGCGCTATGATTCGTCAGAATGGCGCTCAACGTGGGATGGTGGAGACGGAAACTTCTCTGGCGGCGGAGCAGGCGTTTTCTTATCTCTGGCTATCTCTTGGCGGACTTCCCCTACCGTTTTCAGAAGACCTTATCAGAGCCGCAATAGATAATAAGAGAAGCTGCTTTTCCGCGGTGCCGCTGACAATTTGACTGTGTCTACAGGTTGATACGATGCATTGATGTTGTTGCTACACTGCCAGCTCGTGGCGTCGTCGTCGTCGTCGCATGGATGAATGGAACAAAATTAGTCCACAGACACGTTTTGCAAGTGAATTAGGCCGCAATACGGTCGATAGCAGCTTGCTTTTGTTGTACATACTGCGAGCTGATCGTCGGAGAAGTGGTGAGCTGGTGAGCTGCTCCAGTGCGGTCGTTCACCAGCCGATAAGCAATGACTTTGCGTAGCACAATGCTGACAATGACGGCAACACTGCAGTCGTACATGTTTCAGCGCACTCAGGGTTTAGGTGTTCACTCCAGATCCGTCGCGTTTTCTGAGATCGCTCGTGCAATCTGGGGTAATGCGGTCAGGGGGCACAAGCCAATCAGCCAGACCGACACTGCCTTATCTCACGGCGACATCACAAGTTAACACTCTGTATCGGTGCTATCTGAAGGTCGACTAGATGTCTCAATGCCATGAGAAGTATATCAGCTCGTTACCTCTGGGCTACCGTCATGGTTCTGCCTAGACCATCCACACGCTTCGGTGTATCAACACATCGCCAAGATGGCCTCTAGCTTACAGATACTCGATACTCAAATCGACAGTGTAGGCTCTTCCGCGGCGATGGACTTTGTGGCTGTACAAGTGCATTTCTGGCATCCGACACGATGATCCAGCCCTCCGAGCGTGGGCGTTGTCGCGACATCGGACTGTCAGCTCCGGAGAAACACCAACAAGGACCTCCAGCGCATGAAAAATTCTATCGGTGTCAGGAGAGATCAGGCTCAAAATGCATGGCGCAGAACGTTGGGCTCGAGACTGCTCTTGGCGGTGGGTACTTGTATGGAGACGAGCGGCCGGCTCGTCCGAGGAGATGTCGCAACAGCAGTTCAGGATGCTATTGCTGAGCTAGAGGTCAAAGAAGGACCGGATAGTGATTGATTTCTAATGGCTGCCAGGTGAGTGCTTTCTCATCGGAGAACTGTGGCTCCCATTGCCATGTTGCCCATCGTGACTGCCTTGATACGATGTTAGTCTCCGTTGCATCCACTGTAAACCGCAATCATTGCTACGAGAAGCGAGAAGTCACAGCTGTAGATGAGTCTTTGTCTGTCGCTGTTCTACCACTTCATACCGACGACGTCGTACCATGCGCCGTACTCTATACTCTTATACCTTGCACCTCGGATGGAGTATACCAGGCGCCAGCTCTACACCCCGATTAGTTTACTTGTCCGAGATACTAAAAGGTAAGCTGCGACGACTGTACCAAACGTTGGCGTAGTGTGGGTTCACGGAGGCGGCAGTCCAGGTGCAGAAGCGCACCATCAATTTCCTTGCCTTCTTCTGCCACTAAATGCATTTGATCCTCCTCGTCAGAGCCATATAGCGTGTAAAGACGTTTAGTCCAGAGGTGGAGGGCGACTCTTGATGCGCTGAGCTCAGCACACAGTCACGTGTGCCACGAGCCTGTCAACTACAGTGAGCTCAAGCATAGCCCAAGCACAGCCCAGCCCAGCAAGCTAGTCCGTAAAAAGATCTGTGGTGTCGTCAGTCGAAATCCAACAGGAAGAGCTAGATCGCACCGCCTGTCCTGTCGTACTGCATGCCGTGGTCAGCGCTGTATCCTAGCTACTACTAACTCTTACTCTCAGTCAGAAGATTTCAGACTCGCAGTCCGCCATAAACGCCCTACAGATCACGACAGCTCTTGGTGGCATTGTAACCTCAGAGGCACTGTCCGCATCGCCCCCTCTCGTCCTGTGCATGTACGCTCCGCAATCCAACTAGAATCCACACATGCGCCAAAACCGCAATAGCACAAGAACAGTTACTAATTTTCGCATTCGATCTACGTCTGCCCTGCCTGTGTGACCACCGGGGCCTCACCCGCCCTTGGCCGCTCTTCCCCTCTCCTCCCTTTCCCCACCACCACCGCACACATGCGGACACAGGCGCGCTAGCAATAACAAGAGGCACCACCGGGAGCCATCGACGGCGGCATATCCAAGCAGGAAGATGTATACCAAGCAGAGACAAAGATAAGGAGAGAAGTACAAGGGCGGGACACAGAGCCGCGCTGACGATGGGTGGTTGGAGAGGGAGGGAGACGGGTAGGGAAGGTTCGAGCATGGCCGCCGGGCGTATAGAGAGACGTGAGGGAGGTAGGTAGGTGGGTAGGTAGGAAAGACGCGACCCTCGACGGCGCTGGGCGGGAGGGTCTAGAAGTCGGGGAAAAGGTGGCCATGCCTATTGGGACATTTTAGCACGTGTTCTACATCGTAAGGAGGTTTCGCCACGCACGGATCATCTCCCGCCTGACCGTACGCCTCTGTCTCTTCGGGATACTTGTCAAACTGGCTGGCGTCACCAACGCCGGCGCGAACGGGCGGCACGTAGGGCGCGTCAATGTCCTTTTTCTGTAGACGGTCCCACGTTACCTCGGCAAACCAGGGGTGGTTCATGACGTCCTTGCTGCCGCCGTGCAGGTTGCCCAGACGCTTGGTGAGGTCGGGGGTGATGAGCTTCTGCAGCAGGTCGTGGGCGTCGGGGTGGATGTAGGGCGGGTACTTGACGCGCGACTTGAGGATGTTTTCGTAGATCTTCATGGGCGAGCCGCCGTCCCAGAAGGGCGTGAAGCCGCACAGCATCTCGAAGATAAGGATGCCGAGCGACCACCTGGCGGGTTAGCGGAGAGCAGTAGAGAGGGGGGAGGGTGAGCAGCGCACCAGTCGACCGACTTGTTGTAGCCCTTGGAGGCGACGACTTCGGGGGCCAGGTAGTCGGGGGTGCCGCACAAGGTCCATGTGATGTCGGGCACCTCCTTGGCGAAGCCGAAGTCGGTGATCTTGAGGTGGCCGTGGCGGTCGAGCAGCAGGTTCTCGGGCTTCAGGTCGCGGTAGATGATGTTGTGCGAGTGCAGGTAGTCGAGGGCCAGGGTGACCTCGGCGGCGTAGAACTTGGCGACGGGGTTGGGGAAGCGCTGCGACTTGCGCAGCAGGCTGAACAGCTCGCCGCCCTCGACAAAGTCCATGACCATGTACAGGTTCTTGCTGTCCTGGAAGGTGCCCCACAGGGTGATGAGGAACGGGTGCTTGACCTGCTGCAGCATGCGGCGCTCGTCGTTGGTGTGCTCGACCTGCTTCATCTTGACGACCTGGGCCTTCTTCAGCACCTTGACGGCGTAGAAGCGCTGGTTGTGCTTGCTCTGCACGAGGTGCACGCGGCCGAAGCTGCCGGTGCCGAGGGTGCGCTGGATGGCGAAGTCGGTCAGCGAGTACTTGCCCTTGGTGACGCGGGCCAGGTTGAGCGGGGCGGCGGCGTGGAACTGCACGGCGCCATTGCGGGCGGCGGGCGGTGCGGCGCTGCTGGCGTTGGTGTTGGTCGGGTGGATCAGGTTCTGGATGCTGGCGACGTGGGCGGCGGGCGCGCTGCTGAGCGGGCTCGCAACGGGCGGCGGGCTGTAGGCGGGGTTCATCGAGTCGGTGGGCTTGTGCGGCGCAGGCGCGGGCGGCGAGGGCGACGGCGGCTGCTGCTGCGGCTGCGGCGGCGGCTGCGGCGACTGCTGGCTCGCAGTGTGGGCGTGCGCGCTGTCGTTGGTGCGCGTCTTGGTCAGGTGGAACGAGCCCGAGGCGCGGGTCTTGGAGGTGGTTGGGGTGATGGGCGCGCCCGAGGCCTCCTTGGTGGGCGACGACGGCGAGTCGAGCTCCTTCGTGCGCTTCTTCTTCAGGAACCCGAGGGTCGGCATCGGCGCGGAATGGGCGCGTGGGCAGCGGCCGGCAGCGAGCAGTGGGCGCGTCGGGGGCGCTGGCAGACGGCGCGGCTCGCGGCTCCCAGAGGTGCGGAATGCGCAGGCAGTGCAATTGGCGAGGGCGGCGAGCGAGGGCGCGGACAGGCGCGAGGCAGGGCGCGAGGGCAACGGGGCGCGAGGGCGACGGGGGCGCGACGAGCGACGGCGGCCTCCAGCGGTGGGTGGGCAGCGGTGCAGAGGAGCTGGGGGAGCTGGGCCGGCAGCGTGAGGGGTCGTGAGGCTTGAGGCTGGAGGCTGGCGGGGAGCTGTGCGCGAACCAGCGCAGCACCGCCCGTCGTCGCCGTCGTCGTCACACAGCCGCGCCTGTTTCACGCCGCCCGCAGCCTGTCCTGTGTGCATCTCGCATCGGGGCAGCTCTGCAGCCGCCAATGCCTCGCAGCAGCAGCGCACGCCCCGCCAACAGCCTCAGCAGCTCCAGCAGCCCTCAGCAGCCCTGCCCGGGTGCCCCTCGCTGCCCCAGTCGCTGCCCCAGTCGCTGCCCCGGCGCAGTTGCGTCATCGTCCCGCCGTCTGCACACCCGGCGCTCCACCAATCAGCCGCAGCTGTGGCCAACGTCGCTGCTGAGTGTTGTATAAGAGCACTGCTCGTTTGTCTGATTAAACGATACTTGGCTGCTGCTATCGACTGCAGAATGCAGTGTACAGAGGCACTGCCCGATCGCATGCTTCAATGGTTCTTAGCTGCTGTGGCCAACGTCACTGAGACATGTATTGCATGGACAGTGTAGTAACAATATATGTATTCGTTCAATCATCCATTCATTCATTCATTCATTATCAGCTCAGGCCATGGCCATGACAGACATCCACCGTGCCGCAACTCCAGGGTATATGCTCAAACAAACTCTATCCACAAACCACTCTTTTAACAAGCAACTCGATCCACAAACAACTCTATCCACAAACAACTCCATCCACAAACAACTCCATCCACAAACAACTCCATCCACAAACAACCCTACCCCCGCACCCCAGGCGCCGCGTACACCTCCAGATCCAGCCCGCACACCTCCATCCGCTGCTGGCGAAACCGCTCGTACAGCCTCCCCCACACCTCCAGCGCCTGCTCGTTCTCGGGCCGCAGCCGCGCGCGCGCCGCAAACGGGACGTCGTACTCGGGCCCAGGCAGCTCCGGGTCTGCGAGGCGCACAAAGGCCGTCGACTGCTCAAAGGCCGTGGCGTTGAAGTCAGCGCCCTCGGCGCGCAGCTGGTGCGCCTCGTACACCATAGTGCCCATGGACAGCGACCAGGCAGAGATCAGCGACTCGGGGGCGTGGAAGGTGCGGCGGAAGAGGGCGAGGTCGGACGACGGCGTGGCGGCGCGCGCGGCTTTGAGCTGCTGGAAGCTGGCCTGGGTCGGGTGGATGAGCAGCAGCGACGTGGAGAGGGCAGTGCGCTCGGACGAGGCGGGGTATGCGGCCATGGGCGCCGACTGCGAGAAGGCCAGCAGCGAGTCGAGCGAGGAGGCGTCGAGGAGCACGCCGGGGCCCTGCAGGTACACGAGACGCTCGTAGTCGACGAGTGAATAGAGGCTGGCGAGCGAGTACGACGAGGGCAGCGTCGGGTCGGCGCCGTCGTGGATGGGTGCCATGGGGGCCAGTGTAACGCCGTAACGGCGGGCAGCGGTGCCCAGCAGGCGCCGTGTCGTCGCCATCTCGGGGCTGAAGCCTTCGGCGTCGGCGTCCTGCAGCCACAGGCGGGGGAACATCAGCACGCGCCGCGCGGGGCTCTTCATGCGGTGCAGGTCCGACAGCAGCATCACGGCGCTGCACAGCTCGACGTGCTCGCGCACCACCTGCACGTAGCCCAGCCGGCCCCAGTCCAGCTCCAGCCCGCCCATGTACTGCGCCATCGGATCCTCCACTGTGGGCCGCGCCCATTTCGCGTCGAGCGTCGGCGGCTGGATGATTTTCGGCGCGGGGAGAGGTTTGGGCATGCGCGGCTTGATTGCAGCCTGCAGGTTGTGTACGTAGCGCTGCTGCAGCACGTAGCCGGAGAGGAAGAGCGCGAACGTGAAGGCAAAGACTGGGCTGTCAGCGAGGCTCCGCCGTCTGGGTGCGCAACATACCGATCATGGCGGACAGCATCACCGATACCTGCCCGCTCGAGAGCAGCAGTCGGCCCATGGTCGCGGCGCGCGGTCGGCGCAATCGAGTTTGGGTGTCGTAGCTTTTGATCGATACAGAGCCCCGCGCAACAGTGGTTCAGCGCAATACAGTTCAGACGAATGCAGCTCGTGCAAGCAGGCGTCCGTCCAGACGCGTGTGACGTCCTGTAGGCCCGAGCCGCACAGCACAGGGCTGAAACCAACGCGGCCGTCGTGCGGGGCAACAATCGATACGCCAGCCGCCCTGACGCCTAGCGCCAAATTATTCCATGCGAGCTCAGAGCAACGCGCATCGCCATCCATCTCGCCCTCGCGCTGCACACCGCACCCGCCACGCACACCCCGCCCTGCACCCCTCGCATGCGCCCGCCATGTCGAAACCCACCTACGACCGCGCCGATGCCTCTGCTCTTCTCGACGACCGCGGCTACTCGGGCCAGCTGATCCGCGGCCAAAACCCCGCGCTGCTGTTCGAGAAGGGCGTGCGCGAGCGCATCACCGAGTCGTATTACTGGAAGGAGCAGTGCTTTGCGCTCAATGCCGCGACCCTGTGCGACCGCGCCGTCGAGCTCAAGTTCATTGGTGGCACCGCGGGTATCACAGGCAGGCCGACGCCGTTCCTGTGTCTGGCCTTCAAGATGCTGCAGCTTGTGCCTGAGAAAGCCATTGTGCTGGAAATGCTCAACTTTGCAGGGGACGAAGAGGACGAGGATGAGGACGACGTAAAGGAGGAGGTGAAAGAGGAGAAGGAGGAGGGCGAAGAGAACCCAGAGAACCCAGAGAAGAAGAGAGACCTCAACGCCGAGGGCAAGTTGGGCACCTTCAAATACCTCCGCTGTCTGGCCGCCTTCTACATCCGCCTGGCCTGGGATCCCGTCCAGATCTACACCACCCTCGAGCCGCTGCTCACCGACTACCGCAAGATCAAGCGGCGGCTGAAGGAGAGCTTTACCCTGACCTACGTGGACCAGTTCATCGATGATCTTCTCACCAAAGACCGCATATGCGCGACCAGTCTGTGGAAGCTGCCCAGCAGAGCTAATCTGGAGGATCTGGATATGCTGGAACCGCGAGAGAGCCCGTTGGGCGACGAGATAGATATGCTGGATGAGGAGGACGAGAGAGCAGCGAGGGAGGTGAGTGTGCGGAGTGAGAGGAGCGCGAGGAGCGTCAGGAGCGCCAGGAGCGCCAGAAGCGCCAGAAGCGCCAGGAGCTACCGAAGTCGAAGCTATGATAGCAGGAGCCGCAGCAGGAGCTATGACAGCAGAGACAGAAGCCGAAGCCGGAGTCGGACGAGGAGCCACGACAGCAGAGACCGACGGCGGAGTCGGAGCCCTGGTGAGAGGAGTGATGGCGAGCGCAGCAGGAGTCGAACAAGGAGCCGCAGCAGAAGCCAAGGGAGGGACTGAGCTGGACACAGCACACACGAGATAAGACATCATAACATCTGGTCTACCCCTACTGTGTCGCACTTTCTGTTCAAGTCGTTGCGGCCATCAGCGCTCTTGCAGGGTCATCCACGGTGAAGCTGCCTCATTCAGCACCCGAGTAGACCAGATAGGCAGTGTGTCTGCTTGAGGGCCAGGGTTGACGACCCTCACTCGGATATATCGAACTAGGGCAACTGCGAACAACTGGAACATCACTTAATGGAAAAACATCGTCAGCCGCGCGTTCCTCCAGTCATCCATCATACACCATCACTATTGCACTGGACCTCACACGGTCGGTACCGCCACTACGAAACATACGAGAGCACGTTGATCCTCACTCGCTTCTCAACATCGTAGCCAACATGGTCGACGTCATCGTTAAGCCGCATCTTCTTACTATACCCCGGGAGATACGAAACCATATATACACCTTCCTTCACCGAGAAATGGAGCTGCGCGCTATCAAAACCATCGGCCACTCCGAAGTCTTCGTCCGCCTATCATTCACTCCCTATCCCAGCGTCAACCTCGTACACTCACGCCTCAACGCCGAATACACCGACACCGGTCCGCATCGAGCTCTCTCTGCGATAATCTTCAACCGCACGTACGCCACCGACGACGATTTCTGGTGCATCCACCCCACCGTCGTATCCAAAGACAACACCGCCCTCTCCCTCACAAGATCTGCCACCCTCCGCTTTACCCCCGATCCGCTGATCCCGACCGCGACCCCAATCGCTCTCCTTACCGCCCTCACCGCTCTCGCGCCCGCCCTGCAAACTATCCGCATCGCAGAATGCGTCACAGTCCAGCATTATATCAGCACACCTCTGACCCACCTCCCGCGGACACCAGACAAACTCGCCGCTATGCCCCGTCGAATCGCTGACCTACCACTCGTACAGCGCGTAAACTGCCGCCGCATCACGACGTGTTCCGTCCATCAGGTTAACCTGCCGCCGTACGAGGAACTTATTGTTCAGCAGTGCAGGATGCATTTGTATGGCGTGGGATGTGCTAAAAGTGATTTTTGGACGGCCTATCAGGTTGTGTTTGGGAAGATGCCAAGGGGGTTTCTGGAGTGGTCGGATTCTTTGGGGCGGAATAGTGGGGTCAAGACGAGACCGAAGATGGACAGAGTGATTGAGTGGAGGTCGGAGGAGATGGAGAGTTAGTTGAGACAGTGCTTCAGTCTGGTAGCTTACAGTAGGCTGAACTACTGCACCCAAGCACCAAGTATATCTGACCAGCCACTTGACACTTCTGTATGATCTAAACCATCTTCGTTGCAGCCGATAGGCCGCAGAACTGCATCTGAATTACTCCATTTGAGCGTATACACCCTAATAGGAAAAAGTGTTGGTAAGAGTGTCAATCCCTCTTGCCGGGTGCTACAGTTTGTCAAGTGGCTGGTCGGACGCGCCGCCTGGGTGCAGTACAGAAGGCAAAGAAGATGAACGGAGGCGATTATCTGATCGTGTCGTGTATTAAAGAGCCACAAGACGGATTGTGGAACCAGATGAAGCACTTCAAAGCCAGGAGACGTATCCAGCGCCCGGAGAACAGGTATTCTGTATGCTCCTGGTCCACGAACCTGATCTGACGAAGATACCTTGGAGGGTCGGGGTGGGTTTCAAGCATATAGCTAACGAACTCTCGTCGGTCTTGGAGATACCATCGTCTCCCTCAATTTACTAAGGCAGTGCGAATTCGCGCCTTCACTCACGTTCACTTGCCTTCCTTCACTCGCACACTAGAGCGGCGTCCGTGCGGTGAGCTTCTCTTGCCGAGTGATCTCCTTCCGCGCTTTTCAACCATTCCCGCCAACCTTGCAGATCCAAGCGCAGTCTTTCATATCTGTAATACGCCCGCTAGACGCTGCGGCAAGTAGCTAACATCACGACAGCTGGTTCGCGAACAATGCAAGACGCGAACATGGCTCCGGACCGCCTTCACCTACTGACGCTGCCTCGCGAGGTACGCGATTGCATCTACAGCCATTTGTTCTAAGCAGGACAGTTTCGCACACTGGCCATCAAGAGAACAGAATCTCAGGATCTGCGCATTGACGTCCGTATCGACAACAGTCCGCTGCTCAACGTGCTCCTCGTTCACTCGAGGATCCGCGACGAGTACTCCGAGGCTGCCTGCTTCAAAGAACCTTCTATCAGTATCGTTTCGGGACGTTCCCATCTTTCGCCTTCCCTCCCGTACAAAGACGTGTCGGCGGATGAAAGGAAGCTCGCCAAAGCCGCCGTCATCCGCGCAAAGCATGTATCGGTTTACCATGACGACACGCCAATGCACGATCGCGTAGATTTCTTGTTCGAGGAAGCTGTACGTTTGGTCTCTTATGACTTGGCTACACCACTTTCAATCCGTATAGTCACTCGGAGCAGGATCGGCACGGTCCACTTCGACGCCTCAACATGTACGCCTGGGGAGTTGCCCAACAAACCAGACGTCATGCTGGACGGAGCGCTTCTCGGACATCCCCTAGCACAGCAGGGTAGCTGCCTTAGCCTGTCTAACAGATCCTACTGGTGGGCTCCGGTACGGGGATGCCACCGCGCCGTTGATTTGGTTACGTTCGGGGTGTATACTTCAGGCAGAGTGGATGAACTTCTGTGGGACGAGGACGTCGTCAGGAACGCCCCGTGGCGCATCAACAGGTACTCGGAGGCTGGGCTCAAACCGATGTCAGAAGAGCAATTGGAGAAGATGAGAGATCTGCCAAAAGTAGCTTTCGATTGGTCAGCACAACGCGTGGACATGCCTGAGTAGGACCTCTGAGATTGCCGGTGCAAGGACCTGCAGTATTCGGATATGGAGACAACACGATTGGTAACTAAAAGTCGTCGCTTTTCAAAGCCTCCATTCAAGCTCATTATCCGTCTTATGTCATGAACCCTTCAAGGTCCGTCTCTTGATCATGCTTCACTTCAGATCTTTTTGCGAAACTCTGCTACAATGTCTTCTTCTCCTTCTTCTCCTTCTTCTTCTTCTTCTTCCCACCGCTGAATCTTGTCACAAAAGTAGGTATTTGAATGCCTTGACATGTCGGCACTGAAACAGCTCATGCGGATTTCAGGCCTTGCGTACATAACACAACACACGCATTCCACCACTCAGTCAGGTATCTCGGCGTGCTAAAACGATTTGTCTTACCCCAGCGTGATACCACACAAAGAGATTGAGCAAAGCCATACTTCATTCGTTTCGTGATTGTATACATCTCGTTTGTGTACCGGTTTGTTTTCTTAGCTGCTTGATGGATTGTCGCTCACACAACCCACTGCTCACTTCTCGTTTGTTCGTCATTGAGTTGTCACGACACATGTACTGAAACGCCTAGCTACTCAAATACTCCGAACCAGTTCAACATACTGAGCCCTTCACAGTACCAAATGACTGACATCGTAAGCGATGGAGGCTCGAACGTTTCGGATGATGGTACGAACAGCCTCATAGAAGACACATCTCGCGATTGTATGACAGTTGTATCCAAGCAGCACCATCTTCTTACTCTACCTCGGGAAATTCGCGATCACATCTACAGCTAGATACTAGATACACGAGCACACCCTTGTGGTTTTATCTATCCAAGGAGGTACTCAGAACAATAACGAAAGACTAGAGATACACGACAGTGCGCAGGGGACCTACCCAGACATCCGTGATTTTATGAAGATCGAGATCCTAAACCTCCCATACTTCAATCTCCTCCTCGTAAACTCCCAGCTGAACGCAGAGTACAAGCAAGCCGCCTGCTTCACCGACCTAGAAGCCCGCTGCACATTCAGCATCTCCAATCCAAATCCTCCGCGCAGGTCTCTCCGCAGAACACCGCCTATCCGCTCCGTCCATGAAGTCGCATTCTGGAGACACGCCTTCCCGCACCACCTCACCTTCGTATACATCTGGCCCGCCGACGACATCTCCTGGCAAACGCCCGACACCGTCTCCGTAGCCGACTCGCTCTCCCCATCGCGCCTGAAGACCTTCCGCGTGTTCCAGCGCTCCCGCTGCGACTACTTGACCCGCCCTGACCAGTCTCCCGTCTCGCCGTTGCACTTCGCGCCCAGCCCACGCATCTTGCGCTTTCTGCCCAAGATGCCGTCGCAGGTGGGTCGGCTGCACATGATTCAGCTTGGCGAGGGTTTGCGATATGGACAAGGAGTGCGTGGGTCAACGCAGATCGCTGGTGAGACGGTGAGTGTGCACGACGTTCGCCGCATTGGGGTGTATGCGTATGGGAACGGAGATAGGAAGGCGCTGAGGCGGTTGTGGACGCGGGACGAGGTGCTTGCGTTGGATGATGCGTTTTCCCCGTGTATAGGTTATGGGCCGGAGGCGTTGGGGGTGGTGACGCCGGAAGTGAGGAAGGTCTGTGAAGTGCTACCTGGTATGCTGACAGGGTGGAAGGAGAAGCGGCGGGTATAGGAGGTTGTGCGTTGGATGTGATGGCGTTTTATTTGGGATGCTGTAGGGATCTGCGTCGAATAGATGTAATAATACAGGGTATTGGCCTCATACTTGCTATCATGTGCAAACTACCTCATCCATGGGACAGGAATGTTGCAAAGGTCTCAAATTGATTCACTCTCCTGAATTTTCGTGCTCGCGGTGCAACTACACGCAGCCTCGAGTTAACATCGGGAACAAGTCATCCTCTTCCTCGTAACTATCTGCAGAGGCCTCAACAATGCCCATATCACCTTCTGTCTCCCAATCGGCCGTGTTGTCGATGACTTCCGTGCCCTCTTTTCTAGGCTTGCGTCGTCTTCGTGTTGCTTACTCATCGAGGGGCTACTTGCGCCATATGAGATGCTGATGAATGCTTCTTCGAGATCACTCTCGATCGGTCTCTTTATCTTTTTGACCATGGAGTTCTGTGGCAGGCGAATCGCGAGCTCTGCCGACAGCTAGCTAGAGCAACCAAACTGGGATCCCCGAAAGTCTCCTCGATCAGGTTATCGACATGTCGGAAAAGGTAGAGCTCGGCCGGACGACTACTCTTATTTTTCTCCGACTTCTTCGAGGTCGCGCTACCTTCTTCGCATTACTCACTGAACAACGAGTCAAGCTCGTGCGCGTCCATTAGATTGCAGCATTGGCAGAAGATCGAAGTTGAATGAAGATACGTAAGTGAGCTGATGTCTTGAAGGTAAACTGCCAAGCACAATGTTGGCTTGAGCACGTGTCCCGTGCACGACTGCCTAGTGTAAATATTAGGCAATCTTGGGTGAAGGAAGCGCATGCGGACGTGTCACAAACTTTCTTCCCTGACTCGACCTGCCATCACTCCTTCCAACTCCCACACCCAAATCAACTACAGTACCCCATCCGATTAATTACCACCACGATGGAGGGAAACAAGATTGAAGTAAGTGCAGCTGTGTTCGCTCTGTCGCCATCACAGTGCCTAGGCACATGTGCGTTGCTAAAACTATTCATAGGATCCCGATCAAAGCAACACGTCCTCCCTGTCACGTGCCTGATAGCTCGTGCTCACGGGTTACTTAGAACCCCACGTAGGCTAGATAGCTCCTTAGACTTATATATATATTTATAAGATTAACGTACCTCACGGGCGAGCGAGCCAACGGGCGAGCGAGCCACTTTTGCCAAGCCCCCACCAAAGTACCCTTTTTATACCAATGCCTCAACAACAACCTATTATTAACGCGTTAAAGGAGGCTCAGGTACAGCTTGCGCTTCAAGCTCTTAAACAAGACGCGAATCTCTCACAGCGACGCGCTGCAGCCATCTACAAGGTGCCTTAAAGCACACTAAGCCATCGACACACTAGACAACCTTCACGAGGTGATACTATGCCTAACTCACGAGGGTTAGATAATAATGAGGAGCGGGTAATTGTTAAGCACATACTTAAGCTAGACGGGCGAGGATTTGGCCCCCGGCTGGCAGATGTGGCTGCTATGGCCAATTCTCTGCGCGCTGAGCGCAATCTAGGCCCTGTTGGCACAAACTGGCCCAGTACGTTCGTCAAGCGTCAGCCAGAGCTCAAAGTAAAGTTCAATCGCAGGTATGACTACAAGCGAGCCCTCTGCGAGGATTCAGGGGTTATGCAGGGCTGGTTTAGCCTGGTAGCTAACGTCAAAGCCAAGTATGGCATCCAGGATGATGATACCTACAACTTTGATAAGACAGGCTTCATGATAGGCCAGATCTCCCAAGGAGCAGTCGTCACAGCTTCAGAGAGACGAGGAAGGCCAAAGGCAGTCCAGCAAGGCAACCAGGAGTGGACAACAGTCATACAGGGCATCAATGCAAAAGGATGGGCTATTCCACCCTTCATCATCTTCAAAGCGCGCCACCACCTTTCTGGCTGGTACAAGGAGGAAGATCTGCCCCAGGACTAGGTTATTGGAGTCTCCAGTAACGGCTGGACTACTAATAAGCTTGGTCTTGAGTGGTTAAAGCACTTTGACAGGCATACAAAGGAGCATACTGTTAGTACCCACCGACTGCTGGTTATTGACGGCCATAAGAGCCACAACTCGCTCCAATTCCAGCAATACTGTAAGGATAACAAGATTGTTACCCTGTGTATGCCTCCTCACTCATCACACCTCCTACAGCCACTTGATGTAGGCTGTTTTGCCCCTTTGAAGACAGCGTACGGGCGCCAAGCCGAAATGCTCATGCGCAACCGAATCACCCACCTTACAAAGGCTGAGTTCCTGCCATGCTTCAAAGCAGCCTATAATGCAGTATTTACTCCTAGTAACATCCAAGGAGGGTTCAGAGGTGCTGGATTGGTCCCCTTTGACCCAGAACGGGTCATATCAGCCCTTGATGTGAAGCTTCGGACTCCATCACCACCAGTCCCTGCCAACAACGTGCCCTGGCAGTCACAAACCCCTAGCAATACCCTAGAATTTGGGTCGCAATCAACACTTGTGAAGTCAAGGATTCAGAGGCATGTAGATAGCTCTCCTACATCTATGGTTGAGGCGTTTAAGAAGGTGTTAAAGGGGGCTGCAATTATTGCGCACAAGCTGGTTTTAGCTCAACAGGAAATCAGGGAGCTTCAAGCAGCTAATGAGGCCGCTACGCGACAAAAATCACACAAAAGAAAGCAGGTTCAGAAGGAAGGGACACTGATAGTTGAAGATGGGCAGCGACTGGCAGCTCTAAAGGAGTTTGGGGCACGTAGCGATGGAAAGAGGGCAAAGAAGCAGGTGCGCGCTCAAGAGGGTGAGCCTGCCCAAAGGCGCTGCAGAAGGTGCAATCAGACTGGTCACAACGCGCGAACGTGCAAGATTGATGTAGAAGAGGTCTCTGAATGATATCACATGCCATAGTCTGCCACAGAGTGCCAAAGTGTGGTGTTGTAGGCTATAATGGGTCAGGTTTTGGTGAGGGCTTGGCAAAAGTGGCTCGCTCGCCCGTTGGCTCGCTCGCCCGTGAGGTACGTTATAGATTCTTATAGATTAGTAGCTAAGACTAATTTATAATTATTTAAATATTTTATTCTTAATCTATTATATATATTTACTTACTATATAATATATCTAGCTTTATAAGCTCTAGTACTTATACTACTAGAGAATATATTATATAGAGTACTTAAATATCTATATATATATACTACTTAGTTATAAACTCTAATAAGCTATTATCTAGTACTATATATTATATACTTAATCTATATTATATATAATACTTAATAGAATTAAAGCCTCTAAGCCTCTTCTAGTAGCACTCTATAATAGTAAGATTATACTATAGTATAACTACTAAAAATATAAATTAAAGAAATAAGTATATATTATATAAATGAAACTAATATATAAGAGTTCTTTTTTCTATATAATAAATAGTATAATAAACTTTATATACCTATTAAGATTATACTTTAAGTAAAGCTTATAAGCACTATTTAATTAGTTCTTAGAGATAAATACTATTAGGGAAACTAAAGGGGTCTTATACTAAGAAGTATAGATATAATCTATCTATCTTAAGGGTAAAAGGTAATAATAAGTAGTATAGAGTAGACTATCTAGCTAAAAGGTTAAGTTAAGATCTAATGTTATAGATTAATACTTAGGTTAAATATAAACTTTAAGGGTTATATTCCTACTTACTATATACTTAGAAATATTCTATAGTTATTCTAACATTCTATATTATATTAATATTAGAAGATTATAGAATATTATAGAATTCTTAGAATAATATATAATATATTTTATAGTAGCATTTTACTAAGGCTTTAGAATAAAAGGGGTTATATTATTATTAGTTATAAATACTAACCTTCTTAAAGACTTTTAGGTTATCTCTAAGTATTATTAATCTTTCTCTTTCTTATCTTTTATTATATCTTATCTTAGGTTTATAATACTATTCTCCCCTTCTTATCTTTATATTCTTATAAATTAACCTATAACTTTTAGAAGTATATTATACTATAAATCTATTAGTAATTAAATTAACTATATAAGATAACTTATAATAGTATCTTATTAGTATTATATAAAGTATAGCCTTAAGTATTATATATTATTATTAAAGAAGAAGTATAAGAATTACTATAGTATAGGTAGCTAGAAGTGCATTCTAATAGAGGTTCTAATTCTAAACTTTACTTATATTAATTAATAGTTAGAGTACTTAGAGTAAATAGAAGCTAAAGCTAATAAAGCTAAGTTTATAGTACTATAAGTAATACTAGCTATATATAGAAAGAAAGATTATATCTATAAATAAAGAAAAATATTAAAGTGCAATAAATAGTAGTAAGTAGATAAGGTTAGAAAATATATAAAGAATATTAAGTTTCTTAAGGTAGTAAAAAGTATTAATTAAGACATTGCTTAGCTAGAGGAGAGCTTAATACCTAGTTCTCTAGCTCTTAACTAGAGTATATTTGTACTATTTATTCTAGAGAGTAATCCTAATTACTTATTATTTATTAATAATAAAATAAGAGTTATTAGTAGTTTATAAGGTATATAACTAGTTTTTATATATTCTCTAAGTCTAGATATCTTAACTATTTAACTAGGTATTCATTATCTAGTCTAGTTTTTATTTATTTTATTATTTTCTTAACTTCTTATTTATTATTACTATTATTCTAGTAATAGAAGTCTTTCTAGATTAGTATTTTAGTAATAGCTAGTTCTAATAAGGAGATATAGAATATAAAGTATATTTTTATATCTTTTAGTAGCTTAAGTTAATAGTTAACTAGGCTAATTTTTTTTAAATAGAAAATAGTCTAACTTTAACTTTATCTAGTTTTTATTAGTCTTTTTATATATAAGTTCTTTATAAGAAGATATACTTTATCTTCTTTCTTTAGTAGAGGTGCTATTTTTCTTTTCTTATTAATATAAGAGATTGCTTATATCTAAGCTCTAATAACATTCTTTAGTAATTTCTAGTATATATTTTTTAGTTTCTTT